TAGTATGTATTAGTAATTCTCTAGAAATGTTGCAGTGTCCGGGGGTATACAGGCATATAGCATCGTTTTTTTTAAAGAAAGGGGCAGAAAAAAAGTCACCTTAAAAAATTTTAACAACCCAAAGCAAAATAAAAAAAGAAAATTGTCAAAATTCCAAAATTCTATAACGTGGCGGTGGGGTGGGGTGGCCGTGGAGTCCAAATTTTTTCACTACCAATATTATTCATACCATATTACTTTGATTTAACTATAACACAACAAAAAGTGGGGGGGGGGGGGGGGCACCCAGCTTTTCAAGGAACATTTTCAACATTAAAAAAAATATGTTTAGAAAAGGGGGAGGTCTACCCCTCACCCCTTGATACTACGTGCCTGGTATATGCAGTACCCTGGCTCCGATCTTTCGTTGAAATCAGTTTCATGGCAGCTAGATGAATGTGAAGTATGTTATACTATATTTGACCCCATGTTTCAACAGAGACATATATAACATTTATTTATGTCTCTGGTTTCAATGAGCAATATGGCCGCCGGGTTGGGCTGACGTGAATTTTATTATTTCATTGACCAGTGTCGTACAAATTCGTGGGTTGTGCCGAGAGCATACATATACCACGTGGATGAATTTTTAAAATACTTAGTGTGTGGGTTACACTTCAGTTGCTTGTTTATTCACCTATCTGTATATTTCTCTTTCTTTTAGAGAAAATGTAGATGAAAGGTACGATTGAACTTTCAGGCTGTTAGAAATCCCTGCTCACCTGAGAAATATTATCAGGACTTTGACCAGGTGCTAATTCTATCTCTGTATCTACTTGACCTACACGGCGTGGGAGAACTCAGTCTTCCTTTCTCAGCCCACCGTGACAAGTGTGATACAACTATACACGATATTTGATACCTTGTGTCTTCTCAGTCCTAAAATACCTTTCACAGGTGTTCTGTTAGGAAGAATATTTATTTACAGCCTAGCTGTGCTAATGAGTAAAAGGACGCTCTGACTTCATATATTCAATATTCAAATAAGTTAACGCTCTATTTCCTCTCGGGATTCGTCATTAGGCTGATGAATGACGGTCAGAAAAATTGGAGGAAACATGAATGTCCCAAAATGAACACTTCCTTGATTTGTGGATTTCTAATAGATTGTGTCAGTTAAATTTAGAATTAAAATAATAATGTAGTGGTTTAACCTTAAATTGTATTTATGATAGCTAGGTATGTACATGTTCCAGTCATTGGCCATTTACATTGAACTTTTATTACACAGTTAGTAAATATTAAACATGAATATACATGTATTGGATAGACATATGGAGAGATGAAAGAATTACCGTGATGGTTGCAATTTTTAAACTAAGATTTATAAACTATAGATTTACTCCGGCAAATTATATATAAAATGCAAGATGGGTCTAGCTATATCCTTCAATAAAATGACACGAAATTTGCACTTTTTTCCCTAGATATATCTGCCAATTCCAAGAGTGGTTTCAGAAATTTGCAAAGATGGCTATAGAAGGTCTATTAAACGTTTTTCTCGGACAATTTATATGACTTTCTCTTGCAAAAAGAAACCATGGTTTGGAATGCATTAGACATTTATATGTACCAAATAGTAATGTTATCATTACCCAAGTGTATTTTTGATCATTAGTACGCGTACCTATGTATGTACCTATTCGAGGTATCGCACGTGGCACAACGTCGTAGGTTATCGGTAAAGCTCCAACAGTCGCGTGCGTGAGCGTAATGGGACGGCTGGCTCGAACATGTTGATGAGGTAGACGACAGCTGTTTGCATGCATTGTCCAGAATTCATCTCGTCCCCCTATTGTTAACAAATGCCAATGACAATATAAAACCCGTGATATCATCGACCACAATGGACATTTAGCGAGCAATAGATTAATGGCCAATACCGCCACTCAATGTTAGTTTTGACGTACAATTAGCCAAATTTCATTAGTGGAATCACGCCCACTGAAGAGAGAAAGAATCGTAACTAACTCTCAATCAATGATAATAACCATTAAATCTCCTTCATTAAGAATTTATTCAAATGTTTTATCGACAATTTAAGACAGATTGCCGAAGCCTGAGGATTTTAAGATTTCATAAGCGGACGATTGGTGCCATGCTGGCCTTCTTCTTTGCATTATAATCAGTCCCCCTGACCTTATAATCGTTTTCTTTTTTTATACAGCAGACTTATTCACCTGTAGTCTCTTACATAAGTTGCCGTTATTACCATAATTAAAAGCTGATGTAACTGTTGGATTCTTATCATCGACCAAATTCGGTTATCTCGTGGGTCAGTTTGCACATATATCCACTAAATATTTGCCCGTAGATTTCATATAAAATAGTTGATACGTATATTAACAAACATGAACTTGTAGCTTCTCTTTCCAATTTCAATACCAATTTCAAGCTTAGTAAACACTTTTGACCACAGTTATTCTAACCATTTCAGATGTTATTTCTACTCTCGTACTTGATTACCTGCTAGTTAAAGAACTCTTAGAGACAAAATGTACTTTGTGTGCACTCTTAGGACATGTGGATCAGATAAACTGTCTTTTGAGAGAAAGGAAATATGCTTTCATATCAATTATAAGTGCCTGAAGAGTGAAATAGTGCAGATTCACAGTTCATTCATTGACTGCGTGTGTTGAGTGCCCTATTTAATCGTTCATGCGCAGAACACTCCTTTAAAAAAGTATTTGTCGAGAATAACCTTCAATGAACAGATACATGGCGTACTGATGTAGACGTCTATTGATCCCTTGTTTTGATTCGTGGGCGTTTTGATCTGAAGGGATTGCGTCAGAGCAATGTGTTTACCGTAACCCCCCGAGTCAATATATTAACTATAAAGTAAGATAAATATATACTTGTAACATAGTATGCAGTTGCGGTGTGGTACGCCGACATTCTTGTCTAATCACTCGCAAAAGGCAAGCTATTTAAAGAATGTCAAACATGCCCAGTCTCATATTGTGACCTTAACCTAGAGCCCGAGAAAGACAAGCCCATTTCTTTAAATGATCGTTTTTTAAATACACTTAAACTGTTTAAGTTTCTATCGTGGAAGTATGTGGGTTCTCACGGTTTAGTACAAAAAAAGATCTATGCGAAGTGTCCTTGTATAAAGGAGCACATTTTTGCCAATAATTAACGTGAATAGTAGACACACATTCCCATGCAGCATCCTTTATCACGTGATGTCCTATCGCGTCAAGCTTCCTCCAATGGGTAATAGAGCGTGTCAGAAAAAAAGTCCGCATTGCGTGATATTGCCTCTTCCATCTATTTAACGTAGCTTACGCGAAAGAGTCTGGGTGCATGTCTTCAATTTGACGCACAGGGAATTACGTTTCCATAGGTCTAATAGATTCCCCTCTAGTATAATTATTGATTAACATAAAGAGCAAAATGAAGATGCAATAGTCCTTGAGTAGAGGCCGGTAATATAGATCAGGAATGAATTGTGATAAACAGCATTCCAATTTAAGGAGGTTGGATCCTGCCATCAAAAGTAATGAGAATTTTTTATCAAGTATATTTTTAGAATTTATACACATAGCTTAATTAAAAATCAAAACAAAAAATGGGGGTCAATGCGCTTCTTTTGGCGCTACAGAGCATTTAGTTTGACCTTTTTGCACTGTAAATACGTCTTACACATAAATCAATTTTTAAAGTTTTTCCTTCAATATTTTTTATTCAAATAAATTATGGGAACAAACACAGCCTTATTTCATCTTGAATAGACACATTAAAATTTGTGACAACGAAAAAAATTTCAAATTACTCCGCATGTTCAATTATTTGACCTTTTTGCACTCAAAAAATTTCATTTTTCTGGCATTAGAATTTAACAAGCAAAAAAAAAAAAAAATAAATAAATAAAAATCATTTGAAAGTAATGACATTTTACTGAATTTAAGAAGAATGGTAAAAAGTATCTTATATATTCAGAAAATAAAATAAAAAGTGGGGGTCTGTGATGTTAATTTTTAGATATTGCTAAAATAGTGCTAATTTTAAGCTTAAAATAGGGGTTTTTATTTTCTTGATTTTCACAATATATTTGCTATATTTATGAAATATGATGATAGAATTCATGACTGTTTATTTGATATATAATTTAGGACCAGTATAAAACAGTTCACTGCATAAAATAACTCTGTGTGCAGGCTGCATGGAAAATAGGAATCCAAACTTAACATACTTTAAATACTTCGAAAGAGAAAAAAATGATCATTTTCTTCTAAAAAAAACCTTCCGCCACAAAATACAGTTCCTCACTTAATGCTTTTGGTATGGAATTTAATCATGGAGATTTAACTGAATATAGTTTAATTGACATTGTAGAATCCAAATTTATTGTAAGAATTAAAACTTCATGCAGAATTTTTGAGATATAGGTTAAGATATAAATCTGCTCAAAAGCTAAATCACGACATCGTCTTCTGATGCACAGTTTGCAGGCGTTACTTAAACAGTTAAAAAATGCATGCCACGACTGCCAAAGAAAATAGTCAACAATTCGAAAATTTCATTCACGTATCCGAACAAAAACACGTGGATTGTTTCATGATGAGATAGCACGCGCTTGCAACAAGATTTAACCTATCTGAACGATAAAGTACAGAATCTGGGTCACGCCTTGATCGGTAATTGGTGCCGGTGCCCCATTCTACAATGTTTCACTCTTTATCGATATTCTATATGACACTGAGATGTGTTTCTGATACCCGAAACAAAGAACTACCATTTTACAGATACTTAATGATGTCAGAAAACAATGCCAAAATACAAGACGTGTGGCTTATCGGTCCGTTGGCTACTTTGTAAGACGGGTGTATAGTGGTGGAGTGCTATCTGCAGATTCAGCACTAGCGGCAGTGTGACCTAAATTCCCCAAAATCCCAGACGTTTTGTTGACCTAGTAGCCTGACTCATGAGCTAAAAATTATAACAAGACAGCGAGATTTATTTTCAATACAATGCTTTAATAATGTAATGTACAAATGAGAGGACACATAAATATTCCGTCACACTGGTCACTTCGGAATGTCTCTAACTTATATACTGGCATTTGGTTGCAATCTGTCATTATTGTTAAAATGGAGGGAAACATTTTGAGGAGTTTTAATTTTACTGAGTTACCCCCTCCCCCTTTATGAATGTTTACGTAATCCCACCAGTGCCTTGTTTCTGGGCAGAAACAAAGACCACACATAAAATTTCTGAATATCAAGAATTTTGAAAATGGGTGTTCGATGTCAGTCATGTTTTCTTTTCTCAACAGTGGAAGACAAATAAAGTAATGTAAATTAGAGATGCACCAAAGAAACACCCCACACCTGGGATCTGAAAACAAAATGTTTCCTTCACTTCTTTACATCTACAGGACAGATTAAATAAGTATGACTGAACCAGTTATTGTCCACCAGACTCAACATACAACATGGACAATCACCATGTTATATATTGTTCTGGAAATCTCTGAGGTAGACTTTCAAAAAAAAAAAAAATAGTAAACTCCTCATTTGGTTTTTTTTCCCAATACTAAGATTAAGAACAGTCAATGTGTAATTCTGCCTACAGTGAATATTTGAGCGACTCAGGAAAAAGATCAAACACAAACCTTTACACTATAAAAAGCAAAAAATCACAAAGCAATTTATACATATTGATAAAAAGGAAAAACATACATTATTATGAACATATTCTGGACAGATTATCATTGTAACATATATTACTTACTGGCCCTTAATGGGTTCTATTTTTCATGTTTACACGTCAAAAAGCATTCAAGTATAGTGTTTTGTCATGCATACACAATATATAAATATTGAGATCAATCAATGTATTCATGGAGAACACTTATATATTATTATATAAAAAAAATGTTGAGGTTTTCATTGGCTTGCGTTCCACGTGGCAGTGTCCTTGACAGGAACAGGTTTGACCTTGATAAAAACATCTCAACACAAATTAATGAAGGATGAATCTTCTATGCCTGCATTTGATGCCAGTCACAAACATTCATTAGTCACATTGTCACATGTGGCAATGGCAGGGGGCTGCTTTAGCAACTCAATGATATTTTTTTTTTTGTTCATTTCATAATTACTTAAAAAGTATAAATATAAATAGTTGGCAACATTTGCTTCTTTTTCTGTATAAAAAAGAGGGGAAGAATTAAGTTCTACACTTAAATAATAATATAAAACAGTTGCACAGACTGATACAATGATAATGCAACTCAAACAGTTACTTGGGAATTTACCCTGAGAAAAAAAATATCCCTGATTAAATCAAAGGAAAATAAAGCAAATCTCATCCACGCTCATCAAAAAGCTGAGAAATGTAGCTTCTGCTAGCACACAGACATTTTACTTTGTTAATACAATGGAACATTACTCCATATTTTTTTTTTCTTTTTAAATAATATATGATGAATGTTAAGTAAGTACAACATGCAAATATAATTTCAAGGGGGAAAAAGGGCCATCAAAACTATGATGTGGGGAAACATTGATATCCTGTAGGTCAAGTATACACATGTGACTGTTGTGAACAGCTCATCAAGGAGTTTGGAAAATAACGGGAGAACGATCCAATATTCATCTGTTCAGAAAATGAAATTTCATGAATTTTCAAAACTTTGTACACAATGATAAACTGCCTAAATTTTCTTTTGACTACTTTTAAGAAATTCTTGGATCCTCCTCCTACATTCAACATGACAACAATAGGTTATATTTTCTAGAGGTAAGAATATTAAGAAAGACATGCATTCTATTTATAACTACGTATATTAATATATCTGACTCTATAAATATCTGACATAATGGAACATTAAAATCACTTTGACTCTTTCTGTATAGAGCGACCACAAAACTTAACAATATACACTTTTCTTCCAATGCGTAATGTGTTGTTCATTAATTAAATTTTTTTAAAGGAAAGTCATTTTTCAAGTTTCATATATAATTAACCACAGAAATCAATTATCTGTAAATTATATAAATTACATAACAGGGTTGTACAACACACACTACACTTACACAATATATATATTATACTAAAATCATTTGCCCAGTGTTCATATTTTTCCAATTTTTTTTGTAGTGCAGTGGAATTCAAAACCTTCCTGATTCTAAAAATTTTACAAAAGAGACCATTTTTTCTTAAAGATACTGCAACTGAGCAAATGATTTCTGGCCAAATTTATTTACACCGGTCAGTCTAATCACAGGAATCAACACTCAGATCCTAACATTACAACACTCTAAATAAGTGATATGCACCTGTACAAAATGAAATTAAATTTCTAAAAAAAAACAAAAAAACACCTGATTTTATTTCCAGGGGGTTCATGGTGGTCATTAAAAGCAATTCTGAATGTTAAAATAAAAATAAATTACAGCACCAGATGATAAGTGCATAATGCCTTTGCTATTTATAAATGTAAAAGGTGAAAATGACAAAAGTGTGTCAAAAACACATTCAATTTTTTTTTTTTTTTTGCAAAATAAGAAACATATGAAAGCAGAATAATTAATAGACCACAGGCTAACTTCCTTACAAGTTTAATAATCACAACTTCCCCTTAGAACATCCTCCAATGAAATAATGTCTTTTTTACTCAAGTCTTCCTGGATAAAAAATCTTACACTTGTATATAAAGCAAGAAGTAAACCAATGCAAAATAAGGTTAAGAGTTGTTGATACTTTTACTGAAACAGGAAATAAAATATTTTTTTTCGACATAAGAAAAATTTTGTAAGTGTTCATTTATAATGCCAAATCTTAACTTAGTACAGTTTATTTCCAATTTTGACCCCTGTCAGTGAATTGTTCTTTGGTCGAGTATTGTAATGGGACAAGAGAAGAACAACCAAATATTTGAACAGCAAGAAAAAACAATAAACTGCATGTGGGATTTTTCCTTTGCAAATAAATAATGATTGACAAATAACTTTATACAACAATATATACAAGTACTTGGCACTTCAGTACCACATTATAAATAATAATAAATATATTATAAAATCAGTTTTATGACATTTCATTTCCACAATTTACGAGGACATTTGTTTTTGTGCGATATTGGAACACGTCTGTGGTAAAGTGAAATATCATAAAAGTGACCTTCATACTTTAAAAAAAAAACAATAAAAAAACGTAATTTTCTCTTTTTTCATGACCACTATGCACTTTGCAAAAAATGTCCCAAAACACAAAAGTGGATGACCATGAACTGTGTTGTCATAATTACCATGGAAACAACAGAGAAAAAAATGCCTGATGATGATGGGATATATATAATTAATATTGTGTTAGGTACAAGTGTACCAATGAAAATATCAGTATCAAACTACAGAGTAAAATTTGGTTGTAAAAAGTCCTTGTAATATATATATGGTATGTTACATATATAAATGAGCATTTTGGCAATAAGTAATCGAAACGCTCTCATCAGGCATTCACTGCATTGTGGAAATTTCTCATCACTGCTGCATCGTTTGCTGCATGTATCCATGTAATAAATCACTGAGGATCACAAGGTCATTAATGTTACGTGTTTGACTTCCCAAGGCGAAGGCTTCTACGACTATTATGTCCTGACTAGAGCCGTCAAGCCACTTTGGTCTGGAATCAACAAGTTCACCTTTACACAAAAAGGCTCTCAGTTCTTGAGTATAAGGATATATTTATACAGATCTTTTTTTTTTGCTTTAAAATCTCACAGAAAAGAAACCATCATTCATACTTTTATGCACCGTTCATCCAATTTTTGCACAAAATTAAATAAATTAATTCTCATTTTCACCACACACATAAATATACAATCATACAATTCCAACACTGATATTTCAAATCAATTTTGCTGCACTTCTTGGCAAGATAATACTATCCCCCCTGGACAGATAGAACATTTTGCAGAAGTTCACTGTGATTTAACACTCCATGGCTAGGGGAGGAGGTTGGGAGAACGCATCTGAACACTTGAACTCCGTCAAAGAAAGAGCAGCACTGTTCTCCAGTGACGGAATATTGTCCATATCATTTTCCACACAGGATGTGTCCAGGAATTCCGTTTCTCCGAAGCTGTTTGTACTGGAATTGCTCTCGGTATCATCAGTTGACTGGCTTCGCCTGATCTCTCCACCGCGACGATTTCTATTCTTGTGGCAGCTGAAGCAGGGGTGTAACAACTGAGGATCCACCAAGACCTCTCCATTTAGGCCCTTGAATATTGTGCCACAGCAGACTTCTGTCCTGAAATACCAAAAAATAAAAGAAATGATTCAAGAATAAAACACATCAGAATTACTTCTCCAGATATATTCAGTATGAATTTTCTTTTCCATTTTTTTTTTAAAACCATAACATATTTCATGTACTTTGAATGTGTACACATATTATATATTCTCCCTCACTACATTCGTCTGAATATAACAATTACATTCCAATAAAAAGAATAATATGAAAGAGCTTGTTTGTAGGAATGGTACTCGCTATAACCTTTTATTTTTCATGACATAATATAACTATATTGATTTATTACATCATAAATAACTGTTGCATTTATACAGACATGTAGAACCCTAAACATACGTAGAGTACCAAATTAAACATTCTATGCATATCCTTCTTTTAATAATATATGTGTATACCCATATGTTATAGCGAGACCCGATAATCGAACATGAACAAGTGAGGATATACAATGTTTATAGTACATGATCATTTAATAAGAATGGAATGCAACAAATCTTATTTTCTGATTCATAATTTTAAGCAGTGAGTATATATACTTGTTAACCAAAATTTATTTTTCAAAGCTTTTTTTCAAACAAAGGCTATGTTATGTTTAATTTATTTGAATGTGCCCTACTTTTTCCAGTAGCTGAGATCAAGGAAAGGACTGATGCGTGGGTCGGTCTGCTTCCTTTTGTTCTTACGCTGACAATTCTCCTGACTTTCCTCAGCCTCAGATTCCTCACTCTCACTGCCATCAAACTCATCTTTGTCACAGCTATCCTCATTCACTACAAAGTGTCAGAATAAACACTCAATTAACCCTTCCATTAGGACTCTTAACCACAATATTCATAAATTAAAATTACCTTGTCAATTTCACTCTCCCAATAAATGATCGATTCTTTTGATGTTAAAATTCATCTTTTATTATCTCAGTGCAGATGCTCATGAATATTTGTGAACTTTTATTCAAAGGTATTACAAAAAAACCCACTTCTAAAATATTGCATTCATGTAATGTAATCAAAGCAGCATACTGGAGTCTGAAACAATCCCCTTGGTGTGCTAATAGTCTATTGATTTCCATTTGTCAGTTCTTATATCAGTAACCAATCAGTGAAAGCCAAACAGACAGACTGTGTACCTGAGTGCCTGTTGTGTTATCCCTGGACTCTCCGACATTCCCTATTAAACAGTCATGTACAAACATAAACTCCTGACACCAGATAACTCACCAATAAATAGTCAGTATATATAGAATTTCTATCAGACTGTCCGGGGCCTATACTGAGTATACCCAGGTCACATCTGGTCAAATCAATGTTTATGGCCAATTCTCTTAGTAGATAGTTCTGAACTGTTTAAGCTCAAGTCTGCAGGATAACTCAGAAAATGACCAAATGGTGGAATGCCACATGTACAGGAAATAGTTGAAGGAGAATGAAAATAAACAAATGAGGTCAAGTTTTGTGTTGAAGAATTGGAGCTCTGCTCCCTGGCCCTGCACTGACCGTTAGATTCTTCCTCTGTGTAATTAGGTCAGATCCAGTAAAATACCTGGCCTGTGTTGAACTTTTGACCACACATTGACCAAGGTGCAATCTGTTGAATTTGACCATATCATGTCTTCATTTAACATATTGAAGCTCAAGATAATATTAACAAGACTTGTAAATTAAACATGACATTATTTTCAAGAACAATTTCACCAAAACACTTATTTTCATATGAAAGAAACCATTCTTTTTCCTCTCTCTCTCTAGAGCTATGCTTTTTTTTATTATTAAAAGATGAATAATCTTAAGTAAAGCAATGTTCAAATGAAAACCAAATCTACATAAGCTACATGCAACAAATCCATACCTAATGAAAATATTCAATACATGGGTTTATACAGTAAGAATTTTTTACACAAAATTCATTTAGCAAATATTTGTATTAGCTCTTTTTCCAGCTAATTTAATTACAAAGAAGAATTTCTTTTGCATGTTAAAGCTTTTATAGATGAGTAACCAGCTGTAAGCCCCGAAACATAAACATCTGTTTAAAACTCGACAACACAAAAACCATACTCTTCGAACACTACTTAGAACCATGCTGATCAAATCTTCATTCAGTGTCTAATTAAGAAATGCCTTAGTCTCAGCACCTCTGATCTCCCCACACCAGAATTTTTTTTATTTTTTACCCTGGGGGATAACACACACATACACCTGATCCTTACACCCTATGATAACTCAACCAAAGAGTTAAAAAACAGCAGATGTTTGGAATTTGCATTTAGTAAGACAGAGAAAAGTATTTGGGTCATTGAAGACATTGGAATTACTATAAAAGGCAAGGTGTGGGGGAGGGGGGTAATCAGCTGATCTGCTAATCAGCTGATGAATATCCTGCAGACACACACTGACCATATGCTTCACAGCAGGAAGTCTCTATACACAAGCTTGTCAGACAAGATTAGTAAAACCTAAATCCATCCTGATTCCTGTTTTAACCCCTCTAGCCTACGTCATGCTTAGCTTGCTATTGCACCTTCACAATAACCATACATCAAATGAGTCAAATGTAAATAGATGACTAAAATCCGTACTCCTTCATGTGACACTAATTATCTGTGTACACATACAGTACATTTTTTTCCCTATTTTTTTTCCCTCCAAAATGTATAATTTATCCATTCCATGTTTGATTTAACAAGTTTGACACTCTCTTACTCTCTTTTTAACAACATGTTTGTGACAAAGGTTCAAAAGAATGAAAATGTCAAGTATCTAATGCTCAGCTCACTTTCAAAGAGCCATCCTAGTCTGGGAGACCACAAACCTACTGCTAGCTGACCTAGATTCTTTGTTCAGCTTCATAAAGAGAGAAAATCAATTTTAACAAGCTTTAAGGTATTGTCTGTTACTTTTTGGAAGCTAACCACTCTGGAACAGAGTATGGGATCAATATTTGTAATGATTTTGTGGTACATGATGGGAACCTGGGTCAGAAAAATTGGATGAAATTGCTCCTAACTGAAAAATAAATCAATGCTTACTTCAGTACTAAAATATTCACCTCCCAATGACTGTTTAAAAATAAATACCATGTAACCAATTTAAGAGGATGTTAAATGGATATAGCCAACAATTTCCTTTGGTCGAAAATGACGAAAACATCTGGGACTTCGGACTCGTACTTTGGAGATATAATAATCAGACACTACAAAAACCTACATTCTTTGGTATTATACAACTGTAAATGGTTGGAAGACACGTGTGAACTGAAAAAAATGAAAAGAGGGTGGGCATGCGGGGGAATTGTGATTGTCTGTCTTCATGCCAGAAAGATATCTAATGACATCTTCCAAATATGATATAATCAATTCATAAGTGAACTTGGTCAACCCTCTGTGGGTATTCTGAATACCACATTAGTGCAATGAGGTTTGATATACCATTTCATCAATTTGTCTGTGTCCTAGTTATTCATTTGCATATTAGAAGGCAGTTATCAGACTGATTATATAAACCATGTCCTAGTCAATTACTTTAAAGTGTTTACTACATTTGAGAAAAAAATCATGGTTTACCGAAGTCTTTAAAATCAATTTGTTACAGAGTGACATTTGACAAGGACAAAACTTCATTGTGTTCCTATTCAATAACACAAAAAGTAAGACCAACCTTCTTAACCTTGAAACAAGTGAAAAGAAATGAGAGACATATTTCCATAAAATATATGGATACCTTTGATGTTTATTTTCAACTTTAAAAATGATAAGTTTTACCAAGCTAATATTTTTATGATTCACTGAGAAGGAATGGAACCTCACTTGCTATGCAAGTAGCACGGTGAAGAGTTTCTTGATTGAACCAGAGATATTACAGAGATAGAGTAGTTGTTTGATGTAATTGTAGGGGGTCGGGGTGGGGTGAGGTGGATGAAAGAGGGTGTCGGTGAAGAGTTTCTTGATTGAACCAGAAATATTATAGAGTAGTTGTTTGATGTAATTGTAGGGGGTCGGGATAGTGCCTTGACATGATTGCCATACCTGAGATGTCGTACAGAGTTCTAGGAATGCTACTGGGGTAAAGCTTCTTGGACTTTAGAGGAGACTTGTATTTATTGTTGGTAGGGCTCTTGTTGTTCTTGACCTTCATTGAGGACTTAATTCCTGGGCCTGCTCTGGCATCCACCACCTACAAACATACAAACAATATGCACCATTTGTGACTTCACCTCTTAAACTACAATATCTTGATAAAATACAATTAGCAAGACACTACCTATTCAAATACATGTCATATGTTATAGTGATAAAGCAAAAAATCAAACAAATGTTTCTTCTCTGTTGTATGTCAATTAAAAAATTCCGACCTTATGTCATGCTCTGGTAATTTTTAAGGACAATCAGTTTATTCATTTGCTTAAGTTAAAATAAAAATTACTTAATTTAGAAAACACAATTTAATTAAATAATCAGATGTAAGAGGAGACAGAGAGAGAGTGGTGTCTATACTTCTAGGCTTCATTCTGGTGAGAAACCAGCGAATCATATCGAGCATTGGCCAGGTCACCATGTCATTCCATGAGGTTCTTTACCCCATCAATCCATTCAATTGCAAAGTGAATTCTTCCCGTGACGTTCAGAGCTGTACTAAGCACATTCACAGCTGACTTGCTGTCAGTAACCGATTATATTAATGAAGGAGGGATTTTTTTTGTGAGGAGTGCATGTTTTATTGACTAAAGGTCATTGCCTACATGATTAAAACATTGATTACAACATTAAATCCCAAATAATTTTCTATAAAATATAGGCCAGGAAAGAAACTCTGCATGATAAATAAACAATGCCAACTTCAGAAAGCATTAAATTAATACTGCATGTACATTTTTATCTCATTAAGTCTGAGCCATAACATTAAGTCACTGACCTAGCGTATCTTCACACTGTAGTAAAGGACACTTCCCCATAACAATCAGACAGAAAAAAATCTACCTTTGTTTAATAAAAGTTATCTATACATGTTGATATTGTATTATTGATAAATGTTATCATGATATACTGGGAAACTATGATGACCCTTTTCACTTATCAGCATGTTTATAATGATTACATTACACTTCCTCAATTTTGATCGGTACAGTACTCGGAAAATAAATCACAAATGGACTGATGGGAAGCACACATCATGTGACTACATTCTAGGTAACAAGTTAGACTTTATTACTATTTCTTAGCCAAATGATCTGTATAAATTACTATAGATAACATTTTGCACAGGAGTTAACTCTCACTGTAGTGTACTTAAATTGTGCCCTTTCCTGTTTGTGTTTTTCATTTAATATCAATGGGAGTGCTACTTTTCCTCATGCCATAAAAAGAGAGGCCTGCAGTTCAAAAACATGATTTTTTTTTAATATTGATGTCATGACATATTCTAGTAAGTAAGGTTGCTGTAGGCAAAATATCATAAAAATATATAATGCGATAAATGTTGTAAGTGGACATATTAAAAGTGATTTGTGGGTATGGTAACCTGTCAGACTGGCTACAAATAGCTGCACACACCTTGTCAAATACTACCCCCAGGTCATAGGTCAAAGTCCAATAGTAGCACTAACATAACCACACTGTCAACCTTTTCTTACAACAACTAACAAGATCAATGAACTCATTAACCTAATCCACTGATCTGGTTAAACACTTATCTAGTCTTTTTTAACAAATATTCTTCCTACATTATTCTAGCTCTTGTAATACCCTTGGGAAACTTAATTGACTTCAGGCTGCAATCAATATTTGTTTAGCCTAAAAGCACAGAACGGGAAATGAAAAGAATCTCCTAACTTATCAACTAAATGAAGGAAAGACCCACACATCACATATGGTAATGTTTTGCCTTTCATAAATGTAACACTCCGATCAATGACCTACATTTTTGTATTACACACATCTGTCAGGATAACATTACAGAATAGAGCTGTAGATATCTGCTGATTAATTAATAATTGGACTCCCTTCTAGTGTCTGTGAGGGAATCATGAGTCACAAAGGAATGTATGTCACATGAGGTATTCAGATCACATCACACATTCACAGTGTCAAACTCGTGTGTAATTCACTCACATATCAAGTAAACAGTTTTCTCTCCTTAGCCTGATCAAACAGGAAAAAAAAAATCAATTCTTTATATTTTGAACTAAATCACCTGTCAGATAAAGTGGCGGTCTGAACTCCCACACAAAAATCAAAAATAGGTATACCATATATTTTAAAACCCCTTGGATGCTAATATCATCAAATGAGTCATAACTTTGAACATAGTATATCTCCAATTCCCAGATCTCTGCATAAGTCAGCATATTGAATTCACATAATGAGTTACTTTTCTGCAGAGTAGTTTGTCAAATGTCGTCAAGTGCATTCTTCAAATTGCATGCCAGCCAGAATTAATGCAATGCACTTAATGTTCTTACACTAAAGGTAATTCTAAAATTAATTCAAAAGTTCCTTTTTTCATTGGGGAAAACAATTTTCATGAATTAGAAATTCATGAATAACCCATATTATATAAATAGATGGTTGACATATTAAATGTTTTAAGCACATAGAATTTATATATATCGAGACAGCTAGGAGACCGGCGCTGCAAAAAGAAAAAGCGAATTGTTGATAACAAACTGACCTACTTATTGGACATAGACCATGAAGTTTAAACTTGTTAAAGGTAATTCCATGGGTGTGCCTATTTGTTGACACCCACTCATAAAAATGATATTGACTCAAATCAAACTCACATGGTGCCAATGTCTGCTTGTTCCTTCTGGTAATTTCTTCCACCTCTTCACCAACAGGACACATGCATTGCATATCTCCCCTGCCCTCTTTTCACGAATACGGAAGCACTTTTCAAATTCACATTCATATCTTTTACTGTCTGTGAATCGTGAGCTAGAGGACTTGGCTCGACAAATACAGCATCCATTAATGCTTCTGTATATTTTGGGTTTATGAAAACTGAACATTTTTCTGTCACTGGAAAAGAAAAAATGTGTCACTATTTAAAAAATGTCACTCATCTACATATTTAGGTCAAAGAACCCTGTCACACTGTAAAGGTACATGATAGGTTACTAAAGTTCACTACGGTAGTTGACTTACTGAGAATTCTCTCTGAGGAGAAAGATCTCATAAATAGAAATAAATCAATATCAATTGACTGCATTTAACAAGTCCCTGTCAATCAAGTACATATTCAGTCCATCACATTGTTCATGACTAATTTTAAGATTTTTTAATTTCTACACAAACAAATTTCCTCAACAAATTATCACACATGTACAATGATTTGTAATAAAAATATGTAATAAACAGCAGTTCAGTGACTGGCATGTGATTGTGTGTGTATCCACCATCAATGCCCTGTATTTAATTCTTTCCTGTTCAATATTCAGTTCCTGTACCTTATTGACATAATGAAGTATCATAATTTAAAATTAATTTTTATCAAAGTCAATTAAAAGAAATTTAATTACTTTATCTCACTAGAGAAACAAAGTCATGAAAATGCAACATAAAAATAAAACAGAATTCACACGTTTCGTTTCCTCACCCTTTGAAATTATTTCCAAAAAGTCATTCCCTGGTCTTTCCACTAACACTGTGAATCCTCGTAAAAGGGATTCAAGTGATATGTACTTGTCAATGAATACGACACCTGTGTACTAATCATGTCACTGACCACTGAGGTCACGGTTCACTTGCTTTTCCTATTTTGGGACAAAGGAATTTCTTAGATCTGAGTTGGCGCAGACTCACTGAAATCGTGCACATACATGTGCCGCTTACTTATCCGTGTTTCGCAGAAAAAACAAAAAATATAAGTCAAACTCGTCACAAAAAGATTACTTTTAAGTGAAATAATTATTGTCAATCAAAATAGTATAGTATAAAATGACTGTCAAAGTCTTTATAAGTATTTTTCATTGAATTTCTGGTATCCATTGAATAGCGTACACTCCTTACCAAATGGGTCAAAAGAAAACGTCGATGGAAACACATTAATTTTTCAATAACAGCTGACAAAAGTCAATTTAACCAAGTATTTAGACTGTTTCTTATCATAAAAATAAAAATTAAGACACATACCCGATTATTTGTGAACTGTCAGTTACGGTATTCTCCCGCACGTTGAAACTATCCTCTGTTGAACTGAGTTATCAGTTGCTCAATGAATGCGCATGCCAAGTGGAGCTTTTGTTATGCAAACGAGGTCGAGCGGAAAATGCCGAAGTTACTCCTTAGGGATATAAAATTTCAAGTGCCGTAAAATGTATTAAAGTATAAATCTGTGCCTGATTTCTGCCTCAAGATATCAATTTAAAGAAAACATGTTTTGAATTGCATTTTTATAATTTTTTTAACATCTCGCGAGAATACCGACTTTGACCAAGAAAGAGACGCCATTTTGGTACAGTTTATCTCGATTCCCGCTTGTGAAGATGAAAAATTGACAAGTTTTAGGAATTGCTTGCACACTTTAATATTTTATTTCTTTAGTTTAACAATGTATGCTATTTAATACTTGATTGCAAACTGTTTTTATGACAAATGTGTCCATAAAGCTAAGTAACTCGTGTAAAGTGATGAACCCCAGTTGAGTGCCCTCTTGAACTAGTATATATTTTCTTCAGAAAGTATTTATCGATAGGGTGAGTAGCAGTTTAAGAAGTTTATTTTCATTTTTAAATTTAACTAGTTTATTTCTTTTGATCGACAACAGTTTCTGGATATCAAGGGATACGTGTCTTCAAGGTCATTAAAATTGTGTTGTCATGTCATGCTGTATTTTTTTGTGAGGCTAGATCTTCAACTTTCTTTTTCTGAAATAAACTTTAGAGTAGTCGGAAAATTTGTACATATTTGTTATATCATGTGAAACTTGATAGTAGATTTTTTTTAGATCTTGAATCATGTGATTGATTATCTTAGAAGTAAAACTGAAAGTAGCAGTACCAATGTAACACTGAGCAAATTGCAGTTCAAAATATGACATTAATATAAATACACATTCTAGACATGACAAACTCTCCAGCAAATCATCAATATGAGCAATGAAGCATTTAGACTGCACTTCATTGAATTAGGCATCATTGATTGAATTTGAAAGTGCATAATATCCCTCAATGAAAAGGAATTTGTACTGTAATAAATAATTGATTTATAAGCATGAACTTCAGTGAAGTGGTTTTATTTCCAGGAATGGATTTTGTTATATTGGTTATTAATACCAAATTATCAAACTATGATAAGTTAAAATTAATACATCTAGACAAGTTAAGAAAATGTTTATGCAAGTAATGAAAGTCCAAGAAAAACATTGACAATGAAAATAAACAAACCATTCAATTACTGATAACAATTTTTAAAATTGTGACACTACAGATTGTCAACAGAAATATTATTGCATTAAACATTCGATGTTGATAATTTGAATTTGCATACAAGAAGTATGCTTGAATATATTGTGATATATCATATTCCTGATTTTTTTTTAATTTCAATTTTTCAGCTTTCAAAATGTTTTGGAAGTTTAATCTTATAACTACCTCCCATATTGACACAATTCTGGAAAAGGAGGTAAGTGTTAGTGAATACATTGTCATGTCAACATATGTTTACCTTCATATCCCGATCCTGATAAAAATTGTTTTAAAATGTAACATTATTGTTTTAAGGATGTCACTTTGCAAGAGCTTATGGATGAAGAAGACATTCTTCAAGAATGTAAATCACAGAATACGAAGTTGATTGAATTGTAAGCTTTTACATTTTGTATGCATTTATCAGAAAAAAATGTTTTAGTGAAGAGTTGCACACTTTCATTGTTTTGTTTTGTTTTTATAAAAAGTATAACAAAACCAGAAAACATGGAGGAAATGGTGAAGTTAATCACAGTAGAGCCAACAGATTCAGATGACGAGAAACTCAGATACAAGTAAGATTTAACTCCCTACCTTGACAGTTGAGATTCCATTGTAAAAATTGGAAAAATATTACCATAAAAATAACCTTTAATTAGATTTTTTCCTGAATTGTTGATTTGCATATTGTCTAATGTTTTCCTGGTGATTCTTTTAACAGATACCCAAACACTGCCTGTGAGCTGTTGACATCTGATGTGTCACAAGTCAACGATGCACTCGCTGACAGTGAAGAGTTGGTCAAAAAACTGTATGCATTCTTGGAAATGGAAAAACCATTGAACCCTTTATTGGCCAGTTTCTTCAGTAAAGTCATGGGATTGCTGATCACAAGGAAAAGTGAAATGGTGTGGATTTCATTTTGAATAGCATACAGAAGTTGTAACTTTTTAATGTTTTTTTAATAAACTTGATTTTAATGATAAGTATTTTGATTGGTCATGTTTATGCAAATACTTTTTATAATTAAACTTGGAAATTTTATGTTATATCACATGAAAATACTGAAGACAGAAATATTACCCCCCCCCCCCCCCCCCCCAACCAAAAAAAAATATGATAGTAAAATTTTGTCTTTTTCTTCAAATTAGATATTTAACTTCCTTAAATCTCAGGAAGATTTTGTTGGAACATTACTGGACCATATAGGCACTTCAGCCATAATGGACCTTCTACTGAGGCTGTTAACCTGTGTCGAGTGGGTGGAGCTCAGGAAGGCAGTCATTGAGGTAAGGAATAAAAAAGAGAGAAACAATTAACATTGCTTAATAAAGAACTGGGAAGAAGTGATGACAAAACCATTTTACAAAGAAATTGAAGTGGTTGCTTGAAAGTTTAAGTGCAGAGTGAATACATTTTAAAGAAGTGAAGTTGGGGACTTGTGTATTTGAAAGTTACAAGAAGTTCAATGAGGTTGAGAAGTAAATTTTTCCTTAGAGATACATGTATTTTTTTTTCGAAATTGGATGGACATGTGCAGCATTCGATCTTAGGCTAAAAAATATATATGTTTGTTTCCTGTAACATTCCAAAAAAATTGAGGATAAGGTGGGAAAATCCACCTGGCCGTAAATTGAATGGTTACAGGAAACCAACAATTTTTTAGGTCTTACTGATAATGCACATATTTAAAAAATGTTCAAAAACTGATCATTTTATCAAAGCTTTTCCAGCTTTTTGAAGTGTTGATTTGCTTGATGAAGCTTGCTTGTATAGTCCCCAATTTGCAGATAAATTTTTTTTTTTTTTTTTTTTTAAATTGCACATTGTGCATAATAAAGTGATCATTAATATGTCTTCTACAAAGCTTAACTTAGAAGAGTGTTGAATTCCCTTTGTCATATGCAATGTACTTCAACAATTATTTTTACATGGTCAGTTGTTCAAGGTAATTTTTAACTGTTAAAATGATTTGGTCCTTAACTTTGCATACATTTTGATTTAGATAATACTAGGCATTCATACTTCTGTTTTCTTCTTAACTGAAGTATTGGTGATTTGTTACGGACATGTGCAATATTTGAAACCTTGGATCTAAAGCGTAAAGGAGAAATTAAATTTTACGTTAAGTTGAAATGCAGCTTGGGGATGTAGACAATTATAGCTATAAAATTGCATCGGCATGGGAAGATAACGTTTAAATGTTTAGAAATATCAGAATTTCTTATGAAATGTTTATATTTTAAAGATATATCAACTTTTTTTTCAACTTAACTGAATATGCTGAAGTCCCATTGTCAAAATGCTTAAAGTTGTGGACCATATCACATAATGTTTGCATTCCTCTTTTTTACTGTCTTAGATTATTATTTTTCCTTATTATGGAAAACTTGGTTCTGTTATTATGAATTTTGTATTACTATTTTCTACCAAATTTTGTTAATTTAACTCAAAAAATGTTAAATATTATTATGAACTTAACTTATATACCGGTGTATATAGCCACTCTGATGAAAAAGATAACATTTGAATTATATTGTTTCTAGTGTATCAATTATTATATGCATGAACATTTAATTATCAAATTATTTGCTATAAACAGATGGCCACTTACAGTTCCTGAAATGAGTGTTATCCCATTTTTTGGCATCCCATTAACTGTTTGCCCAGCATTCACCTTTTAGGACTGTAAAATATTTATGATTTGTTTGACAGTGGTTGAATGAGAAGCAGATAGTGGAGAGGCTGATCGGGTGTATTGTGCCTACTCAAGATGAGGATGTAAGTTGATTTAATATGACTAAATTATTTGAATTGATGATCCTTTCCTTATATCCTTTTGTTTCGATCATTACACTGCAATTTTCTCATATTTTGTGTATAGGTTCACTGCAATGCGGCGCAGTCTCTGTGTGACATTGTGAGGCTTGGCCGGGAGCAACTTTCACAGTTACAGGACAGAACTGAAACGGACCCGCTTCTTAACACAGTGGAACAGTGAGTTTTCAACAGATCATTTACAACAACTTATGAAACTCCCTAAGCAAGAGTCATATTCATGTGGTTTAATACTCTGTTATTTTGTTTTCAGAGAGGACAATGTAGCTGACCTGTTGACAAATATGTTAGATACAGGAAAGAATGAATCAGTCATAGTAAATGGATTGTCTGTGATACAAACTCTATTAGAATTTAGAAAACAAGGGTATGTGTCGAAGAATTCACGGACAATTCTTGCTTCAGAATACTTGACATGAATGGATCAGATTCACAAGAATTTCATAAATTTTAATGCTTGTGTAAAACTTGTTTAAGAAATTTTCTTTAAAAATTACATCAACACATTTGATTGTAGAAAGAAACTTGGATTACATTGGCCTTTTTTTTTTCACAGCCCAGAAGGCTCAACAGACCAGATCACCTCACTGGACACTGATCGCCTGGCCCAGGGGGTCACTAATGTCTTACTGGCTATTACCCCCAGACTTAAAGATTTTCACAGTCTTCTTGTAGAACCCCCTAAGGTCAGTCTCAGTAGATGATTATGTTTTACAGTATTTCATTAAACGAACTGAAGAGAAATTAGACATTATTTTCCAATTGATTTTTTCATTTGACCTGTGGAGTATGAATTATAGAGTATTATCTTCTTTGATGTGTATAAAAATTTCATGTCAGTCATTTTATCCCTATTTCAGCAACGTTTTGAGACAATGCCAACAACCGTAGGAAATCTGGATCCTCCTCTCGGCAATACACGTCTCCAAACTGTTAGGCTTATAGCTGCAGTTGTTTTAACAAACACACATACTGTAAATGTAGAGTTAGCCAATTTAGGAACGACTAAGGTTTTACTTGTAAGTATATGCTTGTACATGTATTAAATTTTTTTTTAAGTTTTAGCATGTTTCTTGAATGGATTTATTAAAGACACACAGTGTAAATATCCTTTGTTCTGTCTCTTATCTGCTTCATCCACACATTATCTTTGATAAAGCCTGTCTTATGACCAGAAGTTATACTTCAGGTTATTGTATATTTATTTGTGAATTCCTTAGTGATAGACAGAAATACAGGTGACTCTCGATCTCTCGAAGTTCAAGGGACCGCAAGAAAAGTTCGAGAGATCGAGGGGTTCGAGAGATAGAAAGTGAATAAAATCCGGAATTTTCAGTTCCGATCATCATTGTTCTACTATTATAAATACCGGAAGTATACGTTGATAATATCATTGCACGTTACTTTTCATTCGTATTTTACAGGTAATTCACTTGATTTCAACAACAATGATCATATTTTGAATAAATAAAACGATCTCTTTAAGTTTCAATATTTATTTGTTCTCATTTCATGATTACATAAAACCTGAATAGCAATCGTCGGTGTGGCTACCCCCCGGGCTTGATCGGGTCCTTTACAAGATTTCTCGTATTAAATCGGTATTTAATTCTTGAGATAGGATTTCTTGTGCAATGTTTGTCATACTGGGATTATGTACACTCTAATAAAACTTCATAATCTATGGAAAATTATTGACACGCCTCTTAAATTATTTTCTAAAAATTTTCGTCTCGCTGTCAAGTCAAAATAAGTTGTGAAGCAATTCGTTTATAATTTACCAATTATTTATATCAACACTCGGATGCTCACAGGTATAGTGTCATCTATGTAAACACCCAATTAACACCTCCATGCCAGCCCCAGGCGTTCACTGTTATTCAGGTAAGTCCAAGCTGCATTAATTTTACGCTTGATTGGCGTGTACACACGCGCAATCAAAACTTCGAGAGATAGAGAGTAAAAAACAATGAAATGTGTGTAACGGGACCCAGGTCTTGGTTCGAGAGATAGAGAACTTCGAGAGATGGGAAGTAAATTTGCTTAGTTATATAGAGGGAAAAAACGGGACCGGAGGTTCACTTCGAGAGATCGAGAACTTCGAGAGATCGGAGTTCGAGCCATCGAGAGTCACCTGTACTGGTATTCCAGTGTACAATCATAAAAATTTTAAACTTGTTTAATCTGGATGCTATGTAATCACAAATCTTGCTTAATATGATGTAAACTGTAAGTCCTTTTCAGTAAATTTATTTGTTTAATATGTTGTCTAATCCATCCAGTTTCTTTGGGACCATTGGCATACTTGGGAAACCATAAACTATAAGTAAGATGTCAAATTAAATTAGTTACAATATTGTGGTAATTTCTAGGTAATTCAAAAGAAGACACATGAATTAAAAAGTAAAGCTTAAAAAGATACTGTGCAAAACCAGACAGTTAATTTAAAGTCAAAACGTGTATATAAGAATACTCACATTTTTTTTCCTGCAACTGACTTCCAACATTCTTATGGATTAGAAAGCCATTAGAATTCAGCAACTGTATCCCCCCACCCCCAAAAGTTCCATCCTTGTCATTTAACTTCATCTCAAATTGTGATCTCTTATGAAAAATTTCAAATGTTTTAATTTGACCTTGTCTTAAAAACAAGCCACATGCTTCACTGTTGATTATCCAATATTAAGGAATAAGAAATAGGTAATGGTACAAAAATTCAGTCCATATGTAATTTTTTTTCTTCCTTTTTTTCTGTAAAATTAACACAATGTAAAATCACATTACAGTGTTAAATACTTAGAAAATTTTTTGCCATACCCAGTCATACATGTACATGGAAAGTATACATATTATCCCTTTGACTAAATCTTTGTCATGTTTGAGACCACTAAGAGGGCATTTAATTCCTACAGAATAAACTTTTTTTTAAATTTGTATAGGTACAAATTGATACATCTATTTGATTCAGATGAATTATTCTTTATTTCAGGATTTATGTTTTCATTATACTTGGAATAACTTTTTGCATACCCATGTAAGTCAGTGTGTTAACACTATTCTGTATAATTCTCCGGTGGAAGTTGATGGAAAGAAAGAGCATCCGCTTTTAGTTCAGGTACTTCTTAATTCATGCCTTTACTATCAGTTACTCTGGAAATTCAAATGGAGAAACAAGAAAATGCAGAAATGGCTAGTGATGTGATGGTACTAAAATCATACTTTCTTTTCCAGTTATTTTCTGACTGCAATATATTACAAAGAATTATGGATATTTGGGAAGAAAATGACCAACAACAGTAAGTTTTAATGATAGATATTGTAATTAAGCCTTATTTATGTTAATGATTGAAATAATTTTCTAATCCAATTCAAATAAAATAAAATATAGAAACATAGTTGAATTTCTGCTTTGATTGGAGTCTGAACAAAAGAAAATACTCTGTTCTTTTCTTTTCTTTTTTTTTTTTTTAACTTTTTAAATATGAGTTGTCTCATTTGGAAATTTTGTATGCGCTTCTTGTGAATTTATGTAGTGGTCTTTTTTGATTGTACGAATTATAATTGACATTACAGAAGTCAAGAAAGGGGTATGAGAAGAGGGTACATGGGGCATCTAACAAAAATGGCAAACGATATCGTGGCTGTGATGGAAAAGGGAGAAAACTCAGATTTGGTCAAAGACAGCATTGCAGGTAAGTCTCAAGCACAATAGTCACATTAGATTTCTTGTGTTCAAATGTGGAAAAGAAAAGCGTAATCTGAGGTCTTTACCAAGTATTATATAGAAGAGTTGTTTTTATGCAAGTAATATGATATTTCAGAATTACCGGAGGAGGTTAGGGAGAGGTGGGACAACTTTGTGGCTGGTGCATTATCAGATGTTAACAAGAGGAACACAGTAGAATCTGTAAAAATTATTTACCTACTTTAATCTATCTTGTAATAAATTTACATTCATCACCTAAACATTTATATTTAATTCATAAAAAAAAAAATTAAGTAAATTATCATTATTTAGATGTAAAGGATGACTGCACTTAACGCCTGTTTTTGGGTCTTTTTCGGTTGCTTCTGTTGCTTTTATATCTAAACCTTAATTCACTTTTGTATGTTTATGAAAGAATCCTGCCAATTTGGAACCAAATTTAAATCTCAAAATGATTTTAGACTGTGATACAATAAAATGATTCAATGTTTTTTGTCCTTACTGCTTTCCAAATATAGTGAATTTACACTTACCTGCCCTTGATTGAACATTAGATATGCATGAGAGGTGGAGCTAACATTGTAAATATGGGTCTAAAATTAGACTTGATAAATAACAATGACATGTTTGAAAAAAGAACGTGATCACTCTTTCCAATCTCCCTCTCCATTCCATATGGCACAAATAGACTTCTGACAAAGGTTTCAAAACGAAACTAACAATATGAGCACGTCAATGTAATTAAAGCATTGTATATCCATGCCAGATGACTTAACGTGTTCGAACACAATGTCCTAGTTAGCACAAAACATGCTACCTTACAAGTCACGTGACGGAATTTAGTATTCACAAAGTTACCTGAGGTAGGACATCACGCGGTTAATTATAATATTCAACATGTCACAATCCTTGGTTACAACACAGAGAGCGAATGTAAGAAGAAGCAGTTTTTTTCTCTTTTTAACCATGAGCGCATGTTTGTCTATTAATCTCCTTTTGACACATTATTATTTATGCAAATATACAACTGCTGTGAAACGGAGAACAATAGACAAACATGCGCTGACTATGTATAAAGTCAGTAAAAAAGTGGGCGTCCTCATTATCGTACGGAGATTCAAGAAATTGTGATGACCCCTGCCTTTGAAAACAGATTCGAACTTCGTAAATACACACTTTTATTAAACGTAATTACATAAAGTTGCAGATTGGATGTTGGCCATTCTTGCAATGAAAAGAAAAATGCTTGTTTTGAAAGTTTATTTTGTCGCAATTTTCGCATGTCCTTAAGTGCAGTCATCCTTTCATAAAGAAGGATGTCTTCTACACATATTAGGCATAATCTAGTGTAGACATACTATTTTTCCGCAGGGTATTAATTTACACCATGTACACTGTCACAGATTTACCATGGAAATTAGTCTCAGCATACTTAAAGTGCATTTAGGGGATATAGTGGCAATCTAAGAAAGCCGCATAATCTTTTACCTTCCGATTAATTTGAAAATGAGATTTGCAGAATTATAACCCCATGGAAAAAAGTGTGTTTACAATACTTGAAATTTGCCATTGTATTTTAAGTCAAGCTGAAATGTTGTATCAGCAATTGTGTACTTTTTTGTAAGCAAGAGAATAATAAACTGGCCTAATGAGAAAGTTTGAGATAAATATTTTGTTTTCTGTAGATGCGTGGTAGACCTTTGACTTCCAGCAGTGATGATGAAGAAAGTGATTTCCGAGACATTCCATTCCCTCAGGACGCTGCCATGCAACAGGTGGGTGTCTATTGTTTGTTTAAATAGCTAATTTTAGTATATAAATGGTGTCCAGTGTTTGTTTTAATGGTTAATTTTAATGTATAAATGGTGTCGATTGTTTTAATAGTTAATTTTTGTGCATAAACAAAGAAATTATTGCCGTTTTCTTAATACAAGGAAATGTGAAATTTATTCTGGATGGGGGACACTTAAATAAACTCTCTTTTACATTTTAGAGTAGAAATTTGTGTATTAGATACATTTTGTGGTATTTGTGATGTGTATATCATAAGCTAGTAATTATTGCTGAAATGTTTTATGCATGTATCGCAATCTTTTTTCATATACATGTATGGTTTTCTATTTAGTCAAAACTTATTTAAGATATAGCATGAAATCCTTTATCAAATTTTGAGAAAGGCTGAAATATGTATTTACTGTAAATGCCGGTACTGCTAAGGTAAAATTTAGCATGGTTCTCTTATGAGGTGTCCAGATCTCACAGCTATCATCAATATCTTTTAGTAGTTGTGTGCTTTCTAGCTCTCAGTTAGAATCAATCCTTCGTCCTTTAAAAGGCAGGATTGAATTTGATTGGCTCGTTTATTCATCAGGCCTTCTCTGATTACCAGCTGCAACAGATGACGTCCAACTTCATCGACCAGTTTGGTTTCAATGAAGAAGAGTTCCAGGAGCAAGAAGAAAAGGCCGAGTAAGTACATGTGTACTAGCCACTGTGTTGTCTTTATTTCCCCAGAATATGTACTGCATGTAATGTGACGGTGTGGTTTACTGTGCCTGTCTCCACTAGTCTCCTAGAATCCTGTAAAGTTGTATGTCTGTTTTTCTGCGTTATCTCTAGTTTTGTAATTGTTGTTTTAAGTGGTGAAGAGATGATTTAGTGCTGTTTCATTTAAGTCCAACAATGAAGTTAGAGCATTCCATTAGTTTTATGTCCACACTTTTCGAATAGACAATACCCTTCAGAAGAAAAACTAGGGCTATGTTAATGTAAAAGCCACCATAACTGAAGTGTGTGTTTTGTAAATTTTATGGTTTTAATATCCAAATTGATAAATTAACAGGGCTAAGTAACAAATTAAAACAGTATTCAGGATTCTCTCTGTACTGAGCATGCTGTGTCATTACAAATGTAACTCATAGTAGACAATCCCTGTGTAGACAGAGTTCTGTAAAAGTCATTGTTACATATTGTAAATCACTTTTCATTCATGAGAACTTTATTTTCGCATAATTACTTGAGGCTGTTTGCTCATTAAAATTTCATTCTTGCATTTATTTGTTGTTAAGGATGATATACATATATATAATAATAACCTCAATTCGTGAAAATTTTGTCTCGCTAATTTTTACCAAATAGCTATCGAGAAAAAAAGATGGTGGGAAAATAAAGTGATCTACAGTATTTTTGTGTGTTGCATGTGTCCTTTAATTTGGATTCATGACATACAATTGTATATCATATGTGTAGTGTGCTGAATATTTTTTTTTTGACTTTTTGAGGATAATAGAAATAGTTCAGTCTGAAAAAAAAGATGATACTGTTTACAAATTGAATTGAATTCTCATTTTACAGTTCACCATTTGGGGATCGTATCTCCAGTATAGATTTCACAGTACAAGCAGGGGATGAAAATGTAAGTCTTGAATTATTTAAAAATAATAAATAGATAAATAAAACATGTATAAATAATTGTACAAGAAGAGGTAGACTTTCTTGGAAGGTCTTGGGGCTATTAAAAGGTCAGATAAACTTCATAGGTCAATAAAGAATTTAAGGCACACAATATTGATTCATGGAAAAACAACATGGTTTTCACTGCTCTAGCAATATTAATGCCAGTTTCTATAAATATTAATGAAATAAACCTTATTTATTTTACAGAGTGCAGCAGCCTCAATGTTTGAGCAAGCCTGTAATGAGAGAATTCAGCAGTTTGATGATAATGATAGTGATGAGGACATATGGGAAGAAAAAGAAATTACATTCTCACCTAATGCTCAGCAACCCAACCGAGCCACGTATGTCTTAATTACTCAGTATAACCATTTCTACAAGTAATACTAGCAAAGTATGTGTAACGGGAAATGTTTTTTTTTTTTTTTTCAGTTTTTCAAAAAGATTTGTTTTTCATATATATATACATGTATATAAACACTTCGTGATCAGCCTTTGACAATCTTACAATATAAAATTGATTTTTCCACTTTAGCCGGTTACCAGAGACCAGGGATGATAGTGATAGTACAGACAGTGAGGAGGAACTGGACTCCCCACGAAAAATTGTCTCACAGCCAAATGAAAAAATGGATGTTGATAATAGTGAAAGTAAGTTTAATGTTTATGCACATTGACTTTGTAGGTTTTCTATTATATTCAAAATGAATTCCATTTTCCATCCATTTAATGTGGTATTGCAGTAAATCAGGCTTATAGCAAAGTGCTAGGGACAAGCAATTTTTATTCCATATTAAGTGATTTGTTGCACCTGTTAAAGTTCACTATAGGTTTTAAAACCACGGGGAAAATCACTTCACTGTAAGAATGAATTCATTGTGTGTTCTCTGTAACTTTGTTTTACAGTGATTATTATGCATCATATTTTTTAGATTGGGCCAATTTTGATGACGTAGCAACGGAATCTGTACCTGTTGCTATGGATACTTCTTCCTGGAGTCAGACATCTACCTCCGCTGAAGCTTCATCATCGAGCGAAAAATCGGAGAAGTGGGCGGACTTCAGCAACAAGTTTCCTAGGGAGGAGACCAGGGATAATTGGGCAGATTTTAGCAATATTAGAGATTTGTCTGCGTAAGTATTTTGCAGTAATGATGCAAGATTAAAATCTGGAAATCAAGAGAAAACGCTTAAATTTTATTTGAAGAAATTACTGCAATTCATTGATTTACAATAACAAGATAATGTAGAAAATAAATGACACTTATGAGTACTCAAATAACCTTGCAAAAAGTTTTATGTAAGCTGTACTTGGTATTGTTTAACATTTTTACAAATGATATTACATACAAATATTAGAGTTAGGACATATGTACTTACAGTACTGATCCTGGACCCAGAAGTAGCTCTCCTGTGGCCATGGATACCAATGAAGTCAATTCTAGGCCTGCTGCTTACTGTGAGTCTGATGATAGAATTGAAAATAAACTTCTTATGCATTGTGTTAAAAATAAAATTACATGTATATGGATTTCTTCTTGGATTTGTGCATCCTGGAGAGGCATTGCCTTAAAAGGCAGATTGAAAAAAACCAAAATAACAGTGTTTGCAATTTAATATGTACTGCACTATGGTATCTGCTGTGTAAAAAAAAGTATTTTAAAACAGTAGGAATGTGTTCAAGGTACTTGTAATTCTATATATTCAGTAGCACGTAGTGCACCAGCAGATCTGGCGGTGGAGTTGAATAGTGAGGAGCTGAGGACCGAGGACCTGACAGAGAAGGACAGTATGGTCCAGGAGGAGGAGGTGTCCTCTACATCAGATGATGCAACCCTACCACCACAAACTCCTAGGTTATCAAACTCCTCACCAAAACAACAGGCTAGGTTAGTGAACTCCTCACCAAAACAACAGGCTAGGTTATCAAACTCCTCACCAAAACAACAGGCTAGGTTATCAAACTCCTCACCAAAACAACAGGCTAGGTTAGTGAACTCCTCACCAAAACAACAGGCTAGGTTATCAAACTCCTCACCAAAACAACAGGCTAGGTTAGTGAACTGGTCATCTAACCAGTACTGACAAAATTTCTGACATACAGGCCCTTAGTTGATATTTTGTGATATCATTGTTTTGTCAGTATACTTTCATGAATTAACAAACTGTATTATAAACTTAGTGTGTTTTTTTTATATATGCCCATATATGATGGGACATACTATGGTATTGTGATCATGTCCATGTCTCTCAATATGTCTGTTAGCTTTTTTCTTGTGTGGCTCATAACAGGTCTAGAATAATAAAATTTTGTCAGCTGATGCATCTAGGATAGAAGGTTTATCTCCTTTTAAAATTAGGTCACTGTGTCCTCTAATTAAGTTGACATGGCTAAATAACTGGATAATCATTTGGCCTAGAATCTTCAAACTTTGATGGTTAATGCATTTTAGGTACGTAGAAGGTGTGCTTCACCCTAAATTAAGGTTGCTGTGACCTTTACGTTGATATTTTAAAAAAAGTAGGTTTCAAGGGAGCTAATCTGGAGCATATCCTTACAAATGTAAGATTTATGCAGTAACCTTGTACAAAAAAAGTTACATCAAGAAATGCACATTTTTTCTTGATATATTTATACATGCAGCTGTATATATTTTTTAAAGATAATTTACTTGTTTCTATCAATAATGACATAAATATACAATAAATACATGTATTCAAGACTTAACTACATTATCACACAACAGATTAAAAGTAATTTACATTTTTCCCATCAGAGTAATGATCTATGCCAGTTTGTGAGTTTGTTCAAGTTCAATTGAACATTCAAGGGCATTTTAAATTTTGAAGAGCCAAACTGCATCTTCATGTTAAAGATTTATTAATGATTTTAATGTAAGAAGTCTGTCCTGATTCATTTCTCTAGGAGCATCTCTGATCAAGCAGGATTTATTTGTATCTCTTGGGAATAGGGTAGAGGAATTAAAGATCTGACCCCTTAGTTATTGATAGCATCTGTCCAAGTACATAGTTCTTGATGGCCAGCCTTTTGTTTTCAAAATAAATCCTATATTGTATAGTACATGCATCTTACTAAGATGACAGATAGAGAAGTTTTGTGAGTGTAATCATGAACTTTGATGTTTTAATAGGCAGTGGCATTGTTCATCCTTCATAAGCAGTACAATGAACGAAGCTGCAGACTGGGCATTTGTTTCACATCCAGTAGAGCTATATATGATGTACTATTTGTTCTAATCACTAATTACAGTATAGGTGCACATCAAACATTAGGAATAGAGAAATCATTTCAATTTTTACCAAGGTTGTCATGGATTTGGTTCATACTTCTGTTTATGATACACAATATCTGACTTGCTTATCATGCGCCGGTGCAGTGCACTTCATAGTAAATGTACTGATATTGCACTGGAACACACTACTGTGGAATCATCATTGTTCGTGAGGGATCAAAGTTTGTGGATTTCATGGGTCTTCCTTACCCACAATTTTACATTCCCACAAACATTTATTTTGTAAACATATTGATTCATCGAATCTACTGTATAAATGAGTAACCCATGAAATTACGTCCCCACAAACAAGTCAGATTTTGCCTGCCTACAAACATTGACCCCCCCCCCCCCCCCCCCCCCCCCCGAATTAAAATTATTCCACAGTGTGTGACATCATACTGTAGTAATGACTGCTGTTCTCTAAGTAAACAATCAGATTGAGTATCTGTGTTCAATATTTACAGTTCAGTGGAGCCTGAAGAACCCTCATCTTCCACCCCAGCAATTCCTGCCACACCCCCAGTTGTTTCCTCCCCCTCATCTCAGTACACACCTCCAACGAGGCCCTCAGGATCAGAAGATGAGGGGAGTTCGGTGGATGCTGCCCCTTCCTCCTCTGTTGACAGGGCACCTGCTTCAGCACCTGAAGTCTCCTGCTCATCATCAGACAGCTCTGTGGATGGACAGGAAGACAGGTAATCAATTAAACAACTGGTTTCATTATAGCTACATGTTTTTCACTGTATTGCTTCGAAGACTTTTTTGCAGGACAAGGTTCTTTGTTTAGCAGTTTAAAAAAGTGATTCATTAACAAGCTGTTATATTTGTACAGTTGATATGTTTTACTAACAAATCTGAAAAGTAGAAGTGTTAGATTCAGTGCATTTTCTTTTTTGAATTGTTTATTGTTCTGATTTGTATTAATTAGGATTGAAGACTCCCTCAGTGCAAACTTTGAGTGAGTTACCATGTTGTGCAATGGGCCGTGTGGTACCTTGCTATATATCTATATGCTGATATTTTTTTAAATACTGGAATTCTTGATCATAGAGGGATTGGTATAATACTGCTATGGAGGTATAATGCACCTTAAAAAAAAAGATGGAAAGTATGATACTAGTATAAATACTGTATAATAAGCTTTTGGTATTGAATTTTTGACAGTAATATTATCAGAGGAAAAATAAAAGCCCCTTTGAGGATCAAAATTTATCAAAAGCTACCCAGACATTAATCTGTGCTGAGATTCGGATTGGCTGGATATGTGGACTGACACCCTCACTGAATCTCTACTCAGTCCATAATTCATTGGAAACTGTGTACTAGAAATGAAAAGTTTCTATAGTATGTTTTTCAAGTAAATTCTCTGCTATACATGTATGTCTATATACAATATTACACACATCTAATTTAAAAACAAACAAACTTTAGGAACTCTTTAAAATCAAGAGATAAAAAAAATACATCATGGAATTCAATCATTTGAACAGAAACTAAGTGCTTGTTTTAATTTTGGGATTAACATACCTAATCTGTAAGCAATGAAGTATTGAGAGCAATAGAGAGTTACCAGGTATTTTTACATTCAAATGACATCTTCTGAAGCAATCAGCAGTGTCACCTAGGTACACAATAATAGCTAGAACTGGCCAAAATTTTTGAGATCTGAATTATGAACGACTATCCCGAGATTTGGTAAAGGTCCGTCCTGATTTCCTACCAAGTCGAATCTCATCTGAGATTACCCAGGATGAGGATAAAAATAAACGGGACATTTAACAAAAGTGTATTAATGTACTTTCGTCTAAAGAAGATGTGGCTGTGTGTTATTCCTCCTTGATGCATAATACAAGCACATAATTTTTTTATCTTCAAGAATTCCTATATTGCCCTAGAACTTAACATGAGATGAATTGAGCTTTAGATTTAAGAATCTTTATAATCTTGACTTTCAAAGGAATGAATATAGTACACTGCAACGCCTAATGTCTGAGAGGCTCCCATTATGTATTTTTAAAGCAGTTGTTCCATGAATAATATGCATTTCATATTTTAAAATATGTTCAGTTCTGGGGCATTTTATTGTGTATACATTTTCATAGCTTTATTAGGTATGCCAAGCTTAACAGACGATGCTTGTTTTCTCCCATACTCTCTGTTTAGAATAACTTGGTCAATTAAAAGCATTGCTTAGATACATTATTATCTGTAAAGCAGATTTTCTTTCTTTTGCAATGTTTGATTCCAGATTTGAAAGTAACATTATAACTTCTTTCAGATTATTTTAAAAAAAGCAATTAAAAGAGCTGCTATTTGCTCTAAATCAGCTGTTAAACAAGGCATTTTTCCACTTTCCTGGTGTATTGTAGAGGTTAATGTGATATTAGAAAAGAATAATGTGTTTTCCTCATTTGTTGTTATAGCTGTTTACCAAACACCCTTGACATGAAGTACATGTATTACAATTAAACATACTACATTGCTGCTATACTATTGTAATATCTACACATATTGTTAAACCATATATACATGTATACCTAGATCATAATGGTTCTCAATGAGAAGCATTTTTATCTAATTATAATGTTCATATGATACCTGGCAGTGCAATATGAAAAAATACTTCAGATTTTATGTATGTTTCCAGATAGATATACATGTTATGAATTTTATAATGTCCTTTCAGTAGAGCTTGACAATCATGATAACCATGTGAATTCATCACATTGTAGTTTCCTGACAAATGCTGGACTGATGAAATCACCAGTTCATCTCCAGGGATCTGGGGACAAGGCCGTGGAGGCTAATGGACCGATCCCAGAATCCTCCAACATCAAAGAGAATCCATCCTCCGAAACATTGTAAGTATGTAAGCTAGTCGGAAAATAACAGGTCGGACCAATGGATCTTTAAAGGCCTTATATATAGGATCTCCCATGATTTGTAGTTGGATATGATTTTTATCCAACGAGTTGTGTGTTTTTTTTATCCCTGAGCCTTGGCGAGGGGATAAAAACACACAATGTGTTGGATAAAAATCATATCCAACTACAAATCATGGAAGATTCTTTTTATCCCATGTTTAATACTTCACAACCAATGTTTTACACTGTTTTATATAGGACTCCACTTTATTTTACTTCATCACTCTAACGCAAAAATAACTAGTATTAATTGTAACGGGGACCGTTACAGATGTTCCCCAAACGCTCCCCAACTTCCTTTTGGTGTCTTATTCCCTGTAAGCTTCATTAAATAAGGCAATCAAGTATATTGGGTTTTTTTTTTACGCATTACACGCGCTCGCACAGGCATGCATGTACAAAATGACCATGTCAACTTGTCTACACTTTTAATACATCTTATATTCAAATTTCATTAAAAGATAAAAAAAATTCGGCTATATTAAGTATATCTGTCATTTTTCGCATTGCACGTGCGCGCACGTGCATGCATGTCCATGATGACCGTGTCATCTTGTCAACACTATTAATATATCTACATATTTTGGGTATCAAATCATTTCATCAAAAAGTATAAAAGTTACAGCTATATCAAGTATATTGGTAATTTTAGCATTGCATGCGCGCGCACGTGCATGCATACGCATGTTGACAATGTCATCTTGTCTACATTTATAATCTGTCTATATATTCTGAGTATCAAAGCATTACATCAAAAAATGTAAAAGTTATGGCTATATCAAATATATTGGCCATTTTACTCATTGCACGCGCACGCACGTGCATGCAAATGCATGCATGTGCGCGCTGATCATGTCATCTTGTCTACACTTCTAATATATATTTATATTCTGAGTTTCAAAGCAATTCATCAAAAAATGTACAAGTTAAGTCTATATCAATTGTATTAGTTTTTTCAATCAATGCGCATGCGTGCACGTGCATGCATGTGCATTCTGACCATGTCATCTTGTCTACACTATTAATATATCCTTATATTCTGAGTATCAAAGTATTTCATCAAAAGATATGAAAGTTATAGCTATATCAATTATATTGGTCATTTTACTCATTGCACGCGCACGCACGTGCATGCACGTGCGCGCAAAATGACCTTCGTTCCGCAAATCTACATAACATTCCTATTAACCCTAAAAAGGTTTCAACTCAATCGGATGTATAGTTTCGGAGATCACTCAAGGACAAAAAAGTACCCAGGAAGAAAAATAATAATAACTAGACTCTTGTTGCCATGGCAACAAAAAAGTCTTCCGTTCTTCTAAATCTGTAAGAATTTGCTTTTTTCTGTGTAAAAAACATACATATCATATTTACTGTGAAAGAAAAAAATAACGGGAAAAAAGTCCTTTCAGTACTTAAGGTACTTTGATTTTCATTATCAATCTTGTATAATACATTTGGCACCTATAAGAGATATACGTATATCATTAGCAATTTAAAAAAAAATGTTTCCAATCATTTCTAAGACAAACAAACAGACGAACGAACACCGTACTATCATAAACTTCACTGTGTGTATGTTTTGGCATAATTGTGATGGTGTTATAAAAAAATATAATGAATTAATTTAGTATCACATTAAACGTAAAGTCACTGAGTTTTGTAAAGTTATAATATCAAGATTTGACAACATACCTATAAGACAAATTAATCAATTACAGTAATTCTTCAGCAATCGATTGATTGATTGATTGATTGATTATACGTTTGTTGTTTAACGTCCCTCTCCAGAATTTTTCACTCACATGGAGACGCCACCACTCGCCGGTGGAGACTGTAAATTTTTGTCCTATACTTTGGCATTTATCGCAATTGAGCAGTGGGGAATCTTTTTTATGCCAGCATCTTCTGCGACAAGGGACCTCGATTTATACGATCTCATCCAAAGGACCGGTCTCCACGTCCCACAGTCGAAGTTCATAATACCGAGATATTTTATTTTTTATTTTATTCTATTTTTTTCACAAGTTTGTTGCAGCAGATTTACTTAAAGATCATACTTTAAGATCATTTCGAACTCAGGCTACTTAATTGCAGTGCATACAGCGTCAAGTGATTTTGATTGACAGGTCAACACACGTGCACTTCGTGTGATACTTTTTAAGCTGAAAAATATACAGGATGTGACCATGACTGACTATGAAATCAGAAAACATCTAATAAAGAATGGGTGTGACCGATAAAGAACTAATTTTTGGTCTGGATCGGGATTAAGAGGGAATCTCTCCTCTCTCTCTCTCTCTCTCAGACATGTAAATTGAACATTTCATAATTATAAAATATGAAATTCTGTATACATGTAAATGGTAATGTTATTCACATGTTCCAGATTTAAATCTAAAACGAATATATAATTCAGATTCAAGACGGGGGGGGGGGGGGGGGGCTTCAAAGGAATTAGATAATTTTATGAATTACAAGGAAAAGTACGGACGTCAGTTGCATGTACATGATTATATATCATTGCATAAAATTGTGTTCATTCAGATATACTTATCCCACATATCAACAGACTTGTACAATTTTTTTATCATGTTTTTTTTTTTTCAAAAGAAACATATAGCGTACCATTATTTCACACACTCTTTAACTCTTTGAGTATTTCACAAGAATCCAAGAGTCGCCTTTTCACATCTTTTATAATTCCTTGGGTATATAGAGTGTAGATCATGTGTCATAAATAATTTAACCTTTTATCAAATATACATGTAATAACCAAATCTAATCTATAGATTGATTTTCTTTCTTTTCAGTGGCAGATATCAATTTATTTATAAAGGCTTTAAAACAGTACTGTATTACAATTTTCTATTGCTTAATTCCTTTTTTGAGTGTATGTAATATTTTTTAATATCGAAAGTAAAACTCGGAAATCGGGATAATTTCGCATTCAGATCATAGAGAATAATAAATCGTCTGCATTATAGAAGGCTTATAACTATCGTATTCTGAACTTAATATACGAAATAGATAAAACTGCATGCCTGTCCATCACTATAAATGTATATTCAGTGCTTATAATATATTTACTTGAATTAGCTACCTAGCATATATATATATATTAATTTTTTTTAGATATATTCATGTGTAAATTAACTAACTGTCAATACAGACTTACACTACACTGGCAACTTCAAACTTTACATGCACTGGAAGCGGTAACCAACGTCCTCTTAAATTTTGAAGAGTGAATATAGAACGTCTAAATATTTTGATATGGAGAGTGTATATGTCTCTAACGTCATCGATACTATTTCCGCCTTTATCTCGAAAGTTCTATTCTCACTTACAAGTCAGAGTTATCTTTCTTTGCCCATTGTCTACACACTAGGTAAATAGGGAAAATGAGGGTACCGAAAATCTGCAAAATGTGGAATCTGATTTCAAAACAAATTATATATTTAGAATTTGTAGAATAACCTCTGTTATACATAATAATATCTTGAAAAAATATTAAAAAACAAAAAAGTTGAAAATTGACCAAACACAAGTTCACTTCCGGTTCGGACAGGAAGTACCGGAAACACACGAAAACAACTTTGAAACAAAGAGAATGTCATGATCTAATACCCCTGTAAATTTCACATCTTTACCTCAAACCGTTTCCGAGAAAAATTCCGGACAAAAGTCCATTTAAAAATTGGAAATTCGGCCGTAACTTCGGACCGGAAGTGAATTTTTCAAAAAACGGAATTTTATATAAACTTCATATATCAGCCTACTATCATGTGAAAAATTGTGAAAATCTATCCAACCATCTCTGAGTAATCGCGCTCACAAAATTTGGGAGGAATAATAATAATAATAATAATAATAAAAAGAAACAATACAATCACTATAAGTCTTCCGTTGTGAACGGAAGACTTAATAATAATAATAAGAAACAGAGTAAAAACAATATGTTCCCAAACTTCGTTTGGGGAATATAATTGTGACGTCACAACTGCACTTACATGTAAGTGTGTGTTATGAAAAAAATATCCAATGAGTCATATCCACAGGATAAAGGGGTAAACATGGGATAAAATGTATTATGTTAAACAATGGAATTGTGGGGAAGTATAACTTTTATGACGTTTGTTTGCTTGATTTTGTATTCATCAAGAAATGAAACCAATCCTATGTAATACTGTTTAATTTTCCTTCAAGAAAATTTTGGACTATATTCTTTGATTGTGTGTTAGAGGTTTTGATGAAAAATGCAAACAATTTCCGAAATGCTGATTGTTCCATTTTCTAGAAAAATCAGTCTTGCATACTCCTGATTTTGCTAATGCAATATAATGATATTAATAGTAATAAGTTACTGTCTACTGTTGGTAGTGACTTTGAAGTTAAAATATTTATCATGAGGTTATCATTTTCTAGCATTATGATATATATAGTCTTAACATTTTTCTGGAGAAGTTCATGATGTTTCTTTTGAAGTTTCTTTGACTTTTTTTTTGGAGTGAAAAGTGCAATTGAAAGTGAAGCGTATTCTACATGACTTGATTTTTTTTTCATTATAGAGCTCAAGCCAAAGACTCACCAGAAAAAAGTGACACTGTTTTAAGTTCATCATCACCAACCCTACAGAATGGACCCGTTTGATCTGCAGATGTTCTGTTAGAGTTGGTTTTTATTATATATGTATATGGTGTGATCAAGTCTGTCTGGCAGTGTACAGCCTTATACTACACGGCCTGTGATTGGATGTGAAAGATACTACATGGCCTCTGTAATGATGTGAATGCTTGTGGCAGAGAACTTTTATAGAGCATGTGGGGGAAGAAAGTGAAGCATTTTACAATAAATTCTATGGGACACAAACAGTATTTTTGCTGATGAGAAGTTATTCTTTGTCAACTTAAATTTTATTGAGAAGATATTTGAGGCCAACATTTTTTTTTTTTGTTTAGGATGTATAGATGTAAGAAAGAAATCAAATGAATTATTTTGCAGTGTTGCAGCTGACAATACTGGTTGTAAATAAAGTTTTTGTAAAGATTATATTCCTGTGTAGATAGTCTCTGCCAAAAGTCTGCCATTGACTTGTGTAATAACCTGTGATGTATCAAGCTACTGGTCCCTTTATCTTCTGTGATACCGTACCTGGTCTCTGACGGGGGGCCCAGTTAGTAACTGTTACTGCATTCCTCATTACCCATATCTATCATCCAAATGAAACTTACTTTATAAGAAAAATTGTTTAAGAGTATTTTTACAGTTTAATTTTGCCATTATAATATTGTAGGTTTTCTTAAATAATTTATTAATGTATAGGTACTGAAACGTAGTTGTGAAGGTGGTCTGTTATTGTTCTATATTCAATTATTTATTGAAAAAAAAGTGTGATTTTCTTTGAAGGGGGGGGGGGGGGAGGAGGGGGATGCAGCAGCCCTGCTTTCACTAACTGGGTCCCACATTGCCACTATCACTCACCATTGCTATATTCTACAGGTTGGTGCTTGATATATCCACAGTAATTTTTCTGCATATCAAATTGAAAGTCATGCTACATTTCTGGCTTGAATCGTATCAGTTGCTTCATTATTGTACATTTAGTTTGACAATTTGATATGATTTCATTTAAAATACTGTATTTAGATTATACATTCATAAATTTTTCACCCTGTAATGCTTACCTGCAGTACATGAATTTCACTTATAGGTCAATTCAAAGTATTTAAAGAAATTGGGATAATTAAAGAGATGATTTTCCTTGCATGTTAATTGATTAGTGACATCAATACAAGGAACATTTGCATGATACATGAAGGTTCTTCAGAGGGGAAAAAACCTGTGTGTTCATGAGTGATGTAGGGAATTGGACATGTTCATAACTTTTCTACATAGTAAATAAGAGATTAAGCTGACTACATGGTTGCAATTCAGAGAAAAGGCTGAAACTATGTCGCATGCATTTCAAATAATAGGACATTTATGAACATTTGTTATCCCGGAATTTTAAACTGCATATATGGACCAAATAGAATGTGCCATAATTATGGTCTTTTGTTTTTTTTTTTTTGTAGTGCATTGAAATTTGTGTTCAGGAGGCTTTGCACTTGATTTTGTTGAAAAAGATTTGTTACTAATGAATGGAAAGAAAGAATCTGTATTTTAAGTTTGAAGAATTTTTATTTACATCCATGTCATTTTCAAAAATAGATATTTTTATCCGTCTGCACTTGTTACCGGATGAATTGCACACACAGTGGTGTTTGTAAAACACTAAATTGTCAACTATGAAAGGATACCTCAAATGAACAAGAAATTCTTGCGTTCACACTAGAATGTTACACTGTTAAATGGTTGAGTTGGTATCCTTTGTAGTAGTGCTGTACATAACAATCAAATTTCTTTTTACTGTATATATAGATATTTTTGTATGTCATGATGAGTGTTAGTGGCCTCAGAGGGGGTTTATTTATTTGACTTTTAATGGTTCACGACCAGCTCTGGGGGTCAGACAGCTACTGTTTTAATATTACAGGTAGGATATATCATATGCAACTCTAGGCAGTAGTGTTTTTTATACCAGGGGAAACAGTTTTATGTCATTGTCAAATCAAATGTTATTTTGTGCAGATCATAGATTTCCAATGCAGTAACATGTACATAAAACAAAAATATATTAAAACAAACAAAATCTTAATTTCTTTCATGGTTGTATTTTTAGGACATGATGAATAGTTTTGCATTTAAAAAGGTAAGCATTGGAGTTTTTGTGACATGGTTGTTAAGAAGCAGTGTGCGTTAACCAGGAACTTGTCTGGGTTACCGGGAGCCATATTAGGAAACATTGGTGTCTCAGACCTGCCTGCTGTTTATGTCAACAATGTGCCATTTTTTTAGTGTAAAGTTACCTTTGGTATGGAAGTGGTTTATTCAATACAACAAGTTTTTATGTGGAGAGCTTGAAGTCCAAGAGACCCAGAATGCTCTACACATTGTATTACAAAAGAAGTCATTAATGACTAGGTTTCCAATGCAATGTATCTTCACTTGAATTAAACTCATTAACATGTACTTCATTTATAATTACAACATCGAAGAGAATGGGAGTGGATAGGTAGGATAAGGATCTTTTTATACGTGAGGGGTTTCGGTATAGAGTTGGTGGAATATTAAAATGTGATGTTTCTTGAAAATGCAACAGTAAAACATTTCAAAACTTGATTCCAAACTGATAGAATTAGACATTAGCTGTATTAAGATGAATTTATTTCCTGCAGAGTGACACTCTAAAATTATTATGCAAAGATAATTTTAAAATTTAGAATTAAAATAGGTCCTAAAAAGATCAAGATGAAAGTTATGACAATACCAATGATTCTATACATTTACACATAGCCTCGGAAACTGTCTCAGGAAAGATTGCAGTGGCCAAATATATATCATTCAAATACTTTTTGAAGTAAGTAAGGTTTATTTATTGTACCATTTTCCCAAAATTTCCATTATAAGCATCATTGGTACACTTGTAAGACAATGATAATATACCATTTATCATTACATTTTCATTTTTAGCTCTTCTGAGCCAAAGGTTCAAAGAGCTATAATGCCATGGCCATTTGTGCAGTGTGTGTCAACTTTTTTGAAAATGGGCCATATCTCAAGAACCCCTCAGTCAATTTTTTTTTTCAAATTTGTCACAGAGTATCCTTGGCCCAAGGGCTTTTATTTATATACTGTACTAAAACTAGGGATGTGTCCCTTAAACAAAGGGAGATAATTTGGGAAATAAAAACAAAAGTAGTGGTTGCTAAATAATCTCAAGAACCACTGGGCAGATTATCACCAAACTTATATAATGTTGTAGATTAAAATTTCACGGGGAATCACCCTGGGGCAAAGGGCGTGGTCTCAAGGTCACTTCAAAGTTTACCAAAATTGACGTTCTGTTTAATATTTTATATTTTGCCCACTATAAGGCTTAGGATCATCAAATCTTGTCAGTTGATGCATCTTCGGACCTCATATCATGTTGACTCAAAAGTAGGTCATGGTGACCTACTTTTTTAATTTTGCAGGTACATGTATTCATTTTCAATTTAATTTTGATGCATAACTTGGATACTTTGAAACCTATGATCATCAAAACTTGTCAGTTTATGCATCATGGGACCTTGAAGTGTGTCAACCAAAAAGTAGGTCACTATGACCTACTTTCTGAATTTATGGCTTATCATTTTCTAAACATTAAAGGTCATTATTTCAGATACTAAGAGGTTTAGAATCATCAAACCTTGTAAGTTGATGCACCTAGGGGTCTTAAAACAGATTTATCAAAAAGTAGGTCACAGTGACCTACTTTTGAAATTTTACAGGTATTTATTTTCAAATTGTTTAAGGGGCATATTTTGAACACTTTGAAGCATAGGATCATCAACCGTAGTCAGTTGATGCTTCTTGAGTCCTCAGAGTGTGTCAATCAAAAAGTAGGTCATCTTGACCTACTTTTGCAATTTCATGGCTTAATTCAAATATTTTATATACTAATTGGCTTAGAATCATCAAACTTTGTCAGTTGATGCATCTTGAGTCCTCAGAGTGTATCGACCAAAATGTAGGTCATTGTGACCTACTTTTGCAATTTCATGGCTTAATATAAATATTTCAGAAACTAACAGGCTTGGAATTATCAAACTTTGTCAGTTGATGCATCTTTGGTATACCTGGAGTGTGTCAACCAAAAAGTAGGTCACTATGACCTACTTGAGGAATTTGATGGCTATTTCAGATACTTATTTGTTTAGAATCATCAAACTTTGTCGATTGCGTCGATTGTTGCCATGTTGACCTACTTTTGGAATTTGAATTTCAAGGCTTTATCCTTATATATAGGTTACCAAGAGGCTTAAAACAGATGAGATTATAGATTGTACAATTTTCAGAAGAGCGATTCTAGACCCTTGGGCCTCTTGTTTATTTTATTTTGCCCCCCCCCCCCCTTTCAAAATATTTTTAGTGTTTGGATTGGAAAAAAATTATTTCATGGGATGTCCAAACGGGAGGTCAACATTACCGCTACATTGCGAAAAATTTCAACTCATTACCACTACATTTGCTCAAATTTTCGGACGATCATTACCGCTACATTTTATCAAAGGGACTAATACCGAAAACAACTCATTACCGCTACATACCGAATCGGCCAGCAATGGCACGGGATATGAGTTCCACTCAATATAATTCACTCACCATGTAGTGAAGTACAATTTGAAGTTGATGACAAATCGCGGCAATGCAGGATTAGTTATCAATGGATATAAATTTTGTTTAAACAAGATCCTCCCGGGTCGAAAGGAGAATAACAACACAACGCAAAAAAAAAAAAAAAAGAAAGAAAAGAAAAAGAAAGAAAAAAGAACTGAAAACAAAATATGACATTCATCTGACGCTAAATCGACTACAGACTTATATATATACTCATTTGATTAGAATGTACTTCACTACATGGTTCTACTTTCACCTCCCCGTGGTGAGCAGGGGAAACAGGTCTTATGCATGTATATGTATGTTGTGCTGTACACAATGTATCAAGGACAGGCCGCTTTCCTACTTATATATGACTTTAAATATATTTTTTTTTAATTTACTCGAACACTAATATCTCTAATACCATGGATATGTGTAAGTGATTTGGAAGTCCCAACTACTTATTCCTTAAGTATTTTACCCGCGATATCTCAAATCCTTGGATACCTCGAAGTTTTTTCTCGGTCCCATCGAGTTCGAGATAACGAGGTTTGACTGTAATTCAATTCATTGACAAAAAACAAATGTGGTGCAAGTCATACAGGCAGTATACAAATATAGTCACATACGAGGGTTGTTCGGGAAGTTCGTAGACTAGCGCCATAAAATTAAAACCGCTTGTAAACGATACATCAATGAATTTTTTAACGTTTTATTAGCATCATCTTTTTTATTTATATAATAAACTATACATCATTAGTTTTATTTTTCAATAAAATGTTGATGTTTTTGAAAGCAATAGTATGTCCAGGCGGCGTAACTTCGAAGATTACGTTTTTTCTTCCTAAGTGTAACTGGGAAAAAATTCTTTTCTTTGATATGAGCATTTGTCATTCAAAAATCCCGTTAATTCAGTCATGTGGTATGACACATTTGCACCGTAAAATTTGCAATTTTTACCCCATTCTGTAAGTTGCTTGAAATTTTATCGTAAATTTTATATGAAATGTCCAAACAATTATGGGGTTGTAATGACGTCAGAAAGGGGTGGGTGGGTTTCTTTTTCCAACATTCTATAAAGTTTCACCCTCTGGAAAAACTGGCATAGACCTAGGGAATATTCAAATGGGCTTTTGAAAAATAAAATGCATTCAGAGACTTGTTTTTAAACGCCGAAAAAGAATAGAGAGACGGGAGATGTAAAAGTTAATGTCGATATGTAGTAAGGGTGTTCAAAATTTGTCACGTCGAAAAGTGACGTTGATCGTGTGTGATAGATGTTGAACTCCGACAAGCAAATATGCTGTTATAATCAAGTGAGCATCTTTCAGATCTATTTACAATATTATATGCATTGTAATCAGCTGTTTATGACATTGTAAAATCATATAAACAAGACGGGTTTAAATCTTTACTTAATCCCAAGGAAACTCATCAAGATAAGTGTATGAGGTAGAGAATGCGGACATTGAAAAACAATGAAGTCATGAAACTAAATGGCGACAGCGCCGGGTGATCATATAATGTCTTTTTTATTTTATGATAATTTGGTAAATATTCAAGGTATCAAGCTAAAATTTTCAGCATTTCTTTAACTTTTGTTGTTTTATGTTCATATAAAATTTTGTAAGCATAGACTACATATAGTATCAATTTTATCGCGTCAGTCCATGAACTTTTCGAACAACCCTCGTAGATTTTCTTATGTAAATGCATCACGTATGAAGTTACAAATATTTCCTGTTCATTTAACAGATTAAGAATTTCATAAGATATACATTTATTGTTAAAAAGTGTGCAATATTCACTTCTTAGTTGTTTATAAAGAGGACATACAAATAAAAAAAATGATGTACATCTTCAACAACAGTATGGCAGTAATACAGTATATCTCTCATCTCTTGGTACAATTGGATTACAATATCTGCCAACCTCTATCTGTAATTTGTGGGCACTTATTCTTAACCGAGTCAAAAAAGAACGAAGCTTCTTGGGAATGGAAAAAATTAAGTATATGGTTGAATTTCAAGCTTGTTTAGATTTTTGGACTTGTATTAAAACTGGCTGTAGAATGACACTTTTCCATTACCTTTTTCTTTGATATATCTAATGTCCCTGAAAATACAGGCACCTGGCGTTACTTACTTTTCTTTTAATAAAAAAAAAATATACCCCCTACCTAATAATTCACGGTAGGGGATATATTTCTTTTATTAAAAGAAAAGTAAGTAATCAGGTGCCTGTGCCTGAAAACTTTTTTCAAATTATTTTCAAAATCATTTATAGGTAATTATAATATATTAGCATTTAAACCAATAACTTCATCAAGTATATTCTTCGTATACAGTTTTGCCAACAAGTTTTTCCATTTCCTGCAAGTTTTTCATCCTCTAAATATGCATGTTGTAAAAGCCAACTTGACTTGAAACAATTTTCTGTAACCTGTAATATTAATAATATATCTAAATGATAATTTATATATTCTGAAAATAATGAGAAGTGCACCAAACTCTACTCTCACTTATTACTTATCCAAATTTCCGAAGCACAAGTCAAAATGGGCATAATGCATGATTCATTTTTAAATTGAACCTTTTGAACGTATCAATTTTAGAAAACAGGTCCCCGTTAAAGTCGTTTCAAGACTAAGGCCGGTTGCTGGATCCGCCTATGAACTATGCGCCATCACTAGAATATAGCAACACCATGGAAATAATGATGAAATTAATTTTGTTGCATTTAGAGAAAAATGTTATATTTAATCAGAATATTGCGCCCGTATAGATCGATCTCATAACATTTGGCATGGTAGTTATCCGGAAAATTTTCCAAGACCGCTTTACTTGTACAAAGACATTGTTTTTCAAATATGGCGGACGACGAACACGATGTAGACAAGTAAGGGCTATTTTTACGCAATTTCATACTTTTGAAAGAAAAATGTGTATACTAATTGATGTAACTATTCTTTAAATTGTTATTTCCTTTTGATTGAAAATAATTGTGGATGTAAGAATTAATCAGGTTAATGTTTTTATAACTCATGATTGCCAACTGCACAGACGCAATGCATTCAATCCCTTTCTTTCAGCTTTGACGATGATATTGATGACGATGACGAACCTTTGGACGAAGCTGTAGAAACACAAGAGGTATTTGTATTATTATTTAGTTTTATTATTCAGAACGGTGCCTTTGTTTACCAAAATAGCCGAAAATTTTATCTGTAAGTGTAAGTCATTAAAATAAGGTTTGGGCCTGGGAAGCTCAGTCGGTAGAGCACCTGACTAGTGATGCAGGGGCCCAGAGTTAGATTCCTGGTCCAGCCATAAATTTTCTCCTTTCCTGTTACAGACAACCTCTGGACTTGCAGGTGAAAGTCCTTCCAGAGGCAAATAAGAACTTTGGTTGTGTCTTCGAGGGCGAAGACAATTTAAGGAGGGAGGAATATAATGATTTTGGCCGTGGATATCAGCCTGGGTAGTATTCTCCATTCCTGTTGCAAAATAAATGTGAAAAACCTGGCTTAACAAAATTTGCAGACTGAGAATTTGGGATTATTAATAATTCACTTTCACTTTCCAGACTTGGTAATTTCGATTCTTGTGGTCAAACATTCATTATAGCAATTTAATAAATTATATTCTATTTTGGTCAATAAAAAGTCAGGGGTCAGACTGAATTCTGTCATTCTGAAAAACATAAAATTAAATTTTTGTTATGCCTAAAACCTGTCATTTATAGGAATTTTCAAAAAGATGAAAAACAGTCATAAAAATTTGGAGTGTTTCTAGAATACTGAGATTTACCCCTCTCTAAAAAATGTAAGATCCACCAACAGAAAAAAGGACAAAAAACTTCCATTTCTCAAATATAGTTGACTACAATCAGGGTTGCAAATAACACTTAAAACCTTAAGGGCCATGTGGGCCCCCAACTTCACAAGTTTTACTAGCCCACATTGATATTTTGGGGCCGACAATTTTCTGTTTACTTAGTTTAAAAAAAATTCTTTAATCTTTTCTTATAATCTCAGAGAAAAATACTTTGCTGTCTACAGTCTTTCAATTCAATTTTTCTTGCAGGTGTCAGCACCACTTGTATGAAATTTCATGTTTTCTTTCACTTCAAGACATGGATTTTGAATTATTTCTTCTTTTTACTTTCACTTGTTTTACTAGTGTACTACTTTTTTATGGTTTAAACTTTTTGTCAAGACATTTCCCTACATGCATGCTTTTGCCAGATGGTGTACTTTACATTATTATTGGGATAAAAGCCATGTAAAAGTGACAAGTTAGTAATTAGTTTACCAAAAATTACCGATAAAATAACAACTTTCACCTTCAATGTTGATGTTCAGATACATGTGGTTGGCATTTATTAGTGAGCCAGATAAAATGAAACTCATGTAAACACTCTTCTTTTGGTGGTAAATTCAGAACTCTCTTTTATATATAAACAGGATAGAAGAATTAAACTGAAAAGAAAAATATGACAATAGTAAGCCATATTGACAAAAATAACGAAAATACGTAATTAATAAACATGGTATACATGAAGATGATCCATCATTTTTTATAATAGAGGATTTCAGTCTCTTCCTTGACTGATAAAGTATGGATTGTTCTGAAAATGTGGGAATTTCACAAGTGATCATTAATGGAAAGGGAAGAGGGAGGGAGTTGATGTTCCTTTGTACAGAGTAAATACTTTTTGTTTCAAGGATGGTGACCCAATAGACATCCTCCCAGCTGATCAAGCTAGCCAGCCTGTGGAGCCACAAAAACGAATCACAACTCCATATATGACAAAGTATGAACGAGCCAGAGTCCTGGGGACAAGAGCCTTACAGATTGCGTGAGTGTTGCAGATTTATTGAATTGAATTATGGAATTTTGATAACCTGCCTTTTCTCATAATTTTTCTGTTATTTTTATGATTTTTGAACCCCTTAATACACTCTATGATTTAAATGCTGAATCTTCAGATTTCCAGATTCTCACATTTTCAGTTTTAAAATCATTACTATGTAAATAGAGCAGACACTTGAGTGATAGAAAATCGTCACACAAATAATCATACATACTGCAATAGACAGCCAAGAAAGTTATGGAAATATTTTTTGAAAGCCTGTTTCTTGTACAATTGTTCAGTGTCACCATGTCTGTGTTAGTATTCTATTCTGGTCTGTTTTCTGAGAGTACAATAATGAAGTCAAATCTTACAGACAAATAGGTAGAAAACTACTTATAACATTCATTTGGGGTAGGTAGATCTATAAAAGGGTATTAATCAAAAAATTCATAAAAATCATATGAATGACATATGTTATAAAAGACATAATTAGTATTGGAAATCAGATTTTTTATGCAAAGATTGTAATTTTATTATAATTTGGAATAGGATGTGTGCACCAGTAATGGTGGAATTGGAAGGAGAAACTGATCCTCTACTTATTGCAATGAAGGAACTCAAGTATGTTGCTAAGGTTTCTCTCTGTCAGTTCTTTAGGCCCTATTGTACAGATATATATAAAAAATAAATATAAATTCTGTCATGGAAATTTAAGACAAGTTTATCTTGTATATAATTATTTTAAAGTGGAATATTGTAAAATACCATAAATATTTTAGCCAAATTTCCTTCATCGTTGGAAACCCACGGTCGGTCTCGCTTCTCTTACCTCAAGGTAAACGTGGGTTTCCGATGATGGTTTTCCTTAGTTTCTGGAAAAACCATGAGGCACTTATGGTTCAGTGTATATAATGTAATGATTGAAATAATATTTGTAATAATACATACAAAAACTCACACCTTCAATTTATCTGATTTATTCAGAGCCAGGAAGATTCCGATCATTATTCGCCGTTACCTCCCTGACGGAAGTTTTGAAGACTGGGGAATAGATGAGCTCTTGATGACCGAGTGACAGTGGTTGTGTAATAGATTGACTGTATATTGTGTGTTTCTGAGAGAATGGATGTATGAAAGAAGTATTTTTTTTTTTATCATTTCATCATTTCATTTTTAATAAAGAAATCATCCCATTGATTCAGTGTAATTATTGATGAACTGGAAGGTACATGTTTGCATGTCCACAGAACTTGTTTGTAATTGTAAACCAAAATCTTTATGACAATGAATTGTTAGGATTGATGATTCATTGGACAGACCAAGTATCTATTATTGGCAATACTGGCCAACATTGATACACAGTTGGTACTTGTGTGATCAGCATTGTAGTTACCAGCTCACTGGTGCTGAAAAGATTTTTTTTATTAGCATGTGTACATGTTGAATGCTTCATAGATACTATAACACTTTATACCCTCCCCCCCCCCCCCCCCCCCCACCTCCAGCTTTCTTCCTTCTCAACAGACTAACTGCCGGACAACCAAAAAGATCAGAGGTCATATGTGATAAGGAGAGTGTAACCCCAGTGTAATGTTAACTGGTACATGTATGTTGTTGACAAAGCAATGGCAAATGTAACTTTTAATACTCTGGAGTCGTTAGATTTTTTGGTGGCTCCATATTCCTGGAACTTGTGGGTTTGTGGGTGCCTCTTACCCACGAATTAACATTCTCCATGAATAAATAATCAAAATAATTTAGTAGTACACTGTGGAATCATTAAAATCTGTGGGGGCCAATTTTCATGGATGGGTAAAATTTTTCAGGTTCATGAGGATGTAAATTCATGTACTCGCTCATATCTACAAAAGGAATGATGACTGAAATAGTAAACAAAACAATGTTTGTCTTAATTTTGGGGTTTATTACACAAAATTTGTTTTTAATACTTCACATATTTTGAAACAGCTCATTCATTTACATACACATATAATCTTGTATACATCATACATATATAACACACCACTCTTTACTTCTGTCATGAATTAAACTCAAGCACAAATAATTTAATTTGCAGTGCACAAAATTCCCAGAACAGGTCTACTGGACTTTTCTTTCATTACTTACATGTATTAAATGAAGGTAGAAAAAATTACGATTTTTTTTTTTTAAAACAAAAAGGTCTTTGTCCAATTATTCTGATTGATATACTTTAATAGTACATATATTGTATACATTAAAACACATATCTTTCCAAACGATAAAGAGACCAAAAATCACTGTTCAAATATTCACTTTAAGCATGAATAATGTAAATTACATTTTGTATTTTTTGTACTGGGTAATTTTTGCTCCCATTTTGTATCATTAATGAATTATCCTCCTAAATTATGAGCAGAGCTAATTAAGCAATAGTCTTATATTAATGGGGCAAAACAAATTTAATAAATGGATAACTTTTAATACAAATTAAAATTGCCACTAGGTATAAGGTAAAAACCTACAGCAGGGTTTTGCAGGGGTACGTTCAAAGATAAAAACCATCTGTCAGAGGTAGAGAGTAAACAGAGTGAAATGGATGATAACACATTAACAGCTGAGTGTGTAGTGGGGTTTACAATCAAATGAATATTTATGTATTTGTTCATTAATATTAACTTCATCATGAAAACAGGTAATCAAAGATTACAAAGCTCACCTCGATGAATATTATCAATGAGTTAAACTGAGTCTCGCATAACAATGTTCTGGTAATGTGCAACCATAGATACAATATCTACACAAGTTTGGTCCAAGTAGGATCTATAGATACTTGAAATTGAATCTGCTCCAAAAACTTTAACTGTACAATAATCCTGTAAATGTAGGTCAGATCCAGCTTCCAATGTTATCTGGTAGTGCACATCACAAGAAACTGATATGATCAATTCAGACAAGTTCAGTCACAATTGGGCTTATAGTTACTTGGGTATGAACCAGACCTAAAACTTTAACCTGTTCATTCATCTGGAAAATGTAGGTCAGATCCAACATCCAAAGGATGTCTGTAGTGTGCATCCCTAGACGCATCATCCATGCAAGTTTGGTCCAGGTAGGGCTTATAGTTACATGGGAATGGACCTGCTTCAAAAACTTGAACCTGGTCTCTCATCCAAAAAAATGTAGGTCAAATCCAGCATCCAAAGCATTTCTGGTAGTGTGCATCCCTAGATGCATCATCCTTGCAAGTTTGGTCTAAGTAGGGCTTGAAGTTAATGAGGAACAAACTTTGCTCCTAAAACTTTAACCGGGATGCAAACACAGGGGGTGTAGCATCAAATAAGGTGAGCTAAAAATCTCTGAAAGGTGGATATCTTACAAGCTAACAAGATCAAATGAATCCTTTATCACTTAGAGGACTTAACAGATCACCATCAATATCACACTAATAAGTGGAATATTTACGATCTGCATTTTTTTAAATCATGGTACACATACAAGTAATGCCAAATATAACATAACTTTTAGGGAATCAGTCATGTAAATCATTTGAACAACTGCAATTTGGCCATTACTTGGCTTAGGAAGAGAAAATTTTCAGTTCTTAAACTGAATAGCAAAGCTAGTACATCTGAATATTCATTATTGTTAAATATTTATAACAAAATAGACACACGATTGTTTACGATCGATAGTTATCAAACAAATACATGTTCATTAACCAGAAGACTTACTGTACATTCAGATGATTCACACAAATTGATATTGATAAAAAAAAAGGATTGATGGAAAAAAATCATGCCATCAGTGTACCTGTGAAAGCCCTCAGAATATAGCACACTGCTCATCAATCTCTAAAAAAAATGGAGTTCAGATTGTTTACACATACTCAGTATTACACATATGAAGTACTGCTCATTCTCCCATACATGTACTCACATACACTTAAAATTTCTGCTATGAAAGAGATATTTCCTACAAATCAACATTCCGATAGAAATTTTCCAAAAATTACAAGAAGAAATGCTTTTAACTAAGTTTGATAAAGTGTACAAATTTGTTACAAAATAAAGATGTAAAAATGTTAAATTTTCCAAAAAATACAATTGTTAAGTGTCAGATCTTTAAATATTTAAAGGAAGAGGAAAAAACTGAGTGAGGTGGACAAAATTCACTGTTAAATGCTGGAAACTCGTGCTGTGCCTTCAGAAAATGGACCAATGCCTGCTCTAAAAGCATTGACTACAGCAGCATATCAACAGCATACACCTGAACTGTCATGCTCTACAGTAAAACCTATTTTGCACTTCTCTGGAATTCCTAAATACACATGTATCACAATTAAGCCATGTATATGAACATGTTAATATTTTCCTCGTCTCTTTTCATGTATTTGTGTTCTATGAGCCACTCTATTTGCTCTTTGATTAGTTTTTTAGATGGAAGGAACATATTGCGCAATATTTCTACGAGTTCTGTTTGCAGAGCTGCATTTGTGATCCTCTTCCTCATCTTCATGATTTTAACAATGGCCTCCTACAAACAAATAATGTTAAAATTTAACTTTAGTATCCTTAACAACTGAATAAATAATACTATCCTAAGAAGGATAAAACATCACCTAAACTACAGGAACAAATTTCATTTGACATCTGTTCCTTTGGATGATACAGATAGGTCGTTAACAATCTTGGCATGAAAACAAAAATACCAATACTTTGAATAGCCCTCTATCTTGGAATTTTTAACTATATATAAATGACCTTTACATTACAAGTGAGACATTGAAACATTCTTGTGACCTTGACATTATGATTAATACATTGGTTCAAAGTCATGTACTGACATTTCTGTGACCTTGAAATTATAAATGACAAATTAGTCTAAGACAACATGTACTGACCTTCTTTTGACCTTTACATAACAAGTTCAAAGTCAACATGTACATGAGATCATAGTACAAAGACATTCTTATTCACACATATAAGCTTAGCTTGTCTGTCTATGTTTGTCTGTTTGGGAGTGGGGAATTTCTTGGTATGTAATATAATTTGGAGAATCTATTAAAACCTATAATCATCTTGTCTGTTGAAAATGAAAAAATAATGGCTAACATAGACCTGTCTACATATATTATCTTGTCTTCTGAGAAGTACCTTCCAAGTTATTGAAAGGAAACTGCATGTATGATTGAGTTACCTGAACACGAAGGATCCTCAACTGCATTATTCCTTCATTATCTTCCTCCTTGCTTTTTTCAGTAGAAAGCTGTAACCGACCCACTAGATTAATTTTGCCTCTCTTCTGGACTTTTCCATTTTTACTGAAAAATTAACACACAGTTATGTTATACATGTAGTAGATGAATCCTCCAAGTTAAGAAGTGGACAAAGTGCTAGGTCCACTTTATGCATCAAATGACCTCGCCTTAATTCAATTAATTGACTATCACCCAATGTCAAATTTCAAACATCAATATAGAGATTTAGTGCTTTAATTGACTATCACCCAGTGTCCAATTTCAAATATCAACACAGAGATTTAGTGCTTTCATTTCAAGTAACAAATATTTCTTTTAGAGTCCAAGAACTGGAAAACAAGCCCTGTGAATTTGCAATGTTTTTGAATTTTGCAGAAAATACCTTCAGACAGGAATTAAAATATGACCACACCCTTGATCCAAAAAATAAAACATGTTTTATAATCTTCAGAACAGTTCTATAATTATCTTTTGCACATTTTAGATCAGCAGTTGTGCTCTATACAAAATTCTAAAAATAGCTTCAACTTTTGGCCATTTTGAAGAAAATTTTAGCGTATGGTAATAATGACACTATTTATGATGTCAAAATACACTGACTAGCAAGAAAATTACATCACTTTCAATAGATATGCTGTCACCAAGGATCCAAGTCATATTGAATGCATTGTAAAATATCATTTCTTAGAAATTTACAAGGACAAAAAAAAGGCCGTAAGTAAACTTGCTCTTTTTTGCTTCTCAAGACCTTTACAAACTTGCTCTCAAAATACATGTATAAACTGAGGAGTGTACTATATGTAACTATATTTGAGGACATACAACTATGCTCTTTACAAAGCATACCTCAGAGGTAAGTACACTAATTTAAGTTTCTATCAGATACATCACAATAAAATGACTTACATGAGTGCAAATTCTTGGTTAACCCAGAATTGAGTGGCATCATTGAAATCTTTGGCTGACTTGGCATCAGGTTCACATAGTAAAAGCTGACGTTTAATCTTTGGAAAAGCTATAAGTGACTATAAAAGACAAAAAGTAATATTTTTATTCATATACATGTATATGCATATCAATATCATGATTACATATTTTCCTAAGAATCTCCAGTGAAATTGTGGCTCTACTAGTCTGAACTGATAATTTTTTTCTTATTCTAAAAGAACAGCAAGTCATTCAAAATTATTAAATTGAATAAATGGAGGTGAACAAACCCAGAGAGTTCTCCTGAGTTCAGTGTCTGGTAACTCGGTGGCTAACTTCAGACTCTCATACGATATCCTATCCTTAGGCCTCTGGTTCCACGCAAACAACACGGCCATTTGAAAAGTTGTTACTTCTAGGTCAAACCGACCTATATCATTGCCAAACGTTATCTAATTGGAGAGAATAAAACTTGCAAAAGTCACAACACAAGCTAGTACGGTCACTTTTGAAGTAATCTATTGAAAAAATGTTTAAGTTTTAATATTTACATGTATATGTAATTAAAGTTTTAATTCTTTTAATCAAAACTAAATGGTAAAGGCAACACAAATTGTAAGTAACATCTCTCATATATCTTTAATATGTTCATTTCCCTAGATTTAAAATGATTATTCTAATTTCACTTATAAATGATGAAGCACAGAGTATTCAAACTGTTAGGCAATATGAAATTAAACAAGATACATGTACATATTGACCCATAGTTTTAATGTATGAAGACTGAGGTTCTCTGTCCTGATCTTAAAAGTCATCCCTGGTAAATTAAACAGGAGTGTTTACAGTGAACTTACGATTCCGTTAGACATGAGATGGTGCCACTGTAACTTGCGGCCACTGTGTTTTTGTCGGTAGAACTCCTCCACTTGTGGTATATAGTCCTCCAGTTCCATTGGCAGTGACACAGTGACACGGTCACTCGACCGGGCCCAGGCTCCAGCATTCAGTATCTTTATGTTGATTGAATCTAAAACAAATATTACAGTCAAAATCACTTTAAAAATTTCGATTCGTGGATATTTCCTTATGATATTTTCTATTCTACATGTATAATAATGAAGCAATGTATGAAACATTATAGAAAGATGCCAAAATTGTATAACTTTTAGATAATAGCTACTTGCAGGACTGTTGCTTATGAGAATGTCCAAATATTAATACTGAATAATCATGTTCACTAGACATAATTTTCAAACAATTTTGAAGATATTCACTCATGAAAGTCAAGCACATTTCCACAATGTACATGTAATACTATTGGCTAACTAGTAACCTACAACCACTACTTGTCAGTACTTCACCTGCTATGCCCTCATTATTATTCCGATGGGCATCTTTAAATTCCTGGTTGAGATCATCACTGACTTTGATATCCTGGAACATCCTGGCCAGTTTGTTCACATAATCAGCTGGCATACCAACTTCCTGATTATACATACATCATAAATAAGAAAACATTACACATAAAATACATACTGGTACATGTTAAATCAAAGATACACATTACTTGCATGTACCTTTTTATCATTATAGGGTAAACAAAAAAAAATTGAATAGACAGTATGCATGATGGCATATGAAAAACCTTTCTAGGTCATGAAATCCTTTCAGGGAAGATAATTTAGAATAACCATTCAAATTAACTTTTAATTTTCAAACATATTACATGTTCTTAATACAGGAAGTACAGGTGTCTCTACTTACCCTTAACCATTCCACCATATTTTCCTCCTTCTCATTGTCAGCTGAGGTGTCTAATATAAGCCTCCTTGTTAAGTGAGCCTTATGGTACCGCATAAAAACATCTTTATTCTGTACATACTTTAACACCAGAAGCTGAAATACAGCAAAATTCTTAAAATTAACATGCTTTTACACTGCAAAAGTTTTCGGCCATTCCAATTTCTAGTTACTGAGAGAATAATGAATAAGGTAATATAATATCTTTGTTGCAAGTACATGTATTTTTATTTCGAAGACTCAAATGTTTAATGATAACCTTTTTATACACAGACAGGCCACATGAAGTACTTTCGTTACATACCACATCTCTTAATTTTTTTTCCACCTCCTCTGAGGTCAGTTTCTTGCTGAGTGGGGTCTTTCTTAATAACATATCACAGTAGTTTGCCAAAAGTTCAGGACATTTAGACTCTGGCTGAGTTTTGGCACCAATGCTAAAGTCATGAAATTCAACAGCCCAATTAGTTGAAAAATTCATTCCATGTACTGCATCATATTGTAGATTTTATTAATTCAAATACTCTTAAGCCAACAAATATTCAAAAATTATTTTGATTAATGATTTCATGAGTCAAAAGAGACACGTTACCTAAGAATGTAAAATATAAGAAAATGAAAGTTTTAAAGTCAAATGAAGGCTTCTACATGAAATGAGAATTATGCACAAATCTGTATATCTTACCCTTTATTTTTCATTGGAATTTCTAATTTGAAAACTGATGTATCATTTACAACATTTTTATATGCCTGTAAAAGAGGGTAAACAAAAACACATAAATCTGTCAGAAAGCAGCAAACCAAGAATTATATATTTTTTAAATTTTGAAAAGTCATCAATTGCACTCTTTCATTAAACAAGTATTTTGCAGTTATCTCGATTATTTTCTTTCAAAGACAACTTACCTTATCTCTAGAAGTAAGAAATCTGGGGTCATCATTAAAAGCATCAAAGACTAAAGTACTGAATCTGTTAAACAACTCCAGTAGTTGCTCTACATACTTCTCAGAGTCCTAATTAAAAAAAAAAAAAACAGTAACAAATCATGCAAATAGTCAGAAATTAGTCATGAGATAAAACTGTGAAGGAAGCCTTCATTTTATTTATGATATAAACCCATTATCAGCTGCCAATGGAAGTGACCTTGAACTTAATTTCTACCAATGCAAAATCATATCAGTGATGAATTAGTGATGGCGAGAAAGTATTAGAACTTCTGCCCATTTGTATGACACAAGAGATATTTGTGAAACACTTATGTGCCCCCCCCCCCCCCCCCAAACATACATTATAGAGTGCTCAAGCCTTTATTATGGGCAGCATACATTATGGGCAGTGTACATGAAAATGAAATTGACCTTTTGAACTTAAAATCAATAGGGGTCATCTTATTCTACCAGTATTATCTAAGATGCATCAACCAGAAATAGTCTTCTACATCACATCTCTGGCAAAAACATGATTCTCATGATATATTGGTAATTAATTTGTTCAACCTTTGCAGAGATAATGAATGGAAAGCAAATAATTGGAATTTTTCTAAGTCCAAGGGGCAGAACTCTGTCAAAAATTGCTCGATCATACCCAAAACAGAACCTGACCTAGATATTTTTATGATAAATCTGTATACCAAATTTCATTTCAGTATGTACAACCTCTGCGAAGAAAATGAACGGAAACTGTTGCTGGACCAACAGACAGCAGCAAAGCAATATGCCCTCCCTTCTTCGAAGGGGGGCATAAATATGAGTACACTCAAAGTTACAGACATTGGGCAAAGTGACCCCATCAGTGTTTGTCATACAAAAGACTCAAAAGGCAATCCCCTAATATCTACAGCATCTTTGAAACATACTGATGGGCTATTCCTTCCCCCCCCCCCCCCCATCTATCTCTCACCGAACATATCATATTAGATGTCGGAGCTCTTTTACCCACAAACAATATGTAAACATGATGTTTAAAGTTTTCATCTTTGCCTGATGGACAAAAGTAACAATGTACCAAAGTAAGCCTAAGTAAGAGACTGTAAACTAGCAATAAATACATCCAATCTTAACGGTAACCTACTGTGGTAATGGTTTCAGCAGCGGCTATCATATCTGCCAGACCCTGACTGACAATGTAAGCCTCCAGATCGTGTAACATTGGAGTAATGCCATCTGGCACTCTGTCCATCAGGCTAAACATAAGACGCAGCTCTGAAAAGGCAAAATCACAGTTAGTATAGCAGGAATTAAAATGAAGCATGATGAATTTACTCTGATATTAAAGTACAAGTAATTCAGTAAAACTGAAGTCAACTAGAAAACTGACCAGTCAGCAAGGGCCCTGCCAAGGGGTAGAAATATAAGGGTGCAGCTTACAGAATGAGAATTTTAATTGATTACAAAAATTAAAAAATATATTAAGAAGAATATGCAATAACAACTGTATTTATAAAATTTCAAGATAATTCCTAAATATCCAACAACCTGTAAAGAGTATCCCTGTATTAACATAAGGCAGTAAAAAACATCATATCTATAATAACTCAATTAAATGTATATTCAAACAAGAATAAAACATGTGTTTTATAAAATGCCAGCCTTCAGTGAATGCAAATATCACCCAGGCTTGACTTTAACTTCAAAAACAACATCAGTTGCACACAAAGGTTAATTTATCTGAAAGTGACAAATAAAGATAAGCCTGGAAAATGTTCTGCCCCAGACAAGATAATTAATCCCAGGGGATTAATTGTACTGCTCTCTCATCTTTTTCTTCCAAGTTTACAATAAGAACTTTTTCAGTAATGACAGAATGAGTTTATTATCAGACTACCTGTTAAAATTAATAGTATTCTTAAATTTACATACAGCAACAAATAGAAAAAAAAATTGAATAAATAAATAAATAACAAAAAAATTTAAAATCATATCATGATGTATATCTTGTTTTTTAGAATTCAATAAAATCATAACTCATTGTGTATTTTACCAAAATAAAATATGAACATTATTTAAATCGACATTTCAGAGAATGTAAACATCATTCAGAATTGACCTTAACTTCAAAACAAACTTCATTTGCACAGAGAGGTGTTAATTAATCTCAATTTGACAGAAACAGATAATGCTTTGTATTTTCTTCAAGAGGAAAGTTAATTAATCCCATGGGACTAGCTGCAGCTTTCATAGTTTACAATAGGAACATTCTCATCAGTTAACTCTCTTTGCCCTGGCATTCATTCTAATGTAAAGTTAAAGAATCTACCCCACCACCCCAGCTCCAAACTGGATGACATAGAGAACCAAACTTAGCATCAAAATTTGTCTTATTGCCTCTTCAACCAACATACCAAATTTGAACTTAATTGGTCAACTACAAAAAAAGTTATTAGAAAAAAACAAAATTTGTGGACGGAAGAATGACAGATGGACAGACAGACAGACAGAGTGATTACTATAGGGCACCCGCAAATCCTTGCAGGGCCCTAATTACTATCCACCAAGTGAAATGATGAGATGTGTATGTGCAATTCTGAGAGGGCAATGTACAAACGATGATTCACAGAGTGAAGTTAAATTCCATAAATTTTTAAGTAAATTAGCAAAATATTTCATAAGTAATTATTACATGTCCCTAAAAGTAAAACTAATTTTAGGTATGCTTAAGTTTTCTTTTAAGTACCTCTATAAGTATACATTTTTAAGAAATGATAAACAATTAAAAAATAATTAAAGGAAATATTGTATATACTATTTATATACCTGTAAGATAGCTTGATTCACTTACTTTCTGTTTCATTATTTTTGATCATTGAGGCACATTCTTTGAGAATTGTTTCTTTGAATGCGGTAACCAGCACATTAACACAACACTCAGTCAGCTGATAAAAATTATGAAAGCTACATGAGGTCATGACTGTACATAATATATGAACATTTGAGGTAGTTTTCTGCTTTGTCCTTACCTGACATTAATACTTCTTCTATATTTTTTAAATTCAAAGCAGTAAATCAGCTTTAACATTGTTATCTCAATCAATAACATTATTTAATATATACACTAAGGCAAAAAATATATTCTTGGTTAATTTTCTTTGTGATTTAATAAAACAGATATGAAAATTATAGTAAGTCAGTGATTTGCTTACTGTAGCGACAGAGTTACACCCCCATCCTGTTTCTAAATAACGTAATGCTCTGGTTTCCTCTTCCTTGAGTTTACAGTCCGCATACCTCATGTAATTCTGTACACCATTAGCTTCTAAGTAAAGAGGGGCTTTCAACTTGTAGAATTTTTCTGTGGCTTCTAAATATGCCTTTTCAAAGTTTTCTCTGTAAATTTTTAACTTGTCTTCTACATCTGAGCTCAGGTTTACTGAAAAAATAACAGAAGTCATGCAAATATGCTCACTCAACAGAACATCAAACATCCTTAAATAAACAGTCACAAACCAAGAACAAAGACAAATCATTCACACTCTTTGTCGTGCCTAGATGAATGATGATATTTAGAATATTCTTTTAACATTAAATAATATGATTTTTCCCCCTTAAGATTGTGCAATTCAGTTTTGTTTTTCCTCTGTCCTTGTTAAAAAAAAAAACCATTCATATTGTAACAACCTAGATTGGAACTTAATCCATCATGCACTGGTGCTACAGCCATAGCAGGTCCCCCCTTAATTAAGTCTGACTTAAAAACTTAAGTGACCTAGGCTACCACATGTCCTTTCCCTAGCTATTAGAATATATTGAGTATCATTACAAAATAAAGTCTATTGATTTTCTCACCATAAGACTCTCTGACTCCTATAACAAGCTGAGAATCAAATGCTTCTCCGTTTCTTTCTGCATAAATAAGTTTCATGGCACTGTCCTGTAATCGTTGCTTAATGTTAGAGAAGATGCTTTCATTCCAGCTGTCCAGCATCAGCTGTAATTATACAGAATATAGCTACATTAGTGTTCAATATAGCCACATCAATGTACAATATAGCCACATCAATGTACAATATAGCTACATTAGTGTTCAAAATAGCCACATCAATGTGCAATATAGCTTCATTAGTGTTCAATATAGCCACATCAATGTACAATATAGCTACATTAGTGTTCAAAATAGCCACATCAATGTGCAATATAGCTTCATTAGTGTTCAAAATAGCCACATCAATGTACAATATAGCTTCATTAGTGTTCAAAATAGCCACATCAATGTACAATATAGCTACATTAGTGTTCAAAATAGCCACATCAATGTACAATATAGCTTCATTAGTGTTCAAAATAACCACATCAATGTACAATATAGCTACATTAGTGTTCAAAATAGCCACATCAATGTACAGTATAGCTACATTAGTGTTCAAAACAGCCACATCATCAATGTAGCCAAAGTATTTACAGTGTTTAAGGCTTAAACCCTAGAGTCATTGTTATAGCATTCCACTTTGAACAGTGTTTGTTGCTTACACAGGCTTAAGCATTTGAAATACATATGAATTCAATTAAACTGTTATGCTTTAAAACCTCAACTTGTAAATCCCTTTAAATCCCATTCAGGATAGATATACATGTACTATATTACTTATCTACAACCATGTATGCTTCTTACATGTACTTGCTTGTACAACTTTATTGCAGGAATGTTCGTAGTGTAGTTTACAGCCTTCGCTTGAATGTGCATGAAAACTTTATCATCACTGTTGCAGAAAAATTAAAATTTTCCTTGAAACAACTTATTTCTACTAACAACTAATAAAACATTTGAAATTATGTTGACCTTTCTGACAAGACTTTCTTCTCCCTGCGTCTTTTTTTGCTGGACACTTCCGTGGGGTTTCCCTGCCAGTGATGTCACTAGCTGCATGAATGGTTTTGGAAGATAATCACACTGGGTGAAAAATTTTCCCCATTCAGCTATGTATGCTTTCAATAAAGAGGAATCCTCTTGATGCTGTAATACCCTCTGTAAAAGACAGTGAATTCAAAATCTATTTTTAAAAAATGATTCATTAAAGAAGGTTAACTTAAATCAAGGAAAAAATGTTCATATTAATATACATTTATTGACTGGTTTCGAGGGCAACATGCATTTTGTCGGACCCAAGAACCAAGCTGCTTGCCTGAGGCTGTTAGGCCGAAGGCAAACAGTTTGGTTCGAGGGGTCGACAAAACGCATTTTGCCCTCGAACCCAGACAATAAATGTTTTGTTATACCTTTTTTTTTAATTTATTTTATTATTATTATTTTTTTTATTGACATACATTTATGTCAAACACCAACAAATACAAATGCGAATTCAAATGAGATTTAGCTGACCCCGCCCATTAAGTGACGTAAGCAGTCCAACATCTCATTGACAGGTCCAATATCTCATGCGGTCAAACATTGATTTTTTTTATGCCCGCTCAGTAAAACATTGAAAATGTTAGACTTTTTTTAGTATTGATTTATATAGGAACAAATTTTTAAAGGTATAACAAATCCTGATTATTTCACATACGTGTATAAGAATTTGTACACGACTGGACAATTGCTTAAATAAAGAGGGTAGTGTTGAAATAGATGTAGATACTGCTATATAAAACATTGAAAAGACTGACCTCAAGTGGAGGCTTCTAATGAATACAAACAGTTAACAAAGTACTACATGTCTATCTATATATAAAGAGAATAGGACATCCCAACATACCAGTCTCTTTTGGCTTAATAAGATAGTCTAACATACCAATCCCTTTTAGCTTATTTTCTTAATAGCTAGAGACATAACATGACACTGTAAAACTTACTGCTTGAGCATGTCTGATGAAGTCTAGAATATCATCTTGTAAAGCTTTGTACATTTTCTGGGGTCCTTTGTCATCCCAAAGGCAGACAGAATGCACAGCACTAAAAATAAGATTGAGATGAATTGACATTACTTATATCACCACTAATGCTGTCCAATATAACACATTTTTTTTTAAAAAAGTAATAAACCTGATAACAATAAAAATCCAACCATGTTCCACCTACAAAGATCATTACATAATTATGACATATTACAGATATTTCATACTACACTCAAGAACCTGTGTTTTTGGTTCCTGATTCTAAACAATGAATGTCAAGAAATGAATACTGTGGAATATTGTCACAATATTTTGTCACAGTGGATTTAATGGTTACCCCTTAGACATGAATTTAAAATCTTATGCAATAATTAAAACATCATGGATGGATAAAAATTAAGTCTCAAAGGGATTCAAACCAATGACTTCTGGAATACCATGCTAGCATTCTAACACTGACCTATTAAATTCCTCAGTGTGATGTTTCAATAAAGTTTTCCTGAATGTATGTTGTACACATATTACATACCAGTAAATCTTGAAGAACCATTGAACTGAAAATTAACATGTTGCAAATGTTATAATTGTTAAGTATTATGCTATACCAGAACAGGTCTTGCCACTCTGCTTTTGTAACAGGCTCCTGTCGTAGCAACTTGAGTGCTGTGGGTCGCATCGTAGGCCATCTTTCTTCAAATTGTGATTGGCCCTGTTGCTGTTAAACAAAATTATTACAAGGTAAGTTTAGAAGAGTTCATGGTGGGTTTAGACCATCCTTAGAATTATTTTCTTCTGAAAATCCGCTTGGCTGGTTATTTGGACTGAAGCCTTCACTATTGAAGGCGTCAGAGTATTGAGACCAAATATTCAGCCAAGTAGAATCTCAACATAGATTATCTTATAATTAACACTGGCATAATCTCTCTTAACATTGCTTAGATAACACGAGAGGTCAGTAAGAGAAAATGTACATCAATTCACAAAATTAATCAACAATATCTCAAGTAAAAATTAAATCAACAACACAAATCATTGTCTTTTTCAATTACTATTGTATCCTTCCAAAAAGATTCATACAATTTTTAACGTTGTAGTGCTCTAGGAATCATTATAATATAAATTTCTATCATTTTGTAATGTTTGTTTACAATCTTAATTTTTTTAAATACAAATCTAAAAGGAAGAAAAAAATCTCATCATTGTCTCACAAGAATATACAGAGACATATAATACTGGTGACAATAACATTAAGAAATCCTTCCCTGCTATATTAAATGAAAATAGTCTATTTTATTATTACACCACAACATTACCTTCAACATCGCCATATTTTTTTCTCCTTATTCGGAACACATCTGATTACTTTGAACGCAATAGGATAATTACCGAAATATTCCGATGGAAACACAAGTCTCGTATTGCGCGAGACTGCTTACATCCCAACATGGCGACAGAAACAAGCACGCCTGTGCAAAACAGTGACACTAAAGGCACTCTTGGGATACCTCAGGCTGAATTTGTGGTATTCAGAACTTCTCTGTTTTCAAGATAAAGTCTGATTGCTCCAAAGCAACATCATAACATTGTTTTTAGTAAATCAAGAATTATATAAAATTGAAATTTTGAGGGTTTGGGACAGTTTCATGATTTACATTATTCAATTTGGTTAATTGACAATTATGGTAATTTTCCCTTGAAGAAGTAATTTAAACGTTGTTTAAATAAAGAAAATAGTTCCTTATAAGTTATATAGTACTGGCCTACTTGAATGTCATTAAGAAATTATTCAACTAGCTTTAAGTACATGTTTTTGCATGAGTGTTACTAATTCATGCAACAGCATGCTCATTGTTAAGGGTGCGGAATCAAGAATGGTGGTTCAGAAGATAAATTTGACTTATGAAACACAGCTAGAGCAGACATACTATGTCATTCCCAAAAGGCTGCTTAATGTGCTTTATCTGAATATATAATTCTCTGTCAATCTTTTTATCTTTACTTAAGACTTTCAATCTAACAAGATTGCTGTTGTCAAAAAGAATGTTCACTCTAATGTGTAAAGGTGTTTTGTTTTGAATCAGGAGAATAACTTGAAAATGAAACACGGACATTTAAAATGAAACACGGACATTTATGTATATGATCTTAAATTCACTGTCACGGAATTTTTGTTACATCACTCAAAGCTTTGTGTCCAATATTTCAGACTTAAGATAGCACTCTAAAAATTGTTGCAAATTGAAGATTGGTATCAGGACCAAGTCACATAGGAAGGCCGAGATAGTTGCACTTGACACAATTAAAATACAGTTAAAATTTAATTCATTAATATTGAGTGATGTAACGGAGACACTTCAAGTTTAATTCAAATTAATTAATTACAACTGAATTATATTTTACTTGTGACACTCATTTTTGTTCCTTTATATACAAAATTTCTGTCCATTGTTCTCATTTACACTCAAATCTAAAGACTAATACATAAAAAGATCACCTTCTGTTTCAGACGTAACAGGACACAAACTTCAGCACACAGAAAAGAAAATTTCCTCCAAAATTAAAATTAATTGAACAAATTTTTTATCAAAGGATTTGCACTTACATTTGGGCATTTTTTGGCCAAGTTTGCATAATCATATGGCAAAGGAAGAAAATTATATGCCTCATTTCAACATATAGAGATGTAACACTGGACACTGAAGCCTTCCAACAAACTTCTTTTTTAATTTACTTAATTGTTAAGTTTTTACTTTGAATCAGATCACAGGAAACTTTAAGAAAATTTTAACTTAATAAATAAGTCAACAATTGAACAAATTTTCAGTTTTATTTAAATAATATACATTGTATTGTATATGCCCCTTTCTACACAAATGTCATTTTATCTTCTGTCAAGAGATCAATCTTGATCTTTTCCAAGTTAAAGAGTCACAGAAGTGATCCGTGGCCATTCTGTGACCTGAAAAGAAAAGAAAAAAATGGTGAAAAGGTAGTTTGACAAGGATATTAAGTCATTTAAGATCTATACTCATACTTTGATAGTGATGTAACACTGATCTCATGATATTTTCACAAATTTAACTTGGACACAAAAACTGGTGTACTATGTTACATCATGTAATGAAGTTAAAGAATGACAGAACAATGTATAATACACACTATTTCACTCAAGTTTATTGTGTGTTTTGCACTTCTTAAAACACCAATTAGGTATTTTTGTCAGCTAGAAGCCAATCAACAAAAAATATGCACATTCATAAATAGTGATGTAACAATGACACATTCTGTTGTAGCTTAATAACGTCAAAGTTACATCTTTTTTAAATTTTCAGATGTTTTCTAAAATTTTCTAAAATAGAGTTTACAATGGTTGTTACTTGATACAATTAAATTAAGCTCAATCAGTTGAAATTTAATCACATGTAAATGAACATTTTTGAATTAAAAGATTTAGGTAATACTTGATTGGGGGGTGTGATGTAACTGTGGACACAATCAGTTCAACCATGGTGTGAAAATAAATAAGTATAATTCTTATATTAATGTAGCATAGTTCAATATTTACAGTTTATTAGAAAATTAATTCTTATTTCTTGGCAAACACGCAAATCTGGCATTATATATGTTTCAAAATACATCCTTAAATCGCCGAAAAAGATGAGGTCCCCCAAAAATGAGAGACGTAACATGTAAATGACCTACCTACTACTTGCGTCTCCTGTCATCTTTTTTCTTGGAACTCATCCAACACGTGCACAGGTCTCAACAAAAATGAAAGTAGAGACCAGAAAATGTCATACAAACAGGATGTCGTCCTCTGGTCACCCGAGTATTTGATGTATGACACGTGTATACAGACGTAACGTTTTGACACGAAAATAAAGATAAAATTATGATGATTATTTTTGAAATAATACTTTCACATTTGAACACAGCCATAGTTTGTAAATCTTTTACAACGTCTCAAATTGCTATAAATAGAACATATCGATCGAAGTTTCCTTCTATTGTTTCTGAAAGCGGCTGTGCGCGAGACGTAACAAAATTGACACGAAATGTTACATCCCCAAGCATAAAATTTAACCATTGTTTAATTTTAAAAATATTTAATATTTTTTTAACAAACCCAGTAAATTTAATAAATAAATTTGTATATAATAAACGAATCAAGAAAATTAGGTGGATTGATGTTATTTACTGCTGCTATTCCTTCATTTCTTCGGACCATATGAAAAAATGTCACAGAGATTGTCCACTGAATTGCATCAAAAACAATCATTACAAGTTTGATTATTCGCTTGACAATCATTAAACCTCATTAGTTATTAAATATGAGCATCAGAAAATTATTAAATAAGTTTATTCATCAAAGTTGTGAAATAAAAAGAAATAAATGGCAATTAAGATAGATGTAACGAAAATTCCTTGACAGCGAATTTAGGATCATATGTCAATGTCTACCATCAGCACATTTCTACATGGACATGTGCGATATGGTTAAGGGCAATAATGAAGCCCTCCTTTTTTTTTTGGAGAATGCTACAACTCCATAAGATCTCCGTAATGGTAAAAGTGTGGAATGATTCAATACTGCACAGATTTTGGCTCAAATATTAAAAAGTGACTATTTTATTAGCATTTCTTACCAGAAATAAAAAAAAATTTAGCAATGCAAGACACAAATTTGTTTTTTTTTAAAAATGAAAAGTCCATATATCAGTTATTTTTCTTGTATGTCAACATCAGAACTTGAATTGTCTGCCATGTTTACTGACTTTGATCAATTTTATTTTGGGAAAGCAAGAGAGCAGATGTTTTATTCTTGTGAATGGATACATAGGGCTTTCATTGATAGATGTTTGATTGATACCATATGGCAAAATCATAAATCTGTACCGAATTACTTTATCATGCTAATCTAAATTTCAAGCTCAAGTCTCGGTACATCATGCCCCTAACATGGCAGCTGAAACAAGATGACATGTAGTATTTTACCCTGTGTTAGCATAGGCTAGGTTGATGTTGAATAAATAATCCATTTTATTTGAAGGAAGATGAATCTTAAGTGATTTATTAATTTTATCTTGCCTGAAGACACCTGTATTAAAAAACAAAAAAAAATTTTGAACCATTATGGAGATCCCATGGAAATGTAGCCCTCTCCTGAAAATCAGACAAAAAATATCGGAGAGGGCTATGCTATTGGAGCTATGGGTACTTTTATACTGACAGACCTCTCAAGAGTCATATAAAGACGGGAATGTTTCTATATAATATTGAATCAAACTGGCATTCCACAAGACAGTAATTTAGAGAGAGAGAGAGAGAGAGTGGCAGTTATATTGTGTGTTGACACCTTTCTCAACTGCAAATTGATTTGATTAGGTATTTATGTACCTGGCACAAGAATATGAATTCAGATACTGAGTAGAATAAATATTTCAATTTAATCATGTTTATAGGAAAGAATTATTCTCATATCAAATAAAAAAGAATATGATTCCATATTTGCATTTGATCAAAAATGAGATAAATCATTGCAGCTGTGCATATTTTTTTTTTGTCATGCAGGAGCTATAATAGCATTGTAATCTCCTGAACAGTTTCTGCTTTAAAGAATTTGATTTGTTAATGTTTTTCTTGTTAAAAAAAGTTCTATTCCAATTAAGCAACAACTTAAATGTAATAATTTTTCTACAGTGTTCTATAGCAATAATTTCAATTAAATATTATTCTTGTGTGGATCCTCTCAACATGATTTTCAGTTGTAAGTGACAGTTATAAGACCTCGGTAAACTGGTAACTTATTTTTTCAGGAGGATGTTGACAGTTACATGAAGAGAGAGGGAAATGACTCGGCAGAGGCAGTATTAAAGAGATTAGATGAATCACATAGCAAGTACAAATTCATGGAATACAACCTCAACACCAAAAAGGCCAGGTAGATTCAAACAACTTTGGCTGTTGATAATCCATGTCACCTTTATCTATAATAGTTATATCTTATACCATGTGTATTTGATATACTGCAGAACAAGAAAGATTGGCCTTCGGATGAAGCCACAGTTTTTCTGTCTTTTAGTTTTTTACTTTACTTATTTTCTTTTTGAAAGTTCATCTGAAATTCATAACCATAATTTGTAAATACAGTTAGATATTAAAAAAGAGGGGGTGGGGGTGGGATGGACATCCATTTGTTTACTTGATTCACTTGATAATAGTTTTTGTTCTTCATATGTATTGTTCCTGTTGATTTATTTGGCTTTGTAGTGAAAAAAGAGAAAAATTCAAACTATGCCTTTTTAATTGCATTTCAGATTAAAGGCACAAATCCCTGATATCAAAACTTCATTAGATATAGTGAAACATTTACAGTCTAGGAAGGTGAGTTTCATGTAGAAAATGGCAGCTCAGAATTGAACCATAGATGTCTATTTAGTCTCTGTACCTATAAAGTTTGGGGTTTTTGTTATTTTCATTCATTTCTTACTTGGTTGAGTCATTCATAAATTATCTTGATACATGAATTTCTACTCATGAGCCAACTTAGAGTAAAAACAATGAAATAAAACAAAACCTTTCACTCCAAAGGAGAAGATAACTCCGAGTAGTTTTTGTGGAATAACAACAAGGTCTTGGTTGTTATGTAACTTGTTAAACAGGTCTGGACGATTTCCAAATATGGAAGTCAAGAAATATAACTGAAAGTTGCATAAACATACTTCATATAAATGTAAATATTTTTTTGTCCAATCAGAAAACAGTATTTTTACACACCCCAAAATGGATTTCAAAGGAACAAAAGAGAACACATGTTTTTTTTCATCAAAAAGATTTTTTTGACAAAATATCTTTAGAAGTAATATGAAAAGTTTGGAAGAATAGAGTATTCACCACATATTTACTGTAACAAACTTGACATTTCAATCTCAAAAAGAAAAAAAAAACACCAATACATGTGTAACTGTGTTACAAAATGCAATCTTTTAGTGAAGAATAGAGGGCATTGTCAAATTATCATCAGTATACAATTATAATGTTTTCCAGAAAATGTTCTATGTTGGTCAATATAATTTTAGAGCCATCCAATTTTCATCGTTTCTTTCCATGCATGTAGATCTACAGCACACAAGTGTTCGTCATATATACTAGCTTTACAATATCACAGGTTTCATGAGTGCGGGCTGAATGCTATGTTACATATATACACTTTAAACTTGCATAAGGAAAGGTGTTGAATAAGGGGAAAAGGGAATGAAGATGGATGCTTTTTATCCCCGTAACTTACCATGCATACAAGAAACTGAATGATTTTGATATACAAAGGAAACAATAAAGACTGTTATATCCCCAATACCAAAATATCTCCATGCTGGGCTCTAAAAGCTGAAAATCTGAGGTATTTATATCAATTTTTTAACGCAAGTTAACCATTGAGTATACTACCTCATAGTGACAGATATTAATCCAACTTAAAATTTATTTTAAGCTTTTCAAGTCGTGTTGTTCACGGCAGAATTGTTATGTATACTGTTTTTTATTCCTAAATATGCATGAAGTTTACAAAAAGTTTGTTCTAAACAAACCTTTTGAGCAAAAAAGTTTAAAACCACATGCTTTGTTTAATTTCTCATGGGTTTGTCTAAATGCTGTTATCTGATTGGTCAGGAGCAATAGCAGTTTGTTTTTTATGAGTATTTATAGAAAGTGACCATTATCGTTCTTGACTTCCATATTTGGAAATTGTCAAGACCTGTTAAATAACACACTTGGCTGTTCCACTTACTCGTTTAAAGTAATGCATTGAATTCTTACATTGTAATTTTTATAATTGTTCATCTTATGAATTTTCAAGATGCAATGCCTAATGAATAATTATGTATTTAATTTAAAGGATTCAACAGATTCAATGGAAACTAGGTTTTTATTGTCAGACCAAGTTTATGCAAAAGCAAGAATTCCACCAACAGACAGAGTGAATTTATGGCTAGGGGTAAGTACATGTGTGTTGTAATAATTCATCCAAGCACACTATTCTTCATAAATCATAACATTGTTTACAATCTGTGATAGTCCTCTAATTGAGCTGATTGTGTATTTGTAGGCTAATATAATGTTAGAATATGGCATTGAAGATGCTAAGGTATTACTTGAGAAGAATTTAGAGGCAGCCAATAAAAGTTTATCACAAGTTGAAGAAGATCTGAGTTTTATCCGTGACCAGACAACGACGTTAGAAGTCAGTATCCTTACAACAATTTCCATGCCAGTGATTTTTGTCCTTGTGTGTAAATTTAAATCAGTTACAGTGGTATTATTTGACAGAGTTTTACTTTGCTTTTTGGAAAAAAAATTAAATCATCCAGACATTTTTTCTTAGACATGTAGTGACCATATTGATACTGTACAGCTGGTTATTTTTGCTTTGATAAGTTTGCATTTATTTACCTTTTGTTGAAGAAATGAAACCATTGCTTTAAAAAAATATTCAGCATCTCTATTTTCTCATACTGAATTCAACTCTATGAGGCAAATTTCATATAAAATATTAAAAAAAGTTGTTTAATCAAGAAAATTTTGTTTACAAAAGCTTATTCTTGTTCACATGTATAACAATTCATGAAACTGAAAATATTTTGTATAGTTGTTAGAAATGTGTATTTACAGCTATTATCAATTGACAATTTTCTGCCACTATCCATTACAAACCTACCACCATAAAGTTTACTTCCTTCAACATCTGTCAGTAATTTTTAGCTCACCTGGGCTGAAAGCTCAAGTGAGCTTTTCTGATCACCCATTTTCAGTTGTCTGTATTGTCCGTCTGTCTGTTCGTATGTCTGTAAACTTTTCACATTTTCAACTTCTTCTCAAGAACCACTGGGTCAATTTTAATCAAAGTTTCCACCCAGAGCATCCTTGGTTGAAGGGGAGTTTAATTATTAAAATAAAGGGCCAAGCCCCTTTCCGAGGGGAGATAATCAAGAAAAGACAAAAATAGGGTGCACGTGGGATCATTAAAAAAATCTTCTTCTCAAGAACCAGTGGGCCAGAAAAGCTGAAACTTATGTGGAAGCATCCTGGTGTAGTGTAGGTTCTAAGTTGTTCAAATCATGACCCCGGGGGTAGGGCGGGCCACAATAGGGAATCCAGTTATTACATTGAAATATGTAGAAAATATCTTTAAAAATCTTCTTCTCAAGAACCACAGAAAAGCTGAAACGTATGTGGAAGCATCCCGGAGTAGTGTAGATTCTAAGTTGTTCAAATCATGACCCCTGGGGGTAGGATGGGGCCACATTAGGGAATCAAAGTTTACATTGAAATATATAGGCAAAATCTTTAAAAATCTTGTTCACAAGAACCTCTGGGCCAGAAAAGCTGAAACTTAAGTGGAAGCATCCTGAGGTTGTGTAGATTCTTAATTATTCAAATCATGACCCCGGGGGGTAGGGCGGGGCCACAATAGAGAATCCAAGTTTTACATTGAAATGTATAGGAAAAATCTTCTCAAGAACCACTCGGCCAGAAAAAGCTGAAACTTATGTGGAAGCATCCTGGGGTAGTGTAGATTCTAAATTGTTCATATCGTGACCCCCGGGAAGTAGGGCGGGGCCACAATAGGTATTACAAGGTAGGAAATCAGGTGAAGAACAGCAGGGCCAAAGATACTCAGGTGAGCGTTGTGGCCCATGGGCCTCTTGTTCAGAGATTATTGTTGATAATTATGACCCAGATATTGTTTATTTCAATTATTATGGATTCAGTATTGATGCATTGGCTTCATTCTGGCACCAGAAAAAAAGATAATTAAAAATTAAAGAAGGAACAGAAAATATTGTATATTAAAGTGTAATCTACACATAATCTTCCACTCCGTCGATATTTATTTAGGACTTGGACATTAAAGAATCCATTTCAATCAGAAACTTTTTGACTAAACTTGTTTGGTAGGCAATTATCTCTTCCACTCAGTGACCCAAAAGAAATGCAAGGAAGTATAAGTCCTAGTGTATTATCTCTTCAAGTAAAAGTTGACATAAACAACTTTCTTCCAAGATTTTTGTACTTGTATGCAAAATATAAGGTGTGAAGATCATCTTCAATGCTTTTTGAAAGAAATTATCATATTTTATGAACATTGCGTGATTTTGTTAAAAAGTAATGTAAGTAATTTTCAAAAAGTTTGGAGATTTCCTTAACCAGTGTGTAGATATGGCCCGAGTGTATAATTGGGACGTGAAAAGGAGGCAGACCAGTCAAACTGCTGTGAAGTCCTAGTATCCATAGAAATCTGGACATTACGCCACAGTACTTAGAGCATCAGTCCCTACCACACGTATACAGCAGTGACAGATCAATGCTGAAAGAACCAGTGAACAGCATCTATTCATCTAGTGCAGAATTTACACTCTTCTTATTTGCTTTCCATTTCAAAGGACTTATATAAAGAACAAAATTGCAGACAGCCCTATTTGATTCTAAGATTGCATAGTGGATCATCTTGAAATACAGTTTTGAACCTTTTATTTAATAAATAAATCCATTAAATCAATAATAAATATTTCAAGCTTTATTTGTTTTATACATGTATTTTATGTATATTTTATATAGATATACTCTAAAGGGTTGAGTAAAAGAGGTATTGAACAACTTTATGTAATTAGGTCATCAGTTTTCTACACAATGAAAAGTGCATCATGGTAGCACTAGGATAGCAGACCAGTATTTCCATTGTCATTTTCAATTGCATATTCTCACTTGTGAATTTCATGTTGCTGACTATTAAAACTATACTATTAGGAAAATATAGAAAAATGGAGTAACATGCTAAGCAAAGGTACATGAAGCACCCATGATACTTTAGCCATCTGATGCAGATGGAGCTGAAGCCCCCCCCCCCCCCCCCTTTTTCAGCGGAACAGTGGGGTGTAAAGGACACCCAAGTACTATGAATCTTCCCACAAGTCTCCAAGATATATATAATCTCCTCATGCTCGTTCAGCCACCCATTCTTTTATCAATAATACATGTAAACTTTAAATTTTCTTTGGTTCTCAATTATTAAGAAGAATTGTTTCTTTGAATAATGGTTTTTCATAATTGTCACAAGGACATAGGATTATTACTTGACAAAGGCATGGCTCACAGTAAAATTTTTAGCTCACCTTAACAAAGTTGGGGGCTTACGTAATACCCTTGTTGTCGGTGTCAGCGTTCCAGGATAAAGTTTTTGGAGCAGATTTATTTTTGAGTATTTGTGGGCCAGACATGAAAAAGAAGACATTGACCCTTTGTCAGAATGGATTAAATGTATCAGATGTATGTTAAAATCTCGCATTAAGTGATCGAGGGACAATATAAAAACCATCTATCCTTCTGTTTTCAATAGTTCAGAAGTGAAAAAAGAATTAGATAGACTACACAATCAGTATGTACTGGTCCCAGCTGACTAAACAGGTAACAACATTGTCTTTGTAAGGCTCATTATTTTAATTGTCTTTTAGGAGAACTAGGCTTTAATTCTACAAGTGGCAATCAAACTTATACCCATAGCTCCCTTTCTGAGGAAGAAATTCGTCAAAATCATATGTCAGTTTTGAATATTTTTAATAATCCCAACAAACAAAATGAATTTGAATTACCATATTTATATTGGATTCCGAAACTTCATAAAAATCCTTACAAACAAAGATACATAGTGGATTCCAGTAAATGTTCTACCAATTTAGCCTCTCTCTTTACTACTCACTAAAATATTAAAAGCAGTGAAGGAGAAACTTCAGGAGTACTGTGCAACAATATGTTCGAGAAGTGGTGTAAATCAGATATGGATACTTAAAAATTCCAGGGAACTTATTTTGGAAAATTTGAAATAAAATTTTACCAAAATCAATAACATGAAAACTTACGACTTTTCAACTCTGTATACAACCATTCCCCACGACACATTAAAGTCCAGGCTTTTTGACATCATGCATTGACAGTTGCTTTTTCAATAAAAATGGAACTCGTAAATTTACTTACCTTGTCATTAGTCATTTGCAAAATTATTTTGTTAAAAAACATTCTGATTGTACACACAAGCACTCTGCAGTTGATATCAAAAGATGCTTGAGTTTCTGATTGACAATATCTATGTGGTTTTTGGAGACCAAGGTTTTCCAACAATCTGTTGGAATTCCCATGGGTACCGTTGTTAGCAGACCTATTTTCGTATTCATATGAAGCAGAATTTATTCAAAATTTTATACATGAGAAAAGGAAATCTCTTGCTGTGGCCTTCAACACGACATTTAGATATATCGACGATGTATTATCAATTAACAATAGTTATTTTCATTCATATGTCGACATGATGATTTCCCAGTGAAATGAAAGATACCACAGAGTCTGACACATCTGTTTCATATTTGGATATTTTACTAGAAAAGACGTAATGGTAATCGAACAACAGAGCTTTATGATAAACGTTACGACTTTAACTTTTCAATCGTCAACTTCCCTTACTTATGCAGCAATATTCCCTTATCACCTGCATATGGGGTGTATATCTCTCAGTTGATTCGATACGCAAGAGCATGCTCTACATATGAACAATTTCTAAAACGAGTTAAGTTATTGACAAACAAGTTGATGAAACAAGAATATCAACAGTCTCGTTTAAACATCATTATTCGGAATTTCTATCATCGATGCAATAACCTTGTCAGTAAATATCCATCATTGGGTAAAATGCTGACTGACGTTTTCCATACTAATTGTAAGGCCATTATTTACACACTGAATTGTCGACGGATTTTTTTCGTTATATACCGATCATGACAAGGGGCACACGGCGGATGTGACCGGTCGGCAGGGGATGCTCACTCTTTCATGGCACCTGATCCCACCTCTGATGTTTTTGGAGGTCCGTGTTTGCTCTGCTCCCGATTTGTATTGTTTCAATGGACTTTGAGTTTGAATACTGTTCTTTATCTCCATATTTCATTCTATGCCCTGTATTGTTCAGAGATGCATGTACAATGCTTTTAGTATGTTTATGTTTCATTGTACCAGTTCAGGTTTGGATGGATGCTCCGATGCATTTCCCTCCTGATCAATACATTAATAGAAAAATTAAAAAAGGAAAAAAAAAACTTTATTGATTCATACAAGCAATGACAAAGCTGACTGGTCAGAAAGAAAAGAAGGGACCGTACTTTACACAACGCTCACATGGGTCGCATGATGCAGAAAAATACATTTGGAATTATCTTGTTAGATAATAGTATAATTTTTTTAACTTCTGCTACCACACCGATCTCTTCTGGGAAAGTATATGTTCGAATTCACAAACTTGAGCTATTTGCAGTAAAACAAATGGATGGTTATTGAATAATTAATTAACTTCCTGTAGAAAGAGAGTCTTTCTATAAAAATCTGAACATCCTTTTCTGAAATGAATCCCTGCCTATTATGACATCTGCATATTCTTAAGATAATGACATTATAATATATGAATTAGTACTACACACAGACTTTAATAACCCAGCTGTTATGTGGATGATATTGTATATTTTTATTAGAAAATTATGACTATTTTAGTCCAAACCTAGTATCAAAACATTACTACGGATGTCGCTTGTTAATTCAACTAACAGAGACTTTCTGATTTGTAAAAATATTTCTTTATATCCTCTGTGAACCTCTGTGGTAACTTATATCTCAAGGTCATAAAATGAACGAATTTGATAATTTAGGTCAATTAACTTACAGGCTGTGTAATTTGAATCAACCTAGCTGTTCTGTACAAGGTTTTGAAGGAACTTTGAACTCGTATTACGACCACAAATGTCATTAATCAATATACTTTTTATTAAAAAAAAGTACTTAAAATCTTCTTGTAGTAACGGTTCTGATGAAGAAAATTTAAAAACAATCCCAATTTTTCTATGAACAAAAATTGAATTCTTTTTACCCAAGTATGGTTTAAGTAATTTCGGTAGAAACTGGCCTAGTGGTTCTAGCGGGAAAAAAGTGTAAAGTTGTCAGATGCCACATGGCATGGGGCAAAGACAGAGTGACAACAAATTTCAATGAGAGAGCCCATGCAGCTTGGCACTGGTGTTCTATAAAATACATGGAATATATATTAAACCAAATATAAGTACAAACATATATAAAAATACTATATCAGACTAAAATAAAACAACAATTGTACAATATAAAATATTAGAAAATTGGATACTCTAGAATGTATGAAAACCTACTAATTCATTAAGCACATGAGAATGCTACGAATACACTATACTATTCATATTAAATATGATTGAAGATCTGATAAAACATAAAAGGTCCACGTTATATTTAAACAGGTTTAAAAATGCCTCTGTTACATGTAAATACGATCTTCTAAAAACATAATGAAAAAATCCAATCTATGCATTTATCCACATAATCATATACTAAAAGTAAACATTCACGAATACAATTTCATTTCAGAAGTAAATAAAAGGTGCGTGGTTTGAAAACCCATTTCACATAGCTATACTTTCGTGAATAACCTTGATGTTTGACAATATGGAACAACATTAAATCATTTCGGACTTCAGACGATTGTGCCTTAATTTGTGTGCAATCTTCGCCAAGGTTACATTTTATGATAAGAGAGTTAAAAAATACATCTTAACAGTATTTTACAAACACTGTGATCTTTTGAGATGATTATGATTTTTAGAGTTCCGCGTTTATTGTCAATACATAACATATTTATACTTAATGGTTCAAATCAAAATAAAATTTCTAGTGAGGATTGGGTGTTTTTCTGGTCTCTGTACAGAAACAACACAATATCTCTGCATTGAATTAAAAGTTAATGCACTAGCTTATAAGCATTAAAAGATGTTCAAGGTGTGCTTGAATCCTTCTCCTAAAATGTAAACGGGTTCACACAGCTTATTAGGCACAACAAATAAATATCTTGATCAAAGAGGCTCATCCATACATGAGGAGAATTGTTGTGAACAGACCAGTAACAGTTGTACATATACCCGCCGTCATCAAAGGAGCTGTGTCGGTTTTTGTAGGTCCTAAAATGGTGAAATGATTTACATTTTTATTTAAGAATGCAATGGTGTGTAAGAAGTTGCATTATTATACTTTTTGTTATTCTTTAAGTTAATTAAATAACTTATTATTCTTATTCTAAAACATATCATTCCTATTCGATAAAATTATATTTCCTATTCGATAAGTTGTTGTTCCTATTCAAAAAATATGATTCCTATTCGAAAATTTGTCATTTCTATTCGATAAATTGTTATTCCTATTTAAAGAAGCATGATTCCTATTCCAAAATATATCATAAATATTCGAAAACATGTGTTTTCTATTCGATATCATGTCATTCATATTCGAAAACATGTGATTTCTATTTGATTATTTTGTCATTCTTACTCGATTATTCTGTCATTCTTACTCGATAATTTTGTCATTCCTATTCCATAATTTTGTCATTCTTATTGGAAAATTATATGATTTATATGTAATGAACTTGTTATTCATATTCGAAAACATGTAATTCTTATTCGATAATTTTGTCAACCCTATTCGACAATTTTGTCATTCTTACTCGATAATTTTGTCATTCTTACTCGATAATTTTGTCATTCTTACTCGATTATTTTGTCATTCTTACTCGATAATTTTGTCATTCCTATTCCATAATTTTGTCATTCTTATTCGAAAATTATGTGATTTATATGTAATGAACTTGTTTTTCCTAATCGAAAACACCATTCCTATTCGAAAACATACGATTCATATTCGTTAATATTGTTATTCTTATTCCATAATTTTATCATTTATCGAATAACAAGATTATCGAATAGGAATTGTATGTTTTCGAAAAGGAATGATATGTTTTTCAATGTTGTACCACCCCCCCCCCAACCCCCCAAGCAGATGTTATTCGGAATAACATGTTTATGGAATGTAAGTCGTTTAAATGTCGAATAAGAATGACACAATTATCGAATTGGAATGACAAAATTTCTCAAATAAGAATCACGTTTTCGAATTGGAATAACAAATTATCGAATAGGAATCACATGTTTTCGAATAGGAATAACAACTTATTGAATAGGAATGATGTGTTTTAGAATAAGAATGGCAAAATTTGAATAGGAATAACAAAAAATTACAATAATGCAACGTTTTACACGCCATAGCATGCCATAATACAGGTATTGTAAAGTCAGATAACTATATAGATATTTGTCCATGTATTTTCTATATATAAGGAAGAGGATCTAAAATATAATGCGGAATAAAATGATACATGTAGATAGATAAATAAATAAGTAAACAAATTAAAATTGAATGAATAAACAGAAATATATATAAAAAAAAGAAGAAAAAGTGCTATTGAACCAAAGAGTTCCATACCAAAATACGTCTCCTTAAACTTCTGCCTGTCCATATTGCTGACGCTGTGCTTGACTGTGACCTGTATTGTGGTTTCTCTTTTACTTATATCAGAGGAATCAATCACGGATACAAATGATGAAATTTGTAAGGAAAAATTGCCAACATATTCCGGTGGAGGCATGTAAAGGACATCACCAAAATCTGTTGCACCTAAATGAAGTGTATCTCCCTTGACGGTTCCCACCGAGAAAAGGGATTGGTCAGGGAAACCCTTGCATTGAATGGATATGTCAGCGTTCTTCACATTCGTGATTAGTTTTGAAGAGAGATACAGTGGCAAAGTAGAATTGCCCTGGTCTCCAGAAAACACATCCAGTAGTGGCGGATCCAAGGGTGGTGAAGCTAAAATGGACATTTTAGGTAAAATGTGTCTCTGTTTAATAACTAAGCAGTGTATCTATAAAAAATAGACTCACTTTCTGCACAGTTTCTTCCATAAAATCCATCAAAACACGAGCAAAAGTTGATGGCTTCGCAACGCCCATTCCCAGAACAATTGTTCAGATCATTACATCGCACTGTAAGGAAATTTAGAAATTGTAGTAACTTATGATGTTATTTTGTACATATTGAACAAATTTGATATGCATGACCTTCATACATGATTGTTTACCTTCTGGGCGTGGGTAAAATAAGGTGAAAATGTTGCTCGATGAAACGGTTTGGAGTGTTCCAGAGTTTCCGATCTTATCAACGGGATAAATAATTATAGTGTGGTTTTTTCCGGGATCCACAGGTAGGGATACTGCATTTTCTCTTACGTCACTTACCAAAAGAACCAAATCCGAATCTAAAGAAAAACCAGAAAGTGCTAAAAGTAGTTTGTCTTCGGAGCTTTATCAGGGACACATATTTGTCTAACAAACGTTGTATATATTGGGAAGTTCATTCATTTTTATTGAAATGCTATAGAGCAAAAAGGACAATGTTACACTTGGTCACAAAGGAGAGAGATACGCAGTCCTGTAATTGTTTACAAATCATACTTGGATAAAGATTCACTTACAGCACCATAAATTAGGAACTCACGATCAAGTAATTATAAATGGATATGCAATGGAGGCATAGGCAAAGAAAAAAGCAGAAAAATCAAAACAGAGCAACAACAAAAAACAATGGCAATCAAAACAATAATATCAACAAATGGGCAGCGAACAAAACATAACATCTTGCCAATAACGGGCGCATTAACAAATAAATGTATCTTTTTATATAATAATCAATTTATTTTGTAAGATTTCATAAATCTTACCTGCATAAAGTATATCAATGTAATCTAAGCCGCTTTCGTTGTCTATAACATCTAGATTTAAGATTAATGATCCATAAACCATAGCCTCCCTATTAACAGAGACATTATGAACATACGGAGGATCGTCATCAATCTACAAGATAATGTTTTAATAAGCTGGTAATAATATCCCACGAAGCTCTGACGTTTTACAATTAGGATGATTTCATAAGGGTCCTTTATTAGATTTTAAGATCTCATGAAAATGTCACTTCTTTTTGAAACTTACTGTATTAAATATTTCAGGCGTATCTATGGGTTCGTTTTGATCAAATATGATGACAGCTTTGGCAGTTATCTTATCCAAAGACTTGACATCAGAACTTGGTCTAATGGAGAAAGTGACGAATCCTTGTCCCGTTGTTCCGTTGTTTGGGGGAAGAAACCCGACTGATGGATCCGAGGGAGGTAATCCTGAAATATATTTAGAGAGAGAGAGAGAGAGAGAGAGAGAGAGAGAGAGAGTTATTAATTGAGAAAACCTAGGGAATTACTACTCCATACATGTACAAGCTTTACTTAAAGATTCAGCGATAAATTATATTTTTAATGGAAAAAACGTACACATTGAAAAAATATTCAACGGTTGAATTATAAAAGGATGACTAAATTATTTCTTTTACCAGTGCTTCCATTTATAGCCTGAAATTCCCATGTTGCCTTATTGTTTATGACGTCTAATCCACCCCTTATATGAACAAAAACACCGTACTCCTCTGTGAGGTTTACAGTTTCCTGCAAAAGTACTTCAACATTTATTTTGCAACCTTTCAAAAGTCTTTCAAAAGACCTTTGTCATAAAGATGTTGGAGAAAAGAAATGACCTCAGAGAGGATAATTATGTGCTTACCTGTATAAAAGATTGCTTGAAACTCAATTCTTTAACAAATTCTCCAAATCCAAAGCTTCCCAGACGGAAGGTTCTCGAGTTAAGTTTATGCTGAAAGATTATTTCGATGAAAACTCTTTGGGCTGGTGCTGTTGCATTTTCCATATTTTCAAATCGTATCTTGTAAACCAACTCTGCTTTGGAGGTTATAAATCTGGCTGCTCCGTATCCTGTTGGTCCCAGTATATCATTCTAAGAGCAAGAAACATATATACATGTATCATGTATTCTTTCCGAATTAAATCAAAGTAATTTATCCTAATATATTTAATATCGATGAATAACAATTAATAATCTACATTGTATTTCATTGGCTAAAATAATTATTAAAGAAAATATCTTGTTAAAAAAGTAATAATACGGGATCAAATGAGCCAATCCATCTCGTGAATTCTTCCCCTAATTTGGAAGGATCATCGCAAGCCTTTGATGCAAAGTCCGCCACTTTATCTAATTTTTCGGTGTATGGTTTTACTTTGTCATACATTCTTTGTAATCCACCCTTGAAATGGTGAAATTGACTATTGATGACAGCCCCGGCAGCTTTGCAAGCAAATGAAGGCTGCAAAAAAAAAATCGTTTTAAATAACCCCTTGAGATACTTTATTAAATGTACCTTTAACAATGTTTATCAGGCACATTAAACTTGGAGTACTGGTTTAAAAACGAATCGAATTTTCTTATTCTACCAATAATTAAAGACACTATATAAAACAATTTTAATAGAAATCGCAATGTTAAAAAGGCCAATTATTTTATTCTTATTGCACATTAATACAAGTAGACATATACAAACATAAATATTTGGGAATACTTACTGCACTGTCTACAATTCTACATGGAGGATTCCAACGATCACAGAATTTGTTCATAGCATCCCGCCGAGCATTGGCATCATTCAAAAGGGACTCTATTTTCTTTTTGGTATCATGATATGACTGAAAGAATCTCGTCTTTGTTAGCATCAACATATCATTTGTAAGCAGTTGTTAAAATTGGCACATCATATAATGCATGTGCGTTACTCAATTCCCAAGAAAAAAGGGCTTAGTTAAATTGAAATTGATAATGTAATGATTCAGCCATTACCTGTATCGCATTGTCTAAGCAGTCACATGGAGATAGAATGCACTTTCTGTGTTTGTATAAAAATCCACCCACATCAATTATCCCCATGGCGACTCTGCCCCAAGGTGTAGCTTTAAGAGATTTTTTTACCCAACCAACAACTTTATTTACACCTTTGTCTACAAGATGTTTCCCACAGTCTGAAAGTCCCTGATAATATTTATTTGATTCCTTAAAATCATCAATGATATTATTAATTCCATTCCCTTCGTTAAAACGTTTTCTTCGACGTGGTTTGGTGGTTGATTTTTTATTGTCAGTTGAGGTTTGTTTTTGGCTTGTTTGTTCGTTTTCATTAACTGATCTCTTTCTCCTCTGGATTTTGAGGAGATATGCATTGTTCCCTTCGTAGAGTCTGGACACAGCTTTTCTGTAAGAATGATCCACTGTTGTTTCTACATCTGCAAACAGAGGTATTATGCACATAGTAATTTATTTAATTCCCGAAACATGCATTAGGATATTTTTGTGGACATGGATAAAACAATAAAACATTAACAAATAAAAAGTAAAAGGGTCACTTAATCAGTGGGAATATCTTATGAGTGTATCTGAACAGAATTGTTAAATGTGTTATAATGATATTAAGTAAAATATCTTTACCTAGCTCGTTAAGACTACAGCGTTGATTTTCATTGAGGTATTGCACAAGATTCATATTTAAAGGATTATTTCCTTTAAACATGTAAAGGTTAGGCTGTTGACAAAATATTCCTTCTCGATCTTTGGTGAAAAAACGTCCACTTTTAGAATCGTACGGTCTTGAACCAAAGATATATATACTGGGCATTTCAAAAAATGTAAGCACTCCCCATTGTCCGAGGTATCGAAAGTGATCTTGCGTTCCTTTGGATGACGATAAGACAGCCCCGAATGGTTCATAAGCAAAACTATCTACAGTTTCTCCTTGTCTTTCTAAGATATTCACAACAGACCTACAGCAAGAAAATATACTTACAAACTCTACTAGCTTTACACTCCATAAAAATTTTATTATCGAAGATAGAACACAGTAAAACACGCTTATAATGGACACGCTCATTATGAATTGAGGCTTACAGCGAAACGATTTTCATTCTCCATGTCTTTTAAAAATATTGGGAACTTGACGGATATAACGAATTACGTTTTTAACAAAGCAAAACCGTCCCTCCCTGGCACTTGGTTATAAGCGTGTTTTACTGTATTTTGCAAGAAAATAAAAAAAATGAATGAATAAAATACTAAAACTGTGTTCTGGAAAATTTTCATCCCCGATTTATATTCGCCCCTTTCGCCCCCTGTTCCAAAAAGACGAATTTGAAGCGTGACGAATTCAAATAAAGAAAGCGTTGTCTCTTATGCTGGACGAATCGAAATCGTGGCAAAATTGTTTACAATAGTGAAAGAGCCAAAATAACACGGGGCAAAAAAAGCCCTGTATAATAGCCCTATATACAATTATATATATATATATATATATATATATATATATATATATATATATATATATATATATATATATATATATATATATATATATATATATATATATATATATAAGGCACTAGAAAACCAACAACACTGTAAATCCAATGTGTCGGAATCTATTAAATAGATACAAGGTCAAAAATTAAATTTTATAAAAAGCACTAAAAATGACCAAAGACACGAACAATAAAATTATCATCAAAGAAAGGACAAAGAAAAAGTTATGAAGTCATAAAAAAGATAATAGAGAAACAAAAAACAACTAGCACTACAATTAAACTATCATACACTTATATATTTACAATGTTACATGTCTAATTTGAAATGCAACATTGTAAATAAATAGGTGTTTGGTAGTTTAATTGTAGTGCTAGTTGTTTTGTTTTTGTTTTTTTGTTTCTCTATTTCTTTTGTTTTTATGCCTTCATAACTTTTTCTTTGTCCTGAGGAAGGGACAGGGAGTCCCGAAAATTAAACATGACAAGTAATACAAAAAGAAACAAAGCAATAATGATGTTCAAAAGAGGAAAATGAAGATAAAATTAAAAAAAAGAAATTAAGAGGGAGAACAAAAACTCACCCAAAGCCATCATATTGATAATAAAAATATTTGTTATTTTCTTTTGTTGCAATTAAGCCTAATCCGTCGGAATAAATATGGTACTTAGTGACTCCTTGAGATTCTTCTATCTACAACAAGAAGAGAGCATCTAAGTTTACATTTTAAATTACGTATAAGATTTGTTGCTGGAACATTCACAGTCTTGTCTATAAGAAACTCTGAGACGTTTGAATTACATCTTTATTTGCAATATATGTAAGTTTATATTTTTTTGATTTAGTTACCACTCCATTATTATACAACAAATTACGAATTAACAATAAATGTGTGTGGTTTTTAATTTTTTTTTTAGTTATAATGTTGATATAGATTTATCACATCGCAATAAATAAGTTCCTCCATAAATGTTAATTTTTCTACACAAGAATTTACCTGTTTTAATATTCTTCCCGATATATCTGTCAAATATGTCACATCACTGTCATTGCACCTTTTTCTTCTTATATGGCCAAGTGTATTATATTGAATTTGACACGTTACGTTTTCAGAGGCAAACCAAGAGATTCTATTATCTAAATCATATTCCATTAAAAGATTTGACTTCCTCAACATATTTCCATTTTTATCATAGGAATGTTGTTCGCCATCAATGGAAACATACTGATTTAAACTGTTCACTTGGTAGAGTTTTGAAATGCCGTTTTGAATCACAGATAGTCGATTTTTGCTTTGGTCATATTGTAGGAGGGTCGTCGCGTTGAATGGATCCTTCATCGATATGAGTTGTCCAGATAAATCGTAAGCAAAACTCCATGTGCCATCAATTGTCTGCATAGAGGAAAGTCGTCCTCTCATGTCATATGTGTATCTAAACTCAGAAGACACTGTGCCATTTGGGTAAAAATTTGATATCACCTTAGGAAGCCTTATTTTCTCATCATATTCATAATGTGTGGTAGCATTATTTCCAAGAATTTTTGTATTTATTAACCCATTTTCATAATAAACTGCTGTAACAATGATTTTACCATCAGTGTTGTCCTTCACAGATTTTATGTTTCCATACAAATTATAATCATATACTATGTCATAAGGGTCGGATTCAATCCTTATGTTTCTCAGACGATTGGAATCATCGACAGTTTTAAATACTGTGACGTTAACCTCAGTAGTGAACCCTTTCTGTCGTCCAAATTCGTCATACATAAAGGTGATTTGGGATTGTGAATCCTTGATAGACTGTATCTTATGATTTTCTGTATATTTGAACTGAACATAGTTGACTTCTGATTCTCGCAGTGTCAATCTCTGAAACTTATCATAATAATACGTACTCTCTATTCCTCTTTGGTCTTTGTGCACAACGACATCACCCAAGCTAACATATGTCTCATTTGAGTTGTCAGGATATTTTATCGTATGTATAGAATTGTTGCGTGACCTGAACAGATAGTAAGGATTTACATTACCATCCACATAAACTACACGATATCCATCGTCGTTGTTTAAAAACCCAATACTATCACCATTGGCATCTTGCACTTCTGTTATTTCACCACTTGTTATGAGTTTCTTCACGATCTGTAAAAAATGAATACCGATAAGTTTCAGATGCATATTTTGTTTTCACTTTTGTAAATGAAGGGAAATAGGTAAACCTTCAAATGAATTAAATGACAGTTTTGCTCACCAAATCCCCTTCCATGGTTTCTGCTACATTTTGCCTCCGTAAGGTTTTCACGATCGGATACCTATTCTTCTTATGTCCTATGATATTTCCTTCATGAGATACCCAGTAAGATTCTTTGGTATTTTGTGGTACGTGTATTATGTCAAGTCTTCCATTTTGGAAATCGTGATAAATTTTCTTTGAAATTAGCTCATCATTTATAAAGTTTTCTTCGGATCTAAGAAGATGATTGAGAGTGTACCGGAAAGCTTTTCTCATACTTCTGCCTTCATTAATTGTCACAAGATCACCGTTTTCATTGTACTTATAAGAAATTTTCTGATTGCCACAATAAACGGAAGATAGATAGCCTCTTTCATTGTAGCCATAGGAACTGAAAAAAGTTAAAATAATGTAAATAAGATTTTAAATAGTTTTTTTAGCAAATTTTCAGAAAGATTGATCTTTAGCAGAATGGCCAGGTGGTATTGCATGTTAGAATGTGAACATCTTAAATGCATAATTCTTTCAGATCCACAAATCATTAGGTTTATTCAAAATATATCAATACATCATGATAAATACACAAAAATATTTAATTTAATAATCTCATAATCCAATATCATGACATAGTATCATATCACCGACATTATGTTTGATGACTACACTTTACTTACCATTTTTCATATTCAGAAGTCGAATTGTCACGTCTAGATATTTCTGCTATATTGTTATGTTCATTGTAGATAATATCAACTTCCATGTACTCGGAATATAGTGAAGAGAGACGACCATTTATGTCGTAAGTAAACTCAATTTTCTCATTTTCTTGGATAACATATTCGATCTTTCCAGTTGTGAAGTTGAAGTGATAAACTTCGTTCGTTTCAGTATCCAAATATGAAAGTGTATCTACAAGTGAAGAATCCTAGAGATATATAAACACAAAGAAAAAACACTGAAATTGTAACAAAATTGAAATCTAATCTTTATCTATCTGTCAAATTCCACTAAAGTTAAATGATGATATGTTACCCTGAAAGGAGAGCGTTAGATTTCCCCATTCCGCGTTACTGTACATTCCGATTCCATACGCTGTAAATACGATCTCCTCTCTTTTCCAGTTAAGTATTGCAAGACCTTCGTCTATGCCAACCAAAGATGTTTCCCTATTATAAATGAATATTCCAAGTTTAATCTGTTACACTAAAAAAAAAAAAACAAAGATATTTCGAATTTTATTGTCAAAAATGAAAAATTAATATACTTCTTAAAATGTATTTGATTTCATACCAATAGGGCATCATCCATCCTAATCCTATTGGACCTTTTCCTCTTCTTAGACCAAAGCGCCGAGGATATAAACGGATTATATCTAATTTTACTCCAAATTGACTTGCCTTCCCAAAGTCGAAAGCTTTCACCATATATTTTTCCTCGCAAAGACCCTCAGCTATGTACAAGAGATGTTTAACAACATTGTCCAAACTATATTGACGAAGACCAAATACAGATATTTCATTCATCACCTCAGAAATTTTATATTGAAGGGAGAACCATGATTCACCAACAAGTCCGATGAAATTTTGCCAAATGACATCCCATACAGCTTCCTCTAGAAAAGTTGGTTTCATCGTAAGCTTCATGTTTATATATGAGTGTTTTTCGTTCGAATACTTCATTCTCGAGACAACTACTTTCATTTCATTTGGTACGTTTGGAGTGGATGATCTGATTTCAAATTGCAGCCTGCTTGCTTCTAATGGTAATAACATTCCAGCAGGACCATCAGGAGATCCAATTACAATTGTCCTACCACTAGTCCAATCATCATTTTCAAAATCATGAATATACTTTAACTGACCACCAATTGCTTCAATGTGAATCAGTGGAGAATACATTTCAGAGTCACCAGAATTTTTAATATCAACATGCATAGTATCTCTCTGCCCAAGGAAAAGAGTTTCTGGCATAGATATCTTTACCGTGATATATCCATCTCTACCATTTTTTATAATCAATGCATTTTGGAAACTGGATATTACTTGAGAATCATGATCAGTCAGGTTTAAACTGTAAGTTGAGTCTTTCTTCAAATGCGCGGCATCAAATGTTGCGGCAACTAACGATGATGAAAACCAGTATTCCTTATCACTCTGAACAGTGAAAGTAGAATTAAATAAGCAGGCGGAAAAATTTTCAGGAAGAAGAGTTCCACTTATTTTCAATGTTATATTTCCGCGAGCTGTTGCTGTTTTTGGAAAAGAATTAATTACTTCAAATTTAGCAAGCTTAGGTAGGAGAGAAAGAAAGACAGGGTTGTTTATATTTCTTGAACCGGACGTCTTCAATAAAATATAATAATTTCCTCCACGTGTATTTGTTACAACAATTTCTTGATAAGATTTAAATGGATCTTCAACCGAGTAGTCGAAATCATACTCACTCGGTGCACTTTCATATTTGATATAAACTTCGTGAAAAACAAACGAGACATTGCATTCTGTTCGAATGATCATAGTTTGTGCTGCAGGAACAGAAGGTATTAAAAAGATCTTTAGTTGATTTGGAGATATGGAAAAAGATTTATTTTGCTCAAGGCTGCAGATCGGATATCGAACAAATGTGCTGTTTATGGATACACCAATATTGTTTGTTTGGTTGTAGTCTTCAAAATTTGTGCGACTCTTTACAATTGTTTTATAGGTCTCTGATGCCAACGGTGGTAGTATAGCAGAATATGTCTCGACGATACCCCCAGAGGTTCTGTTATGAATGCTAATACGACCACACTGCATTTTACCTAGAAGTTCATCAGTCACGCTCCATTGACTGTCCTGTGACAGATAAACAGAATCACATTTGTATCCACTAACTTGCTCGGAACCGTTATTCAAGATGGACCACTGAACGGTTAATTTCTCACCGTACTCAGTCTCCTCTGGTGAACTCACGTTAAATACCACTATATCTGTCCGAATATTTTGTTTAATTTTCAACACAGATATTGCAATATTATCGTTTTCGTTTAATTCAATTAATTCGTGTCGGGAATCAACTTGCATCACCAGAAAGTAGTCTTTACTCTCTATATCAAAAGGAAGTTGAATTAAAGAGGAAAAAGATTTCGTCTCATTTTTGGATATAGAGTCCGATATTTGCGTTGTGTTGATTTTCCATTCAAACGGATCATCCTCAATACTGCTGCTTATGTATATTGCAACATAGAGTTGTTTTTTCACATCACAGAATCCTGAATTACTTATGTTATATTCAACATTAATTAGTTCACCCGCTGTAAATGAATACGCTTTAGAGACCATATCTACTTGAAGATTTGCACAAAATGTACGCATTTGATACTCTAGAAGATCTTTTATTGGAAAATGTCCATGTGTAACAGAGCAATCAATTGTCTGAAGTCTGTTTCTGGACTGGTAGTTGTCCATATAATCAGGTAGTACTATAATGTAGTTTTCTTCATCGCTTATTTCAAACGGCAATAGTACAGACGTATTCACAGAGTAAGATTCTCCAGGTGATAATTTTCCAATGTGGTTGATGAGAGCAAGCTTTTCGAATTTCTGGTTGCTTTTCACGTTACTGTTGCATATAAATATAGCGTCATTCCAAGATGTTTTTGTTGATATTTCTCCCTCATTAATAACTTTGAATGAAATACAGAAAGATTCAACACCATTCAACCGGCATGCACCCGTTGAAGTAACAATTGCTTTCAAATCGACTTTCGGAAGTTCAGGAAAGGAAATTGAGCTATCACTTAGTTTCCAGTTGTTGTTTTCCCCATTCACCTCCTGTACTTCATTGTTAATGTCTGTTGTAACATTGATGTGAAAATGTCCAACTAGTGACGAAGGAATTATCAAAGTCTTATTAACTATGTACTCGGCACCACTCTCAAGCTGCCAAGACTGTCTCTGCGACGCTATAGAGATTTTGCTGACGCTATCTCCTGTTGCTTGCACGCTAATATCATCTACCCAATCTTTCTTCCCTTTCATACCATTTCCAGTATTTTTAACAGTCCAAATAACTACTAGCAATCGAGATTGCTTCGACACAAGATAATTTTGAATTGCTGTTACTACTAAATCTGGTGATGGTGGGGATAAAACTTTGACAGATATAATTTTCGAGTTATCAAGTAAATCAGTCCCTTCAAACACTCCTCTATTATTGTTTATGACTAGATTCAAGTGTCCAAATCCAATAAAATTTTTAGGAATCTGTGCTTCAACGGTCCAAGAATAAGAATCTCCAATTAATAGAGGCCCCTTCATTTTTCTGACGAAAGTTTCAGTCATGAAATCATTTGGTTCAAATTTAATCTTCAATATATCTGTCCAAAATAATTTGTCTGATATTGCAACATTTGTAATGAGAACTGTCCATCTTATGTGCATCATTTCACCACTATAAACAGTGTTATTTAAGATCTTAAAAGCTATAACTTTCAGATTTGGAACTTTTAAGGGGACACTGATTTCCCGGTTGTCTTGGTTGTTGTTTTCATCATTTTCATATAATTGCCCAAACTTGTCAGCATAAAGAAAAGCAGATATTCGGCCATACATTCTTTCGCTTAGTCTTAGCGATGCTGTTTGAGAATATTTTTGACCAGGAATTAATGATGTTAATTGTATAGGCACGTCAAATATAGATTTTGGAGAGTGGGAATTTTGAATGGTAATACTGTCAGTCCATGTGTTTGAAATTGTTGGTCCACTTCCAGTGTTTAGTACAGCCCAACTGACATTTAAAACGTTATAACCGAATTCATCAACATGTAAACTTAAAGACATTTCCTCAATTTGTAGATCCGGAAGTGACTGGGATACATTGAAATGAATGCACTGTTTGTTATTTTCTCGAGATTGATATTCAAATACTCGTTGACTTTCATCAGTGATAACGCATAAATTGTATCGTCCACTCTCAACAGTAGGGTTAATCATAAACAAAATGGACTCTGTATATTGCTGATATGGCATTAATGTGTGATGAATGTAAATTTCTTCTAGGATCATTCTCCATTTCGAATTGGTTTCTAAAACCTGACAATCAAAGCAGTCTTAATATTTTAATGACTCGCCATCGAAAGGTAGAACAAAAACAGCGCAAAATTGAAATTTTTATCAACATTTATTAAACGGGCATTTTATTCAACCAACAGCATAAATTCCAAATCATTATTCTTTCAAATTGATTTTTGTTGTTATGCGTATACATTAGTTAGGAATCTTTAAGGTATTAGATATTATATTCAACATAATTATCTTTTAAACTCACAATTGCGTCTATCCACATGGAAACGTCAGATTGCCGAGACCCCTCATTTCGTACTGTCCACTCTATTTGCACAATTTCTCCAGTTGAAAAAGTAGACCTAAAATTGCTTATTTTAAGGTTCACTACGCTTAGATCTGGAGGAGGTGATAATGTAACCTCAAGAGGTTCCTGAAACAAGAATTGCATTATTGCATATCCATGTATCAAGAAGTTTGATAGAACAAGAACAGGTCACAGAATTAAGTTAATTACACTATCCTTCGAACCTAATTTATGATAGATTTGCATGAAATGTTAGTATATACCGATGCCAACCAATTATTGTCTTCATCAGTGTACTCGAACACATTATCGTTCGCATCAGTTCGAATGAGAATGTGAAAAACTCCGTAAATATTTTGGGGAATTTTCAGAAGTTGCTTTGTTAGGTATGAACTCCCAGCCAAGAGAACTTCATTTCTAGTTGTTGAAAACATAAATTTGTCCGATCCGTCTATTTAGAAAATGATAAAACAAAAATATTCAACAATCGAATTAAGAACCAAATTAAATTGTACAAAATTAATGTAAACCATATATTTTCATATCTGTTCATGTTAATCGATAAAATACCATATATTGAATCCTTTGACCAATAAACGGAGTCCGTCCAACTGCCGGATTTTGTGGATCCTTTACCGACATTCTTGATCTTGTACTGCAGTTGGATATTTTGTCCTACATTAAATTGAAATAAATATAAAAAAGACATTCAAAAATCTGTTTGAACTCATTTAATAATATAACACATAGTTTTACCTGAAAACGTTGTTGATGGAATATCAATATTCTCGATTATCAGATCTGGTGGAGGTGTTAGCTGTACATTCACAGTTTTACGACTTCTAATAAAATTGTTAGATCTGTCAAGATCTTCAAGGTAACGAAAGGTATCCACGCTTACAAATATAAACGCTGTTCCAATGTCATCAACAAGTAATCTAACCTGAAAAAAATTTGTTTAAGTCATAATTTCTAGATTCTAGTCTAGATTGTTTGCATGAAACTTGTTGAAAAATTCAATGTTGATGCACTTGTAATGTCACTTAGATTTTACTTCTTTTATTACAAGCTTCTTACACTTACCTCGGTTATACCTTGGTACGTGTCGTTTTCTGCGATAATCTTCCGATGAAAAATTGAGGCGACCAGTCTTGCGCTACTTATGTCTTCGGTAAATCCCAAATATACTCTGTCATTCCAGTACTCATAGTAAGAGGTTGATGCTTTGCCAATGTTTTGAACTATCCAACGAACTTGAAAGGATTGTCCTGAGTGGGCCAAAGGGGGAATCGTGATTTTAATTATGGAAAGATCGATGTAAGATCTTGTTACGAAATTCCATCGGGGGCTATACTGTGTAATATTGTCTTTGGTGATATATTCAACCTGCCAGTAATATTTTTCACCTTGTTGAAGATCACGGCACTGAAACCATGTATTTGGTCCAAAGTAATTATACGACTTTGGTCTACTTCTTCTTGCATTCCATATAAATAATCTATATCTTGCAGTTTTTAAGCCTTCGGGCCAGCTAAGAAGAGGTCGCAAATCCGTTATCTCGCCTCTTTTTGGAGTTATTGGGTCTTGAGGATCCATAACTGTTATTGTCTGAAACCCTACAATTGTTTTTCCACAATTGTTAGAGACAGTCCAATTTCTCACAAAAGTGAACCCACAGCCATTTCCTATTTCAGACGGATCCTTAAAAACAATTGATACCTCGAGACCACAGGGATGGTACACTTGAACAGAGGGTTTTAGAACGTCCTCTGTAATTTGCAATAGTGATCCGCATGCAATAACAACATCTGAAGGTAGGACAACAACTGGTCCGCTACTAGATATGATACTAATTATTTGAGTCATACTATTCTTATTCTCTGCAAGGTCATATGCAGTCCACGATCTTTTAACTTTGCAATTATCGAGCATGAGATCGCTGTAGGTTAGGTTTTTAATTCCAATGTTGTCTGTTGCATTCGGTCTTCCGGTAATGTTTAGAGTAAGAGCGTTTTGACATTCCACAGAAAGATTAGGCAACTGTTCAACATATGGTAGTTCAAAATCTGAATGGAAATGTGTAATATTATAGAGGAAAATTGCCAAAATAGTTTCAAATATTATTTAAATGCCAAAACATCCCAGTTCACGAAACAAAAGAATGTTGATAAGTGAAATTCTTAGTGGATGAAATTGTAATTGGTATAACTCAAGAACAATAAATATAAATAATTTACGAACCTGTTTCAAATTCATAGAGTAAGGCCTCTCCCCTGTTTCCAGATTCATCAATGCCCATTACTTCAAATTTGTATTCAATACCACTGATCAGATTAGGTTTGGTAATCAAATGACGAGTTTGTATTTGAGCACTACATTGAGTAAATGAAGATAAGCTGTTTTTGGGTGTAAGACTACAGGATATGCGACACCGCTCGTTGCAGATCATTTCAAATATTGCCGTATTTTGATTGCTTAACCTTGTTGGAGTTTTCATCATTGTTAAAATTGGACCTGTCTTATCTAAAAACAAAATCATAACATCAAAATGTAATAATGTGTATGTAATCTGAACATCTAATTGTGGTGTGAATTTTGGTTATACGTTTGAATTAACATCTCTTACCAACAAACCATGTAAATGGTTTTTGATTAGCGGTATTATTTTCAAAATCTGTTCCTTGAACAAACAAAGTGTAAAATCCTTCGTTGAAATCTCCAGATGTCCATGAAGTTTCTTTACATTGTGTATTAGAGAAATGTGTTTCGTTCTGTAGAGTGCAATTAACATACAAGACAGGTTCATCAAAATCCCATTTCAAAGTTATATTTCCGCCTGTCACGGATGGATTACATGCACAGAATGTCAAAATTGGTGGTGAAACATCTCCTTTGAAGTAAAAATAATTATTTTTCAGAATAAAATCTCAAGATATGCTGCTGTATTTAAGCAATTGAAAAGTATGGAAAGCCATAGGGGACCCCCATGTCATGTTCTATACATTTCATTGTAAATCAATCCTGTTATACTTGAGAACATGTTCAAGGAGCTTGGGAAGGGACTCGGTAGAAGGAATTTGTATGGATCTACTATCCCAGACTTCTCTACAGAATCGGGATGACATAGTAATCAAGAAAGCAGACAAAGGCTCTACAGTAGTAGTACTTGATAAGGGGACGTACATGGCGGAGGCCCATAGACAACTCTCAGACGAACGTTTCTATAAGAAACTGGACTCTGACCCTACTAAAGAATTCTCCACCGCCATCACCAAAACTCTTGACGAAATGTTTTAGAAAAACGAGATTGGTATCAACGTCTATGAGACACTCAATCCTATTGACTGTAGACCAGGACAATTTTATCTGCTTCCTAAGATACACAAAGAAGGTATGCCAGGTCGCCCTATAGTTAGCGCAATTGGACACCCCACGGAGAAAATTTCTGAATACATCTTCTGATTTACATTCTCCGTCCACACGTAGAGAATTTGCCATCCTATCTCAAGGACACCACGGACTACATTAACAAGACGCCCTCTACTGGCCTTCCAGATCATACCCTTCTCGTGACTATGGACGTCACATCTTTGTACACCAATATTCCGCACGATGAGGGTATCGAAGCCTGTAGAGAAGTCTGGGATAGTAGATCCATACAAATTCCTTCTACCGAGTCCCTTGCCAAGCTCCTTGAACATGTTCTCAAGTATAACAACTTCATGTTTAATGGAGAACATTACCTGCAGGTTAATGGCACTGCTATGGGTACGGAAAATGGCACCATCTTATGCCAATATTTTCATGGGCAGACTTGAACGCAACTTGCTACTTCAAGCACCATTTAGGCCCCTTAACTGGTTGCGTTTCATTGACGATATAGAGATGAAGTGGGTGGAATGTCGCGAGAGCCTCGAGGCATTCATTTCGTTTGCCAACACCTTTCATCAGTCTATCAAATTTACAGTAGACGTATCTAATTCGAAAAACATATTCCTAGATACTACATCTACCCTGACTGATAGTGAAATCGAGTTCAGTCTCCACACGAAACCCACATATTCCCATCTGTATCTTATGCCAACTAGCTGTTATCCCCCACACACATTTAAGGGTGTGCCTAAGGGTCTAACCACCAGAATTCGGCGCATCTGTTCATCCTCTGCCTTATATCAGGAACAAAGCGGTCTCCTCAAGTCCCACTTATGCAAGAGAGGCTACAATGCCCGAACCGTACAAACTGCTATTGATGAGATGGCGAGACATGACAGGCAAAACCTATTACGCTACAAGGAAAAAGACAATAGCGGCAGGGTCCCTCTGGTAACCACATACCATTCCGTTCTTAAGAACCTCAGCGGTATCCTTCAAAAGAACCTGCCAATTCTCCACTCAAATAAACGAATGGCAGAGGTCTTTAAGGAGCCCCCATTGGCTGCATACAGACGCCCAAGGAACCTAAAGGACATGGTAGTAAGAACCAGATTGGACAATCCATTACCTAACGGGGGCTTTAAAACTTGCTCTGACAAAAGATGTCTTCTCTGTATGCACAGCTCTGACACAGACAGCTTTAAGAGCCCTGTTATAGGCCGCAGCTACAAAATACTACGGAATTTGTCCTGTCAAACAGACAACTGCATTTATCTCATCAGTTGCAAAGTTTGCTCCAAACAGTATGTTGGTGAAACAGGAGAGTCAATAATCACCGTTCTACCATTAGGACCAAAAAACTCAATGAACCCGTTGGTGAACATTTTAACCTTGAAGGTCACAAATGGGAGGACATGACAGTAGTGGTTATTGACCATAATCCAAGATGGACGGACGCTCAGAGAAAAGGCAAGGAAAAGTTCTGGATGCACAGGCTGAAGTCATTCCGCCCTAATGGTATTAACAAACTTAATGACTTCACCAGGATGAACGTGAACTAGACCCAATCCCGGATTGTAACAAACAAGTTCATTCTCTCTATATAATGTAAACTTCACCGTTAATTCGCATTAGCAATTCTGGAACAACCTACCCAAATCTTTACAGCTTACATTTTTGTTTATTTCTTTTATCAGATTTCCAAATTTATAATATATCCAAAATTCATATTTTAAAATTGCCCTTCCATATTATCTTTCATTTCTTTTTATCATGTATAGTTAGGCTATTTTGAGAGAATAAGACAATGTACGATTTACTGCTTGGTCGTAATTAATTAGCGATAATTAATTCGTTCAATTATGTAAATCGCATTTCACCAGAGTACACCCGATAGACCGGACGCAATTCATAGCGCTCCGGATTTCTTTGTTCACAACTGTTTATAAACTTCATATTAAACATGTAATACTGTAAATATTTAGTGTTTGTTAGTTTAGTAGTAGTGCTAGTTGTTTTTGTTTCTCTATTTCCTTTGTTTTTATGACTTCGTCCCGAAAGTTTGACAATTAATATTGTTCGTGTCGTTGGTCATTTTTAGTGCTTTATATAAATTTCCATCCGTGACCTTGTATCTATTTAGTAGATCCGACACTTAGGATATACAGTGTTGTTGGTTTTTAATGCTTTATATATATATATATATATATATATATATATATATATATATATATATATATATATATATATATATATATATATATATATATATATATATATATATATATATACTAGTAGATTCAGTGCAGTAAAATAATATAGTTAAAGTGATACTTAACACATTTTCGTTGTTTGACTAATACAAAAATTAAATCGTTGCAAACGGATGTTGATTATGAGCAGCCAAATAAAAAAAAATCATCCATTATTTTTTCCTTTAGCAAATAACGAATTTTTGATGGAAATCAATGATATTGTCATTGATATTTAAAAAAAAAAAATTATCCATAAATTTTCCTTAGCAAAACAACGAATTTTTGATGGAAATAATTGATATTTTCAACTATAATATACATTGAAACTCTCATAATCACTCACTTTATATCATCTGTGATTTTAACCCTTCTTAGAACTTTATTTTCTTGGCCGAATAAATTTTCATATCCCTCTCTTGATTATGCAACAAATGTTTAGTAATATTTCAAAGAGAGATATGAATATTTATATATTTGAAAATTTATCCAGCTAAGAAAAATCATATTCCCAGAAGGGCTTCATCCTAGGAGGATGGGTTTTTTTCTTGGCTGAATAAATGGTCCTATCTCCCAAACATTCATGCAATAAATTGTTTATCATATGCCACTGTTTTTTTTTTTTTTTTTTACCCCAGATGCATACTAATTTTAAGTGGCATCCATACACACAATTTATATATATGATAAGACAGCAACATTGACCAAAAAATATTGCGTAGATCCTTTAAACATATTATATATATAACATCAAGATGTTTAAAGTCGCCCGCGTGGCGCAGTGGTTAGAGCGTCTGTTCTAGAGTCGCAGAGTAAGGAGCTGATCCTTACGTCGCCGATTCGAATCCACTGCGGGACGTGGAGACCGGTCCTTCGGATGAGACCGTATATAAACCGAGGTCCCGTGTCGCAATAGGTGTTGGCACGAAAAAGATCCCTCATTGCTTAATGGCCCTAAGTGCCGAGTAAGGTATAAATTTGCAGCCCTCCACCGGCATGTGGTGGCGTCTCCATATGAGTGAAAAATTCTCATAAGGGACGTTAACAAGCAAGCAAGCAAGCAAGCAAGATGTTTAAGAACTTACTGACGCGGAAAGTCCAATTACTGGGATCCCACAGAGCAGACGATTCAGCTCCACAACCAGTTACACCTTTGGCAATACCTGGAAAACAGAGTGTATTTCATTTCCGCATTATAAAATTTAAACCTTTCCTTCGAAAAAGATACACACATTGACATCAGTATATGACATTGACCCATTCCCTAAATTAATTTAAAAAACACATAATGCAACGGGCAATATTTGAGGTTTGAATACATTTCAATGCAAGATATATATGAGGGTTGACCCCAAAAAAATGTCACAACTGCTATAAAATCTTTAATAATCGAAAGATTTTCAACAAATCTTTATATACTTATACACCTAAATATTTTGAGTTTTACCTAAAAATTTCATTCAGATATATGCAATAATTCTTAAAATATCAAAATATACACAACGGTGGGTCTCCTCTTTCGCCGCACGACAAGAATGTACCGACGTGGATATACGTTCATCTTGGACACTAATTTTGAATCTGATTGAACATAAGGTTTACACAAAAAGGAATGATTTAGAAATAACATTTGGACAAAGTTCAAATAATTTTAATATTACAATTTTAATATTACAAATCAAAACAAGACGGTTTATAGCAAAATGGCAGTAAAGATTATAAAAAAGAAGCACGTGAGAGGTTAAAGTGATATGCGGATGAACGGAAAATGGGTGTCAAACGTAACGTCATAACGACGTCGGTAAAATTCACACCGTGCGACGATAGACAAAACCTCTTGGTATTTAAAAAAGTACTAGTATTTTATATAATCGAATGAAATTGTTAGGCAGAAATTAAAATTGATAGGAGTAATAGTTTGTCAAACTTTGTTGATAACATTTGACTATTAAAGATGTTGTAGCGTAGAAACATTACTCATGGATCAACCCTTGTATCATTGTTATTTCAATAATTCAATGAACAATGAACTTTACTTTTAAAAAAAGACCTTGATTCAATGCTATGAAGCAATTTAAAGTAATCAGCAACGACATTCAGGAAAGTATCTTGAAAGTTATAGAAGGGTTTTATTCAATATTTTATTCACCAGTGATCTTGACCTTTTAGACACTACTCTGAGTCAAAATCGTACACATTAATGGGTCATATTACAACATTCTCGATTTTGATTTCATTCCAGCCAAAATCTAATTGTGAAAGATTATATCTTATTTACGAAATAAGATAAAATATGAAAAGATTTAAAATATTGTTGAAATCGATATACATTAAACATTTGTTTAAACATTTCAATTTTAGAAATTTCCTGGCAAGCTACGGTTTGAGTAGAAAATTTTGTTTGGACTTTGACGTTAAACTGTAGACAATTATAAAGATAGAATTTGTCAGAAATCAGGGGAACAAAACCATCATATATGTTACAAAAGGCAAAGGTTCTTTTCGTCACTGGCAAATATTCCATAATGATATTTACATTAAACGACAAATAAAAGGACATTTTTGCTCTACTGAACATAGAGCATATTAAAATGATGTTTGTGTGATGAATATAAAGGAGGAAAAAATTAAACACTTTTTAAATAATAAAATTACTCATTTTAGTGTTCAGCGGAAGGAGAAGAGGTTGATCCTATATAACAATATTTATTTCCATTTTTCTTAAGAAAGCATTGTTATAGAGCATGATCGTGATTGTATTACAAAGACTTAGTTTTAAAATCTAACTTTACTTCGTCCTCTGTATGACATTGACTTAACTTTATAAAGTTTATCTCACACAAATGTGAAGTTGACCAACTTGATGCAGGTTAATCCGGAAGGTAGCAATGGCCTATCTATAAAAATTACGGAATAGCTTATTCCTATTGACTTAATTATTTGTATTTAAAAAAAATTAAAAAATAGTTCCAAAATATATTATAAATTGGTAAGAATAAGCAGGCATTAAATCAAAAGATTTCTATTTGTATAATACTATAGTTTATCATATATAATGATAGTATATCATGTATTTATAAAGGATATCCAATGTTTTGTAGTTGAGACGTCACAGATCGTGAATTTGAAAACTATTAATATGAATTTTAACAACAATTTGGAAAAACTTTGGCAGTTTAAGTCTCCATCAGGATGGTTCATTAACTCTCGCTATCTTATAAGAGGCTAAGTAGTATCTGTTTTACATCATTCTTTGTGAAGGGAAGGAAAATCTCGGAATTTGTGGCCCTTTTGATATTTGTTCACAGTGTGAGAAAATATCATTTTCAATAAATAAATAACAGTAGTGTACCATACACAAACAGAAGGAACACTATACCTGGGTCAAGTTTGATATAATAATGAACTTTTTCTTTCAGTTCAAAATCTGGTGTAATGCGGAGTATCCAGTTCCATGAATTGGTGCTATCCAATGAATATACAGCTGAATCACTCTGAGAAACATCTATTTTGGAAATGAGATTACCAGTTTTTGTGTAGAAATAAATGAAGGCTCTTTGGGATGGTTGCACGACCTGAAAAACCAAATTTTCAATTATTATTATATATTATAGATGATGTATGAACTGTAGGTAGAATAACTATGATTTAATCAGAAAGATATAAATAGCAATATGAATAATAAAAATTCTGACTGGTGTCCTGTTATATTTAACATTAGAGTTAATTTGAAGGAAGAAGCATAAAACGTTCATTATGCTTCGAAAAATTTCACATTTATATCTTAGAATCGGGTAAAGTCATTTCAAATTTAATTCGTTCATTGGTATAAGTGCATGATACTAGTATCTACATAAAAACAACAGTAATATTTTCATAATTGTTATCTAGAACACATGAAAAACATTTTTAAAAGTACCTGCAAATCGAAGTTGATAATGAAGAACTTCTGTGTGGGTAGTATTTCTCCAACGGGCTGATAAGATACGATTTGTGGTGGCTCCACTAGGAAAAGTTTGAAAAATGTTAACAATGTTTAAGTTTATTTATGAAAGCATTAGTGGAAGAATATCTGCAGTTTGAGTGCAAGCTTTCATGCAGGAACCAATTCCGTCTTATGCACTCTTTATTCAATTTCAAGTTAGATATATGAACCACTATCTTTATTTACATGTTCATCTAAATAATACATTATAAACGATCTTGATATACCTCCGACAAAAAGCTTGATACAGGTTTTCTCTGACACCAAACTGAAAAAAAATTTCAATAAACTTTTGTCCTCTTTGTCTACATCATTTTTAAAACTATCTAAAATTAGAACGAAAAAAACAACAACAGTATTTTGCACTCGAATTCAAAAATATATCATCTAATTGGAAAACATAATATTCACTCTAGAAATATACTAGTATTCTTCCTCTTCTATAAAACTTTCATCATCATTCATAGATAGACGTACACATCATTCAAAAATATTTTGGAGGAAGCAAAACTAGACAGAAGTTGACACACATACAGACATTTATGCCATAAAGAGAGAAGAATACATTTTAAATCGTACGCATAGACTAAGAATTTTCTATACCCATTGCATGCTTTTTGGTTGACACGCTGTGAAAGTGTTCACTAACCTGTCTGAATCGCTGGCTGCACTAACCTCTCTGAGTCACTAGCAGCACTAATCTGTATGAGTCGCCGACTGCACTAATCTGTCTGAGTCGCTGGCTGCACTAACCTTTCTAAAATTGTTAGCTGCAATAGCCTGTCTGGGTTACTGGTCACACTAACCTTTCTGAGTCACTAGCAGCACTAACCTGTCTGAGTCGCTGACTGCACTAGTCTGTCTGAGTCGCTGGCTGCACTAACCTTTCTGAGTCACTGACTGCATTAATCTGTCTGAGTCACTGGCAGCACTAACCTATCTGAGTCGCTGACAGCACTAACCTGTCTGAGTCGCTAGCTGCAATAAATTGTCCGAGTCACTGGTTGCACTAATTTGTCCGAGTCACTGGAAGCACTAACCAGTCTGAGTCACTGGCAGCACTAACCTGTCTGAGTCACTGGGAGCACTAACCTGTCTGAGTCACTGGCAGCACTAACCTGTCTGAGCCTTTGACAGCACTTACCTGTCTGAGTCACTGGCAGCACTAACCTGTCTGAGTCGCTGAATGCATTAATCTGTCCAAATAACTGGCTGCTCTTTCCTATCTGAGTCACTGGCTGCACTAACCAGTTTGAGTCGCTGGCTGCACTAACCTCTCTGAGTCGTTGGTGAGTCGCTGGCTACAATAACCTGTCTGAGTCACTGGCTGCACTAACCTGTCTGTCACTGGCAGCACTAACCTGTCTGAGTCGCTAGCTGCAATAACTTTTCTGAGTTGCTGGTAGCACTAACCTGTCTGAGTCGCACTAACCTGTCTGAGTCGCTGGCTGTGTAACAGAAGGTGTTTTCACCGGTCTGACTTGGTTTGGGGGTCCAGGTAACATTAATATACCATTCCCTATTTGACATGGCATATTTTTGTAAGGGTGAGGTCGTCAGTCCAGGTGGTGATACAGTGGTTATTTCAGTGATGCTGTAAGAAGTCACAAGAAATAGAGAGAGGGGGGATTGAGAGAGAGAGAGAGAGAGAGAGAGAGCAAAAATACAATACTATATACAGCAAAACATAATTATCTTTAGTATATATAAAAATATTATATTATTTATTGTTTATTAAAGTAGCTATAATATATTCAAGTTTTATATAACGAGAATCAGTGTGAGTTTTGAAACATGTTCTATTCTTGGAAACAAGATGTGTACAATAACATTTAAGCATGCAACAGAATTATAAATGTAAATTAGAATAAAAAATTATAAATACATGTTAACAATGTTACATAATAAAGTATTTTGTTGTGAAAGAGCAAGATTTACTTGAATAACTGACTTCTCTGGTCAGTTATTCAGTTGGTCAGATATAGTCTGTAAGATAAGATTTTCAAGTAAATTGATAAAAGGTATTGTTATAGGATGTAAGCTCACTTTACTCCGTCCGCACCACTCCGAGCTATGACTTGTTCAGTCCAAGTAGAATTTATTGGGATACCGACACATGCACCGTCTAACCGTGTTGGCATTATAAACTTCGGTTTGTCTTGGCAAGGTTTATCAGAAGAGAAAACGTTTACAAGGAACTGAAGGGAAACACTACTAAGCGCATGCGTTGAGTTTAATGGACTGAAGTCCTCAATTTGAATTGCGACAGCGTACCAGCCAGTTTTGTATTTGGCAATGTATGAAATCTCGCATCTTTTCTGAAAAAAAAATGACAAGTTTACTTTTATTGATTATAATACTGTGTTCATTGAGGCTTATATTTAGCAGATTAGTTTGATAAATTCACTTAACGTTCCTAAATAACCATAGATTAGGGTGTATATTTTTACAGATATAGTCTGTTACATGTAACTTCCTACAGTATTACGATGACAAAATACCCATCACTCACCTTAGTCACCTTAGCTTTTAGAAATAAATATTTACATACTAAACTCATTGTTGTTAAGTTACTCTTGATTAGAAGATGTGAAATATTTTTGCGTTTATACGTAACATGTCATTGTAAAATCGTAACCCACTCGCCCTACCTCAGCGGCAATGATTTAAATGAGCTGAATTTTCAATGCATTGGAATGTTTATATTATAGAGTTATGGAATGGGTATGAGGGAAATAACAAATTTATGGTTCCCCAAGGGAGGAAACTATTTCCCGAGTCGGCGAAGCCGCCGAGGGAAATAGTTTCCTGTCGAGAGGAGCCATAAATTTGATATTTCCCGAGTACCCATTCCATAACTGTTTTATTATACCGAAACAATCATGGGAGATTTATTAAACTAGAGACTCGGACATTTCTTAAAACAATATAGAGGCATTCAAATAATCACAAATGCATGTGATTAAAAATATTGTAAGATAACTAATGCATCAATACTGAGGAAAATGAAATTATTAAAAAATATAAAATAATTTCACTGACACTTCGAAGGATTATCGTTGTCTTCATTTTGCTAGAATTCCAGTATGATTTTGACATTGCATGTCGAAATGTTTTGACGACATAGTTACATTGCTATTAACATTACGTCACAGACTCGAGATTCCTTGAACGCTCCGCCCACTGATCATTTTAATTGGTTAAAATTACTAATAAATATTCATGAGGGAGTAGTCCCAGGGAGTAGCTCCGATTTTTCCGGAAGTAGTCCTCCTATGAGGGAAATAGTATCTTCTCGGGGAAATAGACAGTTTTATGGTATTAATTTTATATAGAGTAATAACAGTAGAGGTATAATAAATAAATATGTCTACTTGCAGCTCTTTTATTCTTGAGAATATATAGATGCTCAATAGTTGCCCTCTGCATATATCCATATGTCTAATTTTGTTCCCTCAGTGTCCCTACCATTGACTCAAACTCAAAATTTCTGTGAACAATACAAATTGTAAACAGAGCAAGACACCGACCCCTAGAACCAAGAGTGGGGATTAGGAACCACAGAGGAATAAGCGTTCTAGTCAACAGAGCACACCCGCCGTGAACCCTCTGTATTGATCAGGTAAACAGAGTAATCCAGAGTTAAATATTATAAAAATAATGACTCGAAAATTGATAAAAATATGTCAGTCAAAATGCGACTTGAAGGTTATTCCGGTGTTGTAGAGTAGGGTTTCCCCCATAGCCAGCTTTCCCCCCGCAATCTGTACTCTAGAGTAGGATTTACCCCTAAGGAAAAAATCTCACACCAGAGCCAAATTTTCCCCTATTTCTTTCTCAGAGTAGGATATACCCTCTTTTATCAATGCTTATATAATATCGACAATATTTTGGCTAAAAGTTTATATAAAAGTCAACTGATTTTTAATAGAAATATGAATGTTTTCGACTCAAAAATAGTCAAACTTAGTTTGAAAGCTAAGAATATATAATTCAAATCATTGAGCTTCAACTCGAAATTTTAACTTATAGGAAATATACTGTGATATGTATTGTGGCTCCCTCTATTGACAGCTACTTAAAGCTATGATACATACCTTAATTCATGATGTATACTGTATTAATATATTTTGTTGAAAACACTTGTATTCAGGGATTTTTTAAAAATTTGAAACATCTTGCCAAAGGACAAAATTATTATTGTTTAGAAGGAGCTTAGTCCGGGCCCCATTCCTGGCAGTTGCCTTATTTTATTCTAGATGTTAGCGTTTATATGTTGTTATAGATTAGGATGAGAGAAATAAACTGAAAAAAACCTTATAGGACATTGTATAATAAGTCACTCAACATCCTCTATCGGCGCACAGGTACGTGTTTGTTCACAAACTTTAAAACGTTGATCAGGCCACCTTTAGTGATTTAATAATTTGTTTGCTCTTAAGGGCCCAGTGTTTTATCTAAGAGTTTATCCTTTTTAACAACGAGTGAATGAACAAATTCTAAAATTTGTTTTATCGATGAGTTCCACATACCATTTTGTGAGTATCTGAATCGAATTGTTCTTTCAGGGAAAAAAGGGAAATAAAACCAAAAGCAAATCAATAAAGAAACACTGCTTTTGCAAGCCGAAGCATAAGTATGTCCCCTCGATCCCAGCGGTGTAATACTAGTATTGAATTTGAAAGCAGAGAGCAAATACTCTCTTGTAGTTTTGAAAAATTTCATTTTTTTTTTGTTAGAAATAAATTGTATGGCAATATTGTAAATATTGTAAGTTGTATGGCAACGGTTTTTTTTTATATTTACAAACCAGAATCTTGGAGAGACAATTACAATATACGCCTTAATATTATGTACATTTAGTTTGAAATACAAACTGGAGAAAATTGAAAAAATCCATTTAAATAAAATTCTTTGTGTCCATGGATAGAGTTAAAAATTTGTCTCCAACCGATTATATTGTACCAATGTTTTAGAAACCAGTTTGATCAGATGAACAGAATAAGATTTTATTGCTTTAAGAGAATTGGTTGAGCAGTAATTTAAAAAAAAAAGTGATTTTGAATTTTCAATTTTCATACTTTGTATGTTTCAATGGAGCTGGTAGCCATTTTGAAGAAGGGACACTTGTAACAATGCGTCCCCCTCCCCCACATACGGAAGTACAGCCATGATATTTTACTGGGGGGAAATTTACTTTGGAGGAAATCACACTCAACTATTGGTGTACAGTAGGATTTCCCCCATATCCAGTTTTCCCCCCGGACTCTGTACTCTACAGCAGGATTTCCCCCGAGGGGAAATCTCACACCAGAGCCAAATTTCCCCCTCTTTCTATCTCAGAGAAGGATTTCCCCTCTTTAATCAATGCTTAAATCATTGACAATTAATATGTCAATAGTTTTTATGAATGTCAACTGTTTTTTAATGAAAATATGAATGTTTTCGACTCAAAAATTTTTGAATTTAGTATGAAATCTTAAAATAAAGAGTTCAAATCATTGGGTTTCAACCCAAAATTTTAACTTATAGGAAATTGTAAATAAGTCACTTAAAAATCTAAGTTTCGATGTTTCAATACCCTCTCTTGGCGCAGCAGTACGTATTCGATCACAAATTTTTCAATTATATCAGGACACTTTTAGTGATTTGACAATTTGTTTGCCCTTCAAAGGCACAGTATTTCGTATTTCATCTATGGATCCATCTTTTCTACAAAGATTGTGCGAGAAAATTCTAAAATTTATGTTAATGTCATGCACATACCATTTTGTGAGTATCAAAATATTGTAGTTCTTCAAAGGAAAAAAAAAAGACAAATCCATAAACACAACAGTACAAGAAACACTGCTTGCATAAGTGGAAGCATAAGTATGTCCCCTCTGTTGCAACCACTATTGAAATAACGTTCACTATTGAAATAATTATTTCAATAGTGGTTGAAAGTTCATTTCAAAACTAAACACAGGTTGCAACCTCTATTGAAATAACGTTCACTATTGAAATAATTATTTCAATAGTGGTTGAAAGTGCATTTAAATCAAACACAGGTTGCAACCACTATTGAAATAATGTTCACTATTGAAATAAAAATTTCATTAGTGATTGAAATAAAAATATTATTGAAATAACCCCACTTTTGAAAACAAAAAATATATAAAGATAAATTTTTCATTATGTTTCGCAACATAATGAATTAATTTATTGAGTTTAAAATATGAAATGTAATTCTATGTTTTAATTTCTGTCCAGAAATACTATTAATACACGGATGTCTGTGATTTAAGTGATCTAGTAATTTTAAGTAATTTTATTATATAAGGTTCATAATTTCTATTAATTGCGGAAAGTAACAGTTTATAAAAACAGATAGTTTTTAGAATATCTACATACAAAGAAAGAAGAAATCTATGTAACGACTATGAATACAGACTCTCTGATGATAATATGGTTATTCTTAATCAATAGGATATATAATAGAAGTAAATTTTCGCTTATATAAAATCAAAATCAACTATTCGGGAAAACTAAGTATAAGCATTATTACATAAGAGGTTGCTATTTCAATAGTGGTTACACGTATAAAACCGCTGTTGAAATAATATAAACTATTGAAATAATTATTTCAGTAGTGATCACTATTTCAATAGTGGGTACATTGTTGCAACCACTACTGAAATAGTGACTATTGAAAAAGTTGTTTTAATAGTAGATGTTATTTCAATATCGGTAGTGTTTATGCACCCGTTATTGAAATAACGATCACTAATGAAATAATGATTAATTCAGCAAAAGCTTGCCTATAATATTTGCATGCTTTGTTTGAATTTAAGGTATGTCAGTTAAATAAAAAAAAATGTCCTTGTATTTATGGTAATTTATAGAAAAGAAAGGAATACATAAATTTACACGTCATATTTTAAACTCAAAAAATATTATATATAATTTAGTAAACGTAATGAACAAATATATCCTTATGTTTTTTGCAATTGTAGGTCTATTTCAGTAACTATCAAAATAATCATTTCAATTACTACTGAAATCTTCATTTCAATCGCTATCGAAATCTTTATTTCAATAGTGAACTTATTATTTAACACAATTAGTGAACTTATAGTTAACTTATTTCAATAGTGGTTGCAGCCTGGTTTAGGTTTTTAAATGCATTCAAAACCTCTATTGAAATCATTGTTTCATTAGTGAACGTTATTTCAATAGTGGTTCCAATCTGTATTCGGTTTTGAAATGCATTTTCAACCACTATTGAAATAATTATTTCAATAATGAACGTTATTTCAATAGTGGTTACAACCTTTGTTTGCACTCTCAACCACTATTGAAATAATTATTTCAATAGTGGTTACAACCTGTGTTTGGTTTTGAAATGCACTCTCAACCACTATTGAAATAATTATTTCAATAGTGAACGCTATTTCAATAGTGGTTACAACCTGTGTTTGGTTGTGAAATGCACTCTAAACCACTATTGAAATAATTATTTCAATAGTGAATGTTATTTCAATAGTGGTTACAACCTGTGTTTGGTTTTGAAATGCACTCTCAACCACTATTGAAATAATTATTTCAATAGTGAACGTTATTTCAATAGAGGTTACAACCTGTGTTTGGTTGTGAAATGCACTCTAAACCACTATTGAAATATTTATTTCAATAGTGAATGTTATTTCAATAGTGGTTACAACCTGTGTTTGGTTTTGAAATGCACTCTCAACCACTATTGAAATAATTATTTCAATAGTGAACGTTATTTCAATAGTGAAACAACCTGTGTTTGGTTGTGAAATGCACTCTAAACCACTATTGAAATAATCATTTCAATAGTGGTCGTTATTTCAAAAATGGTTGCAACACCCCTCGACGCTAGCGATGTATTATTGGATTTGCAAGCAGAGAGCAAATACTCTCGAAAATTTAAGCAAAATTTTGAATTTTTAGCAATAAATGACCTATTTTTAGTTCCATGGCAATATTTAAACACCAGAATTTTGGAGAGACACTTATATACATGTAGTTTGAAATACGACTGAAGAAAAAAGATTGACCAGATGAAAAGAGTAAAATTTTAATTCTAAAAAAAAAAAAATCTTTTGGACGGTTACTGAAAAAAAGAAGATTTAATTTTCATTTTTCATGCTTCGTATGTTTCAATGGAACTGGTCGCTATTTCGAAGAAGGGACACTTGTAATATTATGTCCCCCCTTCCCCCTCACACACAATGATATTTTTTTGGGGGGGGGGGCGGGGGTAGGCTCTTGGGGAAATCGCACTCTATAAACAGAGTAGGACCCCCCCCCCCCGGGAAATTGAATCTGGTGTGGGATTTCCGTAGGGGAAACCCTTCTGTACAGTAATCTTTTCGTGGGGGAAATCCTACTCCAGAGCCTATTTTCAGGTGCCAAAATCCTACTCTAGAGCCAGTTTTCCGGGGGGGGGGGGTTTAAAGGGGAAAACCTACTCTACAAGACCGGTATTTACAAGCATACGTACGTACACCGTATTACAATTGCAAAATACCTTTCGTAATTCAAAGTACAAAACTTTAAGTTGTACAGTAAAACCGGACAATATCTTACAGTTCATATCAAATCCAAGTTTATAGTGCAAATTCAAGCTTTTTTAGCTGATATTCTTACCTCGTCAAGGAAGGAATTTGGAAAGGAACGACAGACTCCACCGCATTCCCTCTTAGAGGATTCCGCCCATCTACATCGAACTGTGTCATTATCTTTGTCATAAACTGAAATTTGTTCGAAAAATTCACATATTTATTCTGGAGATGACAAGTATTTTGACTAATATATACGAGGGCCGTTCAAAAATTACGCGGACTCTGCTATTATTTAATTTTACTGACGTAAATTAATAACTATGAAATTTTTACAGAAACATATCTCTTTATGATTTTTGTAAAATTTTGGAACAATTTTTTGATAATCGTACATGTATCGGAAATCTTATAAATGTGATATTTTAGATGAAATTTATGATACGCTTGTTGGAAATTACAATGTGCAAGTAAATATGAGTGAGGGTCTAGTTGTCAGTTTTCTGCATTTTTTCCGCAGAAAATTAAAATACATACCTGGGATAGTTATGTTGTGCTCACATCCGTGCTGTAGGCGTATGATCGGAGGCATAGCAGAGACGGGGGATGAGTTAATTTTACCGGTGTCACGTCTCCGGTTTAGGTCAACTGTTGTGCGCATTTCCCAGTCTCCACCCCCAGATACAAGCGATATCCAATCTCCTCCAGTAAATCTGATAAAGTTTATATATAAATGAAACTTGTGCTACATGTCAAAAGATAATGGCTCAAACACTGAGGCTGAATAAAAAAAAAAATATTTTTAGGATATGGAAATACGATATATTATAATTGGCTAGTCATACGCACCCAAATTGAGCAGCTTTATCCTGAAAAGTGTGTGTAAAGCTGCGTTCCCCCTGTGTCCAATCTTCCTGTAAACTAAAATCGGTGCAAACGATTCCGACATCTGAAATCGTTTGAGAAGAGCAATCAAAACACACCACATTTCCAAGATTAGCAATGATATCACCGTCTTCAATAGTTGTCCTATCACACCTTGTTAGACTGCTGTAAGTACGTCTCCATGCCATCCGGAATGTAATTATGACCTGGAACATAGAATATGTGGAAAATATTCTAGCAAATTTTATTATTATTTTTATACTATATATGAGATTCAAATGTCATGTTCATTTCACATATAATGAACAAAAATTTAAGAAGAAAAGACACCTTTGTAGTGGACTTTCTACATTTAATTTGGCTGGAACTCATACAAAATTCAAATAAACACATTAAACCTTCTTAAGAATGATTTTCAGCCATTCAAACTTCAGAAGATGTTTATTTAAAAATCACTTAATCACTTCCTAGATTTTTTCATTTTTTTGTTATGATCCTTAAGAATATTTTTTTATAATATTGGATTTAAATGCCTGAAATAAAACATTTGGAAAAAAACATTTCCCCGGATATTCAGCCAACTCAAAGCTCTGTTAAGGATTATGTAGCTAGGTGAAGTTACCTAATAATCAGGTTTTCCTACTGTAAAATCACTTGAAAATATATCATTTAACTTAGAGGATATGATTTCATATGACGAAAATTAAACCCTCCCAAACGTTAGAAACACAAATTTAGTTGTAAAAATTAAGTGACCTTAATGAACCGTCACGTCAAATGTTGCAAATAGCAAGAAACATTGCATTTTTGCAGAAATCGAGATCAGATCTAAAATTGCCTTCATAAAAGTTTGGTCACCAGTAATTGATAAGCATAGGCATGATGAATGATTGATTGTATGTTGTTTAACGTCCCATAAGAGAATTTTTCATTCATAAAGAGACGTCACCGTATGCCGGTGAACGGCTTCAAATTTAGAACTATACTCAGCATTTAGGCCATTGAGCAGTGAGGGTTCTTTATCGTGCCAACGCCTACCGTGACACAGGACCTGTGTTTTTAATGTCTCATCCAAAAGACCCTTGATTGACTTTAACTTCTAGTGCAGGGCGCTTGGTGAAGGAACAATCACTACGTATATTTACGTCTTAGGTTTGACGCGGCGAACGATAATCGAACCCGGCCTCCCGATCACTAAACGAGAGCCCTACCACTAGGCTGCTGTGACGGCAGCATAGGCAAGATTTTAAGTAAATAAATCAAAAAGAAAAGAAAGTTAAATGAAAAAGCAATCTGAATTTGTTTCGTTAACTTAAATTTTTTGGGGAAAAAATACATTATTGAAGCAAAGACTGTTTTAAACCTTTCCTCAAATGTATTGATACTATCATCCATTTTGTATCTCTGCAAATATAAATTGTTAATTGATACACCTTGTATGGAGGTTGTGATTAACTGAAGACAGTTTTCAGACATTTGATTTTTAGTGGGTTTGGCCCTACATTGTCACTATCTCTTGATTTTGCATCGTGCAAACAAACCAAACAAATATCTTAATATTTCAGTCCGATAACTTTTTTTTCATGCTTTAGCGTGTGTCTTTAAACATGCAAGTCTTTTTATTTACATTTCTTCCCCGAGTAATATGCTCAACAATTAAAGTTTGCTTTTAGATTCAATATGTATCTTGTAAATGGCCCTGATATGGTGAAAAAACACATCGCTCAATCTTCTTTTAATTAATTAGAATTTTTCTAAGGAATCAACATTGGTGTTGTACAATCGTACATATCAATAATCCTCACACACGCGCGCGCACACACCCACACAAATATTCAATAAAATATTTCTCCTTGGTATAGGGATAAAAAAATTCCAGATTTAAATAAAAAACTCAAACTTTAATATATAGCGCAATAGATTAACGTTTGAGTTTTTCATTTAAATGTGGATTTTATATATATATATAAAATATGCTCCTTGTCGTGAAATCTGTAGATAATTCAGTGTGTAAATAATAATGGCCTAATAATTAGTTTGAAAAACGTCAGTCAGCATTTGGCATTTGACTATGATTGGTTGTATTTGCTGACAAGGTCATTGTATAGATGCATACATTACTGTGAATTTAAGGACTTTCAATATGAGCACATTTAGAAATAAATTATCTTTTTATTCAACAGGCCCAGGGATCATGAAACATCTTAAGCCTAAGTCGAAATTTTTATGTTGTATTAAAATATTGTAGTTGTCAAAAAGACCAAAACTGAAATATTTTGTAATGTTACACTCAACAACATGCAATATTTATATAATATTGCTTACAAAAGTTTTGTTATCTTCAAATTAAGAGAATAATTCAATAATTAATTAATATTTTAGTGGCGATTGAAAATTTGACTTAAGTCTAAGACTGTTTCTTGATTCTGGGGCCAGGTATCTTCATCAGATCCTGATATATAGGGTAAACGTGATGTTTTGGACTTTTAGGCCTCTATGGAGCCCGTGAGGATCCTTGGAACTAAATTCAAAATTTCAAAAAATTCATTGCACATCTACATAATTAGGCCAATCATATGCAGAGTTGTTTTACTTGCTACGTCTAATCATGTCGGAGAAAAAGCCAGGATTGGGATATACTGATCCTGTTTTGGTTAGAAAATATTCATTTATGGGGGTTTAATATCAATAATAGTTCTAAAATATAAAAAAAAATAATCATGATTTTTTCCTTCAGACGTCTTAAAGAAATTTCAAAATTATAATGCTTCTAGAACAAACTTATATTTAGTTTTGTTCCTCACATAGTACAGAGAGGGGCTTAAAACTATTTTTTTTCCCCAAAAGTTATTAGTTTAAACTTTATTTCATTTAAATAAGTCATCATATGTACACAATAAATAATGACATACAGGATTCGGAAACAAGTTGTTACAACTTATATTAAACCGTTTCCTTAAATTAATTAATTTTCAATTATGAATATAGTACATTTGCCCCTTTTGCATGACAAATATAATAGAAGCAATAATTAAAAAAAAAAAAAACAAAAAACAAAAAAAACCCAGAGTGAATGGAAGAAAAAAAAATGAGCTAAAAATGAACAGATATTTGGAAAGATATCATAACATGGGTTCATTCAATTTTATATATAACAATTTGAAGGTAAGAAATAATCAGTCGTACTATCAAAATTTAACAATTGAACAATACGACCACAAAATACTGTTTTCAGACCTGTGTTATTTTTTGTATCTATAAGACTGTGTAATTAAGTTTCCATGTCAAATGAAATTATCTGCAGTATTGTACATGGGGTGTTTTACGAGCGTACTTGTACATTATTGCGCAGACCTTTTCAGGAGGTCTAAATATTTATAAAATTAAATATGGAGATAACTACGGAAGCCCAATAGTGCAAACCAAAACTAAATAAAAAATAGACAACGAAATTATTAAATAAAAAAAAAAAATTGAATGAAAATTGAAATCATTAAATAAAAAAACGAAATTACAAAATAAAAAAGGAAAATTATTAACTAAAAAAAACGAAATTATTAAATAAAAAAACGAAATTATTAAATAGAAAAACGAAATTACAAAATAAAAAAACTAAAACTAAAACACAGAATTTAGATGTGCATGGTAAGGGCGTGAACCCATGCATCATTCCATAAAGCGCACGCACGTGTTATAAAGCATCACTTAGTAATTCTGAATTTGGTCTCTAGAGTTACTGGCCAATTCATCAGACTGGTCAAAGTTCACATTAATGTAAGATAAACACATAGATCTAAGCATATTAGATAACCAAAGAAAAAATTCTCCCCTATTGTGATTGTCTACTCCATCTGGTTATGTTATCAATAATGGCATAGCTGAGTGTAAATGCAAATATTATCAAACTTGTTTTAATATCGAAACAAAATCAGGTCTATTGAATTAATGCTTTATAACACCTGCGCTTTATGGAATAATTCATGGGTTCACGCCCTTACCATGCACATCTAAATTCCGTATTTTAGTTTCATTTTTTTTTTATTTTAAAATTTCGTTTTTTATTTAATAAGTTGGGTTTTTTTTATTTTATAATTTTGTTTTTTATTTTTCACTCTCGATTTTTATTTAATAACGTTTTTTATGTAATAATTTCGTTTTTTATTTAGTTTTGGTTTGCACTATTGGGCTTCCGTAGATAACGAACAGTATTCAAGCTCACAGTCCATTTAAACAATTGCAAATCGAGAGCAGAGCAAATGATTTTTGAAATGTACAAAAATCATATCATATAAAGGTGTGCATATAGCGTTTACTGAGTTCATTGTCAACATAAGGTACCTGTCATATACAATGAAGTTAGTATTAGTGAAAAGAACTCACTGCTGTAGTCCTACATTGGGAAAAGACATGAAATCATATATTCAATTACTTCATTTTGGTCAAATGTAAATCTTAGGAATGCTTCAATAAAATTGTCATTTAACTTACTCTTTAGTACAGATCAAAGCAGGTCACTCCTATTGCCTAACGCTACCTTTGAAATAAAAACTCTTGAGAATTCATTTTCAGTTGTGTTGTAAAAGTACGTTCAGGTGTTAAACATTTACGCATTGTCAGAAAGTTGTACGTTATCTATATTTAAGTTCCATGGTTTCATTTGCGCACGTTACATGCATATTATTACTCATCACACATGAAGTTTACTGTATCGTTAGTGATGTAAATAAATGCTACTACACCCATAATGTTAACTAGGTTTATGTGTCCTTGAGTGAAAGCTTAATATTGGCGTATCTCATGTTGTATTTCTTCGTGAGTATTATTGAATGATTAATGCGATGTTCATGCAACAATGCTGCACGTTTTTTGTTCGCTTATTTTGTAAAATCTAACACACTTTATACCTACTAAGACTTTATAACAGAATGTAACTTTGCACTCACTTCATTCTCGTTGTTTGTCGGTTTCCACATTAAAATTCCTCCACGGAAATGTGTCCCCTCTGCCGTTTGAGGTAAGATCCAAAGTATAAAAAAGAGCTGAAACCAAGAAACCATTGTCCTATTATTTCCCAAAAGATCTTTTACATCATGTCCTTTCTTCTCTACATTCCTCTGTTTTCAGTTTTATTCATTTACGAAGCTCTGGAGGAAGAAAACACAAACACTTGTGATGTCAGGGTTTCGGTTTCGGTAGTACGCTTCGCGGGTTTTAACAGGTGTACCCATAGCGATTGAACATATTTAAGGTATTTTTAAAAGGTTGACTTGGGCAAGAAATTTACACGCTGACCAGAAAATGCAACTTCTCGTAGTGATAAGGAATTCAAACCTGACGAGTCAATGTTAATTAATAAAACCATTGTTAATTAATAAAACCATTTCTTATTCCGTGTTTTCAAAACATTTCACTTTCTAAAAATAATGTATACTGTAAAGTTAGCATATTTAAATAAATATCTTTTTTTTTCTTTCGAGTGTTTTCAATATCGGTATTAAATTATGAATGGTATTCATTGAATCATACTCAATTGAAATATTAATCCAGAAAAGAAAAATAAATCCAGTTTTCATATAATGAGTTTATTTTTCGGTACAGGATTCCTCTAAGGAGGTAATGTTTCCAAAACAGATCAGTATTTAACAGTATCATCTGACTTGTCGAAGGTCCTTTTAGAGAAAAACTCGTAAACAGATCAGAGCCACTGAATTTAATCCTGGTCTATTTATTTAGGGCGAAGATAAGGTATAGTGCCTTCACTAACCTTGCAAAACCGATGAAAAGTCATTTTCTTTAATAAGGAAGAATTTCACCATAAAGAATATGACTTCTTAGTAGTCGAGAAGTTTGTTTGATTCGTATAAAGGTTCATGTATTTGTGAAGTTGTGGCGTTTTGATATTTAGATTATTACAGAAGAGATAAATGATTTAAGAATGTTGAAATAATTTTACTTTTACTATTAAGATATTTAAAACCTGAGTAACATATGCCTTTACATTTAAAAGGGCCTGGACACAGTTGCATTGGGTTACATTTTAATTTTCTATGCTTATTCAAAAAATAAAACCAGTTTAATGAATTGAACTTGCATGAATATTCTTAGAGTTAAATGACAACGACATTCTTCTTTACATCATGTCAAACATCTGTGTTTGTAAACAGGACACGAGTTCTGTTATTGTTAAATGTTATTGTTTCATGGGTGTGTTCTATTTGTTTAACTCTGCACGCATCACTGAGCACGGACTGACAATACTGGTGAGTTGGTTTTGCTTTCTCACATTTTTACTCTGAATTTTCTGGATTATAGTTTTTAATATTTTTCATTAATACACAACGAAGTTTTTACTTTTCTTAAGTATTAAGAATAAAGTTTACTCTGTGAAAGTGAAAGGGTGTGTCAATCAAACGCGTCCTGAAATTCGGAGTTTCAATAATTTCCAGATAGAAGACGTTTCTGAACATGCTTTTATTATATTTCCGTGTGAAACGCTCTAGTTACATAAAAGTCATGATATTATACAGAAAATTTGGGAAAATATTAACTTCAAATCTGTGTCCAGGCCCCTTTGAATACAATTGTTACCTTGATATTTAGAAATGATTATCAATTTACCGTTTCTCTTATTGCCCAGCATTCAACCTATAATAATAAAAATCATTAGAAACAAAACCTTAAAAATGAGTAACTAGAAAATTCTCTGCGAAAAATTGTTTCTGATATCCATAGAACATCAATCCAAAAGGCATGCACATCTAGTATATAGTGTCAGATACTAACTTTTTAATTCCTCAAAATGCATGTATCAAAAAAGGTCGTGCAAAGGCAAATATTTTAATATAATTTTTGTTCTTGCTGTCAAAAGAAAAACAAACATGTACTATTTATTTATGGCGTCTTCTGTTCCTCCTTTTTAAATGGGTACATATTTACTATTAGATATTTCAATCAAACAAGCCATCAGAACAGTGACAAGGAGGTTTAATTTCCTATTGATATCAATATTACTCTGTATAAAATTCACATGCAATTTAAGTAGAAACAGATCAACATAACAATATACTATTAGAAGAAAATGCATTATCAAAGGAAAATAAATTGTATCCGGACAAGTAAAATGATTGTGCAGACCCCCCCCCCCCCCCGTACCCCCGTAATGTTTCAATTTTAACAGGGAAGCATTAGTGCAGGCCAGGAGCAAGATATGATGCATGGTATATTGAACAACATTGGAAAAAGGAAAACAAAACATTCAACATTATCTTGAGAATAAAACATGTTAGATGATGTCAATGTCAAAACTAGTAAAAATTAACAAACACAAAAGATTGAACGTTATTTGATTTAAAGAGGCTGGGGGGTTGTGGCCATTTTTAGACTATATTGATCTCCTTTAGAAGAAGAGCTCCATATGAAGATATAGAAAATGATCAAATTTTAAAACTAAAATTTTTGAAATTTTTCTTTGCCAAATGATAGTTGACAGCTTAAGATATCATATCTAAAAAATTAAGTTAAATCTGGTGGTTAATTTGTGGTTAATTTGTTGACCCCCCAGCCTCCTTAAAACACAAAAATGTAAACATGAAGGGTGTAACGATTATTAGATTAGAAAATAAGTAGAATGGGGGCCCAATAAGTCATGTCATTTTCTGCCGAAAACAGAGGTACAGTTACTAGACATCATATAAGCAGCTTCAAGTATTGAAGATATTATTCATATGCTCAGAATTGTGCATTTGATTTAGATGAAGAAAAATGCTATCGAATGCACTATCTTTACAAATCCCTTTAAACAAACTACCAATTCATTGTAAGATGATGACTATGTTGATACCCTGTTTTAGTACTTTATAGTTGCGATATTCTTGAAAGATGGTTTTGTAATAATTAATTAGTTGTACATGTAGAGCGTTAAATAAACTTAAGGAACAGTTGTCCTATAATAAATTAGTTGCACATGTAGATCAATGAGAAAACTGGAAGCACAGGTGTCTTCTATTTCTTTTATTTCAAAATGTTGAATACTGTTACTAATCCGAAAACTCTGGCAAATCTGAGTGATGGCCTAAAAAGTTAAATAAGACATGTATAGTAGAAGGTGCTTAACACACATATAATAAAATATACTAATATAATATACTATGATATAATATACTACACTATAATATAATATAATAAATATAATATAATATAATATAATATAATATAATATAATATAATATAATATAATAATAAATATAATATATTATAATATTTACATATTTAAATTTCCGTGTCCGAGATAAAACTACAAATATTAAAAAATGCTTGATTTCTACATAAAACTACTGGTTCATTGATAGGCATGGTTTAAAAGAAAATCACGTGCGGGGCGGGAAACAGAGAATGAGAAGTAGGCGGGGCTTGAAGCACGTGAATTAACAGAATCAAGAGCATGTTAATTTAAGGAAAAATTGTCAGATTTTTTGGTTTTTATGATGATGATCATGCAATTGGCTTGTGTGATAATTTAATGAATGAACGCTTTCGTAGTTTATGCAAATTATCACGCAAGCCTTTTGTTTGATCACATCATAAAATCAAAGAATTAGACAGTTATTCCTTAAATATAATATAATATAATATAATAGAACAGAATATAATGTAATGTAATATAATATAATATAATATAATATAATATAATATAATATAATATAATATAATATAATATAATATAATATAATATAATTAGGGATGTCAACGAATATTCGAGTACTCGACTATCGTTCGATCATACCGACTATCGACTAAAAGTTTTTTAGTCGGTTATTCGTTAAAAATTTGCTACTTATAATAGCGATATCAATTTCAAGGTTAAAAAAGTTGATTTATTTACGTATCAGTGTTCAGTGTTCTCGTGAGTAAAACGCAGGGAAAGACTTAACCGGTCTTCGTTAATTGTTCAAAGATTTTTTTTGTTCGGCAAACATGCATTGGCATACTTTCAAAGATGTCATATCCAAATTGTAAAGTTTCAGCCTGCAATTCTGTAAGATTTCATATAATGCAACTATCAATTAATAAAGAATAATTAAACAGCTGTTACATATTTGTAAATACATGTAAATTGGGGGCCAGTTATGAGCGTAATTTAAAGGTGTTTCTTTCTGATATTAAAATCAATCATTTTAATATTGTGTTGTTTGCAAAAAATCTCATAATTAAAATTTATGGCTAGCTCTCTTTGTTTTTATAAGAGTTACGTTTTAATTGTTTAACAATCACGGGTCACTGACAAGACACATTCAAATGGCTTCAGGTACATGTACTAGCAGCATGAAAAGAAAGGATAAAAACAGATAAAATGTGCAGTTAATATTATATTTGAAATCAAATACATTGGATACATATATTTATTACAACGTAAATGTTAACGATTCAATAATTCGTTATTCGTTGTATAATGGTGATAGCGTAGATTAAATATTGTACAGGCTAGCAGTTTGTTAAAGACAAACACGAAAAATGACATGAAAAATTAAATTAAATTTCAACGAGTACTCGACTATCGTTCGACTAAAGCCTCCGACTATTCGACTAAGCTGTCCGGGTAAAATTGACATCCCTTGATATAATATAATATAATATAATATAATATAATATAATATAATATAATATAATGTAATATAATATAATATAATATAATATAATATAATATAATATAATATAATATTTTATTTAACACACTCATTGTGTAATTTCCTTGCGTCTTTCCATGCCCAGTTTGCTGACAATGACGTACGATAAGGAGAGCAGCATTGCTGGTGCATGTGTACCGAATTCTACTCCCGATCATCATGAAGCTTCTCGAATGGTCTATCAATTGAACTTCTTTTCCAACCAATGGACTGCATTCTGTATATTTTAAAAGATATAGATTATTGTTACACTTTTAATTATGCTTAAACATACAATTTGATGAATTTCATTTTAGGAACACAGGTAAGCTGTATGCTATGAGTACCGTTACTTTAAGCATGTCCAATGTGACCATACATGACTAGCACTCTTTTCCCTGGTTTTGAAATATCATTTAAAATATGTTATAAATTGTATGCTAAAAATTCGTATATGTGAACAGCTTTTGCTGCCAAATCCTATCCCAGTCAGAGGATTAGGATTTTTTTTAAAAAAAAATTCTTCAATTCAAATCCAATCCAGTTAAAATTATAAAGTAAAAAATATCATTTTGTGATTAAAATATAAAAAGTCACACGGCTACCATGAGATAAATATTCGAAGAGTATACCTCTTATACTTCAGAAAACTGATTTGCCAAAACTCGGAATCTCTCATTTTCTCCACGTACAGTATTATTACAGGGAGATACATCTAACTGAATGGAAACGCATAATTTTATTTTTGGTTTTAAGGGTTGAAGTACCTACAAAAGCCGAGGAATTTTATTTGAATAAAGAACAATAGCGAAATTTATAGCGTAAATACGAAAAATAAAATATCGTTATTACGAAATAATTTCTCATATAACGATTTTTTTTCTTGTTATAAAGAGATATTATTTTTATTCTTTAGATAGTTTTACTAGCCTTTTAGTCATTCATATTTCTTGCACACAAACACGAATCGAGGGTATTATAAAAAAATCAATTTATATAACTTTCTCTCAGTCAGCGGTTGCACCTCCAAAATTAAGAAAGTCTGATATTATTGAACTAATACTGACTACAACTAGCAAACTTCTGCCGTAACAAAACTTTACATATCAAACTGCGAGTGAAAAAAATCCAGAACTCCAAATCCTTTTTAAGTGCATAGCAACATGATGGATTAATCAAAGCAACGAGTTACTTGAACTTATTTACAAACAAGAATTTAATGCAATTTCTAAAATAAGACTATCGTTTGCATCCCCATTAGATATGAATTTTCATATGACGTCATAGTTTCGTCACTAAAACGGCTTGAGATTTTCCAATTTTATCGGATATATATTTAAGAAATTTTCAGTTAGTCAAGAAATAGATGTTACATGAGGCTGTAAAGAGGTGAACGCAGACAACAAGAGTTAACTGAAAATTGTTAGTTACTGTGTAGAATTCATTAATACCCAAATGATACCAAGGAACTGGGCTCGCCCTGCATTCGCCGTCGGACATATAACTAACTAAGATTGTAACAAAAGCTTATATCAATGGATTTCAATGACGCCCTCGATCCACGTTCGTGTACAAAAATATGAATAACTGAAGAGCTAACAAGACTATTTCTTAATAACTCAAAACATCTAGAAAGATCTCGTAACATCGACAAAAAGTCGAGAAATGATTTCTAATTAAATCGAGATTTTTTCCAGCTATAAAAAGACCATTTCTTGTTAAAGGATGATCTTTTCTTATTATAAAAAGTTAATTTTTCTCGTCATACCGATATATTTTTTTGTAGTTGCGAGACCTTTTTTTTTTGTTGTAAATACGAGATCTTTTCTCGAGATAATTTTCTCATTATAAAGAAATATTTTCTCGTTAGATCGGGATCTTTTTTAATCATAACGAAATCGTTTCTCGTTTTAACTACATCTGTTTCGTTGAAAGTTAAAATCTTGCCTCGCATTTAGTAGGTTTTTTTCTCGTTATAACAAGATTTTTTTTCGTTAAAACGAGATCCTTTCTCGTTAACACGAGATAATTTTACTTTTTTTTAAAGAGATAATTTTGACTTTTTCTTCAGATGAGATCGGATAGAATGAATAGTCTGAAATGTTAAATTTGAGGAATATTTTTGTTAAACGAAAAATAAAAGGAAAAGTTGGATATTTTAACTCACCAGCTCGTACATTGAATTTTTATCCAGGTGCCACCAATTTCCTCTCTTTCTAAGTGGATTTTACGTAGATGGTTTGTCATAAATAATCACATTCTGTGAAATACTTTTCAGACTTGATGGATTTACACTTTTTTCATAAAAGACACTCCCTGATGCATGTAAAGGGTCCTATACCTATTCTACGTAATAATCTTCAATGCAATCGTCCGCGTTGAAACTTGTTCCAGGCTTAATATTTATCTAGACCTGATGGTATAGATAGACACGAAGTGATCAGTAGAACAATAAGGAAAACTGTAGTGGATCCAAAAATGAATGAAAAATATTTTCTTTGTTAAAAAAGAGAAAAACAATATTTACAAATCTCGAAATAAGTAAAGTATTTGCTTGCAATACTAATGTTTATATCTTACATAGGTTTTTTTTTAAATGGGACTAATTAATCTAATTAAACTATCAAACAAAATACATGTACATTGAAGAGTCTTTTTTGACATAATGTTGTGAAAGAGAGTCTCTGAGACCTTTTGATATTGAGTAATTTTGGTTCATAATCTTAACTATATAATAATATAAGAAGAAAACAAAAACAAACAAAATTGAAAAAAAAAATCTTTGATAATGGACTTTCCAACACTCAACAAGGTCATTTTTCTTTCAATTGAAGTTTGTAGAAAGTTTACATACCATCTCAAGTTTAATAACTTTTAGTTACTTTAGTTTTGATTTGAATATCTTTATACCTATTGATATTTATCGACCGAAGATTAATTCCAAAAAAATATCAGAAAGGGTAACACATTTATGCAAGATTTTCGCAGTCATCGCTCCACAATAAATTGAGAGATTTATATTTAATAAAGGCATCCAAAAGGGAAATAAAGGATTGGTCTTTTTTTCTTGTTACCTATTACGCAAAGATTGATTTTTTTGTTCTCAGGATTTCTCTGGAGTACACTAAGCAGGGGTCCTAAGAGTCCCGTCTAATTACTACCCAATAAGGAAACATTGATTTTCATTTTTCATAAAACAATGGATGAAATCGAAATGAGTAATGTGTGAAGTTAAATGGCTTGAAAAGTGAATCGTAAGTGAGTGTAATTTTATTTTTCAGATTTGTTTTGAAAAGCAGAATTATTCGATATTTGAATATAGGCTTCCGTTTCACCACGACATATACAGGGCGTTTGTACATTAACTTTGGCAATTTACATCTTTCAAATCAAAAAAGTCTTCTTCTTATACTTTCTACCAGCCAAGTCTGCCAGCTATGGAAATGGTTAAAAAGTATATGGCAAATAAATTGGTAGTAAACAGTTTTTTATGAAACAGGGGACCAATAAAAGAAATTCGTCCAAATTTAAAATATGTCACTACAAGTCTTCTGTATACTAAACAAGAGTCCCATAGGCCACAGAATAGCGCAAACACGAATAACTTTAGCCATCCTGTTTTGTAGATTTTAAAAGATTTTTTCCTCTTTATTCCTATGAAAGTTTTGATCCCATATTGTGTCCCTGGTTGGCTTCAAAGAGTGATTTAACCCGACTTGAATCAAGACAACATAAGGATGCTTCAGTATGCCTAACATAACCCTGATGTTGTGGAGTTAAAGTTTTTTAATTTTTTTTAACGATTTTACCCCTGTACATATAAATTACGTAAAATTTGACTTTCGAATATTAATCTTCCCTAAATTAGGGTTCACAATTCAGAAAAAAATTGAATCCACGTAACTTAAGAATATTTGCTTATTTGCAAGATTTAGTGCGACCCTGCTAATCTTGAAAAAATTGTCCCAACCAATATCCTTGTGGAATGTTTTACAATAATCCAACCCTACTCCTGAGGCTATAATTTGAACAAATATATATTTATGGAACGCCACAGCTGTCTTAAGGGTACAAAATATGCATCATAGTGTCAATTCGATATAACATTAAGGCTATCCTTTATATCATTAAGTCCACATTATATAATATGTAGTCTTTTCTTTATATCAGTAATCCCACTTTATATATTATGTAGTCTATTCTTTATATCATTAAGTCCACTTTATATAATATGTCGTCAATTCTTCATATCATTAAGTCCGCTTTATATAATAAGCAGTCTATTCTTTATATCAATAAGTCCACTTTATATATTATGTAGTCTATTCTTAATACATGTATTATTAAGTCCACTTTATATAATACGTAGTCTATTCTTTATCTCATTAGGTCCACTTTATATATTATGTCGTCTATTCTTCATATCATAAAGTCCACTTCATATATTATGTCGTCTATTCTTTATATCATTAAGTCCACTTTATATATTATGTAGTCTATTCTTCATATCATTAAGTCCACTTTATATATTATGTAGGCTATTCTTCATATTATTAAGTCCACTTTATATATTATGTCGTCTATTATTTATATCATTAAGTCCGCTAAATATATTATGTAGTCTATTCTATATATCATTAAGTCCACTTTATATAATACGTAGTCTATTCTTTATATCATTAAGTCCGCTTTATATATTATGTCGTCTATTCTTTATATCAATAAGTCCACTTTATATATTATGTAGTCTTTTCTTTATATCATTAAGTCTGCTTTATATTATATGTAGTACAGAAGCTTTACTATGCTGACAAATCAATGTACTAAAAGGTCAGATGCAAGCAGCCAATAAGAAAATTCATCAAAGGACTAGTAGTACTCTGATGCAATAATGTATTTATGCTTATTTTAGACAATTGATTAATAATAATTAGACAATTAATGATAGACTTAATTATTTAGTTAAACAAATAGTCGAAGGCAGTTAAGATCACCTGCATTAGGAAAATCATGCAGTTTTAAACCAAAAAAAAAAAAAAAAAAAAAAAACTGAAAAAGAATTTTTATCATCTTTGACCACTAAAGAAAAAACAAACAGTCTGGAATAGTTGACTTCCGGGAGAATTCCTTTTAAGTTCTTTGACGGGTCTCAGGAACATCACAGGCCCAATTAGCTAACCTGAAATTTGCTTACTCTTAGTATTGAAAACTGAAGGTAAGCTATTACTCAGCTTAATTCTCGTTGACTGGTTATTGGTACACAGGTGCCATACGACTGTTATATACGGCAGTTTGAGGTTGTACTGGTACCATCAAGTGGTGACAAGGGCGGGTACATGTTTCAAGCAGCTATTGAACCTCTAGTCTTTGAAGTGTGTTTTTCATTATTGCTGGGAGTTTCTTACCTAGTGTTGGTTTGCAATATTACTCTAAGACGGTGGAGAAAAAAGGTGCTTGAAACAACAATTGGTGGAAACCCTACAGCTCCAACTGAAGAGCGGGAATGGATAACCCTATAGCCCCTAATTCTGCCACAATAATTGTGTTTTCATGCACACTTCGAGGGAAAAGGGGTAATAAGCGAAATTTAAAGATGTGCGTATTTGGCGTGTGATATACAGGAATCATTTGTACTAAACATTTATATATAGTTTAAATGTCCACGATTTCACTGACCAAAGCTGGACACACTTTACAGAGTAACAATCATAGGAAAAAATGTTAAATTTAGATTGAAATATCTTTTAAAAATGTTATATTTAAGTCCGCTTATCTTTAAAATTACTAAGACATAGTAACGCTTCCCAAAAATAAGCAACACTTATCAGACAATAGGGGATATTTAAATGCAATTTTAAGTACATGTGCATATCAAAATTTCAGTAGGATGGAAGGATTCCTTTCGCTCTCAGTAGAATGGGACCGAAATTCATCCATTTAAAAATATAAATCAGTACATAAAATTAAATTGCTAAAAGAATGGAATGATTGTATTTTTTTTTAAATCTCAATGCAGCATGCGAGGGTCGAACCAAAAATTTTCTTTTCCATTGCACTGGTCGGGTAACGCAGCTTCTAAGCCACCATCGCTACACACAATGTGGATCTTAAAAGTACAATGAAGCACCGCAGTTACACATTGGAATTTTGTGGGGGAAAGTTCATTTTTTGTAGTCCCTGTGTCTTCTCTCCATTTTTTAACAAATGTTTGTTTCTTGGAATTAAAATACACACAAATAACGATTCAAATTCATGGGGAGATGACCCAGAGATAGAAAATTTTTAGAAAGACGTGTTTAAAAATTGTAACATTTGGTACCAAATTTCTCATCTAGCCACTTTTCAAGTTATCTTTTAGCAAATCAAAACAAAGCATCGAGAAAATATTTCCCTTTCCTATTTCACAGGAACCTGATACATCATAAGAATGTTAAAATTTCATGTGACGTACAGATCAATGAAATTTTCACTTTTCAAGTGTGCCCAGATTCCTGCCGAATACCAATCAAAAGCGCCCTCGTTCTTTCTGGGAAAATGAACATGAAAAAGAATAGAGTTTCTATCAGTATATTTCCCCTTCAAGTATTTGTCTTATTAAGTAATTAAGTGTTGCATTGATTCCGACTTTATAGTACATTGATTTGTCAGCATGGTATAGCTTCTATACTACATATTATATAAAGTGGGTTGATGATATAAAGGATAGACTACATAACGTATAAAGTGGACTTAATGATATAAAGAATAGACTACATAATATATAAAGTGGACTTAATGATATAAAGAGTAGACTAAATAATATATAAAGTGGACTTAATGATATAAAGAATAGACTACATAATATATAAATTGGACTTAATGATATAAAGAATAGACTACATAATATATAAAGTGGACTTAATGATATAAAGAATAGACTACATATTATATAAAGTGGACTTAATGATATGAAGAATAGACTGCATAATATATAAAGTGAACTTAATGATATAAAGGATAGACTTAATGTTATATCGAATTGACATTATGATGCATATTTTGTACCCTTAAGACAGCTGTGGCGTTCCATATATATTAACTTTCTTATGTTGCTTGCATGTCTAAATCACGTAGCATTGCCTTGCAAGACAAAGTTTTTTTTTCTTATGTGTTTCAATATGAAACTTCTACGATCTATCGCCCTATCCCTGGTCTGTCATCAAATATGAGGATAACGAACAGTTGTCAAGCTCAGAAGTCCATTAGAACAATTCAAATTGGGAACGTCAGAGGTGGGTCAGTTTACACTATTTATAAATACCTCCATATTGATATGACTATATGTGATTTTGCTGTTCTTCAGATTTTTTTTTTTACTTTGTTACCATGTAAAATTAAAAGGTGAAGATAACGAACAGTGTCATCCTAAAACATTCGATAAAGAATACAAATCATGAATAGGGAAAAATATGGACTCCCAGAAACACGTCAAATACATTGATACGTACTGATTGGAGAACATAATGAGGTATAGTGTCTTTGTGCATATAGAGTAATCGAAGTGTGAAGTACTGTGATATATCATACAATACGATTCTCAGAAAAAAACGTTGTTATTTATTTTATACTAAAAGTAGAATAAGTCAAATAAATATCATAATTCTATTTATCTTAAACTCAAAAGAAATGTCAAAGGGGAAATTTTGTCTCAAACTTTTATTATTTTAAACCAGTAATTGTACTGTCTCGTCAGGAAATTAAGTTTAAATAAGTACCAAATATTTCTGATTGATTTATTTATTTTACTTGCAGGTAAGTCAAACGTGAAGGTGCCAGGGATGGGGTAATCGTAATCGAGTAATCGTAATCGATTGTAAAGATTACTGTTTTTCAAGTAATCGACAGTAATCTGTAATCGAAGAGATTTTCGATTACTTGTAATCGTAATTTAATCGATTACAGCTAAAATTTTCAATGTAATTATAATTACTTTTTCGATTACTTTCGATTATTTTATACATAAATGGATGTTATTTTGGAGAATTAATTCCAGTCAATCACACATAAATATCAAATATAAACCACCTAGTGTAATGTTTGGATTTCCTAACTTTTCTTATCATAAGTTTAATAATGTTCTCAATGAAATTTGCATTATAGACCTACTGGTCTAGTATTAAATAATTCAGAAGTATATTTCAACCATTTATTAATAAAATATACAGATTTTTCGTGTGCATTTTACATTTGACTCACTGTCCTCTTGCTGCATGTCCTTTTTCATATTTCAGATGTTGAAAAACTTTGTCTTGTAATAGAAAATTATAAATAGCAAAAACAGATTTAAGTGCTGTATTAAATATAAATAATTTGGTAAATAAACTACATAGTACACAAAAAAAAGATGGAAATACTTATTCATATCTGAAAATGTTTAAACAACTTCAAACTTGTGTTTTAGTAACTTTAAAATTTGCAAAATCATTCTCATGTTTTCATTCAAAATTGTAAGGTTGCTTTTATATCAGTGAGGGGTTATAAGTGCCTGTAAGAGAGGGAGTAAGTGTCACTGTGTTTGCTTATCTTAATTGGCTAATTAATTGACTGAGACATATCCCTGATTGCAGATAATGAGGTGTAAACTGTGAACTACCTTGTGTTTAACTATCATTCCATTGAAGACAAACAATATTATTAAAAGAATTAATACCTCTCAAAACACTTATTTCAATACAGAATGAAACTGTGTTACATGTATTAGTTAAATCACTTAAAGACACATTTAATTTACATGTTAATTACTAAGAGTTCGTTCTAATTTACTTATTTTTTTGAAAAAGACACATACAGGAATGTTTAATGTGTACTGTCAACATACGGACAGCCCAAATACTTCTAATGAAGTAATTCACAATAAAATATTAAATAATTTTTTCAACAAGTCAATAAATATGGAGGTACAGATCTAAGGTTGAAAGGAATAATTAATTCCTTGGCATATTTTATTGTAGGAATCATGTCTCCACTTTCCATGGTAGAAAATCCCTCATTTGGGCATTTATTGAAAATGTTAGCCAGAATAAAACCTTAAAAGAATCTGCACTGAAACTGCAGGAACACATTCAAACTTCAGTGGATAACATCAATATTTACCATTTAAATATTGCTTTGATATTTGAAGGGATAAAAACTTGGAAGTAATCGATTATTAATCGATTACATCTTCCAAAGTAATCGATTACAATCGATTACAGGACAAAAATGAGTGTAATCGATTAATAATCGATTACACAAAATTCCTCTAAGTAATCGATTATTAATCGATTACATTTTTCAGTAATCGTGCCCATCCCTGGAAGGTGCATAATATACATGATGGGAATTTTATTAATACACATAGAACGAAACAGAACTTATTTAAAAATGTAATGTGGTATAGTTACAATATTTTCAAAAAGGGTTTTCTCATCTGTAAGTTTGTATTTCAATGAAATCAAATAAATACAGTCCAACAAATCATAAAATCTAAACAACTAACAACTGCACTCTCACTTATTTCTGTTGTGATTTAGCTCGAAAATAAGAAGAAAACCTGTTATAATGGGTATGAACTGAAAAATAGGTGTAGATATTTTTAATTCAACATTTTTCCATTAATATTAAATTATAAATATATATCGTTTGGTGTCTTCAAAATATTTCTCTTTCTACAATGTAAATCATGTACGTTATCAATAATATATGTAATCTATAAAAGCCTTTCTTGATCAAAACTTTTTTTATGAAGAAGCAAAAGAATATACCGTTGAATAACATGTTGCCGAAAGAAATGAAAGTTTGAGATATAGACAGGGCACATTTTCCGTTATATTTACCTAAAGTGGAACCTTGTACATGGTTGGATAGAGGTTCTTTCTCTCAGTAAGGTATTTATAAAGGATATCTGTATTTTAGATTTAATATAGATTCATATTACTATTATTGATGCAGAAATGGTCAATGAAAATTGTATTTTAGTGCTCAATGTGCCTGTGGATGTAATAAAAACATGAAAAATAAGATTACACTAATGCATAAATAAAAACAATTCTTTCTTTATTTTTTAATACATAATTTAAAGAAAAACAACTAAAAACAATAAAAAGTTAGTTTTTCACACATAATCCTGCTTTAGTTTAATCCTGTACATAGTCAGATGAGAACCTGGGTCTTCGTCTTATTCTTTGACCTCCTTTCACCTGATGCTTTCTTTCTGCAGGAAAAACTGACAAATCGATTGTGTCTGTGCATAATACCGTATTCATGAAGAATGGTAATAAGTTCCAATAAATGCATAAATATAAGAATACATTTTAAAGGAAAGATTGAAGTTTCTGCACAGCTCCATTAAAAAAAGTCTATATTTCTAATCTACAATAAAAATAATAATCCATTAGTGTATTTGAACTAGGACGTGTTTAAATCACATTTATCAAATTCATAAGGAGTAGTCAATTGCAACTTACATGTACAAGGCAAAACGATAAACAATCGCTTCTAAACAAAGCTGAATGTGACTGTGACATTCAAATGCCTCCGCTGACATGCAAGTTCGAAATGTTTAAAATACATTCGGAGGAAATAAAGCAGAAACATAGATCATTCATATTTCTGCTTTTGCTTTCCTGAATCAGCTGTCAATACCACTACATACAGTGGGTACTTTAGAGAGAGAAAATTCTGAATAGAACTGCAATAGTATTCATATAGAAAAAAATTGTAAACCCCTCATTTATCACTCTGAACCTAATTGTTATAGCCTTAGGAATTATCTATATTTCAAAACCTTGGATTTGATGGTGTTTTTTTTAAACGCAAATGTACGCCGTCTAGTGTATTGCGGCAAATTTCATATATGAAATTTGATGATGTATGGTCTGCAACACTAAAATTTTTTTCACAAACTGATAAAATAATTTTCAATACTTTTATTAATTTTGTTCATTAATAAAAATTTTTGACAAAAAATATCGAAGATGAATCAGCTTATCAGCTGAAAGTTCAGCAGCTTATTATCTACAAGCACATAAAAAATGCAGGAAAACAGTGATTAATTCTAAGGTCAGGGCTGGAAGTCTTGTAAAAATGGGTCTATCAACATAAGTAGTAATTAATGTATCTATAAGCACAGGAAAAAAGTACGAAAAACAGAGATTCATTAGAGATTTTTAAAGTTTATTGGCAATATTTTTCAAACGGGTCAATGAATAAAGAACTCGAACTTAATCTGTAAGTAAAAAGAGTCTAGAAGAGCAAATAAAAAATTGTAAGGTTTTCAGAACTATGAATAAGAGAATATAGGAAAGACAGGCGGCCGAGGAAGGGGCCCACATTTTGATCTGGCATTTCATGAATTAACACAAAACTCACCCGTACACGAGAAGAATTGAGACAAGGCAAGTAATGCTTGTAGCTATATCCATCGTCATCAAAGGAGCCACGTCAATTATTGAAGGCACTGAAACGATGTTCACACTAACATAATCACCAAAACTGACCCCAATGCAAGTAAAATTAAATCAGGTAAAAATGTACTTAATTGTCAGTACATTTACTACGTACGACAAAGTCGAAAATATGAATCTACATGAAATTGGAGGAATATAATTTTGAAAGAATTTCACAGAAGTTTTTATCATAGTAACCATACCAACACTTTCGGAAAATAATATATATATATATATATATATATATATATATATATATATATATATATATATATATATATATATATATATATATATATATATATATATATATATATAAAGCACTAAAAATGACCAACGACACGAACAATAATAATTGTCAAATTTTCGGGACAACCTGTCCCTTCCTCAGGACAAAGAAAAAAGTTAAGAAGTCATAAAAACAAAGGAAATAGAGAAGCAAAAACAACTAGCACTACTACTAAACTACCAAACACTAAATATTTACAATGTTACATGTTTAATTTTGAGTTTATAAACAGTTGTGAACAAAGAAATCCGGAGCACTATGAATTGCGTCCGGTCTATCGGGTGTAATCTGATGAAGTGTGATTTACATAATTGAACGAATTAATTATCGCTAATTAATTACGGCCAACAGTAAATCGTACATTGTCTTATTCTCTCAAAATAGCGTAACTCTACATGATAAAAAGAAATTAAAGAAAGATAATATGGAAGGACAATTTTGAAATATGAATTTGGATATATTATAAATTTGGAAATCGGAAAAAAGAAATAAACAAAAATGTGAGCTGTAAATATTTGGGTAGGTTGTTTCAGGATTACTAATACGAATTAACGGTAAAGTTTACACTATATAGAGAGAATGAACTTGTTTGTTACAATCTGGGATTGGGTCTAGTTCACGTTCATCCTGGTGAAGTCATTAAGTTTGTTAATACCATTAGGGCGGAATGACTTCAGCCTGTGCATCCAGAACTTTTCCTTGCCTTTTCTCTGCGCGTCTGTCCATCTTGGATTATGGTCAATAACCACTACTGTCATGTCCTCCCATTTGTGACCTTCAAGATTGAAATGTTCCCCAACGGGTTCATTGAGTTTTTTGGTCCTAATGGTAGAACGGTGATTATTGACTCTCCTGCGGAGATCTCCTGTTTTACCAACATACTGTTTGGAGCAAACTTTGCAACTGATGAGATAAATGCAGTTGACTGTTTGACAGGACAAATTCCCTAGTATTTTGTAGCTGCGGCCTGTAACGGGGCTGTTAAAACTGTCTGTGTCAGAGCTGTACTTACAGAGAAGACATCTTCTGTCAGAGCAAGTTTTAAAGCCCCCGTTAGGTAATGGATTGTCCAATCTGGTTCTTACTACCATGTCCTTCAGGTTCCTCGGGCGTCTGTATGCAGCCAATGGGGGCTCCTTAAAGACCTCTGCCATTCGTTTATTTGAGTGGAGAATTGGCAGATTCTTTTGAAGGATACCGCTGAGGTTCTTAAGGACGGGATGGTATGTGGTTACCAGAGGGACTCTGCCGTTATTGTCTTTTTCCTTGTAGCGTAATAGGTTTTGCCTGTCATGTCCCGCCATCTCATCTATAGCAGTTTGTACGGTGCGGGCATTGTAGCCTCTCTTGCATAAGTGGGACTTAAGGAGACCGCTTTGTTCTTGATATAAGGCAGGGGATGAACAGATGCGCCGAATTCTGGTGGCTAGACCCTTAGGCACACCCTTAAATGTGTGTGGGGGATGACAACTCGTTGGCATAAGATACAGATGGGAATCTGTGGGTTTCGTGTGGAGACTGAACTCGATTTCACCATCAGTCAGGGTAGATGTAGTATCTAGGAATATGTTTTTCGAATTAGATACGTCTACTGTAAATTTGATAGACTGATGAAAGGTGTTGGCAAACGAAATGAATGCCTCGAGGCTCTCGCGACATTCCACCCACTTCACCTCTATATCGTCAATGAAACGCAACCAGCTAAGGGGCCTAAATGGTGCTTGAAGTAGCAAGTTGCGTTCCAGTCTGCCCATGAAAATATTGGCATAAGATGGTGCCATTTTCGTACCCATAGCAGTGCCATTAACCTGAAGGTAATGTTCTCCATTAAACATGAAGTTGTTATACTTGAGAACATGTTCAAGGAGCTTGACAAGGGACTCGGTAGAAGGAATTTGCATGGATCTACTATCCCGGACTTCTCTACAGGCTTCGATACCCTCATCGTGCGGAATATTGGTGTACAAAGATGTGACGTCCATAGTCACGAGAAGGGTATGATCTGGAAGGCCAGTAGAGGGCGTCTTGTTAATGTAGTCCGTGGTGTCCTTGAGATAGGATGGCAAATTCTCTACGTGTGGACGGAGATGTAAATCGATGTATTCAGAAATTTTCTCCGTGGGGTGTCCAATAGCGCTAACTATAGGGCGACCTGGCATACCTTCTTTGTGTATCTTAGGAAGCAGATAAAATTGTCCTGGTCTACAGTCAATAGGATTGAGTGTCTCATAGACGTTGATACCAATCTCGTTTTTCTCAAACATTTCGTCAAGAGTTTTGGTGATGGCGGTGGAGAATTCTTTAGTAGGGTCAGAGTCCAGTTTCTTATAGAAACGTTCGTCTGAGAGTTGTCTATGGGCCTCCGCCATGTACGTCTCTTTATCAAGCACTACTACTGTAGAGCCTTTGTCTGCTTTCTTGATTACAATGTCATCCCGATTCTTTAATGATTGTAAGGCAGATCTCTCTTCCTTACTCAAATTGTCGGGAGCCTTGTCTGGCATTGAAAGGAGTTTCTCTATGTCTGACTCAACGGCGTCAATATACGACTCAAGGGCTCCGCATTTGCCCGGTGCAGGTTCCCAGTCACTTTTTGGCCGATAGAGTTTGTGTTCCTCTAGGTCGTGCAATTGTGGCTGAGAACAGTCGTATGAGTCAACTTCGGAGTTTTTTTTCTAGAGAAATGCTCCTTCAACTGAAGTCTCCGAAAGAAAGCTCGGGTGTCCTCTCTGACTTGTTTTTCGTCGACCTCATGTGGCGTGGGACAGAAATTCAGCCCCTTGGAAAGAAGTGAGGTCTCCGATTCGGAGAGAGGAACACTAGATCTATTAAGCACTGGGCAGACGTCAGGAGTTTGTGAGGGTCCGTCCCTCGCGATTGTCGTTAAGCGCTTGAAGCGTCTCGAGCGGGGCTTACGTGTTTTGTTAACTCGGACCTCTGATCGGTTGTTCCTGGTCTGTGGAACACTGTCTCGGAGAAATTTCTTTCTTTGAGTCTTGTTGAGTTCATTTGTTAGGGCCATATTATAGGTGTCAATAATATTATGGGCTTCATCAAGATCAGCTTGGGACATGCTATCAGTGAGGGATGATTCTAAGGAAGTGATATCACTCTCAAATTGTCCTAACTTGTGGATATCCCAAGAAAGACAGAGTGACATCAATTGTTTAGAACACCTCTTTGTAATATCTTCCCAACGTTCTTGAAAGCGTTTGGAGATTGGCCCTATGTTAGGCGTGACATTAATCTGGAAACCTTTAGGTATAATGTCACACTCTAAGTAGGTCTGTAAATTCGAGACCCGGTTTTCAGTTTTGATTGATTTTTGGTGTTGTTTCTTCAGAAGTTTGAATGTTGGATTACTTTTTATAGACATGTTTAAAAGGAAATAAACAGATAATTGCCTAAAGAATATGACTAATTTTTGAACTGTAGCCGTGTGAAGTCGAAGATTCAACGAACGATTGCACTATTTTCTTAATACGTAGGAGATAACTCGTACAAGAATTCAAAAAAATAAAAACAAATGCTACATGAATAAAATTTTGAAGAGAAGAGTGGAAAGAACTAAATTGCAAGAGTGGAATACAAATAAATAACCTAGATACTACATCTACCCTGACTGATGGTGAAATCGAGTTCAGTCTCCACACGAAACCCACAGATTCCCATCTGTATCTTATGCCAACGAGTTGTCATCCCCCACACACATTTAAGGGTGTGCCTAAGGGTCTAGCCACCAGAATTCGGCGCATCTGTTCATCCCCTGCCTTATATCAAGAACAAAGCGGTCTCCTTAAGTCCCACTTATGCAAGAGAGGCTACAATGCCCGCACCGTACAAACTGCTATAGATGAGATGGCGGGACATGACAGGCAAAACCTATTACGCTACAAGGAAAAAGACAATAACGGCAGGGTCCCTCTGGTAACCACATACCATCCCGTCCTTAAGAACCTCAGCGGTATCCTTCAAAAGAATCTGCCAATTCTCCACTCAAATAAACGAATGGCAGAGGTCTTTAAGGAGCCCCCATTGGCTGCATACAGACGCCCGAGGAACCTGAAGGACATGGTAGTAAGAACCAGATTGGACAATCCATTACCTAACGGGGGCTTTAAAACTTGCTCTGACAGAAGATGTCTTCTCTGTAAGTACAGCTCTGACACAGACAGTTTTAACAGCCCCGTTACAGGCCGCAGCTACAAAATACTAGGGAATTTGTCCTGTCAAACAGCCAACTGCATTTATCTCATCAGTTGCAAAGTTTGCTCCAAACAGTATGTTGGTGAAACAGGAGATCTCCGCAGGAGAGTCAATAATCACCGTTCTACCATTAGGACCAAAAAACTCAATGAACCCGTTGGGGAACATTTCAATCTTGAAGGTCACAAATGGGAGGACATGACAGTAGTGGTTATTGACCATAATCCAAGATGGACAGACGCGCAGAGAAAAGGCAAGGAAAAGTTCTGGATGCACAGGCTGAAGTCATTCCGCCCTAATGGTATTAACAAACTTAATGACTTCACCAGGATGAACGTGAACTAGACCCAATCCCAGATTGTAACAAACAAGTTCATTCTCTCTATATAGTGTAAACTTTACCGTTAATTCGTATTAGTAATCCTGAAACAACCTACCCAAATATTTACAGCTCACATTTTTGTTTATTTCTTTTTTCCGATTTCCAAATTTATAATATATCCAAATTCATATTTCAAAATTGTCCTTCCATATTATCTTTCTTTAATTTCTTTTTATCATGTAGAGTTACGCTATTTTGAGAGAATAAGACAATGTACGATTTACTGTTGGCCGTAATTAATTAGCGATAATTAATTCGTTCAATTATGTAAATCACACTTCACCAGATTACACCCGATAGACCGGACGCAATTCATAGTGCTCCGGATTTCTTTGTTCACAACTGTTTATAAACTCAAAATTAAACATGTAACATTGTAAATATTTAGTGTTTGGTAGTTTAGTAGTAGTGCTAGTTGTTTTTGCTTCTCTATTTCCTTTGTTTTTATGACTTCTTAACTTTTTTCTTTGTCCTGAGGAAGGGACAGGTTGTCCCGAAAATTTGACAATTATTATTGTTCGTGTCGTTGGTCATTTTTAGTGCTTTATATAAATTTCCATCCGTGACCTTGTATCTACTTAGTAGATCCGACACTTAGGATATACAGTGTTGTTGGTTTTTAGTGCTTTATATATATATATATATATATATATATATATATATATATATATATATATATATATATATATATATATATATATATATATATATATATATATATATATATATATATATATATAACTCATCTCAATCCAAACTTCCAGAACTAGGAAACTATTCCATATTTTATTTGCAGATATTTATTATCTTGACCTTTCTGAAACTATACAACAAAAATATTAAGCAAAAAAGAGTCAATTTCGAACTTTGTTTTACATCGCATAGTACATCGCACAGTTCAATTCAAAAAATAGAACAATTTCATGTACTGATATCCAGGTGTGTATTTATGTCTAAAAATGACCATTTATTGTTTGAATTTATGATTCAAAAATAAAATATATATTTTGTAGGTATTGTCGAAGGTATAACTGGTTGTGGAACTAAATCTCCTGCCCTATGGAACTCCAAGGATTGGACATTCCGCGTCAGTAAGTGTAATTACTTAATGTTTTATTTTGTAAGTACATAATTCTGTAAGACGTGTCTTTTATTTCTAACCATTTTATTGTCATTGATGAAGTGTTATCATTTCTTTTGTGTGTCTTTAAAACACGAATGTTATTCAAACGTAGTATAAATTCAGATACGATGAATTCTTTTTTTTCATATTTAAGCAATTTAATCCAGATGATGTCTTTACCTCAATTATCTAATCATAATTACCGTAACCACTTTTAGCACTTTTTGAACAAAAAAGAATTGTATTTGCTAATGTAATGTCAGTAATTGTTATACGTGTACGCGGTAAGTTGGCATTGGATTTTATTTGAACAGTAGAATGATTTCCTTGTTAATACGGAAATTAAAGGTTGCAACCATTGCTTAAAATATTAATCGTTTACTCTCTCCTGAACAAGCTTGGAGCATTTATTGTACACGTTCTCACTAACCAGAAACATGTATACTTTTTTTTTTTTTTTTTTTAGATATATACATTTTTCTGTGAAAATATAAATAGAGAGTGAATTATTATTAATAATAATTTTGAATAACTGAGTAATTTTTTTTCGGAGATGCAAAGCAGTATTTCGTGAATTTCTGATACCTGTATCACCACTTGTAAAGAGAAAAAACTTGAAAACCATTGATAAAGATTTTTAGAAAAGGTTTTCCTTACATTTAAGTTATACAAAAAGTTATTTTTAATAATTAGCTCTAAGTAATAGTATAGGGTTGTAATATTAAACAAAAAGTTTGTTACAAGGAGTTGTTACATGTAGGAGTAATATACATTTTTCTCAAAATGTTCTCTATATTCATTTGATTTTTAAAAATATCATAAGTGTAATAGGTTGTCTTAGGGGAGCATTTGAAAGAATATACATTTTAATAGTTTTTAAATTTTTTTTTAGATTTTGTCATAGACAGTAATTTCTATTAGGATAAGGTTTTTCCGTCCGCATGTCTGTCTAAGCTCTATAAACAATATTTCAAAACACCTCTTTTCCTACAGTTTTAGTCAGATTTTAAGAAAGTTTTGTAAACTTCAATACTTAATCCCGTATATATATATATATATATATATATATATATATATATATATATATATATATATATATATATATATATATATATATATATATATATATATATGTGTGTGTGTGTGTGTGTGTGTGTGTGTGTGTGTGTGTGTGAGTGTGTGTGTGTGTGTGTGTGTGGGTGTGTGCGTGTGTGTGTTCTTTATTGAAAAATTATCAATGCATTCTTGATATAGTTAATTAGTTTATATACTAAGTACGTATTTTGAAGGGGGTGTATGAAATATTTTTCTACACATAAAGGATTCGAAACATTTTTCTATTTCAATAAAAAAACCCATAACAAATGATTCATTCATGTATTTATTGTCTGCATTGATTACGTGCACAGTTGCATTATCTCGATTGCTATCAAACTTTCACTGAAAGACGTTTTAGATGTACCTGCAGATTGAAGTTGATAATGAAATTCTTCTGCGTGGGTAGTATTTCTCCTACCGGTTGATAAGATATGATTTTTGGAGGCTCAGCTGCAAAAGAATGTGAAGTGTGTCAAAACTTATACTTGAAGGAAATCAGGTCTACTAAACAATACATAACAGGCGCTAACTATAATTTTTAGGCGCCATGGCGACTAATTTAGTCGCCATGGCGCCTAAAAATTATGGTTGGCGCCTAAAATTTTTCGATAAGTCGCCAAATTTGCGACCATTTTAAATTGACTTGGTGATGGCCAAATTACTGAACTATAAGTATTTTCAATTTTTTTTTTTACAAAGAGCAGAAAAGAAGTTTAAAATTTACAATGGACATGTCTCTATATATTGACTAATATCAGTTTTAAATTCGTGCCTAAGAAAAAATTACCTGGCGACTAAAAATTTGTATGTGCGACTAAATTCTTTTGATTAGGAGCCCGTTGGCGCCTAAATTTTTGAGGTCACATAGAGGTCTGCCTGATAAAAGACTTTTTGGGCATACCTCCTACAAAAAGGTTGATACAGGTTTTCTCTGACACCAAACTGAAAAACAATGTATTTCTTCCAATAAATTTCAGAAGGATAAGTTAGATAGGGATTGCTACACACGTAGTTATACATAATATAGAAAGGAAAGAATGTTTTAATCCTAGGCATAGAGCCTTAGATTCGTTCTTAATACTATTACATGCTATTAGTTCTGAATTGGTGTGGAGAGTGTTCACTAACCTGTCTGAATCGCTGGCTGTGTAGCAGAATGGATTTGCTCCGGTCTGGCTTGGTTTAGGGGTCCATGTAGCATCGACATACCATTCCCGATTTGAGTTAGAATATGAGTGTAAGGCCGATGTCGTAAGTCCAGGTGGAGATACGGTTGTGATTTCTGTTATTCTATGGAGAGTTTCAGAGAAGATAGTTAATCAAAAACAGCAACATTTATAAATATTTTATTGACTGTAATCATGCTCAAAAGTCCAATTAAAACAATGCAAATTGAGAGCATTGAGCGAACAGTGTTAGTAAAGTGATGGAGTATAAGGGTTAGATGATTTAATTATTTACCTATAGCATATACCCTATAATATTAAGTTGAATCCATGATTGAACCATGCCATCTATGAACATGAAATCAAACAAGAAAGTGCGCCAACTCGATATTGTGATCTTGGTGCGATAAAATAATAGATTGACCATTACCGCTATTTTACAGATACTATTCAACATTGTTTTTAATCTAATACTCTTACAGTATATCTACAAAAGTTGCAGTACCACATTTTACAATAAGCCATGCTTCTTTATGCAAATAGATGTATGCAAATTACAATGAAGAATTAAAAATGTCTATTTCGAGCAATCTTACACGATATAAAAAAGCGCAAGATGTTCTTGTATAAATTACTTTGATAATGACTATAGGATACAGTATTCAACTGGGGAAAAGGTATATCATGTCATCTCACTTTACTCCATCCGCACCACTCCGAGCTATGATTTGTTCTGTCCAAGTAGAATTGATTGGGATACCGACACATGCACCGTCTAACCGTGTTGGCATTATAAACTTCGGTTTGTTTTGGCAAGGTTTATCAGAAGAGAAAACGTTTACCAGGAACTGAAGGGAAACACTACTGAGTGCATGCGTAGAGTTTAAGGGACTGAAGTCCTCAATTTGAATGGCGACAGCGTACCAGCCAGTCTTGATTTTGGCAGTGTATGAAATTTCGCATCGTTTCTGAAGAAAAATGCAGAGTTTGTTTTATTGACTATTATGGAGTACTCATTGAGGCATATATACATTTAGCAAAGTTAGTTTGTAAAATTCAATGCCAAGCGGACCATGGCCAAAAGTTCACATGGGTAACTTTATCGTTCTGACAAATAAATTTGTAGATGAATTAATTTTTTCAACATATATTCCATATTTTCCTGAAAAGGTTTGACTCCCTATCATGACCCCAGCCTAACCTAGTATTTTAAAAAAAACTGTGTCCTATATCTTTATATGTGAAACTTCGACCCTTCCTGTGGTCCTAATTTTTCCAACCATGACTTGAACATTGTCTAGATTTGTGCATTCTCCAGGATTTGTATTTATATGTAAATCCTTTCGTTACCCGATCCTAGACCTATGTTCATGATTTGAAAAAAATATTTGCTACAGAAAAAAAAAAAAAAAAAAAAAAAAATCAATACCGTTTAAGCAGAATTTTTAGCGAGGATTCAATTTTAGCATTATTAGCGAGGTTTTGAGATCGCCAAAATTGAATATCACTAATAGATTAACCCGTTTAGGTTATTAAAGATATCTTTTTTGACAATATAAAATCGCTAAAATTACTTCTCTCTAAAAATGTATACCAATTTTTTTGATAAATCGCTAAATTTGCGTCTCGTTAAAAATTCCTCTTATTTTCTGTTCTTGAGAAACACATGATTTCCCTCTATATATCTCTGTAAAACGTGGATCCCCCTTTTGGGGCATCTCTAGAAGCAATGGTGCATGATGTGCTTTTTTTTGTTCAAGGTCTCTTTGGAGAATTTTTACTCATATTGAGACGCCACCACTTGCCGTCGTAGGGCTGTAAATTCTAGACCTATATTGGGCACTAACGGCCATTGAGCAGTGAGGGATCTTTTTCGTGCCAGCACCTACTGCGACAAGGGACCTCGGTTTACACGGTCTCATCCGAAGAACCAGTCTCCAAGACCCACAGTGAGATTCGAACCTGCAACGTTAGGATCAACTCTTTACTCCGCGACAGTGGGGCAAACGCTCTATCCATTGCGCCACGCGGCGACGAGAATGATATGAAAAAACTTGAATATTCACCATGAGGGTGTTTGTATTAAATATAGTATAGTATACTTGCATGTTACTCAATAAAAAAAACTTGAATATTCACCATGAGGGTGTTTGTATTAAATGTAGTATAGTGTACTTGCATGTTACTCAATAAAAAAAACTTGAATATTCAGCATGAGGGTGTTTGTATTAAATATAGTATAGTATACTTGCATGTTACTCAATAAAAAAAAAACTTGAATATTCAGCATGAGGGTGTTTGTATTAAATATAGTATAGTATACTTGCATGTTACTCAATAAAAAAAACTTGAATATTCAGCATGAGGGTGTTTGTATTAAATATAGTATAGTATACTTGCATGTTACTCAATAAAAAAAACTTGAATATTCACCATGAGAGTGTTTGTATTAAATATAGTATAGTATACTTGCATGTTACTCAATAAAAAAAACTTGAATATTCACCATGAGGGTGTTTGTATTAAATATAGTATAGTATGCTTGCATGTTACTCAATAAAAAAAACTTGAATATTCACCATGAGGGTGTTTGTATTAAATATAGTATAGTATACTTGCATGTTACTCAATAAAAAAAACTTGAATATTCAGCATGAGGGTGTTTGTATTAAATATAGTATAGTATACTTGCATGTTACTCAATAAAAAAAACTTGAATATTCAGCATGAGGGTGTTTGTATTAAATATAGTATAGTATACTTGCATGTTACTCAATAAAAAAAACTTGAATATTCAGCATGAGGGTGTTTGTATTAAATATAGTATAGTATACTTGCATGTTACTCAATAAAAAAAAAACTTGAATATTCACCATGAGGGTGTTTGTATTAAATATAGTATAGTATACTTGCATGTTACTCAATTAAAAAAACTTGAATATTCACCATGAGGGTGTTTGTATTAAATATAGTATAGTATACTTGCATGTTACTCAATAAAAAAAACTTGAATATTCACCATGAGGGTATTTGTATTAAATATAGTATAGTATACTTGCATGTTACTCAATTAAAAAAAACTTGAATATTCAGCATGAGGGTGTTTGTATTAAATATAGTATAGTATACTTGCATGTTACTCAATTAAAAAAACTTGAATATTCATCATGAGGGTGTTTGTATTAAATATAGTATAGTATACTTGCATGTTACTCAATAAAAAAAACTTGAATATTCACCATGAGGGTGTTTGTATTAAATATAGTATAGTATACTTGCATGTTACTCAATAAAAAAAACTTGAATATTCAGCATGAGGGTGTTTGTATTAAATATAGTATAGTATACTTGCATGTTACTCAATAAAAAAAACTTGAATATTCAGCATGAGGGTGTTTGTATTAAATATAGTATAGTATACTTGCATGTTACTCAATAAAAAAAACTTGAATATTCAGCATGAGGGTGTTTGTATTAAATATAGTATAGTATACTTGCATGTTACTCAATAAAAAAACTTGAATATTCAGCATGAGGGTGTTTGTATTAAATATAGTATAGTATACTTGCATGTTACTCAATAAAAAAAACTTGAATATTCAGCATGAGGGTGTTTGTATTAAATATAGTATAGTATACTTGCATGTTACTCAATAAAAAAAACTTGAATATTCAGCATGAGGGTGTTTGTATTAAATATAGTATAGTATACTTGCATGTTACTCAATAAAAAAAACTTGAATATTCACCATGAGAGTGTTTGTATTAAATATAGTATAGTATACTTGCATGTTACTCAATAAAAAAAACTTGAATATTCACCATGAGAGTGTTTGTATTAAATATAGTATAGTATACTTGCATGTTACTCAATAAAAAAAACTTGAATATTCACCATGAGGGTGTTTGTATTAAATATAGTATAGTATACTTGCATGTTACTCAATAAAAAAAACTTGAATATTCAGCATGAGGGTGTTTGTATTAAATATAGTATAGTATACTTGCATGTTACTCAATAAAAAAAACTTGAATATTCAGCATGAGGGTGTTTGTATTAAATATAGTATAGTATACTTGCATGTTACTCAATAAAAAAAACTTGAATATTCAGCATGAGGGTGTTTGTATTAAATATAGTATAGTATACTTGCATGTTACTCAATAAAAAAAACTTGAATATTCACCATGAGGGTGTTTGTATTATATATAGTATAGTATACTTGCATGTTACTCAATAAAAAAAACTTGAATATTCAGCATGAGGGTGTTTGTATTAAATATAGTATAGTATACTTGCATGTTACTCAATTAAAAAAACTTGAATATTCACCATGAGGGTGTTTGTATTATATATAGTATAGTATACTTGCATGTTACTCAATAAAAAAAAAACTTTCAATAAGTTTTGTCTCTCGTAGTAATATAATTCTTAAGCTATTTTTTTTTTTTTTAAAAATCCTGGTATCCTAATGTTTACTATTTCATAATAAAACCCCCTTAAGGGTTTATAGATCTTCGTTTGGACAATCAGATTTTCATCAACAAGAGAGAGTACCAAATTATTGTGGCACTGTAGAACTTAGATAAAAAGGATCTTAAGTATGACAAACAACTAGCAACTGCCTAACACAGGGACACTGGACATTTTTTGGGTCCCCCCCCCCAAAAAAAAAAGTTGAGCATTGTTTGAATATTGGTAATATTGCATAGCAAAGAATTTATACTGGATAATATCATACTGTAAGTGAAAGAATTATTAAATCATCTCTAAATTTACATTGAAGTAGATGATATTGATACCTCGTCAAGAAATGAATTTGGAAAAGAACGACAGACCCCTCCGCATTCACTCTTTGAGGATTCTGCCCATCTACATCGAACTGTGTCATTATCTTTGTCATAGACTGAAATTTGTATGTGGATTAAAGATTTTTGACAATACTTGTATTTTGATTAATATTTATCATATTGTCTCAAATATTTGACGACATTTTAGATTACATTAAGCGTTCTTCAAAATTTAAACATGCACTGAAAATATGACCGAGAGGCTTGTTTACATTTAATCTGCAATTTTCTTCGAAAAATTTGATAACATACCTGGGATAGTTATGTTGTGCTCACATCTGTGCTGTAGACGTATGATCGGAGGCATAGCAGAGACGGGGGATGAGTTAATTTTACCGGTGTCACGTCTCCGGTTTAGGTCAACTGTTGTGCGCATTTCCCAGCTTCCACCCCAAGATGCAAGCGATATCCAATCTCCTCCAGTAAATCTGAAAAAAGTTTATATCTAGATGATTTTTTTGTTTATGTTGCATCAGAAAATTGATACTGAATATCATTTAAAAAACTAAGCATGATAATTAAATAAAAAGATGAACGGTTGAACAGACCCAAATTGAGCAGATTTATTCTGGAGAGTATACGTAATGCTGCGTTCTCCTTGAGTCCAGTCTTCCTACACACTAAAATCAGTGCAAACGATCCCGACATCTGAAATTGTTGAAGGAGAACTCGAGCAGTCAAAACACATCACATCACCGAGAGTAGCGATGACACCACCATCTTCAATAGTTGTCTTACAATGTATTACACGTTGTTAAGCTGCTATAAGAACGTCTCCACGCCATTCGGAATGTAATAATGATCTAAAGCATATCAGAAACATTCTCTTGTTAAGAATTTTTTCGTTGTTTATATATAATATCTGAGATGCTAATGTGATGTTTATGTCATATATACTCAACAGAAATTGAAAAGAAAGACTCCATTGAAGTAGATTTGTTGTGTGTTTTTTCTCTGTTCATTTGATTTGTTTTTCATTGAAAAATTCGAAGAATTCACTTAAAATTTATTTTGCTGCAAATCAATGACTTTCAGCCGCTCAGGCCTTAGCAAACGTTTGAGTGGAAATCAATTATCAACAGATCTTTGTTTTGTCAATTCTAATGATGACACTTTCACACTCTTTCAGAGAAATGGCATAATAAGCATGAAATAAAAAAAAAAATCTGGAAGTTTGAGAACGTTTGGTGTAAATCCCATTTTTCGCAAACTCAAATAAAATTAGTCCTTCTGTTAAGTATAAAGTGATGTTACAATATTTACAAGTTTTTAAAATACTATCAGACAATAAAACAGAAACATAAAAGTAGCTCAACTGTAGTTGCCTAAAAATCACTCAAGTATAATCAATTTGAATCGCAAAAATATTGCATTTTGCAGTAATCGGGACTAGTCCCAAACTGCTTTTATTTTCAAAGTTTTGTCTGTTACCTTGGTCATCTTGAAAATTGAATCATAAAGTTTACCTCTCTCAGTTTAAAGTGTATAAATCAGAAAAAAGATTTATTGAAAGATGTATTGTTTATGCAAAGTTCAATCTATGCTTTTTCTCATATGTACATGTATTAAATTGTAATTGATATTATCAATTAGTATATAGAATGATTTCTTTTATATGTTGACATATTTTAGTTAATAGATAGACCCTGTATGAATTCTATGATTGATTTTGATAGTTTTTAGGTATTTGAAATGAATGGACAAGGTTTCACATATTGTAGCTTTATTTTTGGAAGTTCCACTATACCAAAAATTGAAACCGAAGAAATACTTTTCAGCCAGCTAAATTGCTTTAATGCTTAAGGCATGTTTTTTTTTCTTTCTTTCCATTACAGAGTTTTGAGCCAAATAGTTCAACGCAGAGTTAATCAAATACTGTAGATGTTTGACAGATCCAAAAATCAAAGGCTTAGTGCAAAGTAGAGTATACATCTGCATCGTCCTATTGTCCCTAGGTTTCTATAAATGTTCCTGATTGAAGTGTATAAATCAAAGTGAAATTTACTAAGATTGAAAGCTGAGTTTATGAAATTTTAGATAGTTAGCAAGGAATTCTACTGAAATATTTCATGTAAGATATTCAACTTGGATAAATTGTTAATACCTTTAGCTGGAGTATTATAGTTAAATGATAGGATTTATTAGAGAGAGAAAAATATGACATTATAGCATTAGTATATATATATATATATATATATATATATATATATATATATATATATATATATATATATATATATATATATATATATATATATATATATATATATATATATATATATATATATAATACAGGATGTGATGTGGAAAAGGGTATGTTTTATTTTGTTTATTACATACTTAGTTATAATATACAGCACACATTAACTTGAGAAAAAAAAAAACAAATCCATAAATAATCATGCACTGACTATTGACATGTACGCAGAATATTTTATCAAAGAACAGTTATTTAAAATTAAGAGAATGTGAACCAAAAAGAATATGTGTATTGTCACAAGTGCTGTTTTTTAAGGCTTTATTTACTGGGGGCGTGATATTGATCTGTATCAGCCCGTAAGATCCATATCAGCCCTGCAGGGCTGATACGGCTATTGTGACGTTAGACATATCGCATATGCAAAAATCCTGTATTATTACTAAGTATGTAATATATATATATATATATATATATATATATATATATATATATATATATATATATATATATATATATATTGAAGACCTCAGTAGTAACAACGCTTCATTTATATTCTAAGTCGTTTACTTTTGGCACAAGGTCAGAAATTTTAATTTCATCATAATTTTCAATGTGTTTTTGATAGTGAGTTTACTTGTAGGTGTTCTAATGAATAAATGTTGCATTATAGAACAGATATAACGTTAAAAAGTATATCTTATGAAAGCGGTAACTGGATGAATTGACTACAAGAAATGAAGACTAATCGAGACTTGGGTAATGCCTTGTGGAGGCACATATTGCCGTCCCTGCACATTTTGTCGCGGGCGACATTATGTGCAAAATCATACTGCAATTTTTATCGCCCCTCTTTACATGTTCTTTCCCAAGAAAAAATACTATGTATATCTGCACAAACTCAGGCAACAAAGTATGCAGACCCTTGCGACCCATATTGTCGCCCTGTGATATTCACAGTTTATATGATGATAACGGTAAAAACATTTGAATTAATTTTTACTGTTTATCATTGATTGACGAATGAATTCAGTGTCTGGTTAACTGTAGCTGCCTACTTGAAAATATTTCACAAAAAAATATTTCAAATCTGAGTTTTAGACAGTTTTCGGTATTGGTGAAGATAAATTCTGATAATTGAACAAAGTTATGCACATTTTAGGAAAAAATAACAGATGAAATGATACGAATGTTTCATTGTAAAACTGGATGTTTCCTTACCTCATTCATCAAAATAATATCCTCGTTGTGACTCCTGTAGACTTTTTTTAATTTGAGATTACACAACTAAATATATGTTTAATCATTTCAAATAAATAAATTCTTATAATCTTCGCATTTATTAGATTTTGCTGATGATTTTTATTTTTAACATCAAAAAATCAAAGTATATATCCCTTTTACCAAAGCAACAAAGATAAATTTTAAGCAAATTATTTATGTGTCTTTTCCCCTTCAGAATCTTTGTATGTTTGGCGTCTATTGATCTGTATACTCTTTCAAATATTTAGTAATAGCATGGAGAAAAAACAAACAAACAAGAACCAAAAATCTGTGTTTTTCTGAATGTCAAGCTTTTGTTCAGAAGTTTCCATTGTTACTGCCTATATGACGTGGATTCCTCATAGTTTCTTGAGAATTTGATTTGTCATTTCTAATTGTTACATTCCTTTCTCCTGTACAAAGCCACATTGAGGAATCAAACAGCTAAACATCTCAATTTCCAACTTTAAAGCGCGTTGCCACGGAGACAGCAACAAACAGAATAATTATTGTTTTAAGTTTGAATGAAAATGAAAAAAAGCTTACTTATATCTGAAGTTTCAAGAAAATGTGTGTTGTTTGTTTGTTTGTTTGTATTTGTTTAACGTCCCTCTCGGGAATTTTTCACTCATATGGAGACATCACCACTTGCTGGTGGAGAGCTGCAAATTTTGTCCTATACTCGGCACTTACGGCCATTGAGCAGTGAGGGATCTGTCAGCACCTACTGCGACACGAGACCTCGGTTTATACGGTCTCATCCGAAGGACCGGTCTCCACGTCCCACAGTGGGATTCGAACCCGCGACGTAAGGATCAACTCCTTACTCCGCGACTCTAGAGCAGACGGTCTAACCACTGCGCCACGCGGGCGACTGAAAATGTGTGTTGTTATGAGTGCCAAAAGATTTTAATGCTTAATAAGAATAACTCTAAAAATATTTACTCGTACATGACGACAAAATCCGCAACAATTCACGGCACATATTATTGCTGGCGGAGATGTGTGCATAATTGTGCTGCACACAATGTCATTGTCACTTATTCAGAAAAAAATAAGGCGAATATAGGGACACATTATTGCCCACAAAAGTATTTGCCATTGGACGACAAAATGTGCAGTGCAGAATTGCACATAATGTCACCAACGACAATATATGCAGGGCAACAGTATGATAATGCTGTTACACTTCTATTTGCAAGACTTCAAAAAATGGTCCACTGTAACATGGAATTCTTTGCACTTTTGTTTGCATTGTTTATTATTCAGAGCATCTGCCGCCTGGTATGATTCAACAGTTATGAAAAACCTTGGCTATTTTTAAAATTAGTGAACTTATTCCAGCTGTGTGGTTATAAGTGTATTCTACATTTAAATGTTCATTTAGTATATTACTGGTAATCTGTATATACAGCTGCACCTACGTTCATTTTCCTGATAACTACGACGACATTCAAGTTCCCTAATTTTTTATTTGCACTTGCACTTTAACTCAATACATATGACTTTGTTGTTGATGATAATACACTCATAACGTTAACAATAGATATGGATGTCCTTGAGTGTATGCTTGGTAATGATTTTAATTGATATCGCATGCAACCAGATATTATAATACAGGCGGTTTGTTGAAAATTTCCAAATATTTTCTAATAAAAAAGACTGAAACACACTAGATTTTTTCGTTATTTCTCTTATCATGCTTATAATGATACGCTTCTTTGTTGCTAATAGGAATGCTTAATGAGTAGCTCATGCAAGAATACTGCTGCACATTTCTTGTCGCTCATCCTGAAATAGACTCTGATATATTTACATCAACTCGGTTACAGCATACATTGTCAACTTTTTACTCACTTAGTTTTCGGTGTTTGTGGGTTTCCACATTAAAATACCTCCACGGAAATGGCTCTCCTCAGTCTTTTGAGGTAAGATTCAAATTATAAAAATCAGCTAAAGAAACCAAGAATTCATTGTCCAATAATTTATCTACAGATCTTTCCGTCTCTGTTTTCAGTTTGGTTCTATAGTGACCCAAAACTACTACTGACAGAACACACAAACGCTTCTGATGTCAGAGTTTCGGTTTAGGTAGAAGCTAGTTCGCTTTGTGTTTGGAAAACAGGTTTTCCAAGAGCGATTGAAGATATTTTAGGAACTTCTTTACACTGCACACTGCAGAGTTTAATTCCATTGCTCTTCTAAGCAGCTAGAGCGTTCTGCTCTTAGATCTTGAAATCTACAGTGCATTACTCAATTTATACTCCATTAAAACATTCTTAACATTTATAAAGCAAGGATAATTTATTTTGATATTCGATTTTGGCGTATTTTCCCAATTTAAGTAAACAACAGTTATTTTGTTCCTTAATATTTCGTTGTCTTTGAACAATTTTCCTTGGGGCATTGTCCAAAAACAAATTCCATTGGTGTACAGATCGAGGGTCAATAAAATATTGTTTGATGGTTGACGTAGTAAGAAGGTCACATGCTGACCAGAAATCTTCTTGTTGTGATAAAAATTCTCGACTGACGACTTGAAATGCTTATCTTTACATATTACTAGAGGAAGCCATCTTTTCAAATGCGGGAACCTTCCAAAATTAGTTTTTGTAAATCAAGCAGCTTTCCTTATTAATTATGGAATTCTTGCTATTTGAGTACGTAGAAGATGGAATATCTATACTTATAAATTAATAAATTTTGCAAATAAACTCCGAAACGGGTGCCCCAGAGTTCTTACTTACTCCTCAAACAATATACTATATACAAGATGATGTCCAAAAACTATATTTAGATTTCACTCGCATAGTAAGTATGCATGTTATTATTTAAGCTCAAGGACAAATGAAGATTCAGAATCACTGTAAGGCGTCTATTATGCTGACCCTTCAAATCGCAGTAAAATTTATACGTCTTTCGTATTTTCACAGGGGAGGAGAATTCTTTTCCATAAGAATTTGACATCTAAGTAGACTAACGGGTGTTTGAATCGTATTGTGTATGAGACTGTTTATACGTAATCTAATATTTTGATTATTGCTAAACCAATAAACAAAATTTAATGATCATACAATGTAGAAAATATTTACTTTAACCATCAAGATATAAAACACCTAAAATGTTCTCCTGGACCTATTGTCAAGCAAACCTTTTTTTCAGCATGGTGTTAACTTTTTTTAATCAAGAAATTTTTACCTGTTTATCGTTTCTCTTAATACTAGCATTAAAAATAGTTATTGGAAATTAAAATAATTATGAAAACACTTATTGAATGAATAAGTAGAAAATTGTCTGCGAAAAATTTACTTCCAATTTTATAGCACAATAATTCAAAAGTCAGGTGCCTCTAGGACTTTCAATAAATTGTATGGAGACCTGAATTATAGCTGGATTTTTTAACATTTTTTCAACGTTTATTTCTTTCGAGTTTAATGTAGGTTAAAACAATTTTTTCATATTAGGTCTTAATAAAAAGGCAAATTCAATTGAATAAAAAATATTCAAACAAAAGTAAATTTATCATTTAATTTTGGAAGTTTAAAATGAAAATGAATATTTGAATGGTAAAAGCAAGAACATTGAACAAATAGTAATATAAAGTGTTTTTCAGCTTTCAGCTCTGTTCTTATGAAACAGGAAAACAATATTAACATGCATATGTGTAAAAGGCATGCAAACGTCAATATTTTATGAACAATTGCTCATTCTGTGAAAAGTAAGAAAAGAAACAGTATTTTTATTGGTTCATTCATACCATCTCTCTCTCTCTCTCTCTCTCTCTCTCTGTGTGTGTGTGTGTGTATGGGTGTTTAACTAGGAACCTCTTTTTGATGTATATTTCGAACAAACAACCCAACAAACTACAACAGCCACAAAGGAAGAAATATTTTTTTCGCTGTCGATCTGTAAAACTCACATGCAATTTAATTACATACATACAAATCAACATAGAAATCTGTTAAAAAAAAATACATTTCAAAGAATATACATTGTCTCTGGATATTTTTAGCATGATGGCGGTCGGATCTTCGATAGAATGTTTCAGTTTTTTCCAAGAAAACACTTACGAAGGAATTTTGGCATTAAAACATGTTAAATGATGTCTATATCAAAATTTACAAACACTGTCTCACTCAAAAGACTAATCACTATCGATTTAAAACGAAAAAAATATACAAAGAGGATTTAGTTTTATTCACCTCATAAATAAGGAGGAGAAGGTATATAGTAACACATCTTCTACAGGGACCAGGGATACCGCAATAAAATATACTGCAAGAATCTCAATGTATTGAAGATTCTAGTGTGTTCAAATCTTTGTCCATATAAATTCTATCGAATGCATTATGTACAGATTTACGTTTTAGTAAAGAGCCCGTATTATTCACTTATTTAAAAAAGGCCTTTGATAGACGATGAATATGGTGATGCCATTTCGTTGGTTGGGAGTAGAGATAATCTGCAGGTTGGCTATTTAATGATTCATAGTTGTGTAAGTAAGGCGTTGGTCTGACAACAGGAACAATTGTTTAATAATCAATTAGTTGAACTTGTAGAATGTCGATAAATACACTGGAATGACAGCTGTCATCAAATCATGTATTTTATAGTGTGTTGAATTCTTTTACCAATCCGGTAAATCTTGTAAATCTGACTGATCACCTAAAATGAAAATAAGATCAATCATTGTGCATGTATAACAATACACACACACCTTCACATACACTTGCGCACGCGTGTACTTACCACATTCATTTGGTGAGTTACCTAACTCTTTCCATATCCCTGTTTGCTGACAACGACGTTCAATATGGACAGCAGCATTGTTGGTGCACTTGTACTGAATTAGACTCCCTGTCATCATGACGCTTTTCGACTGATTTATCAACTGAAATTCTTTTCCTACTAGTGGACTGCACTCTGCAAATTAAAACAAATATTGTTGGTTACACGTTTCGATTATGTTTAAAGATATACATGTAATTTGATAAATTTCATTCAAAATCACAACAGATTCACTGTAAGCAGTGAGCACTGTAACTTTTAGCCTGTCCATTGTAGTGGCATATAATTAGCGAGCTCTTTTGCTGGTTTTACAATACATTTAAAATTTAATAGAATGTATGCTTAAGGTTCGCCTTTGTTTAAATCTTTCGCTGCCAAATTATTTTCTTCCTACAGGGTTCAGGTTTTAGTTTTCAATGATGCATTAAAACTTGATCCGATCAAAATATTTAAGTAAAGAAAATCGCCATAAATTATAGTGATAAAAACGGTTGCCATAGAACAAATGTTGCGATGGTAATACCTGTTATACTGCAAAAAACTGAATTGTTTGCCAATACTTCGCATCTTCCATTGTCTCCACAAACTGTATCATTACAAGGGGATACATCTAACTGTAAATAAAACGCACAGTCTTGTTTTGTTTTATCTTGAATTATAATTAGATCATCAATTTGAAAATCTAGTTTAGAAAAAGTAGGTGTGTGAGCCAAAAAGGAAAAACGAAAAAAATCTTGAAACTCACTAGTTGGCGCATTTCATTTTTTTCCAAGTACCACCAAAAGAGACCTCCCTTTATAAGTGGATTGCCCATGTATGTTGCTTCATAATTAATTTCACAAACTTTTAATGTTTGTTCAAAGTTGATTGATTTACATCTTTTTCTAACAAGACACTCCCTGATGCATGTAAAGGGTCCTATATCTTCTGTTCTTCGCATTACAGTTCCATGCAATCGTCCACGTGGAAACATATGCCAGGTATAACATTTACCTGGATCAGAAGGTATGAATAGACACCCTCCGAAAAGTAGAAGTACAAGAAACGCTGCAAAGGAACGAAAGTGGATGAAAGAGACATTTAACAGTCAGAATACATGTATTTGTATTTAAAGAAAAGATCATTTTGAGAATGCTTATTGGCAACAATTAAAGTCAGTAACTCATTCACTTGTATCGTTTTTGTTCACATCTTACATTAATTAATACATGTACATGCATAACTGAAGAAAATACGCCTATAAAATTTCATTAAGTTTTCAAACAGAATCTTTGTCTCAGATAACTAAATCCATATATTCCTATGAAACATCTTTGAGCATTATATTGTGAGCAGACATATTTTTACATTTTTACAATGAATACTTAAAGTCATTCTAAACAAAAGTAATGCAAACAAAAATCATTACAGTTACCTTCAATGCTGGACTTTCCAACACTCAGCAATGCCATTTTTCATCGGTTGAAGTTTTCTGAAACATACATTCAAACGCTCTCCTATCTAATTTAGGTTAACCTTTAGTTTTGGATTAATGCAACTGAATAATAAAATGTACCCATACTATCAACAAAGATTAATGCTAAAAAATATCAAAAATGATGTAGTATTTTTGCATGTTATCTGCAATCATCATCCACGATAAATCGAGAATTTTTATTTACTCAAAGCAACCAAAAGGGAAATGAAAGATTTGTTCTGTTTACTTATTACGCCAAGATTTAGATCTTTTTGTTGTCAGGATACCTCTACAGTTAACAATATGGGTTTATCGGGCCCCATATAATCATTTCCCAATAAGGAAACATTGATTTAGATTCTGCATACTACAAAGGGTAAAATTAAATGTTGTGAATAATTACATGGCTAAAAGAAGTAAACTGTGGAATCTTCAGTTCTCTACATTTCAAGACTTTCATTTGAAAACAGAATTATATGACTTTCGTTTAAGCCTAACCATAATTGATACAGAGCGAAAGAAAGATTCCTTATAAACTGTTACTCATGACAATGTACATCTTGCAAATCAACAACAACAACAACAACAACAAATCTTCAAACAACAAAGAAAGTGTTTTACGAGCAAAATGTGCAAGCCATTGGTATGCTTTAAAAAGTGACATTTTTTTATTATAACTGAGTATCAACAAATAATATTTTTTTAGGTAACCGGATATACAAAAGGTGTTACAGTTTGTTTTTATCAATAATTGAGAGATATCACGTATAGGTATTTACAGTCGTGTTTATCGTCACAGTCTGAGATAACGACAGTCGTGTTTAACTTCACAGTCTGACATAACGACAGTTGTGTTTAACTTCACAGTCTGACATAACGACAGTCGTGTTTAACTCACAGTCATGTTTAACTTCACAGTCTGACATAACGACAGTTGTGTTTAACTTCACAGTCTGATAACGACAGTCGTGTTTAAATTTACAGTCTGAGATAACGACAGTCGTGTTTAACTTCACGGTTGTGTTTAACTTCACAGTCTGACATAACGACAGTCGTGTTTAAATTTACAGTCTGAGATAACGACAGTCGTGTTTAACTTCACAGTTGTGTTTAACTTCACAGTCTGACATAACGACAGTCGTGTTTAACTTCACAGTCTGACATAACGACAGTCGTGTTTAAATTTACAGTCTGAGATAACAACAGTCGTGTTTAACTTCACAGTCTGAGATAACGACAGTCGTGTTTAACTCACAGTTGTGTTTAACTTCACAGTCTGACGTAACGACAGTCGTGTTTAAATTTACAGTCTGAGATAACGACAGTCGTGTTTAACTTCACAGTTGTGTTTAACTTCACAGTCTGACATAACGACAGTTGTGTTTAACTTCACAGTCTGAGATAACGACAGTCGTGTTTAACTCACAGTCGTGTTTAACTTCACAGTCTGACATAACGACAGTCGTGTTTAACTTCACAGTCTGACGTAACGACAGTCGTGTTTATCTTCACAGTCTGACATAACGACAGTCGTGTTTAACTTCACAGTTGTGCTTAACTTCACAGTCTGACATAACGACAGTCGTGTTTAACTTCACAGTCTGACATAACGACAGTCGTGTTTAACTTCACAGTTGTGTTTAACTTCACAGTCTGACATAACGACAGTCGTGTTTATCGTCACAGTCTGAGATAACGACAGTCGTGTTTAACTTCTCAGTCTGACATAACGACAGTCGTGTTTAACTTCACAGTCTGACATAACGACAGTCGTGTTTAACTTCACAGTTGTGTTTAACTTCACAGTCTGACATAACGACAGTCGTGTTTATCTTCACAGTCTGACATAACGACAGTCGTGTTTATCTTCACAGTCTGACATAACGACAGTCGTGTTTAACTTCACAGTCGTGTTTAACTTCACAGTCTGACATAACGACAGTCGTGTTTAACTTCACAGTTGTGTTTAACTTCACAGTCTGACATAACGACAGTCGTGTTTAACTTCACAGTCTGACATAACGACAGTTGTGTTTAACTTCACAGTTGTGTTTAACTTCACAGTCTGACATAACGACAGTTGTGTTTAACTTCACAGTCTGACATAACGACAGTCGTGTTTATCGTCACAGTCTGAGATAACGACAGTCGTGTTTAACTTCACAGTTGTGTTTAACTTCACAGTCTGAGATAACGACAGTCGTGTTTAACTTCACAGTCGTGTTTAACTTCACAGTCTGAGATAACGACAGTCGTGTTTAACTTCACAGTCTGACATAACGACAGTCGTGTTTAACTTCACAGTTGTGTTTAACTTCACAGTCTGACATAACGACAGTTGTGTTTAACTTCACAGTCTGACATAACGACAGTCGTGTTTATCGTCACAGTCTGAGATAACGACAGTCGTGTTTAACTTCACAGTCTGACATAACGACAGTCGTGTTTATCGTCACAGTCTGACATAACGACAGTCGTGTTTAACTTCACAGTCTGACATAACGACTATTGACTGAATCTTTTCCACAACGTGTAGCAAATGTAAATCTGAAATTTATACAACACTTGTTTCATTTGTTTTACACTATAAAACTGTTCTTTTACAATATTTCAGATACCAAACAAACGAAAACATTTTCGTTATTCTTTTTACATCATGGGGCTTGTTTTGATTCATGCAGTTTTAGCAGTGTGTATTTTGCTGACCTCTTGTGTCTGTAAAGAAACTGATATATCACTACTAATCAGGAAATTGAATAAGTTTTCTTCCGTTGCTAAATATGCATTATACCAAATACTGGAAGCTCAAAAAGAATTTCAAGACAGCCTGGAATATCGACAACAGCTAAAGGATTTGAAGTCAGCTGTGGAGAGTCAAGCAAAAGAAATGGGGTCCTTAAAATCTAGTTTGAAAGACAATTCAGGTAAGCATGAACAATTTTTCCCTATAAAATGGTAAATGTACGGAAGCCCATTTAGAACCTATCAAAAAATATGAAAATTCGACATAACGAATATTCAAATTTGTTAAAATGATTTTAATTCGTTTTTTTCATTTTTCTAATTCGTTATAACGAATTTAATCTATTATAACAAAGAACAATATAGAAAGAGTATACCAGAATATATATTTTATGCACTAGTATCAGGTGCATGTATAAAAAGCTGACGTAATTCAACCAGAATTGAGAAAAGTCAGTAAAATGTCTTACTTTGGCACCCTTTTGTGGCCTTTGTGTATGAATCAAATTAAATGCTGGATTTAAAACAAGTATCATATAAAGTTCTCAACTGGCAATTATACAATTTTAACTGTGTTTTGATTTTATTGTCAAATAAGAGGCCAAATTCTGCTGTTACCATACCTTGTCATTTGTTGAATTTATTATACCGATTTAATTTGAAATAAAAATATTATAACAGATTAAATTAGTTTAAAAGAAATCTAAAATTAACTTAATTGAACTAAATTCATTAAAACGAATTCTTCTTTAATTTGTTATAACCAAAGTTTGAAAGAATTGTCAATTCATTGTGTAAGATTCATATATTGGCTGACGTGTTTCATACCAATTGCTAGACCTTTGTTTTATAAACACACGAATTGGACTATGGGATGTTCCGTTCACTTGATCTATACATAGGACTCACGGCGGGTGTGACCGGTCAACAGGGGATGCTTACTCCTCCTAGGCACCTGATCCCACCTCTGAAATTTCCGAGGGTCTGTGTTTTATGCCCTGCTCATAAAAAATCATATTGACTATAGATTTTTATGAGATCGATCACCTTGGCATTCATAAATAATTTTACAATAAGCTGTAAATAATTTAATTAAACGAATTTAGTTCATTATATTAACTTTAAGAATTAAACAAATAAAATCTGTTAACGAATTAAAAAGTTATCTCAAATTAAATTTGTTTTAACAAATAAGACAACTCGTTACTTCGGATTCAAAAATATCTTTTGATACGTCCTAAATAGATTTATATATATATATATATATATATATATATATATATATATATATATATATATATATATATATATATATATATATATATATATATATATATATATATATATATACATTTGTGGTATCTCTCTATTATATAAACATGCAGAGAGCAAATATCTTCATACCTGTATGAAGTTTTTCGAAGGTCATAGGTCATTACGTGACCTAATCACACAGCGCAGTAATATCTACATAAAAAGACTTACTCCACTAAGCAACATAGCATGTTTTTCATGCATAAAAATGTACAAAATACGCAAGTAAAATAATAATCATTTTATTTACAATGTAAACGAGTATTTAATACAGTTTTTGATCGGTTTTACATAGAGAATAGAAAACTACATGTTATAAGTTCCATGTCTGAGCTGCATAGTCTCAACGTTTACCCTTATTTATCTCGCAGACCTCTGAATGCTATAATTTTTTTCATTAAACTTTACTCACAATAAATTTGAAAATCTGTTGAAAAATATCAATGTAATGCAATCACGCCACAAACAGCTGACAAACACGGCACTTTGGAAGTTCGGTAGGCACACCTCCATCATCGAGATCGTTGTGACGTTGTCTTAACAATGTAAGCTGTCGCCAGTGTCTCCATGTCAACATCATAAATTAATAAATATATGCCTTACTGAAATCGTACATTTTATGTTTTGGATCAAATTTTGTACTTGATTTCAAGTTATCTGGTCCGGACAGGTGTCTCCATCCATTCCTTTCCGACCGAAATTCCTCCAACTTTTTATTATCAAACATCGGACATGTTTCTTGTGTTTTTTAACATCGAATATGGGTTGTCATGAATACAAAAATTCCCAGACACCAATATACTCACTATAATTGATCACAAGTAGCCTTTCACAGAATATTCCCTTCAAAACAGAATCCTTTGCCAGATGAATTTGAAGCGTAACCGCTTTTCAAGCCGATTTACACCTTGCGCAATTTGTCAAAATCTACGACGTACAGTTAGTGCAATATTTATATTCGATTACATTCTATTGTCCGTCTCAAATGTATATATAAGTAATAAATAACAAGTTTAAAAACTTCAATGGGAATTGAAGTGGGTCGATACGTGATCAAATCTTCTGAGAAGGCCTTCGGCCTTCACAGGATTTGATCACGTGACCGACCCACTTCAATTCCCATTGAAGTTTTTAAACTTATTTATTTCTTAAATATAATTTACGAATCGTTTTCAAATATATCGGCACCTAGGTGTTGAATTGAGATTCAGTTTCTTTAAGTACCCGATGAGGGAAGCCAGTGCGTAATAATACAACGCAATATTCAATGTTTTTAATTGTTAAAAGGTGTTTCCATTGTGTGATTTTTCAAAATATATCTCCTCCTCAGTTTTTTGGCTCTTTCAATGCAATCTTACACAGCTGGAGATTATCTATACTAATTAAGGTATTCTGAAAAGTGTTGCTATGCTATAATCAAATTGATTCTTTCAAAATGTCTTTCCCTGTATGATTATGGTTTCTAACAAAACTTAGATTACATCAAAGTAATAATTTTTTCCGTAATTGATTTTATATCAAAATTTTTGCTATGATTACTATAATGAAATTGTCTGGGTTTTTTTCCTTTCAAAATTCTACCCCTCCTATGGTTTTGGTCTCGTTTGAAAAAAAAAATGGTGGAAATTAAGAAAGTCACAAAACTAAATAATTGTATTAAGCTAAAACTCAAAAGAAATGCTTAATAAAAAGTCCAAAAGGAACATTTAATTGTAAACCTATAACGCTACTGTCTCATCAGAGACTTTGGTTAAACTTATTACTGATCATTTCCGATCGATTCATTTTATTTTACTCACAGGTGAGTCAAAATCAAAAAGTTCAGGTGCAGTATATACACGATGGGGAAGATATGATTTCCCACCGAATGAAACAGAACTTGTTTATAAAGGTATTGTAATACATTCCCTAATTCCCCCCAAAAAGATTTCACATATCTTTACGTTAAATTAATAAATTTGAATTTATACAGATCACCTTAACATATAACTTTAACATGTGTACATGGCAATTTAACTCTAATTGAACTTGTAAATCATTTAAAAATGTTTTTCATTGTTGAGTCTATTTGAAAAAAATATTAAGTAAAACTCAGTCCTCTTTGCCCGTGTATGCAACAAACTAAAGTTGATTGAAAAGATTAACAACAACAACAACAACAAAGAATTTTATTAAAAATCTTTACCGCATCACTACGTCGCCAACGTGCGCAGTGGTAGAGTGTCTGCTCTAGAGTCGCGGAGTAAGGAGTTAATCCTTACGTCACAGTTTCGAATCCCACTGTGGGATGTGGAGACCGGTCTTTCGGATGAGACTATATAAACCGAGTTCCCCTGTCGCAGTAAATGCTGGCACGAAAAAAAAGATCCCTCCCTGCTCAATAGCTCTGAGTGCCGAGTATAGGTAAAAATTTGCAGTTCTTCACAGGCAAGTGGTGGAGTCTCCAAATGATTGAAAAATTCTCGAGAGGGACCTTAAACAACGAACAAAACAAACAAACCACGTAACTGCACAACAAATGCGTCTTGATATTATCATAAGATGTTTACCTAGTACATGTAGTATGATGAAATATATGGAGATAACGAACAGTATTCAAGCTCAAAAGTCCATTAATCAATACAAAATAGGAGCAGAGCAAACACGGACCTCCAAACATCAGAGGTGGGATCAGGTGCCATGGAGGAGTGAGCATCCCCTGCCGACCGGTCACACTCGCCGTGTGCTCCTTGTCATGATCGGGAAATAATGGAAAAATCCGCTGACAATTCAGTGTGTAAATAATGGCCTAACAGTTAGTATGAAAAACGTCAGTCAGCATTTGACTCAATGATAAATTGTATTTGCTGATGTAATGATATGAAACAGAAAATAAAATAGCTAATAATTAATAAAGCACACTTCATTTTTATTCCCCTTGAAAAAGAAACCTTGATTATAGATGTAATTTAGTATTTATACCATTTATACTCTCAAAAAGCAGAAAAAAAGAAAGGAATATTGACTGTTAAGTAGAGTCTGAATGAAATGTTCCATTTATCTAAAATATTTTTGTGTATTGGACATTGTTGCGTTATATTGTTATTCAGTATCTTTGGCTGCATGAAATGTGTAAATCCCTAAACTTGAATATTTCTCAAAGAACTTTTATATGACCCTCTTTCAACTAAAGGATTGAAAAAATATTGCTAAATATTTTGAAAAGGATCTTTAGAATTTAATATTTTAAAACAGTTACTCACATAACAAAATATTTTAAAATTAAAAATATTTTAATTATTTTACATATAAAATTAAAATAACAAAAAACTTAATACATAAAATATGTCAAACACATGAAAATCCATAACATATGTATATTATTTATCAATATTTCCTAAACATACTTGGTTTATGTATAAATAAAGCACATATACAAGCAAACATTTTCCTTGACATTAAGTCAAGACACATGTGAGAAGGTTTCTTTTTGAAATACTCAAGATTTTGTTCCTTTTCAACCCGACATCATATGACAGACTGACTATAGGTATAAAAAGTCCACATTTGTCAATTTCATTTTTTTCTTCCAATCACAAATTCTGCTGAGAATGCTGCCTCCACTTAGAACTTTTTTTCTCTTAGCTTACTTGCCACTGCAAAATACATAAGTCAAGTTAAGTGTTTTTCTAAAACATATTATGTGAATAAATATTTACATCCACTGAATATTATTTCCTTTATCTCTTATGAAAACCATTGCCGTTTATCAGTCCGTAAACGGCACTAAGCAAGCCATCTGCATAGATTTCTTGAGCATACAATGACATACACATCTATATTACAATATATATCATATTTAATTTTACTTTAAATGGTTTTTCTACAGATACAATAAAATGTTCTTCTATGATTGTTCATATGGAAATTGACGTCACAGCTATTGCAGAAAAAATTTATGTAGTTTTTCTGCAACAGCTGGGACATTAATTCCCGTACTAACAACCAAAGAAAGCATATGCATTTTATTGTTTAATTATATCAGTGAATATCAGAGCCCAATTTGGTGAAAATGGGTCAAATATGCAAAATAAAATCCACTTTTCACTTCGTTTTTTATGGATTTGGTGGAAAATTTAAACAACGACAGTTTATATGTCAACGATTCCTTATAAAAATTTTTTTGAAGTATTAATGCAACAGAATGAACAATCATTACCCGTAATCCCCCCTCCCCTCCTCCTGACTGCTCTGCCTTCTTCTCTATCTCCTCCCTTTTCTGCTGTTTACGTTTTAAAGCCTCTGGGTCTTTTACACCCCTCCCTTCATCCTCTCTCTTTCTTTTTTCTGCTGCTTCTGCCATCTGTCTTCTTCTGGTTTCCTATTATTTTAACAACAAAAATTTTAAACTCTTGTATGTATGAGGAAATAAAATTTCAGCAATGCTACTTATGATCAAAAGTAGATAAAATTAGAGATAGATGTCACAAATCATTTATGACAGCAAACAAAAAATTAGCCAGTGATATGCAACTACAGTAGAACTCGTTTAGTACGAACATGGATATTGCAAAATTCACGGATATAGCGAAGTTTTCTTGGATCCTCTGCAATATAAATTTTACGAATTCCTTATACGGATATAACGAATTACGGATATAGTGAAGTAATTTCACATGTCCCAAAGACTTCGTTATAACCGAGTTTTACTGTAGTTCACTTGCCATCACATGGAACATAACATTATATTATATGTGATTCACTTGACAATTCATTTAGTGTCAGTGTGTATATCTCTATTTCTGACAGTAAACATTTCTTTCTTAAACTAGCACTCTGGAATGTTTCATTTTGAAAAATCCTTCATACTGTAAAATTTCTATACAGAGAGATTTTGAGGTATGACACAATTTCTTGATTGCTATTCAATATAACTTTTAACTTTCTTTTTCCAAATTTGAAGACGTACAAAAAGTCACACTTTGAAGACTGGGAAACATAATTTTTTTAAACTTAATTTCTACTCTTCTTATAAATTCAAACCAAGTTCTAAAAGTTCTTAGGCTTTAAAAAGACATTGATTTGTGACCACTGACTTTTTGACTGAAGTCATAATTCATAATCCTGATAATGGATCCATTTCTAATTAAAAGATCCTTACTTTTCTATGCCTCCAAGCATTCAAATTGTTTGTTCGATAAGGGACCTATATACTAAAGAGTATACAGGTCCCTGGTTCAATGCATAAGTATAAAATCAGAGTTTGTAATTGCCATTGATAAGTACTCCATTTTTAAGTTTTAACGGAGGGAAAGTAACAATTTCGTAAAAAAATGTGTAAGGTTACTCCTCATATCCAACAGACAGTCCAATGTTTATTTACTTTATGCGTTAAATATCAAGCTGCAATGAATTTAAAGTAAACCGTTGGCTTAAATTATTTTTACATTCAAAACTTACCGGACTTGGTTGGTCATAATCATCAGCCTGTCCTCCTAAACACGGTAAACAGATACCCATTTTAAATGATTTTTTTCTACGCAAAACTTACTTTCACTTTTGGAGAAAAAATATGAATGTCGATCTCGATTGAATATGCGATTTGTAAATAGACTGGCTAAGCGCGATACGATAGAAACATGCATAGCCAGTCATGCAGGAGCAGATATAGGAATTCAAGTTTAGAAGACAACAGAAACGTAGGAGTTTGATCGCATAGGTTTGAGAAAATCTGTCCTATTAATTATTTGGGTGGGGGGGGGGGGGCTTTAAATCTTCAATTAAGCCCCACCATGGGGCATCGTCTTTGGGAACACATATTTCACAAATTTAGTAAGGGGCATATAGCTTACTGAAGTATACATAAAAGTTGCTTGCTAAATGTCCTTGAATACTAGTAAATAAGGTTTTCAAAGATACGCTTTGAAATACTTTTTTTTAAATATATGACTAACTGAATCCTCAATTCTTGAATGATTAGCATGAAATTTAAAATTTTAGAGCGTTAGCTGCCAAATAATAATCATGAATTCATTTTTCCTGCTAGATGTTCACGAGCTTAAGAAATTAAAACAAAAAAAATTTAAAGATGTGATGTAGTTTCAATATAAGGTCGGTCAGCTAAGCCTCAACCGAGGCCCGAGTTTTCGACACGTACGGAAACATACCTAAGCGTCATAATTTTGGCGGACGGCTAACAGCTCATTATAACTACGATAATGTTATTCATGCTATAGATGGCCGAGGGTTTAAGGCACTTTCTTTGTACTAGTTAGTATTATACCATACCATCCCCACCTCAGATTTTACAATTTTACAATTTTGTTGGATCTGTCTGCTCATTATAATCATACAATTTGTCTGTCTGCTTACTTTCTATTAAATAGAAAAAGATTTAAAACATGAAATGTATTTTTATTTGACATTTATTGAATTATTTTGAAGATTGCATTTCTTTTATTTTAAAAGGTCCTCAATTTAGGGAGCCCAGATCTTTCAAATGGCGACAGAACGTTTCTATTATGAATTCCGTCAAGGAGTATGCTAAACGAAGAGAAAGACCTTGATACTCTGTCAGAATGGATAAAGCACTTTAGATATATATTAAAAATCACATTAGAAAATGAAAGGACAATACCCCTTCTCTTTCAGTAGACAGAAAGTGATTTTAAAAAATTAGAAAGACTACATCAAAAACATGTTGGTACCAGCTCACAATTCCACATCTGGCTCCAAGACCATAAACTGAGAACAGAATTAAGTCTAGATTCTGAATATCCCTAAAATTTATTTAACAAACTGCTTAAAAAATTGCAGGTTTGTATAATATTCAAATTTATACAAACACATGGTGAAAATTGTGTTTCATTTTCAAAATTATTTCAAAAGTTATACAGATTTGAAATTTTGACTTAAGTCTATTTTCAGTTTATGGTCTTGAGACCTGGTATTCCAACATATGCTCAGAGTTCCCTTTCAAAAGATTGAGTTTTTAAAAATCACCTATCATTTAAATGCTTTTAACATTCCTGTGAATGGAGGTGAGTTATATTTAAGGGGCACTTGTTTCGTATACAGGACACCCCCTACTTATTTTTACCACAAGGTACTTACATGTAACCCATTTTAATGCACCCCCCACTTCAAGCCAATATTTTTCTATATTTTTTTTCTTTTCAAATACATTGTTCCAAACGTCCTTAGTCTAGTCTCTTAATTGTAGACAACTCATTTATTCCTCGAAAATTACCTCACGACATTTTAAGACATATCAGACGGGATGCAACAACTTCTGGTTAATTAGCTTAAAGTGTTGGATAAAACCAGAAACTTCCGAGCTTATTCTGAAGTTTCTGGTTTCATCGTATATTTTAACCCTTTTTTCATAAAAACAATAGGCCTATATATATTTCTCAATTGGTTTATTTTGCAGTCCATTTGATATTGCATCGTAGATTGGTCTGAACCACGTGTTGGAAGAAAAATGTAAACATGTAGTTGGCCAGTAGATTTTGCTATTCATTCGATGATTGGACAATTGTTCATGGTAAGATCCGCTGTGTGCAATTACAATAACCATATAAGGCAAACAAAGGTTTATCATCTTAGTACATATTCCACATTTTTTTTCTACCAGCGTATTGGGTGACTACAAAATAACTTTGTTAAAAATCTGATTCTTCATACAAGTACTCTGAAGATGCTGAAGATTCTAATTGACAATATAGATGCAGTCTTTGAAGACCACATTTCCAACAATCTACTGGAATTCCGTTGGACACTAATTGTGCAACTTTAGTAGCCGATCTGTTTTTATATAACTGTGAAGCACAATTTATCAAAAACTTCTACATGAGAAAAAGAAAACAATTGCTGTGGCCTTCAACTCGACATTTAGATATATCGACGACGTTTTATCAATTAACAATACATGTAGTAACTTTCATTTATATGTCGACTCGATATATCCCAGTGAACTCGAAATTAAAGACACTACAGAGTCTTCCACATTTGTTTCATATTTGAATGTTTCACTGACTATAGATAATAATGGCCAACTAATAACTAAACTCCATGACAAATGGGAAGACCAGCTTTTCCATCGTCAACTTCCCTTAGTTATGAGGTAATATTTCAACATCATCTGCATATGGTTTGCTTGTCTCCCACCTGATTCGATACGCAATAGTATGCTCCGAGTACGATCAATTTTTAAAGCGAGACAAGCTACTGACAAATAAGTTGATGTTAAAAGGATTTCAACAACCCCGTTTAAAATAAGCTCTCTGTAAATTTTACTGTCATTATGATGGCCTTGTTTGTAAACACAACCTATCGTTGGATTGTATTTTGTTTGAAATGTTTGATGCCATATGTAAGGTCATTTCTTTTTAAACTAAATTTGACTACAAAGTACTCCGTATACCTGATCAATACATAGGGCTCATGGCGGACGTGACCGGCCAACAGGGGATGGTTACTCCTCCTAGGCACCTGATACCACCTCTGGTTTTTCCAGGGGTCCCTGTTTTTCCCTGTTCGCGATTTGTCTTGTTCATTGGATTTGTGAAATTGTTCGTTATCTTTATATTTTGACATTTCCCATTATTAAAGACACAATGCTTAACTGACTGAAACAAATGAAATATATGGAGATAACGAACAGTATTCAAGCTCAAAAGTCCATTAAACATTACAAAATAGGTGCAGAGCAAACACAGACCTCCAAAACATCAGAAGGGGGATCACGTGTCATGTAGGAGTGAACATCCCCTGCCGACCGGTCACACCCGCCGTGTGAGTTGTTCATGTATATTCATTCATATCAAATTGAGTTGTTCATGTATAAACATGTTACGTACAAACTATGACGCTACTTAGATGATTTAAGTGGTCTCTTCAAGCCCTTGATTTTGTTAACCTTATCAATCTGTAATAAAGCAAGATCAGTTGAAAATGTACTCAGTCTGACTAAGTTATGAATGAAATTAGTAAAATTTGAAAATTTAACGGCAGACCGTCACTTTACAAATGTATCACGATAAATGAAAATCTCAACTTGATTTTTAAATATTTTTTTATTACTAAACTTTGAAATACATATATTACTGATAATTGATTATATGATATATTATATATTATACTAGTCAATATCTAATTTTATTCTTAAAATTTGAAATATACATAGTACTTTTGTATACGTAGCTGTCATATATGATTTACAATTATATAAATTATATAAAATATGGCAGGGATATAATGGATTAGTGATATTTCGTATAAAATATTTACAAAACTTCGCTTTATTATGCATTTAAACACTTGCTAATCATAAAATAAGTGATGGAAACGCCTTCTCTCTCTACCACATCACTGTTTCTTCGTTGCTGTCTTCGATAGCGCTGTTGTCAAATTCCTGCACCATCTGCCGGGTTCTCCCTAAAATAATCATACATAACATATATATTTAACGGTTGCTGATCTCCATGATACATAATGTTTAAATCAAATCATATTCGATAAATAAATCAGCTATTCATGCTGACTGGTATTCATGAATCAACTAAACAATTTGGATCTGCACTTTCAAACACTATTTTCAACCATAAGTTTTCTTTCAGTAGACATGCTTTCACCTAAAATTATCAAAAAGTAAAATTTCTTACTCATTTCCTGGTGCGGACGATCGTCCTTATTTTTTCTCCTTCCACAAAGGAAAACTGTCAGTACAGTAATGATCAACAAAACTCCAAGAGATGAGGCTATTCCAGCGATCACTGCTTGCTTCACTGCAGACGTATGAGAATCAGCTGTTACCTCTACAACAGATTTGTTTGATGATTCTGTTGTTGTTGAGGATAAAATGCTACTAGACATGTTTGGTTTGATTGACGATATTGCTGGCGATGTTAGGGTTGACTTCGGCACAGTTGATTTTGGCAATATCTCAGATGGATTTCGAGACGGGAAGTTCAGGAGAGCTGTCGTGCTTGAGGACATGATTCTGGTAAACATTTCTATTGTACTGGTAGGTGGTGGTTTGGTCGTTCCTTAAAATGTAAGTAAATAAATAGCAAAATCAACTATAAAACCTTTCTGAATAGCCTAGTTTACTCTTTGTGATATATTCAACTGTCGTAAAAGTAACTTTATTAGATGGAAAGGTCTTCAGAAAACTTTAAATCTTATAGTAAACAACTCTCCTGGATTTTTTTAAAAGAAGGTTTCAATATGAATTTCTGCATAAATTGCTAAGTTGTAATATTCTTAATCAAAATCGATGTTTTAGAAGTAAATCAAATTACAGTAGAACTGGCCTAAAAAGAATTCCTGGAGATTGACATATAAAGGCATAGTTTTCTATTATTTCTTTTTTCTAATCTATCGTTAAGTCGAATGTTGACTGACATATTTCATACAAATTCTGAGGCCATTATTATCACACTGAAATGTCTACGAATTTTTCCTTTTGCCCGATCATGACAAAGAGCACCCGGCGTATATGACTGGCCGACAGAGGATACTCACTCCCCAATGGTACCTGATCCCACCTCTGTTTTCAGAGGTCTATGTTTACTCTGCTCTCAATTTGTATTGTTTGACTGGACTTTGAGAATGATTACTGTCTCTTATGTTGATATCTCAACGGAAGGTTCAAGAATGTTTACAGAACTTACATAATCTATTATTTTTGTGCAATTTATACCCTGAATCACAAAAAAAAAAAAAAAAAAAAAAAAAAAAAAAAATCTGGAAAATGGTGAAAAATATAAAACTATTTTGTGGACAAAGGAATAGTAAAAGAATCAATCATCAGAATGTAATTTTGACTTCTTCTAATAGCTAAAAGTCGAACATTATAATATTTTCTTCAAATATTATATAGAAGATGCCAGAAAAAAATCAAATTATTCCGCACAAACGATAATTCTTTAAATAGATTTCTTCATAGGGAAGCTTTACTTTAGATCCGTTTATATATCTATCTTTTTGACATAATCAGATAAGATTACTTCATCTTAAATAACGTTAAATACACACTTAGGTAAGTCCTGATGTATTGCTGTCGTTCATCGTCACTAACAACTTCGTTTATTTCTATGGTTCTGCTGGTTTTCTTTTCTATAAACTCTGAAGTGCTTTCTATAAAAACAAGTGCTGTTATATCTAAAGTGAAGCTGTTGTTGTAGTTATTTGGTGGTATGTACATCACATCACCAAAGTCGCCAGCTGCAAGGTATAAGGTATTCCTAATGACACTGCCAGCGGAGAAGTACGAGTGATCTGGAAATCCGCTGCATTTGATGATCATGTGGGCATCTTTATCGCTGGAAATTGTTGATGACATGAGATGTAGTGGGACTGATATGTTCTTCTGTTTACCCACAAAAACATCGAGGATAGGCGGGTCCAAAGGTGGTGTAGCTAAGAAATTAAAAATAAAAATAAATTGCACTTGTGCTCAAAAGCCTTTTAGGAAAGAGTACATGAAATTAAACAGTATTACTTACTCCTACTACAATCTGTTCCATAAAACCCGTTAGTACACAGACAGTAGTTTATTTTCAGACACTGTCCATTACCAGAACAATTGTTTACATCATCGCATCGTACTGAAATGCATGAAAACATTTTCCTTGTGTAACCAATATTGTCTTTAAATTACAGAATGATAAATCAGAGTGAAGTGTATTATAAGCATGATTGAGTGTAATCGCAAGAAATTGATTGATCTTCAACCGTCAAGAACAAGACAAAAGACCTTTGTCAAGAAAAAAGATTCAATAAATGCATTATATTTTGAATAATTAATATTTGCTCTTTTTATGCTTTTTTAAACAAAATTATGCAAATAAATAAATAAATAAAATAGTACAAATATTTAAAAAAAATACCTTCAGGTTTGGGTATATACACCGTATAGGAGTATTTTGATCCTGCTAATTCTAGGTTTGGAAGATTACCAATGCGATCTATGGGGAGTACAATAAAAGTGTGATTGTGTCCTGGCTCAAAGGGAACCAAAACCGCCTGTTCTTTGACGTCATCAAGTAAAGAGATATAACCAGATTCTACAAAATGTGAGTGCTATTTAAAATCTGATGTGAAAAAGTGATTCATTAAAGCACTAGAGAGAGAGAGAGAGAGAGAGAGAGAGAAAAAAGGGTACCTGACTGCAACATGATGTTAACATAATCTAATCCACTTTCATCATCTTTGGCGTCCATGTTTAGAACCAGTGATCCGGAATCCAACACGTCTTTGTCAATTGTTAAATTCTTTATGTATGGTGCCGTATCGTCTATCTGTTAAATATTTCAAAGATATGTGTCTGGAATATATATCTGATAGACATCCATGCCATTGTGAAAAAAATAGTCACTCACTGTATTAAATATTTCAGGCGTATCTATGGGTTCGTTTTGATCAAATATGATGACAGCTTTGGCAGTTATCTTATCCAAAGACTTGACATCAGTACTCGGTCTAATGGAGAAAGTGACGAATCCTTGTCCCGTTGTTCCGTTGTTTGGGGGAAGGAACCCGACTGATGGATCCGAGGGAGGTAATCCTGAAAGTAAATTTTATTGGAATGGTAAGATAAAGAAGTAAAAAAAATAAGGTATATTATATTTAAAGTATACTGGCCAAAAACCTTATCGATAGGATTGACACTGTAGGATATATATGTTAGAAGTCTAAAATTGATTTTTCTAAAAATTAGGATCGAAGGTAAGTAATTGAGACTGCATACCAGTACTGGCATTGATTGCTTGTAATTCCCAAGAAGCTTTTTTATTTACAATGTCCAATCCTCCTCGTATTGCGACAAATACCCCCAATTCCTCCGTCATGTTAATCTTTTCCTTAAATACACAAGAAATGAACACTATGACAGATGTCGCCAGCAAGGAATCATATGCTAAAAACACAGAGGAAGTTATACATTTATATACGGATAGACTTTATAGAATAGTTGTAGAGGTTATGAGGTTTTCTCTTACATAAAGAGTTACCTTTGTACAATTGAAAATACTACGATTTCCATCTTGTTTTTTTTTTTTGCCCATGGTCAAACGGAAATGCATTTGAAATATGAATGCTAAACACTGAAAAACTGACCCTGACTGGTTCATAAAGTTCTTAGAATAGGGGCAGTATGTTTAAAAATATATATATTTAAGCACAATTAACTAAGAAATATGTATACAATTATTATTCACCAATTACAATATATCAACAATATTAAAGTATAGAAAATCTACAGTGTAAGAATATTCATACTGTTGTAACGTTAAACATTGTTATAACAGTACATGTGTCATTTCTTGCAAAATGAATTTTACTCCATACCTGGATGACTGATTGCCTAAAATTAAACTCTGTTTGAAAACTACCGAATCCAAATGTTCCAAGTCGAAATGTTCTTGGATTTAAGTTTTTGTCCAAATTCATCTCTATGTATACTCTCTGCGCTGGTGCTGTAGCATTTGCATCATTTTCGAACTGAATTTTATAGACCATATCTGTGTTTTTTAGTATAAATCTCGCTGCGCCATATCCCGTCGGTCCAATTAAATTGTTCTAGAAAAGAATTACAGTTATGTATATGTCTAATATTCTCCCAATAATTGATCTTACTTTTCATTTTTAGTTTTTTAAAGCAAATTGAAATACCAGAAATCATATAATTATGATTAAGTAAAGAACATCATTTCTGTCGAAGAAAAATCATTTTAAAAACACGTGGTAAAATGTTCATTAAGATATCTGTAAGACAGATATGTCGGATAGGTTTCATTTTTATTCTTTATCATTACAGGATCGTGTGAGTTTATCCAGCGTATGAATCCTTCCCCGATATTTGCAAAGGCGTGGCAAGCATCAGAAGCAACACTCGCTGCATCCTCGATTCCCGTCTCCATGGAATTGAAAAATGGTATAACGTTGTCGGAAATACTTTTAAACTCATCCTTGAAATGGCTAAATTGATCACTAAGGAAATGACTGACTTTTCCACAGTTTATCTGAAATTGGAATTTGACAGATATTTTGATTCCTATAAAAATTAAAAATTAAAATTTTTAAGTATAACTGGATTCTTAAAAAAAAAACTCAAAACGGGAAACATAATTATGTTTTACTGGAATAAACTGTCTAATGCAAGTTTGCTTCCATCCGTTGCAATAATTCGTCATGGCACTCTCTCTTGCTCTGTCATCGGTTATAAAGGAATTGATTTTCATTTTTGCGTCATTATATGAATTATGCAGGGACTGAAAATAAGTAGGAAATAATCATATGATATTTTCGATAATAGAAAAACATCATCCTGGTATTTCAAATTTATTTGATCATAAAATCAATTTCATGTATCATTTTATTCATATCATATTAATTCAATTTCATATAAATCATTTACTTTACAAATTAAACTAGCTATAAAACTTAATAACTGACATTATGGCTGTGAAAATGCTTTATGTAGGACAGAGAGAGAGGAATTACACAAGAAACTATCAAAAGAGAAATATTAAATAAAGAGAAACACATATTTCAAATAATGATCTGAATATTGTATTAATGTTTTAAAATTTCACATAACGTTTGACTGCTTCATCTTATAGATGCAGCCATGTCGCCTTACCTGCCTAGCATTGTCCAAACAATCACAGGGGGAGAAAATACAATCTCTATGTTTATAAGCAAATGTAGCGATATCCAGAGCACGTCCAATAGGCGAAGATTTGAAAATCTTATCTTCCAAGAAATGTAGGCCATCGGTTAGTGCTGTATCTGCGATGTATTGTTGACACAAAGACTTGTCCTTCAAACGATCTTTTATGTCAAATGTATTATAGAATATATCTTTTAGTCCATTCCCTTTATTAATATTACTGATTCTGTGTGTAACAAAGGTTGAGACAGACCGTATCTGGCGACGCTGCATGGTTTTTACGCTTTTTCCACCATTAATGTTCTTGCTGTGAGTTTTTGAATACGTGTTTAATGTGTATGTTGACCCATCAACTTTAGTAGAAGTGTATATCAAATGTAAGTCTGAAATATTTATACATACATATATATATATATATATATATATATATATATATATATATATATATATATATATATATATATATATATATATGTTGCTCTTAAGAATGCAATTTGAAGTACAAACAAAAAGTAAATGTTCGATAAACTTTCCTTTGTGGAAACAAAGATACTCCTTTGGATCAACAGATAAGATTATTACATCAAAATAAATGAAGTGATGTATTTTCAAAAAATGTAACTTACATGGATCATTCATGTGGCATGTTTTATCATCCTCTATACCGTTTGCCATTCTCAATGGGTTATTTCCTTTGAACATGTATAAGTTTGGCTTATGACAAAATATTCCTTTCTTATCCATATTCAGGAATCGACCAATATGCGAGTCGTATAGATTGTCCCCGATTAAATAAATGCCTGATAATTCGCTAATTGATATTGTTCCCCATTGTCCAAGGTAGAGGAATTCACTTACATATTTATTTTGATTGTAAGCAACATTCCCAAAAGCGTCGTACGAAAACGTATTAATGGTATGCCCTTGATGATCTAAAATTTCCACAACAGACCTAGAAAAAAAAAATAAAGGACTTTGTTATATGAGTATGTTTGAATAATTCCTACCTCTCTGATTAGTTGAGATCCAGCATTGTAGGAAAATTCATCTTACTAAGTTATGTTCACCTTCTTGAGACTTCCAGGTGAAAATATGTTTTTTTTCTACATTGGTTTAAAAATATATCAAGAAACTTCCATGCAAATTAATACATTAATTCAATCTGCAATAAAAATTTATTAAAAGTTATTTCACCTGCATCCAATTTTCAGAGGAACATAATTATTTTTCAACATCGCACCAAATATAGGTCAAGAAATTCAAAATCAATACAAATGGTTAATTTTATTTCAATCTTGTTTCTCTCATTGCGTTTGGCGAGATCTTCAACAAATGTAACCGTTCACGGTAGATCAGTCGGTAGAGCGCTCGCTCCGTGATCGGGAGGTCGTGAATTCGAATCTCGGCCGCTACTGACCTAATTCGATAAAAACTGGGTAGCAACTGTTCCTTCGCCATGCGCTCGGCACTTTAAAGCTAAAGTTGCTGGTCCTTCGGATGAGACCTTGAAAACCGAGGCCCCGTGTCACGGCATACGTTGGCACAATAAAGAACCCTCACTGTTCAATGGCCCTGAGTGCCAATTAAAGGTCAAAATTTGAAACCCTTCACCGGTATATGGTGACGTCTCTATATGAGTGAAAAATTCTCGAATGGGACGTAATACAACTAAAACAACTTACAATCAATCAATCAATCAATCAATCAATCAACAAATGTAAAAAATCAAGAAAGGTAGTAAGACCTGTTTACCAAGTTTGTATCATTTAATTAATCATCAGTAAAGAAAACAATGATTGCTGTTTATGTGGTCAATACGATAAATAAGTCACATGAATTTTGTACTCCTCAGGTGGCTCAATCATTGTACTGACCTAAAACAACAATTATTGTTTAGTATCACGATCACCAAATTGGCAATAATAATACTAGACTTAAACTATTAGACAATGTATACACAGAAAAAAAAGTCAATATCTGACTTTGTGGTTAAATTACATGTCCTTAAATTTTCTATGAAAAATAGAATGAGATGTTTCTTCAACATATCATCATAGCAATATCATTTTTTTATCATCCAAAGAAAATGTTTGGCATTTTTATGGAATTGTTCATGTACGAGTTTTCAGATGAATTCAATGCTCATTAAGGGTGTATAAAAATAAACACAATGATTGATAACATACGAAAAAAGAAATAAATGGAGAGATTAGATAATCATTTACATGTGTATATGTGTTTTATCTCACCAATTACATACCCAAAAGCATCATACTGGTAGTAATAATATTCTCTATCTCTCTTTGTTGCAACCAGTCCTACTTCAGATTCGTATATATGATATTCAGTTGACCCTGTTTGAGAATATCTCTGAAAAAATGAAATAATAGAAATTATTATTAGTGAAATAATTATCGGAATTTTTTTCAAACTGAAATGAAATGACATTGTGTGTTTATTATCATACAAATATGCTGTTTTTGTTTAATTCAAACATGAGACACGCTTCAGAAAGATGGATAAATACGCTATATCAGAGGAAAGGCTACGACATAGTTGAAAACAATTTTTTTAGTACATCTACCTGTTTCAATATTCGACCAAATGAATCTGTAAGGTAAATTTCCACATTGTTTCTGCATACTTTCCCTCTAATATGCCCAAAGCCGTTGTAGTGAAGTGTGCAGTTGTTAGAAAGCGTAGTAAAATTTGATAACCGGTTGTCATCGTTAAAATCCAAGGAAAAATTTCCTTTCTTTATCAGATTGCCCTTCCTATCATATTCAGTATCTAAGCCATCGATAGAAATATACTGGTTCAATACATTTCGTTGATAATTGTGTTTTTTTCCATTTTGCGAGACAGTAACACGATTTTTACATTGATCGTATACAATGGTTGTCGTTGAATTCATTGGATTCTTGATATACACTAATTGTCCAGTTAAGTCATAAGAAAATGACCAGATGCCTTGTACTGTTGACATTGCAGATAATCGTCCTTTCTGGTCGTAGCTATATTGAAATTTGGAAGAGATTGAACCATTTGGATAATAGTTTGATAATGTCTTAAGTAATCTTGTCGTCTCGTAGTATGTGAAAATCGTTTTCGCGTTGTTACCAAGAGTCTTCTGTTTAATCATCCCATTGGCATCGTATGTCATTCTTATAAGCATCTGATCATCTGCCCTGTTTGTAACATACATAATCTGTCCATAATCATTATATAAATAATCAATGTCATACGGGGCTCCGGAGATCCTTAAACTTTTCAGAAGATTTTGGCTGTCGTATGTTTGATGTATTGTGTCTTCTTCAGATCTTAATTCTGTGATGCGTCCACTTTCATCATAAGACAGCGAGGTAGATGTATCTTGATTTTGTACGGACATTATACGACCAATTTCATTATATTGAAAATGAAGGAAGCCTTTATCCTCTGAGTAGCGAAATGTTAGTTTCTCTGTGTCATCGAAGTGGTAAGCCATTTTTCGTCCACTTTGATCTTTATGAACTAACGAATTATTAGAATAAATGAAAGTTTCATTGGAGTTGTCTGGGTACATTATCATGAAAACATAGCCCCTTAAGGATCGTAGGATATAATATGTATTCAAATTAGCATCAGCGTAAGTTGCAATGTTTCCATTTTCATCCTCTTGAAAGAAAACACTATTTCCATTTCCATCTTGTATTTCGTGAAAATCACCAAACGAAATTCGACGTTCAATGACCTAAAACAAATACATGAATATGACTACAGTTTCAATATTAAATACTTATTTCAGAGGTAATTTGTATCTTAACCATTTTACACTTGATCATGAGGCCTAATTCGTAACACAGCTAATTAACATTTTTTATTTGTTTAAAAGGTAGTTTCATTCAACTGAAAATCTGTATGCTATTATTAAATGGCTTTATCGTTTTGCACAAGAAAATAGGATTGTTTAAATTTTCGCTATCCTCTGTAATGTGATGAGTTAGCCTAACTCAGAAACACGTTATTTTCAAAGCATTCTCATTAAATTACATTAATTTCCCCCAAAGAATTATAATGCAATATCGTTACCAATTGACTAGAATGATATATCTATGTTGAGTTATGATTGCATGATTTATTTCAAATGGAAGATAAATAAAAGGTATGGATTAAAGATCTTACCAAATCTCCTTCGATGATTTCTTCTATATCTTTCTGACGTTGAAATTTACGAATAGGAAAGAAACTCTTTTTAAAGCCAGCTATATGACCGTGAGTTGTTATCCAGTACGATTCTGTTATATTTTGTGGCATTGTCCACACATCAATTTTTCCATTCAAGTAATCCTTATACACTACACGAGAAATGAGCCGATCATTCACATACTTGTCTACTGCATTCAAACGGCCATCACTTGAATATCGTATCACGTGCAATAAACCAGAACTTTCAGTGATTCTTATTAAATGGCCTATTTCGTTGTAAAGATATGATGTAACATGTCTGCCACAGTTTACAGTGGAAAGGAGGTTTTCCTCTGTGTAGGAGTACATACTGAAAAAGAAATGTAAAAGTTCTGGATAATCCATATACTAGCATACGGAGGAATTTGATAGTAGGGTTAAAAAAAATAATAACCAAGTTGCAAAATTTCCTGATAGTTCCCTTTTATTTATTGCTACAATTTTCAAGTTGTCATTGTAAATAAAATCCAATGTATTTCCACCATATGCAATGCTTTTTAAAGTCTGTTTGTTGTCATAGACAAGATTTATCTTTATATTTTGCTTCACAATGGAAGAAACATTTCCAGTCGTGACGTTAAAATTGAACACATCTCCAGTTGTTGTATCCAAAAAAGAAACCAAATCTAGTAAGAAAACATGACAATGAAAATGTACATTCATTTAAATATAGTTAATTAATCAAAGGGAAATATTGTATTTTCATAATTCCTTTTCTACACCAGTTGACATTTTTATTCATCAATTTTCGATTCCTCTTATAGAAATAGATAAACGGAAAAACAAAATTGATCTTAGAATGTATAATCAGTATTGTAAACAAATATACTATGATATTTCAAATGAAGACAATATAGAAATTCAATCAGTTATGAAACATAAGTAAACCTCCACTAATCATTGTGAGATTTCCTTTATCTTCATTGGTATATATCCCATATGTATCTGCCGTAAATACAATTTCTTCTCTTTTCCAGTTCAAAAGTGCTACCACCTCATCCATACCTTCCAAATAACATTCCCTGCATTGAAAATAAAAGAATATTACTCATAAGAAAAAATTACCAACAGAAAAGGTTTCATTAGAAAAGAAATGTTTGAACTTACCAAATGGAGGCTATCCATCCTATTCCAAATGCACCATCGACACCTCTTAAACCTATTCTCCGAGGATATGCACGAACGATATCTAATAAAGTTTCCCCGAATGAACCAACATTTGCAAAGTCTGAAAACTCAGCCATGTAACGCTTTTCGCCAACACCATCCGCAATTTCGATAATTCGCTGCATGATTTCATTGAATGAAAGTTGTCGCTGTTCCACCAAAGACATTTCATTTCTGATTTCGGACACCTTGCTTTGCAATGAAAACCATGATTTTCCCAAAAGCTGAATAAAATTTTCCCACACCCGATCCCAATCGCTTTCCTCATAATATTTAGGTTTTAAATTGTTTCGCATATTCAGGTACGAATGTTTTGACCCATCTGATTCAAGAATCTTCGCAAGGGTAATTTGGACTCGTCTACTCTCACACTTCACTTTTATGGATAATCGACCAGTCTCTGAAGGTGATAGAATTCCCCCAGGCCCGTCTGATGACCCACCAATTACAGTAATACTATTAGTCCAGCGGTTGCTTTGTTTCTTGTTTACTAGCATCAGTTGACCATCTCCTTTTGCTCGTATTCGAAATATTTGAGAAGTAGCATCAGTTTGACCCACATTTTCAAAATCTAGCTTTATTTCTCCTATCTCATCATCTCTTAGTGGACCAGGCACAGATATTTTAGTGACCACCTTTCCAGGTATTCCTTTGACTACTGTCAAAGCAATCGGTAGTAATGTTGCCTGTTTTGATTCACCATCAGTTAAATTCAATCTGTAGCTGGAGTTGATTCGTAAAGTTCTTGAGTCAAATGTGGCTGCTACCATGGAGGACGAAAACCAGTATTGCTTATGACACTGAATTTTGAAAGTTTCATTGTAAAGAAAAGCTGTAAAGTCCTCCGGGAAAAGGGTGCCATATATTTTAAGGGTCACGTTCCCTAGTGATGCTACATATTTTGGATAAACTTTCAAAATTTCAAATTTTGCAATCTTTGCTTCTAATGTAATCAAAGTGAATACATTTCGGAGATCTGATTCATGTGATTTCACTAAAATGTAGTAATCTCCTTCTCGTGTATTCTGAATCGATATTTCTTGATTGGTTAGAAATGGGTCTATAACTGTGCTGTCAAAATCATATTCACTTGGCGCAGATCCAAGTTTTATAAAAATTTCGTGAAATATGACACTTGTGTGGCTTCTAGTTTTGACAAGAAGGGAACGATCTGCAGGTACATCTGGGATGCGTATAACCATTGCTTCGCCAGGGGCAATATTAAATGTTAAATTCTCCCCAAGAGCACATAGAGGAAATTTAATCTTCGTACTGTTAATGGAAACAGCAATGTTGTTTTTCGGATCATAGTCTTCTAAATTTGTTCTTACTTTAACAATTGTTCTGTAGGATCTTGCAGCAAGAGGAGGCAGGTGAGCTGTATATGTATTTAGCATCCCATGAGAAATGTTTTTGTTAGATTCTATAACAAACGATTTACATTGTGTTTCACCAAACTGATAATCACTTATATCCCATTGTTGGTCCTGTGAAAAATACACATTGTCACATTTGTATCCTCGTGCAGTTTCAGCGCCATCATTGAAAACTGACCAACTTAAAGTGACATTTTTTCCATAGTCTACTTCCGCTGGTGCACTTACATCTGATACAGCAATATCGGTCCTAAGATTTTTTTGTATGATAAGAAATGTTATAGCAATATTATCATCTTCATCTATTTCAATAATTTCAGATCGGGAATCCACTTGCATAACCAAGGAATAATCCTGCGTTTCATGTATAAAAGGAAGATCTATCTTTGTCTCAGTGGTTATTGTGCTATTTGCATAAATAGGTTTATTTACCTTGAGTGTTTTAATTTTTCTTTCAAACATATCATAGTTGACATCTTTACTAAGATATATAGCGATGAAAAAAATTCTATTAATGTCACAAGTACCATTGTTGGTAATATTTAAAAGTATTCCCATTGGCTCACCTCCAATTTGGGGCTTTAATCTGGACAAAATTTGTACGTTCAAATTTGCGCATGCTTTTCTTGGAGGAACATAAAATACGTGTTCGACCGAGGAAATGGCTTTTTTAATCACAGAAGTTTGGTTTTCTGATAAAGTTTGAATTTCATAATCCGGATACACGTAGAAGAATGTTTCATTTCCCTCAAAATCCTTAGGGACGGTCACTGTAGTATTCACGGTGTATACGTCAAGTGGGGCCAGTTCTCCAATGTGTGTATGCAAAGCAATATTGTGAAGGTTTTGCTGCAAGCTTTCATTAGAATTATGATTAATAGAAACGAAAATAGCGTCATACCACGAAGATTTTTCGGTAGACTGTCCACCGTTATTAGAAACATTGTAAGATATGCAGACGTAATCGTCATCCTCAATTGAACAACTCTCTGTTGAAATTATCGTGGCTATAAGATTTGCTTTTGGAATACCAGAAAAAGTGTATCTATGATTGTCTTCTTTCCAGTTGTTTGCTTCGCCGTTTATTTCTTCTATATTTTCCTCGACGTCAATGACAACATAAAATTGCAATTCGCCAATTATTGCCGATGGTATTAGTATTGTTTGATTTAATGTGTACTGAGCCCCGGATTCAAGTTGCAATGACTGATTGAATTTTGATAGAATTAAAGTTTTATTTTCATCAGATAATTTAACACCTACTGCATCCACCCATTGTATAGTCGTGCTCATGGAGTTTCCGGTATTTTTAACTGTCCAAGACACATAAGCAGTGCGTGTACCTTGCAGGAGGTAACTGTTGATTTTTGTGACAACCAGATCAGGTGACGGGGGTGATAAGACGGTAATAGATATGGTCATTGAATTGTCTTCTTTGCTGTTTCCTTCAAACAAATCCCAATGGTTGTTTATCATTATTTGGGCAGATAGATATCCAAGAAAGTTTTTAGGAATAATTATGCGCGCAATTCGTGTGTAGAAACCACGGTTTTGTAATGGTCCCTTTATATATGATGTTATCTTAGGTAGATTTGGTCCTGGAATTTCTGTATCCGCATGCAAAGTTAAGGAATCTCTCCAGAATTTTTCCTCCGGAATAGGTAATCCTGTGTTTACTACTGTCCACGATATTTCGCCAGTTCTTCCACTATACAGAGTACCATTCAATAACGTCATTGAGATTATTCTGAGATTTGGAGATCGTAGTGGTATACTTACTTCATGGGTTGCAACATTGTTACTTAAATTATCTCCGTACAAAACTTGAAAATTATCAACATTTATCGAAATATTTTTTATACCATACAGCCTATCACTCAGTTTTATCATAACATTTTCCGTGTATGTAGAGTTGCATTGTAAGTGAGGAATTCGAATAGCGGTATTCAAAAGAATTCTTCTTGAATAAAAACCATTGCTATTTTTTTCATTAAGAAAAATTGTATCTGTCCAAAAGTTATTTATTGTAGGCCCTTTTCCAATGTTCCGAACAGTCCAGGATACATTTAGCAAGTTATAACCTAGATTATCCATGGTAAGATTTGTTGTCATTTCGTCAACTTGCAGATCTGGCAAAGCTTGTCTGATAAAAATAGGAGCCATTTTAATGTTATTGGTACGTGTTTCCAGTTCAAAGATGTTTGACCCCATATCAGTATGCAAGGATACATTGTACCATCCACTATCTGTCTTAGAGTCTACAGTAAACCTTGTGGCGTAAGTATAATTTTCATTTGGAGGAAGAGTTCTGAATATATGAAAACGTCCTAGAATCTTCTTTGATCCATTCTTTTCTAAGGCCTGAAAAATCAATCATATATCTGCAATGGCGTAGTTATTAAGACTGATGAATAAATTATGAGTCATTTGCTAATTTATCCACAAAGATTGAAACTAATATTTAACAAAAAGTCTATGGGGTACAACGCTTACTTCAGTTACTTTGGCGCTGCTGTTCACCATCAGGAGATTTTTCCCATAAATATTCCTTTTATTAAACACTGTGGCCCCAACCTATACTGGGGGTCATGAACTGCACAAATTTAAATCTACACTACCCGGGAACGCTTCCGTATAAAGATGTCTTATCATGGCTTTCTTTTGTTATTCTTGAGTAGAAGTTTTAAAAAAATCTTATATATTACTTTGTAGAACTTTGATTTGATCGCAACTTGTGTCTACATTATCTGAGGATGCTTCCACATAAATATGTCTAAGCATGGCTTGGCTGTTCTTTCAGAGATAAATTGTAAAAGGTGCATATTTAAATCTTTGTCCAGTGTGGCTCACCCTACCGACGGGGGTCATGATTTGAATAAATTTGAATCTATGAGGGGTGATCAGAAAGTTCGCGAACTACTTAAATTACTTTTATAAAAGAAATGAAATAAGGTTTCAGTGTTCATTATTTCCTCTCCTATTCAAATGCACATTTGCCTACATTCTGCCCATGCGCGACTCACGTGATACAGGCGGTCACTTGACATGCTCCGTAGCGTTCTGTTCACAGAGGCTAAAAGATTTTTCAGATTCTTATATTTCTTACCATGCAAATTATTTTTCATAACAAGAACAGTCCATTTGTCAGAAATGTAAATATAGAGATAGTTCGCAAACTTTTTGATCACCCCTCGTACACTACCTGAGGATGCTTTGAAGTCATCTTTTCGCAAAATTTTCGGTCGATACAATGACCTTGTCAGCACATACAACCTGTCATTGAGTCAAATGCTGACTGACGTTTTTCATACTGATTGTTAAGCCATTATTTATACACTGAACTGTCTACGGATATTTCCGGTTTTTGTTTCCCGATCATGACAAGGAGCACTCGGCGGGTGTGACCGGCAGGGGATGTTCACTCCTCCATGGCACCTGATCCCACCTCTAAAATTTGAGGTCCGTGTTTCCTCTGCTCCAAATTCATATCGTTTCATTGGACTTTCGAGATTGAATACTGTTCGTTATCTTCATATTTCATTCAATATAAATATTACTAAACATGGCTTGGCTGTTTTTTTAGGAGATATCATAAAATGTGTTCCCTATATGTTTGTTTTTAAAATTCTGATTGTCCATTGTGGACCCACCCTACCCCCAGGGGTAATGATTTGAATTTATCATGAATCTGACGGACCGAGTAAGCGGGTCATATTTTTTCTTCTGCAAGCTCCAAACAGTAATTAAAACAAAGATATTTTATGGTTTGAATATATGTTTGTATAAATAATTATATAACGTAGATCGTTAAATATTAGATTGATGATATATTCATCAATGTATATTTCATTGATTAAAAAGTACACTTCATAAGAAATCCAATTGATGGCTTAAAAATGAAAAAAAAAAAAAAACAACAACAAAAAACATAAAACAACAAAACAAAGAAATAATGATATTACATACTGATATTAAAAAAATAATTCAAAATAATTTTTTAGGAATATTTAATACTACTAGCTATTAAAAAGGAGAATGTTGTGTGTAGTAGGGAGGAGGATCTCAACTTATAGAGCAGACAGAACTCCCTTTCAACTTGTCAAATACTAACGCATTCTCTCAATGCCGTAGAACCCAGATAACAAGCTTACGTTGGGCCGACGCAAGTCCAACTGTGAAAATTACGTTGGCCCTCTGTCAGTTTTCTGCGTTGGCCCAAAGTCATCTTGCTCATCGGTCCAAAGTTCAACCAACAAGCTGGCTCAACGTTCGGCCAACATTCAACGGTTGGTTATCTGGCATTGGCCCAACAGTGGCACAATGTACAACTTCCTGTTGGCCCAGTGTTGGTTCAATGTTTTTTAACATGTTGGCAAATGATCGGCGATTCAATTATTTTAGTTCAACAATATGAATTCCAGACCTGTAACCTTTTTATCTCCATAATTACGCATTAAACACAATTAATTGAAAATTCCTGGTAAATTAACTTGTTTCCCAAACAAATGTAGTATTTATTACTCCTATGATATGTCCCATATCACTACAATCACTACATAATATTCTTCTAGAACAAGAGTCCCTGAATTCGAATTTGTAAACGTTGGAGTGTTCTCCTGTCCGTTGTAGTTTAATTAATCCAATTAAAAATGATGTCTCTTATAGTACTTATTATAAGTTATTACTTAACCAGACTAAATATTAGTAAATATACACGCATATTTTGAAATATGTAAGTTTTAAATAACTTGTTCAATTTTACAAACTTTGCTCAATTGCTCAAGTTAAAACTTTCATATGACATAAAATTCTATCAATCACACAACTATACTTACATTTCAAGGGCTAAAACAATTCATTTTTTTTCTTTCTTGCATTTCAAAACGGACACATATGCTTTGTTCAAGTGTTGTAAGTGATAAGATGTGATCAAGTTTACGAAACAGAGGATGCCCGTTTCCTAAGAAAACCGGCCAGTCACCTGCTGAGCCAATAGATTTAACCACTGAAATAATTATTTGAAGCTCTAAAATTCAGCACGTTAAGTTCCATGGTGCTAAATATAGATTGTACAAAATTATATACTGTGCAAAACGTATTTGCAAAGGTCTCGGACAATCATTACAAACATAAATCATCATTAAACGATATGTTATTTTTTTTTCATGAATTGGGTTCTGGGATAATTTTTCATTTTTATTAAAAAATACCTTGTAAATTATTAATAGATGGGTAATTATGACAAATCCCTCGTTCATAATATTTTAACGAAAAGAGCTTAAGTGGTAAATTTATTGTTTGTATTTAACAGATCACCTACATGTATATGTTAATAAATGCAAGTACGTTGTATTCACTCCGTTGAACCAACGCTGGGCCAACGTTGAAAGCCCAATGCAATCAATGCTTCATTATAATAAATATACTAAGTTGGGCCAGCATTGGACCAACATTACATGTCCAACACACATGCCATGTTTCATGTCAACATTATTTGGTTGGCCCTATCTTGGACCAACATTACATCCCAATACACATTGGCTTTGTTTTATGCCAACAATTACTCGGTTGAACCTACGTTGGGCCAACATCAAATGCCCAACATATAGTGGTCATGTTTCATGCCAATATTTACTACATTGGACCAACGTTGGCCCAACATTGCATACCCAACACCGATGGACCAGCTTTCGCGCCGACATATAATGCGTTAGGCAATTGTTGGGCCAACATTTACTGCCCAACGCCTGCAATATACCAACCTACCAACCATCAATCGTAGTCTTGCTAACTGGGAAATTGATAACTGCAACTACTGATTGCATAAAATTGACTTTAAATCTTTTTAATGACGGTTCACCTGAAATAAATATGAGAAGAATGCACTGAATTTTAAGTTTTTAAATACTTTTAATTGTGAAGAAAAACATGTTTTAAGAAGCACGTGGGTAGATTGCCTCCTTAAGCCCTCATCGCCAAGCTTTGTAACATCTATATGGACATCAAATCTTTTGTTGCCTTTTTCAGATATTGACAACTGAGGAATTGACAGAAAAGGAAATATGACTAGATAAAATATCAAACTTCCAAGGCCTCTTCTTTGTTCTTTCTCCGGTAGTTATTTTTACTTGTACAATATACGTACCTATTCGCCGGTGTAATTTATACGCAAATATTAAAATAATGCTGTTTAAAATTCTATGTACAAATATTGCTATGCTTTCGAAATAATTTACAAATCACAATTCATTAATCACTAATGAAAATATGTCTAATTTGATTCCTAACTAAATCTATAAAATTCTTAATTGAGAATTGGGATATACTTTACACTCGCAATGCATCGCACACAAAAATCCTTGACCGTTCATATTATTTATAAGAATAAGCTTGACTTATGACCATTCTAAAGTACATGTATAAATCACGACAAGAACCTACAGCATTTTTTTTAATACGACCAGTTACATTTTGAAAAGAAAAGAAAAAGTATGACCCTTAGTTTCAAATATTAAATGAACACGCCGTGAAACTTTTATTTAGGATGATAATAGGAATTAATCAGTTAATCGTCATTTGACAAGCGTATATGAGATTGATTTGGATTTCCAGTGTAACGACGTAAATTGTTCACTTTATTCGTTGTTATTATATCTAACATTAAGAAGAAGAATATATATTTTTTGTGACATTTTCTCACAGGGAACCTAGCCTCTTCTCTGTTTCTCTGACATTTTCCAACAGCTAGGGGTCGTGGAAAATGCGTTGTGTTACTAAACATGTCCATAGTTTAATTTCAGGTTTTTCTTTCTTCGGGGGAAGGGGGTGGACCTAAAATTACCTGGATTTGTATCGAAATTTTCTTGATAAATTGGGACCATGTTAAACTAAGCAAAAGTTACCCGCCCCTGGACACGTTTTCTGTTGCAATTTTAACACTCAAAAAAATTTACGATGTGAGAAAATGAACTATATATCGATCATTTGATCGGTTAAAAAAATACTCAGTGTTTATTTCTTAACGCCGAGTTGGCAGTATTTAAATCATTATTTCAGCGGTAAACTTCTTTCCTTTGATCGCTTAAAATGATTTTTATTTTTTGTAAAATAAATTATTCTAAATAGGGACAAAAAGTCCTTATACCTAAAATATTTTTTCTGTGAAGAATAAAATGTTATAGATATATCTGACATTTTACAAAACAAAATTAAAGAAAGAAAACTGCATTATCGGTCTGTAAGTATAGTCTAGAACCGCCTATCTACTTTTTGTAATCTTTCGGCACGTAACGTCACAACCGGCGGAAGTGACGCCTCGGTGTATATTTTTCGTGTGTTTATGTCGACAGACGAGCCAAGAATATAAAATTTGGATATGTTTTTTTTTTTGGTGTTATTCTTCTATAGGGAATATTTTACCGAGACTCGGTTAATAATTATTGTCGCAAAGATCATAATGGAATTCTTTCCGTTGAATGACTCGAAACAGCAAATAAAAGTTGAAGGAAGGGAAGATTTGTGTTTTTTCGTGATTACACGCCAAAATATTGCAAAAACAGCGAACTAAAAGGTAATTTCAATTATTTATTCAACAAATTCGTGCATTTATAGAAAAAGGTCGCATATAACAACGAGAATAAGTCTAAGATATTTCTCAAATCTTAGCTTACGTGAGACGAATCTCAGAAATGTTGGTGGCACGGCGTTTTAGGAAAATCTCAGGTGAGGCAGAAATCTAAGATTTGAGGTTGAGATTTAAGCGGAAATTTTTAAATGTTGGTTGCCTGGTCCTTTATTGTTCTAATGAAATTATTGTGAGAAATTAAAACTCATGCTTTCTGAATTGTTCAAACTCAACTCTAGGTAGTAGGATCATACTAATTGTTTTTTATTTTGAAAGCAGAATGTTACTACATAAATAAGGAAAGATGACGACGGAAAAGCTAAAGTCGTCGCGTTTGTCATACAGTTTAGTCGTTAGTTGGCCTCTATCGTCTATAATCAGTAAAACATCCAAATATGAAACAGATGTGGCAGACTCTGTGGTGTCTTTTATTTCAAGTTCACTGGGATATATCGAGTCGACATATAAATGGAAGTAACTATTGTTAATTGATAAAACGTCATCGGTGAATCTGAATAACTCCTTAAATGAGTCTTTTTGAGGCTTTTTCTGTTTAAAACCTAGAAAATATAACAAATTAATGACATCATATTTCCAGAATGGTCCTCCTTTATACCAAATTCTCTCAAGATTTATCTCATTCATATTTTCAACTTATATTTAAGCAAATTAAAAAAAAAAATCATAACATCAAATTTTAAGGGCATTATAGAGCCAAAAACCTAACTTTTCTCTTTCTTGTTATCACAACATTTTTCCTCCAGTAGTGGGGAGGGGGGTTCATGATTTGAACAAATTTTTATTTTATTTATGCATAATTTCATTCACATAAAGTGAATGGGATTAGGCAGCAGGCATAGCCTATTTTAGACCTCTCCCTACAGCAAGGTCAAGGTAAATACACTGCATAACATTAATTAAACAAACATTTTGAAAAAAATGCAAGGAAAAAGAAGGGGAAAAATACAATGAAGTACCGGTTTGGAAAAAAATGACAAAAGTTATGACAGTGTTCAAGTAAAACGCTTTGTTGCTGCTATATATGCATGTACTGCTTCAAAAATTTGTATATTAGTATTGAGTCCCTGATCAGGACTACCATATGATAATAATTCAAGTTCAGAAACCTGATTACAGTCAATAATATTTTGAATTCTTTGAAAAAGTATATCTCTATAAGATGTATATTTTGAACAAGCGAAAAAGTAATGATTAGCATCTTCAACAGAATCAATAGTGTTCACACATTGTTGTTTCTGATAAACATTGGCTATTTAAGTCTGCCTTCAAATTACTTGCATTGTTCCTTAACTGACAGTATATTATATTGTATTTTCTTATTTCAATATGAAATAGTTCATTACTTTTTTTTTTTTAACAAAAATAAGAATCCAAAAGACTGTTGAATGATGATATTCCAGAAGCATTTCTAATAAGATCTGGCAAGTTGTTCCATAGTTTAACTGTTGATGGAAGGAAACTTTCCATGTATGATGTAGTTCTAATATGAGGAATTTTAAATTGTGCATCTCTGGTTCTAAGATTATAGGAATGATTTGATGGGCGATAAGGCTCAATCAAATCATGCAAATATTGAGGTGAATAGCCATTTATAATTTTATAAAACATTATCAATTTATGAACCTTCCTTCTTGTTTGTAAAAGATCCCACCCTAATTCATCATACAGTTTTGAACGAGAGGAGTTACATCTTAATCCAGTGACAATTCTACCTGCTTCAACTTGAATATCTTCCAAAAGTTTTGAGTCTTTTTCAGAGCGGTTGTCCCAAACAACGTCGGAATATTCCAAAACAGGTCTAATAAATGCAAAATATATCTTAACAAGTGTTTTCCGCCTAACCTTATACTTAAGCATTCTGAGGATGTTTAGTCTTTTTGTAGCTCTTTCAAGAATTGATTGTATATGCAATGTCCACGTAGCATCTCTTTGAAAGTGTAGACCTAAATGGGTATGAGATATATTCTGAATTATGTTTGGGCCATGTTCCCCAAATTTGATAGGGGGATATACCATGTTTTTACGACTAAGGTCAAGGTTAACAGTTTGTTTGGATTAAAATCAACTAGCCATGTTTTTGACCATATATCAATAAGTTTAAGATCACTAGCAAGGGACTGTGATACATTTGTGGCTCCATTGTCCACAATAGCATATAAGGAAGTATCATCAGCAAAAAGTCGTATATTATTAACTAAATCATCACAAATATCATTTATGTTCAAAAGGAAGAGAAATGGTCCCAGAACGGAACCTTGAGGAACACCAGCATTTACTGTTTCATGGTTTGATGAAAAACCATCAATTACAACTTTTTGTTGTCTATCACACAAATAATTTTCAATCCAACCTAATATGTTACCACTAATACCGTAATTTTTTAGTTTAGATAAAAGTCCTTTATGCCAAACTTTATCAAATGCTTTTGAGATACCACAAAAAATAAATCTTACATCTTTTCTTTTGTCAAGACTGGAAATTATAGTGTTATATATTTCTACAAGTTGATTAACAGTTGAGACAAATTTTGATTAACAGTTTTGAACAAATTTGAATCATGGAATGAAAGCCTTCACATGAAATATGAAGATAACGAACAGTAATCAATCTCAAAAGTCCATTGAAACAATACAAATTTGGAGCAGAGCAAACACGGACCTCTAAAAACCATCAGATGTGGGATCAGGTGCCAAGGAGGAGTATATTGCTTTCATCTTTTCTGGCCCATTGGTAATTTAAAGGAAGATTTTTAAAAGATGTCATTAAATTTTCATTAATTCTTAATTATCTTGAAAGAGGGTGTTGTCTTTCATGTGAAATAAAATATTCCCCTTTACCAAAAGATACATGTACTTTGAGGCAAGTTTGGTTGAACCTGGTTCGGTGGTTCTTGAGAAGAAGTCAAAATTGTGGAAAGTTAACAGACGACAGACGGACGCCGGACACTACATGATCAGAAAAGCTCATTGAGCCTTCGACTACGGCGAGCTAAACAAGAAAATTACAATTGTTTCAATTTAAAGTCATGAAAGTTGACATCTTATCACAAATTGAAAACTTAAAGATTTTCTTTTAGTTAAACACATTGACCAACTTTTCTAAACACCCTTGATTTATTTACAAATTGAAATGAAATGCATAGTAAGTGTTCCATACATACTAGTTCATCTAACCATGAGTTGATGTAGGGTGTTCTTTGTCCAATATTCTTTACGATCCACTTAACCTCAGCAACATCACCAGTTGATAGATTTGATGACGGATGTATTGAAAGATTAATTACGGAAAGATCAGGAGGAGGAGTCAGAGTGACGGTGAGATTATTCTTCAAAAATAGAGGAAACAGCTCATAAATATAACTATATAGACAACAAGTTTTGTTTCGACTTACAAACAGATTATTGGTAAAATAATGACTCTTCACATTTATATGTTGTGCATAATTCATAAAAAAATATGAGTTTGTGATATTTATTGACCATATGAAAATATATATGAAATGTTTACAGAAGCAAGCCAATTGTTCTCTTTGCTGAGATACTCAAACACGTCACTGTAAAGGTCTGTTTCAACTATGATGTGGAAGACCCCATATATGTCTCTTGGAACAGAAACATGTGCTGTTGTGGAATAGTGCTGTCCAGGGAATAGTCTGCCTTGTCGAGAAGTCGAAAATAATTGGAGGTCTTTGTTATCTATTTTATAAAATGAAAGGACAACACGAATTACCTCATTAACACAATAAATATTTGCAAATAATGCACTTTTAAAATGTTTTAAAAAAGACTGCTGTTAAAGCTATTGTAAAGAACAATGCCGTTAAATGTTAAACAGATTAGATGCTTATTTAAAAGTTTATATTTGACCTTTTACATATCCAGATATTTAGAAAAGCAAGAGATCCGAAAAATTTACATCTTTGCTTAACATTTATTTTAATTCTACATCAAAATATAAATGCCTAAATTTTCATCTGTAGACCAGTAAATCGAATCTGTCCATCTTGTGGCTTTCGTTACTCCTACTCCATTGTTTGAAACAGTAAATATGATTTGAATTCTTTCACCTGTGGCAAAAAATTGTTGATTTAAATAAATTATTAATATAATTATAAATATCAACGTGATTAATATATGAATAAATCTTGACTTTATTAGGAAAATAAAGTATAGCTCATCCCGGTTATTAATGGTTTCTTTCCATTACAAAATTGTAATGTTGTTTTTTTTCTTCATCAAATTGTGAAATTTACGCATCTTTTTTAGTATAAAGGTTTATAATTTTCCTTAAGGTCTTACCAGAGAATGTAGATGGCTGTAGATTGACACGCTTTACAACGAGATCTGGAGGAGGTGTTAGCTGAACGAGTGTGGGTTGCTCGCTTCGTTTGAAATTATTTCGTCGGTCTAGATCAGGTATATAATTATACACGTCCACACTAATGAATATATATGCTTGTCCAATTTCATCGTCACGCAAAGAAACCTGTTAAAATAACGCCAAAATTGTATTTGATATCTGTTTTTAAAGGTATAAATACTAACATTTTCTGACAAATTGCTAAAGCATAACATGTTTATAAGACTACCTTTGCTCTTCCGTGATAGGTATCGTTTTTAGAAAGTATCTGGTTTTGGAAAAACCTGCCTACTCTGCGTGCATTTGCTTTTTCTGTACTAAATCCAATTAAAATCTCGTCATACCACGAGGAAGCAATTTTGCCTTGAGCAACATTTTGTACTGTCCAAGTGATGTCCATATGTTCCCCTGAATGTGCAATGGGTGGACCCGCTAACAGTATCACAGTTAGGTCTGGATACGCTTTTGTTTCGAAATTCCATCGTGGACTATACTCTGTAACATTATCATATGAAAGAAAATCAACCTGCCAATAATACTTTGAGGCTGGTTTTAATTTGTTGGATTTAAACCAATTCTGAAATCCTGTATATTTTGGTGAAGAAGGCCTTTTCTCATTGGTAAGCCAAACATACAACTGATATCTTGTTGTTTTCAAATTTTGTGTCCAACTAAAAATTGGCTGCAAATCAGTAATGTTTCCACGTATGGGCGTGATAGGATCCTGAGCTTTTTGTATCTTTATTTTCTGGTGGCTTTCCACCCTAAACTTACAACTATCACTCACAGACCAATTTCTATAAAAAGTAAATCCACAAGCATTTGCTGCCAAGTCAGGATCCTTGTATGTTATTGACATATTCAAGCCACAGGGATGGGTATAGTTAATTGAGGGAATCAGTACATCCTCTGTAATCTGAGTAAGTGATCCACACGCTACAACAGCATCGGGAGGAAATGATACGGTAGGTGGTAATACAGAATTAATTGTAAAAATTTGAGATCTGGAGTTACGGTTTCCTGCATTATCTACAACGATCCATGTTCTATTTATTTTACAGGACGGAATCATCTGATCAATATATGTTAAATCTTTGACGCCGCTTTTATCCTCCACTGATGGCCCCACTGTTCTCTGTATATTTATTTCTTGAGTGCAGTTTATGGTTCTATCTTTTAAGGGTCCAATAGATGGAGGCTGATAATCTAAATTAAATGAGAATTATTATAGTACATTTGTTATACGCAAGTTCATGCTCTGAGTATGATCAATTTTTAAGTAAAATAGGCTACTGACTAATAAGTTGATGTTACAGGAATCACAACAACCTTTTGCAAAGTCAACCCTTCGAAAGTTCTATGGTTGTTAAAATGGTCTTATTTTTCCTATGCACCTGCTTCTACCTCTTGAATTTCAGCGGGTCGGTATTTTATACCATGTTCATAGATTTGTGTTGTTTTGAGGTTCTTTTGAGATCGATCACTTCGATACGGTATCTTCACCTTTTTCATTCCAAAAACCACCTATTTTTGGGTCATTTAAAGAAACAGTATGATTTTTACATATCACAATGCATTAACATTGACCTTAGTTAATTGACCAAAATTTAAGAAGACGATAAATATTTTGGAATAAAACCAGTGATAGCGCCTATTTCCAAGGGAGTCTTAACGATGTTTTGAACAAAGTATTTTAGTACAAGTAATTTTACTTTTCCTAATTTATGTCTTGACAGCTATTATCGCTGAAAAGCGAAGAGTGGTAAGCAATTCAACTTGAACATTACATTCTTGGAACAAACAATTTTAGATTAATTTTGCAGTTATCTTCAGAGATAAGAGAGAAATTGCATTGAAACTCACTTACCTGTTGTGAACTGAAATACTGTAATATTTCCCACGTTTCCAAATTTATCTTCACCTTTGACTTGAAAAGTATAAATAGTACTGTCAACCAATTTTTTAGAGATGGTATGATATCTACTAATACTCTGGGAACAATTTGTAAAGAAGGAAGACGCATTAGTTTTCCCTAGACTACATATCAGTGTGCATGGCTCATTGCAAGTTATTTGAAATGTGACTTTGTGTCTATTGGTGAGATTCCCTGGAGTGTTTGTCAACTGCAAGAAAGGTCCAGTTCTATCTAAAATTAGAAATCAAAATTGAAAATATTAAAAATATTTATTAATAAAAAAAGTTAAAAGTATCAAAATGATAAAGTTACTGACACTGCGCGGATATATAAATGACCAAATCAAGTAAAACTTTGATTACAATGTTCTAATCTTCACAGTCATTAAACAAGATGAAATAAGAGTGCATACCTTTAACAAAATTAATGAAAAGACATATAAATCTAACGTTTTTAATGAAATATTAACGTTGAAACTGATCCCTTGTGTACATGCACTGTGATCCTGTCCACAAAATATTGTACGACTAAGACAAAAATTTTCCCATTCTTCAACAAGTGTTTAATCTGAAGTAGGTCACAAAAACCTTACATGATTACATTAAACATAATATCTCAGAAAAAAGTAAATAGCTTTATCAAACAAAAAAAATTACAGGATTGTCAATTTTTTTACCTTAGTCGTAAGATTTTTTTGTGAAAAGGGACTCTGATTTGTAAGGTGTTAACATCTATCACTTAGTTTGTGTACAATCTACAATGCAATACAATGTACTTGCAAAAAGCAAATGTACCAACGTTAAATTTGTAGTTACCAATAGTCCAACTAATTGACTTTGGATAAGCTGCGTTGTTTTCCGTATCAGTTCCTTGTACGATTAAAGTATACACCCCGTCCGACAAAGACAATCCTGTCCATGATGAATTGGTACAGTACACATTAGAGAAGTTTGTTAATGTTTGAAGTGTGCAATTGACAGTTACATCCTCATTAAATTCGTATTTAATTGTTATGTCTCCATTTGTAACATTAGGATTGCACGAGCAAACACTTATTACTGGAGGTGTCACATCTCCTGTTGAAGAAAGGTACAATCGTAAAACCAAGCATTCAATTTAAAAAATCATAAGAGACCTTTTAATATTTACGACGTCATTGCTTTTTCATAACAAGAAGTGTTTGTGAAACACCAATGCCCTCTTATGGCAGCTCAAGGCCAAGGTTAATTTTTTTTTTCAAATGAGGGTCTTGTCACAAGGAATGTACATGTGAAATATGAAAGCCGTAGCACCAACTATTCAGAAAATATGATCAAGGTTAATGTTTTTTCCCAACGTAGGTCATACTCCAAGGACAAGGACTTGAGGTAAAAACTACTGCAATTGGTTCCAAAGAAAAGGTCTTGTCACAAAAAATACATAGATGGAATAGGTAAGTCCTAGCACCAACCGTTCAAAATATACAGACAAGGACAATTTTTTTTTAAATATAGGTCAAACTTAAAGGTCAAGGTCATAAGGTCAACAATATTGAGACCTAAAGCATGGTTCACGTCACAGAAAATACACATGTGATATGTGAAAGCCCTAGCACCCATCATTCAAAAGTTATGGCCAAGTTTAAAGCAGTCAAACTAAAAGATCAAGAACAAAAGATCAAAAATGTTGGTACCCGAAGAAAGATATTATCGTCACAAAAATACACTTGTGATATATGAAAGGCCTAGCATTCTCCGTTCAAACGATATGACCAAAGTTAATTTTTTCAAAAGTAGGTGACTGGTCAGACTCCAAAGTCAAAATCAAAAGGTAAATAATGTTGGTACTCCAAAAATATATACACTTAAGAAATATAAAAGCCTTAACACTAACTGTTCAAAAGATATGACCAAGGTTAAAGTTTGCGAAATTTTGCAAAAGGTGGTCAAACTCCAAGGTCAAGAGGTCAAATATGTCGGTACCCAAGGAAAGGACTTGTCACAATAAAACTCAGTTGAATTATGAAAGCCCTAGAATCAACCATTCAAAAGTTATCGGGAAGATTTAACTTTTTGCAGACAGAAAAACAAATTAACAAACAGATAAACAGTCAAACAAACAGACGGAGAGACAGACAATAAAACTATTTGCCACAGATTATTCCATGACGGGGAAATAAATATTCTTATATATTTACATTGTGCGAAAGCCCAGAAGGCTTTTTCGTGATTCGAAATACGAGATTCAAAATTCAAATTTCGAGATTCAAGATCTAAATTAACCCGTCACAAGATTCGATTGCCATCTCACACTAGTATTGGTAACGCTCAGTTTTGTCATTTGATTAAAAAAAATCATTGGATCTTGTATTTTGATTGCCCAAGGATGGGGCCCCCGTACATTGGAAGAAAAAATTAAACACAGTGAATTTATCGCACCGTGCCGAAAGGTTTTGTGGTGTAAAGAAGAGAAACATTGCTGTTTTCCCTATTGCAAAGTGTGGATTGGTCTATTACAAATTATATAATACAGTCTTGATTGCAATTTATTCTACTGGAATTCAAATTATTGGATCAGTCAAACTACACAAAAGTACCTTTATAGTAGTGTGCATTGTGGAGAGGGTCTTTGAAATTTCATATCATTAATTTTTATTTCTTCTCCTTTATCATTAGGGTTAATTGATATATATATATATATATATATATATATATATATATATATATATATATATATATATATATATATATATATATATATATATATATATATATATATATATATATATAATATAAATCCACACACGTAGTCGTATATCAAAAAAAAATCACAACACCGAAATAAACTCTACCGGTTTCATTTTCAATCTTCAGGAGTTTGACAACATATTGCTTAGTTACACATAAATACAAAATCAATATTCTTACTGTGACGTCAAAAAGCGCTAATGTAAATTTACGCATTAGTAAAGTTAATTATGACGTCATGACATAACGTAAGAAATTTAATACGGGAAATTAAATTTTCCATACAAATAATACAGATATAAATTGCGGGAAAAAAGTATATATCTGATACAAAATATAATTATGTAACATTTAAAACAGGTTTATATCTGTTAATAAAACAAAAAAAGAACGTGAAACCAAAGAAAAACTTTTTATTAACAGATATAAACCTGTTTTAAATGCTACATAATTATATTTTGTATCAGATATATACTTTTTTCCCGCAATTTATATCTGTATTATTTGTATGGAAAATTTAATTTCCCGTATTAAATTTCTTACGTTATGTCATGACGTCATAATTAACTTTACTAATGCATAAATTCACATTAGCGCTTTTTGACGTCACAGTAAGAATATTGATTTTGTATTTATGTGTAACTAAGCAATATGTTGTCAAACTCCTGAAGATTGAAAATTAAACCGGTAGAGTTTATTTCGGTGTTGTGATATTTTTTTTGATATATATATATATATATATATATATATATATATATATATATATATATATATATATATATATATATATATATATATATATATATATATATATATATCCGATTTCAAACTATATGATATTTTTATTTATATATATATATCTATTGCTATGTTTAGCAGGCCATGATAAGAATTTATGCATACTATGCTCAACAAAACTTAACATTAATTTTTATTTCGTTTTGATACATATAACATTATTTTTTCGTTGTAATTTAAGGTCAAGATCTAGTAAATGGCTTTAGACTAACTTTTTGGTGCTAGATCCATTATGACGTCATAATCAATTCCTACTTTCTTTTTCCCGTACTTTTCGGCTCTAATGGAATTATGTAGAAAATAAAGTATTTTCATGGAATTCAATTTGAAATCATGTGAAAAGTAATCCCGATACCTATATTCAATTTAATTTCATTTTAAAGAAGAGGCCAAGAACATACAAATTACCGTTTTCTGAGAGACTCTAGGCAATCTGGATACATTTCCTTTGTCTGATATGGAAAAAACACCCGTATTCATGACTGGTTTACTTAATTTTTCATTGAAAATGACAGTTTAAAATATGATTTTCTTTTGTCTTGTTTACCTACAAATTATGCCCCGAAACACCTTATTTGACCAAGCTAAAGTTATAAAGCATCATTTAAGGAATTTATTTCTCAAATCTGAGAAATCTGTAGGCATCTTTCATTTACTAGATCTTGACCTTAATCAAATGACCTACTCATTATAAATAAAAAAAAAAACCCAAACAGTTGCAATGCCTTGATAGTTAAAACTTAGCAAAGGGGAGTAATAGAATCTGAAATCAGCCTACTGATTGGTTAATTTAGATCTTGATTCACGAAATTCGAATTTCGAATCTTGTATTTCGAATCTCGAATCAGCCTTCTTGGCTTAGGTAATATTGATTTAAAGCAATTTATATATACAGGGATACAGACTTGTAAAAAAGCTATTTTAATTAAAATTACTTACGAACACGGAACGTCCAATCTCTAGTATTCCAAAGAGCAGATGATTCAGCACCACATCCTACAGTACCTTTTGCAATTCCTGCATGTAAAATAAGTTATCAAAATGCACATATCATTCCACTGATCCAACTTAAGGAATTGTGAATTCAAACTCCAGTAATTTAAGAATGTTCATCTACTCACCAGGGTCCATCTTTATGTAGTAAAATTCCTTTTCCTGTAGTATAAAATTTACAGGTATTTCCAATTTCAAGCGAGCAGAGGCATCTGATACAACAGGATATGTGACTAACCAGTCCCGTGAGACATCGATTTTGGAGACAAGGACGTTATTTCGTGTGAATATATAAAAATATGTCGTTCGCGTCGGTCGCACAAACTAAAATACATTTAAAATATGTTAAAACATCTGATAAGTTATCAATCTCGTTATTAAATATTTTCATGAACTGAATTGCATACTTTTAAATTGATATCATAAAAAAAATTACTGTTATGAATTCTTTTTATTTTATTTACAGTGCCATTACTGTAATTGAAACGAGCAAAAATATATAATCTACAGAAAATTACATGTCAACGGATAGAATTAAATTGTTTAGACTGGGAACACTTTAAAATTTGGATGTAGACCTAAGGATAAATATTCAGCAATACTTGGAAGGACATACCAGTGCGTCATAATATATTATAAATGAATCCAGCGTTGGGTAAACATCACTGGATGGAATGTAAGAAACAATGTTTGGAGGTGCAACTGTATAACATACGACAATTATATGATTATTTTCAGACGAATCATCATTATTTTTCCGGTGATCTCATTTTAGAAAAAAAAAATCGACTTCTGTTTTAGATATGAAAAAAAATAATATTTCAATATTTCAAATTAATAATAACTGCTTGACATCTAAAATTGACTTTCTGACATCAATGATTCAATCAAAATAGAAAATCGATTTAACAATTATCAAAATTTCGAATTGTTGAGTTCATATCATGAAATAGGTGATATCTTAAGAAATTAAAAGTGAATATTTTTGACGTGCTAGTTGTAATTGATGTTCCGTGAAGAAATAGATGTTTGATTTATGCTGTGAAATATAAGATACTTAAAGTGTCCAGTAACAGCATACCCTGACATGTTCTGATATTCAGTTTCTTATAGACTTACCTCCGACGAGCAATTCAATACAAATTCTGTCTGAAACCAATCTGTGAAAAGAATTAAGTTTATCTGAAGTATTTTCTGTTTTTATTCACATTTTTTCATCAAATCTTTATGGAATTTAGTCATTTTATGTATATATTTCCTAAAATTAATAAAAATTTTAAGCAGTGATAATGTTGAAGACATACCCATCGGTATCACTTGCAGTATAGCAGAAAGGATGTTCTCCAGCTTGATTGGCTCTCGGAGACCACGTGACATTCACGTACCACTCATGTCCTGAGTTGTCATAACGACTAAGATTGGACTTCTTTACACCAGTAGGGGATACAGTGTTAATCTCGCTAATGCTAGAATGAAAGAAATCATTTTTTTTAAATTTAACTTTGATTAAGGTTAAATGAATTAGAAAGAGGATTTTAAAGTTGAATTGCTCTCCTTTCTTTTTTTAAATCTAAAACAGAAAAAGGAGGGTTCTCATAGCTCATTACTTCTTTCGAAAAAAAAAAAAAAAAAAAAAACGATACAATTCTTCAGTACATTTAAAGCCAATTATATATGGAAAATGATGTACATGAAATTATATGTACGAAAATGTCTTACCTTCCATTTTCTCCAGCTTTAGCAATTATTTTCTCACTCCATGTTGAATGATAGGACACTCCCACACACGCACCATTGGCTCTTGTAGGTGGTAAAAACACAGGTTTGTTTTTACATTTCTTTGATGACTGAAAAACTTTTATTAAAAATTGAAGAGGTATGCTGCTCAGTGGTGTTGTTGAATTCTCGGAGGCAAAATCCTCTATTTGTATTGCAACTGCATACCATCCTATCTTATAGACTGCTGAGTAGCGAATCTCACATTTCTGATAATTAATATACATAATTTACAAGTCATTCCTACAGTCATGGCATATATATATATATATATATATATATATATATATATATATATATATATATATATATATATATATATATATATATATATGCTCTCAACCCTTTACTTCGTAAAAGAAAAGGGTCATAATCTTATTATATTATTAAACGTCATTATTCATAAGGGTCAATTTATGAAATTTAAGTATTTGTTAGCATCATTTGATTTTCCTTACCTCGTATAACCAAGAATGTGGAAATGAGGAACAAACACCACCGCATTCACGTAACGAAGATTTAGCCCATCTGCATTTAATAACGTCATTATCTTTGTCGAAGACTACAATATTAAATAAGAATCAATTTTTGATACATCTTTGCTTTGGTAAGCCTAAAGGTATTGAATTTGATTGTGTAGAGAGGAAAAACTGACCAGGTATCGTGATATTGTGATCACATCCATACTGAAGTCGTACAATGGCAGGCATAGCGGACGTTGGGGATGTGTTTATCATACCCGTATCAGCTCGTTTAGTAAGGTTTACTGTTGTACGCATTTCCCAATTCCCGCCACCATTAACAAGTGATATCCAATCTCCCCCGGTAAAACTATTCGTTGAAAAGAAAAAAATCTACATGATGAATTCTTGTAGATATAATTACAACTTCAGTTTTCTTTGAATATCTCAGTAACCCTCAAACACTTTAAATATTATTTTATAACGCTTGAGGTGAGAAGTCTACATTGATCTATCATTTTTGATTATATAGTATTTTGCAACTGAATATTGCTTTTTATAATATTTGCATTTATACGGAAGCGTAATAGTCTCTACACTTGTGTTAATTTTTTTTTTTACATTGTCTTACTTTTTACTGTCTTATCAGCATATAATCTGTTATGATTTTTTTTATTTTCATTTATATGTTGCATTGTAACAGGGTATTTTCACATAATTTAAAGCGTCTTTTCTGTATGATGGATTTTATTGCTAAAAGATATATCGTCTTAAAAAAATATTGATTTGAAAAATATTGATATAAGCATGAGAATTAAAAATATCGATGTAATTAGCTCGACACACAACAATGAAAAGATATGCACAATAGTTTAATAAATTTATATATCGTAGTATTTCTACGAGAAAAGCTGGAAAATATTCTCCAACTAATTTCGCGGGCCCGGGAATTCTAATGAAACTTCAAATCACTCAGATTTATTGACGGCAAAGCACAATGTGCCATGTGTAAAGTGTCAAATATTTGTTGTATGATTATGAAGAAAAACGTACTGAAGAAGAAGGGGGTACGGGGGCCATGATCAGTTAGATTGTCCCCATTGAAGCAATAATCAATTTATATCATTCTAATTAATAAGAAATTAAATATATATGCAAGTCTAGTACTATTTTTTTCTTATGAATGAAATTCGTCAATCTCTCTTTGAAATAAAAATTATGTGCTTACAAAGTATGCAGAATTACATAATTAATTATTGATGTGACTAATATAATTAGTGACCCCCCCCCCCACTGTATTTATGTTCAATTCATGAATATATTTAGTACTAGTCCTATTCGGGGATGAATTAACAATATTATAAAAGTGACACTGGCTATGTACACTGTAGATATTTGATTTTTTTTTTCATTCTGTGGTAAACATAGGATCTGCCATATAGACTTGAACCTCCATAGTCTTAACCCCCCCAACCCCCCCCCCCCCCCCCCTCAAAATCAAAAAAAATATAAGCAGTGAATCATGATAGAATATATATCAGATAAAATTCAAATATCAGCACATCAGATCTAAATTCTTATTACTTAGCATTATGTAAAATAATTTGTGCTTCATTACAGCCAATCTGCATAAGCTTATAGTCAGAAACTTAAAAGAAGAAAAGAATGGAGTCAGCCAAATGAAATATTTGAAAAGAAAAACAAAACTTTAATTATTCAACTGCGAGTATTCTTTATTTTTGGGATATATTAATTAGCGGATCTTTGATATACTCAGGTAGCACAAAGATAATCTTTCCTCCCCCCTCTTCAAAAGTGGTGATGGGGACAGCAGCCCCCTATGACTATACATATGATCTTACTGCTGATACCTCTCCGTCCCCCCTTTTCAAAACATTTTTGAAGCTGTATCAGCCTATAATCGTATACGATACCAAATACATGGTACATGAACTTTCACTGAATCCCGAGTAAAGATTCATTAGAATTTCCGCCCCCACGAAGTTGATTCAATAATAATATTTTCTCACTTCTTTCTAGGAAATATTCATATATTTATATCGATATATCTATAACTTTATTTAAGGTCAAGATCTAGTAAATGAAAAGAGCCTACAGATTTCTCAAACTTGAGAAATAAATTCCTTTTATGATGCTTTAAAACTATACTCGGTCAAATAAGGTGTATCGGGGCATAATTTGCAAGAAGACAAGACGAAAAACCATCTTGTAAACTGTCATTTTCAATGAAAAATTAAGAAAGCCAGTCACGAATATGGGAGTTTTTTCCATATCAGACGAAGGAAATGTATTCAGATTGCCTACAGTCTCTCAGAAAACGGTAATTTGTATGTTCTTAGTCTCTTCTTTAAAATAATGTAAAATTGAATATAGGTATCGGATTACTTTTCACATGATTTCAAATGGAATGCCATGAAAATGCTTTATTTTCTACATAATTCTATTGAGCTGTAAAGTACGGGAAAAGGAAAGTTTAAATTGATTATGACGTCATAATGGATCTAGCACCGAAAAGACAGTCTAAAGTCATTTACTAGATCTTGACCTTAAGAAATAATACATGTATCGTTTTTAAAAATCTATCGGGGTATAAATACGGGTTGGTCACGAGACCAAATTCCATAAAGCCAAGAACTTTATGGTAAATTTGATCTCGTACCAACCCGTATTTACATCCCGATAGATGTTTAAAAATGATACATTATTACTTATATTTACATTTATTTCTTATTCATATTTTATATTTTCCTGATTATAATCTTTAACGCGTGAAATGTTTTATTTATCAAACTCAACGGCACTTATTTGATCCATTGTTTGCGCGTCGACCCTTTATGACGTCACTGAGAAATTACTTCGAACGTTTATGACGCGAGGAACCCGTGTTTATACGGATATAGATACGCGTTGCTTTTAATAGTGTTATATAAAAGAAAACATGTGCAAATGTAAAGATATTTACATATCAACGTCACTATATTGACATGATTAATATCTTGCTTTGATCAGTATCTTAAAATCAATAATCAGTATATTAAAATCGATAATACTTATAGCAATAAATTTAATTAAATAAAAGAAGGTGCCATAAATTATTTAAAAGCATCTAAATACAATTCAAAATATGTGTATATTTAAGGAGTTATAACACTTTATATGTTGACAATAAAATTTAAGACAATATCCACGTTATAACACAACAAGTGTAGAGACCTTTACGCTTCCGTACATTTAGAAGACCCTATCCTAAGCAAATGTATTTTGAACGACAATTCCTACCCGAAGTGTACAATTTCCCTGCTAAAACTGTAATAGAAAGTTCTTTCTCCTTGTGTCCAATCCTCATGTACACTGTAGTCAGTACAAACGAATGAAGTGTCTGTCATGGTGGCATCTCCCCAGTAATGGATTAAAAATGAATTTGAATATCTGCATTCATAACATGAAATAGATCCCATATTTGCTATCAAGTGTTCCTGGTTTATTGTGTTTTGATCGCAGTGTGTATCTGGAGAATATGATCTTCTCCATGCCATACGGAACGTTATAGAAACCTTGGAATAAAAGCAATGATTGGTTGAAAGAGCAAGTTGCTTATCCTGATATTGTTTCCATCATGCTTATGTCTGTCACAAAAACATGACAAAATGGCTGAAGGTAAATCAATGGGAATCTTAAAAAGTAACATTACAAGTACTCTATTTATGTATTAGACGACGATTTACAACTGATGTCCGAGTTTACTTTAAAAACGACAACAATAAACACTAAAGATGAAAACGTCACAGCAGTTGTACGTAATTCAATATGATATTAGATATACATACACACATAGATACATTTAGATACGGAAGCCTATTTATAAGTGTTAATTAATACGTAACATTTTTAACTTTAAAGTTGGATTTTCCGACTTTACTCTTGGCTTTTACAACTTTGAAGTTGGCCTTTCCAACTTTAAAGCTGGTAATTCTAACTTTTAAGTAGGTAACTCCAACTTATATATTGGAACGTGGAAATTCCAACATTAAAATTTGGAATTCCAACTTTTATGTTCGCTTTTCCAACATTAAGGTTGGGAATTACAATTTTAAAATTCGTTTGGAATTCCAACTTTTATCTTGGCTTTTCCAACTTTGATGTTAGCTTTTCCAACTTAAATTTGAGCTTTTCTAAATTTTTCCATAGCTTTTCCCCCTTTATTTGATGTTTTCATCAACTTTAATAATGCATAATCAATACAAGGAAACAAATTTGTAAGCAATAAAATTGTTTCAAATATTTTTGACCTTGACCTTCCCTATGACTTTACATATAACTTCAAACATTAAAAGCGCTTATATATCTCTTAGCCCATCTTATATAATTTTATAGCTGATAACTTCATACAACTCCGTAAATGAGAGCATTTCATCTATATCTGTTGAAGAAATCAAATATATATTAATTTGTTGAGAATGAGTTTAAACAAATGAGACCATATAAGGTGATTGATAAATTGATAAATATTAGGTGATTAATCAATACTATATGTAATGCTACTAAATGTATCAATCCTGTATAGGAAACACAATAGAATGTTTTTTTTATAATCATAATTGCATAATAGTTAGTAAAAGCATTACTCATGATAAATTAAAGACCAGGCTTATTGACATCATAGACAGCTGCTTTTTCAATAAAAATGGAACTCGTAAATATATTAACCTTGTCATTGGTCATTTGCAAAATTATTTTGTTTAAAAGCTTTCTGATTGTACACATAAGTACTCTGAAATTGATATTTAAAAGATGCTTGAGTTTCTGATTAACAATATCTTTATGGTTTTAAGAGATAGGTCTTTTTAACAATCTGTTGGAATTTTGTTTCCACCAATCTGTTTTCCCGATCATGACAAGGAGCACACGGCGGGTGTGATCGGTCGGCAGGGGATGCTCACTCCTCCATGACCCCGGATTCCACCTTTGATGATTTTGGAGGTCCATGTTTGCTCTGCTCCCGCTTTGTGTTGTCTAAATGGACTTTGAGTTTGAATACTGTTTGTTATCTCCATATTTCATCGTTTCTATCGAATCGAATCGAATTATTTCTATGGAAATAAATAAAGTTTTATTCTTGTCCATTGTAATCATAAAACAACACGAGTCAAGCTACAACGTATAGAAATATAACACAAGAAGCCTTAAAAAGTTTGAAAAGCCATGATTAAAATTAGAATTACCAACTTTAAAGTTAGAAAAGCCAAGATTAAAGTTGTAAAACAACCCACTTTAAAATTGTAATTACTAACTTTAAAGTTGGAAAAGCCAAGATTAAAGTTGGAATTACCAATTTTAAAAAAAT